TGCTCCGATCCACAAACAGGTACCAAGGTGCCGGTGGTGGGCGGGGCCGTTGCTTGCTTGCTGTCGAAATGCCTTGTACGATCATGCCGTGGCTCCCATCGAGCGCACGCACTCTCCAAACATAGAAACAACGCTTGGAGCCGTGGGCTGGTCGAGCCGCCAGTCTTGGGTGGCAGTCCAGCCAGTATGAGTGAGATCCCAAGCCTACTGGCCTGGGCCGTCTGATGTCCGAGACAAGCTTGAGTCAAGCGACGGGAAAACCATTGTTTGTGTTTGGCCGACCAGAGATCGCACGAATAGCACATGGTTCCTCGCCGTTTGGCGTTGCCGTCGCTGGGCAGGGTGACGAGGCAACGCGGACCCGATGTGTTGGAATTCCGAGCTCCTCGGTGCATCCGTCAGTCCAGATCCAGGCCCTGGGCTTTTTCTCACTCCGCGGTCACTCTTCGGTCAGAGAAGGTGGAGACGCTTCGGCCAGCCGTTCCTTGAATGAAGAATGTTGGATGAGTGGACGGCCCTTACCCATGAGTAGAAAAGCTGCCGGAGTGCACGGGTGTTTGGTGGTTTTTGTATGGCTGACTGGCGATCTCAGTTCGCACTGCGCACCCTGCGTAGAAGTTGACGAAGCCTTGAGATCCCGTGCTAGATCACACTGGCGCAAACTGTATGCCTGTTCCGGCTAGCGTGTGGGCCGTTTCGAAGTAAAACTTGCCCTTTCATCCAGCCATTAAAGTTATTGGCACCTGGGCACACGGGCCTCTTCCACTTCATCAAGTGGTAGAGGAAGACCGTTGAGGGCCGACGACGAGAGAATAGATGAACGTTGACCCGTAGAATGGCACGAAACTCGAGTGCTGATGTCCCTGTCAGGGGAGCCAGTTCCGTTGTGCGCAGCGAATTTCCGCAAGGGCATGCTGCTGATACGCGTGCTCCGAAGGTTGAACAATTTTCCGAGACCAGAGACCCGTCATAGCGTTTTCTTTCTACGTCACGTCGCCGTATGTGTGGTGGATGGTGGCCCTCGTCGGGACGGCGAGGCTTATGACATACCACACGGTTTCGAAGGGAAGGAGGCGGGTGGGCAGGCCCAACCGAGTGGCACCGGGGTGATGCAAGACATCACCGCGTGCTCCGCAGATACAAAGTCGGGAACAGAATGGGGGCAAGCCTTGCGCCGCTGTCTTGGATTTCCAGCTTCGCTTGTGCCTTACTGTACAAGGCAGGGCTCCGAGAAGCCATGGTCCTCGGCAAATGTGAACAATCCGAACAAGGCGCGGGTAGGGGTAAGTTCATAGTACTGTGTACCATGTCGTACCCAGAAGCCGTTTCCACCCCATGTGCTATTCTGAGCGGCCGATCCTTCTTTCGTCTCAACTATCGTACGTCGTTTGAGCGTGCGCAATTGATCAGATCTCGGAAACGATATCCACCCTTTTGAGGACTGTAATCCGCGTATCAGTGGAATCAAACTACGCGAAGCATTCCCACTGCTTAAAGGACTACCCAAGTTCGCCGCCAGAGGTACACTACATGGTACTCTGTGGGTTGTACCGCAGCTCTGCATGATGGGCTGCACGTTCAAGCAGAGGTTGGTCTCGGGACAGGGCTTCCCTGACTGTGATTCTGCGACTGAAGTCCGACTTCAGGGACAGGCGTGCTGGCAGTTGACGATTGATAAATTAACACGATCCCTGGGTCAAACACAGGAGATTGAGCCTCATCAGTCGCCAAATTCTCCGACCCAACGATGCCCTCACCGTCGTCACTCCCGAGACCAGCGAAAGCTGAGAAGGTGGGTGAAGACTAGGATCTGCGTTCCGGAAGACTCAAGCGCGATTACACATTTTGTGGACGAGCAGTGGAATATCTGCAGAGGATCTCCGGTAGAAGTGGATATCAGACGCGCCGTGGACCCTTTAATCTGGGCCGTCACTATCCTCCAGGGGTGAGCCTATCCCCCCCCCCCCCAAGCGGTCGAGGACGGGGATGGGTAGCGTAGACGGTCTCGAACATGAGAGTTCTTGTAACCGTTGCTGATCTTGCCTTGTGTGGTAACCTTGAACACCGCGAAGATCCGCTGTCTTCCGCCCGACGCATTAGGCACAGTTCTTTTTCCAACGGTCAAGTGAAAGGCCACCAGTCCGTGTAACAGGCGGGGCTCAGTGTTCAGTGCTGGCCGCCGCGAGGCCGAATCACGGACGCCGCCGTTCGCCCAGCCACGTCGCGGAGCGATCGGAAGGACTTGTGGCTAGGAGCACAGTCCAGGCCCTGCCGGCGGCTGTGGAACAGGGGGACACCAGACAGCAAGCCTCATGGTGAGAGACTGTGCGCTTCCCGATCACACCATGGGCGCGGCTAGCTGCTTTTTTTGCTCTGCTGTTCCCGTTGAAGTGTCTAGGCCAAAGCCCCTCAGGTGGCCGCTCAGATGGGCCGCGCCGCCCAGAATGCGCCCTGAATGCGCCCTGTCACACGCACTTGTGGCGTCTGGCCGGCCAGCAAAGACGAAGGAATCTTCGTGTCTCCCTTGCTCGTGGCAGTCGTAGGACAGCGTCCAGATTTGTAGTAAAGCCGAGCAGGAGCGACGGATCGGATGTGAGATGTGATGTCTTGTGGGAGGTTCCTCAAAGACGGACCCAAATCCGACTGCAACTCATCGTGCCAAGACGTAGCTCAGGAAGGGCTCGCTCGGTCTACATCTTTCCCAAATGCGAACAACTTCGCGAGAGCGCACCTGCTCCAGGCACAAACCTAAATAACACCCATGACCCCTTCAGCAGAGAGGCGGGTAGATGGAGCTTACTTTTCAGAAGAAAAGTTTCAGTCTTGATCGGGTCACTGATCGGCTTGGCGTCAAAGCTACCTGGGTTCCCTGATAAAGTCGAAAGTCACGAGTCGTAAATAGTGCAGTTTGAGCTGGCATGTCCAGTAAGAGGACTACTGGCCAGTGTGCACCTCAGGCCACAGGAGTGCCCACCCTGCCAGTACCACTGCACGGCAAAGTGAGAAGTGTAATTGCTTGTGTCGTTGCCCTCGCGCGGCACGCTGTAACTTTGAATGCATTGTCGCTCGTGCTTTGCCCGCAAATGCATTTAGCGAACGGCTTCGACAAGGCTTGAGCACGGCCCATTCGCAGCGTAGACGGCAATTGGCTGCACATTCCTCATGATGCGCGGCATGCATAGAGAGCTTGTCGTTCGTCCCAATCGTGCGACACTGACACATCTGAGCGCTTTATGAACGCTACTTCGTACCGTACCAGAGTGAATGAAAAGTTTCGTCGGTCGCGAGGCAGAGAGGCGCGCATCAGTGGAATAGACTAGATACCGAGGCCAAATTTAATTGCGAGCCAAGATGTTCTTCAACGCATTTCGGATGTACGAAGAGATCTGCATGAAGTCATGGGGGCCAGGAAGCATGGAGTGGAATGGAAATTGGAGGACATGACAAGCAGCTGCGGGCCAACAGCCGGTCCTCATCACACATTACATCAAGTATCAAAAGAAGTCAAATCTCGGGGATGATTTCGCCGCTGGCCCGGGCTCTGTGGCCGTCCGTTGGCTTGGTAGGGAGGACAGGGGGGCCAGGAAGGGGGAGTGAGAGTAAAGTATGCACTGACTGGCTTGTAAGGTTGGTAACTCGGCCGGCGGACCGATTGAGACGAGGTCATGTTGCTGCTCGCTTGGCGAGGGTACCGTGGGGAGATGATGGCCAGGCCGAGAATGTCTTGCCTCGCGCGGTCATCTGTGTAAGGCTGACGGTGATGAATCAGTTCCGTGCAAGTACCGCAGGGTAACGTTCGGCAATGTCACAGTGGTTGGTACTAGGGGGGCGGTTCGCCGATCGTGGATCGCTGGGGGGCTTCGAGGTGGATCAGGCGGCTGCATCATCAGAGGGAGAACTGCCGACAGGGCAGTCAGGGCAGCGGGGCTTCGTCGGTAGGGAGCTTGAGTGGGCCTGATGATGCCCCTGAAATAAATCGTACGTCGCCGAGACCAGAGGATGTCATGCCATGGGAGTGGCTGGCCGGTGCGGTGCCGGCGTCATCTCCTTTGCCTTTTGGTGCAGGTGTGGCTGGAATTGTGCTCTGGTCTGGAACCTTGGTGCTTTCTGGGGTGGAAGTGCTGTACCAAGCACGGCGGGCTACGTTCAAGTCCGGATGCGCGTTAGATGACTCGGAACTGTGGCTGTCAGCCACGACCACGACCAACGAACATCGACCAACGACCACCGTCCCTGAAGCATGGCCACGACCACGGTGCCTGCTTGTCCCGCGGGCCTGGGTGGTCCGATCGATGGATTGTGCCTGGATCGCACCGGGTTCGGTTGGCACATGCAGATGGGCCGGCATCATGCTGTACTGTACTGTCCAGACTGTATGTGCATATACTACATAATACAGTAGTAGCCTGCCCGGTCTGTTGGAGGAGTGGGTTCGCGCACGCGTCAGGAGTCGGAGGGGGGAGCGGGGAGGTGACGTGTGGATGGCCTGGGTGGCCTGGACTGCCCTGGATGGCCTGAATTGGACAGCCGAGACCCAAGGTTTTTACCCCTATCGAGTGCGCGTCGGTGCTGGTGTGTTTGCGTGCTCTGCGTACCGTGAAACGGGCCCCCGGGCGGGATCTCTGAGATCTGGCAAGTGGCTGGCACTGGGTGGTATCCCATGGGCCCATCCATGGATGATTGCGCGGAGGATCCACTGGCTCCAAGATCATCTCCCGAGGGCGGCGCGCTGCCATCTGCCCATGCAAGCAGGTACTGTGGGCTAGGCCGTTTTGCCTGCACTCCACTGGGCTGGCCGTTCGCAGCGTGTTGCCAAATCAGCCACGTTTCGTCCCATCTCGAACTGCCTGCCTGCCTTGTTTGTGCTGCCCGGGCGCCCTGTCAGTCTGGTCTCTGGTCTCTGGGCGTTCAGGGAGCTGTGCATGCTCATGTTGAATGAGGAGCCTGGCTCTGTGGGGCCGCCGCGCGGCATGGGCGTCCATTGTTCCTGCATTCTACCATTATCGACGTGCCATGTCGACACTAGCACGGGCAGGGTTGGGCTCTCTGGGGGAAGCCCTTGGAACGGAACGCCGGCGTTTGATGGGAAGGCCGGGCCGTGGGCAATGGTGTTGGGTGGCAGCCCAGTCCTGGATGAAACGGTAGCCAATGTTGGCGAAATCTTCTGGAACTGGACTTGGGCTTGCTGACCAGAGCTTGGCCGCGGCCTTGGCCATGCCCGCCATGGCCGCGCTAATAACCCCAGCCTCGGTCTCCTGTGGTCTTGGAGGTTTGCTGGTTACTGGAAGTGGCAGTTGACGTGGACGTGGACCACCATCTCGGCCCCGACGTCGACGTCGACCACGATTTTTCGAACTCGACCTTGACCTTGCCGGCCTTGACCCTGCTGCTGACCTTGACCCCAAACTGGACTGCATCGCGCGGGATGTCGGCCGTCTCGACAGTCGAGGCATGCAGTATGTTCGGTCTGGAACTGGCTGTATCGAGTATGTACGGAGAAGACTGCCTGCACTCCACCATGTGAAATACCTGTACCAGAGTACCTGACAGCCTCCACCCCTGGACCTGCCGGCTCCCAGCTCCCAAATCCCAGCTCTTAACCCATTGTCACCTAAACTCTACCCCAGCTCAACCCAACAACCATCCATCACCATCGTCCCTCATCCAGAAGCAGCCCTCACCCAACCCATCACTTCCCTCGCATCTTTCGGACGCAACCTCCCACAGGAGAAGCAGTCACTCCGAACCGGATCGACTGGGCCTTGGTGATCACCATGCCCTCCCACATTCTGGCCCGACAGTAGTGACACAACTCCCACCTGCAAGGCTATCGACGCTCGTCAGGCCATGCCCAGTCACCTGCCCCGCTTCTCCCTGCCTCTGGTGCCCTTGGGCATTTGCGTACACGAGACTACTGTTAGACGTCAGAATGTCGCTCCTCGAGTTTCCTCTTTGGTCCTGCCTACTCAAATAGCGTCCTGCTTCCGCTCCAAGCCTCTCAAACCCACCAGAGCGATGTCACGCAACTGACCACATCGACGGCGATCGGACTAACAGTCCCCAACCCATGTCTGCGCACTACTCAGTAGTTCTAGGTGGGCTACCGTGCAGGCCACAGTACACCATGGCCTGAGGACCTGGCCCTTGCTCACACCTACCCTTGCCCTCGCCCTCGCCCTCGCACTCACCTCACCTCACATCACCATCTCGCTCTTCAATCACCGAGCTTCATCTCACCCTGTCTGACCCTTGCGCGGGACCAAGCCCAGGCCGAGTATCACAGCTGACTGACGGCCGTCGCTGAATGCCTGCATGCTAACAGCAGGCCGGGGTGCGGTCACACTGCTCACTCTGTGTTGGTCTGACACCCCTCCTCCTTGAACCGACCGACCAGCTGCAGCTTGGGACCGTACGTCGAGGACGTGCCAACAGCTGGTGCTGGGCCTGCCCATGAATCGTACCTGTACCAGACACGGCTTTTTCGGGACAACCTGCCCACACCTGGAGGCCCGACGGTTGAGAGTCCCCCAAGGTTTAGAGCTTCACCGTCTCTGCAGAGAGCAAGCGCCGGCAATCCGTGATCTGACATTAGACTCTCGGGCTGGCTTCCCGTGCTGATCGTCTCGATCGTCTCGCTCCATACCGTGACAGCGAGACACATTCCAACTCGCGGCCAACGTCCGCTGACAACATGCTGTGGCTGCGGGAGATCTCACTTGCGTCTATCAAAGCTTGGCCGTCTTGAGCCAGCTGGAAAATCCGGGGTACTGGCAGCGCCTCTGGTTAGTGTCCCCCTGGTCGCATATACACGCCCAAATGCGACTCTTGCACCACCTGTGATCAAAACACCCCCGGCCTGTGCCTGCTTCGCTGGCTCGGAACCAGATACTCGATCGTAGCCTCGCCCAGAGCGACGCACCCTGTGCCGCCGGCTCTTGAACGTCCCTGCCTGCGCCTGTCTCTTCTCTTGTCGCCTCCTGCGGAGCAAACAGCAGGACTGCGACCGGCCGCGTTGCTTGCAGCGTCTCAGCCCTGTCTTGTCACGCTCCACGCTCACGGTCATGGTCCTGGCCACGCTCCCGGCCGCGGTCGCCGACCGGCCTCTCCTCCTTCGCGACGAGAACCCGATGTCTGGGCCCATGGCGTGCAAAGGACAGGCTCTCCAGGCCTGCACGTCCTGGCCGCCTGACAAAGACGCCGACAGCAGCTTGAGATCTGCATCAATGATCTGTCTGCCCGTTCAGCCCATCCTTCTGTCCTGCACACCCCTGCTATTCTGTAACCATGATTGACCGGGGGGTTGCCATCGAGAATACCCACCCTGGCCCTCCCCACCTCCCGCATCACCTCCCTCCCAGCGAGTTTCGCAACAAAGCCTCATGGTGGGCCCTTGGGCACTCCCACCCCCAGAGCCATGTCCTCTCTGCGCTCCAGCTGCTGTTATCCACACACCCCTCCTCCTGAATCATCATGTCCTCTAATTGGCTTGTGCCAGGGGCGGGTTGAACAACGGTCATGCTTTCATCCGTGGAGTCAACACAGGACTAATGTAATCAAGGACCAATGAACACTGCTCACATATTCCAGCCGAGACGGTTCACAACGTTGTTGTACTCTGTACAGGCGTATCCTTCTTCCTATGCGGAGTCCCTGGCCGCTTCTCTCATCTCCCTCTGAACCTTCTCGTCCGGCACCCTCTTGGGCGCCCTTGACGTTGCCTGGACGCTTGCCTCTGCAGGCGTCTCCTGCCCAGCAGCCAGGAACCTCCGTTGCCAGTCAAATCCTCGGGGTTGAGGTCGCTGAACCCAAAACTTTACAGCTCCTCGCTGCTGCAGCTGCATGAACATACGCTCCTGTCTATGTCGGCCAGAGGTGCCTCCTCCAAACCCCCAGCAGGAGCCGCGGTTGCTCCTAACGGGACACGGTTCAACCATTCCGTCTTTTATGCTTATCCCACCGCCCTTATAGCCCTCGCTACCCTTCTCTTGCCCACCTAATAAGCCCAACAGCTCTGTGTCTTTCCTAGTGCCCCTTCATTGCCTGGTTGGTTCCGGGCCACTGATACTACAGCATTAGCCATTCAGCCGGGACTTCTACCACCAAGTTTCCTTGGTCTACATGCTTTCTGGCCCTTCCCGTCGACTTCGACCCAGCCCGGAGGAGAGCGGGTTCTGGCTCAAGTTCAAGCCGTGGCGCCCTGCCCCTTCCAGACGAAAATAACACCACCACACTGCTACCCGCGGGCCGTACTTGAGTCGTGGAGTTGTCGAAAGAGCAGGGCACCGGGGTACCCAGGCATTACCCACCGTCTTTGATGAGGTACCTGGTACATGCTCCCGATCGCCCAGGCCTCACCCATCGCCCTTGCGGCTGCCCGTGCTGGCCCTGTTCTACTTTTCGGATTCTGCCCTGACATTTCTCCGTCTGGCCTGGCGGTACCTGTGATATTGGATCCACCCGTGTTGTACTAAAGTACAAGGCTCCCTTCCCCCATAGGGGTTGACCTTGTTGCAACCACGGCTATTTCTAAACTCCATGCAGGCCGGGGGACCTGTCACTCCCAGCAGTACCTTGAAAATCAGTCAACCCCGCCGGCTCCATCAGGTTGAGACCGTCGAATTGTATACATTACAGCCCGTGGTCCAGTCCTAAAGCTCTCGTCACAGACTCCCCGTTGGCTTCTACTTTCGTCTCTTCTGGGAGGATTCTATAAACACCAGCTCGACCGTCGTCCTAGGCAGATACACATTGTTGTGTTCATACCTCGATCTCCTTGACTCCTCGACAGCATTTCCCATCTCGCAGCACTTGTCTGTTTCACTGCCCTGTTACTGCGCATCCACCGGCCTTCCTGACAGCCTCTGTTGAACTCCGAGAAACCGGCAGGCCTGTGAATTCGAGGACAGACTTGAGTCTCTCTCGATAAGCCCTAGCTTCCTCGACAGACTCTCCTCGAGACGTACTTAGTACGCCGTTAGTTACGTGGGACGATCGTCGACACGACCATCTTTCCGGACAGTTTTTCGAGCGTCCTGCATCATCGGTTGACCCAGCCAGAGATATTACCCTGGATCAAAGGAACCCTCAGCCTACGACTTACAGCTGGCTTCCCATTCTATCCTTGGCTCCCGCCTCACCAAGTCGACACGTTCTTTGAGAGTTGACACGCCCCTTTCAGTTGACCTGACTCTCGTTTGTGGCACAGCCTCCCCACTCGTTTCTCTGGTAGTCGGATCAGTGACTCGGCTTTGACGACACAATTATCTGTCGTTCCAAAGAAGGCGAATTGTTTCCCCAAATCATCCTCACACGCCCTTTCCAATGCTTGTTACCAGGCAACGCGATTCCGAGAAAAGCCACTGGTCAACGAGCAAATACGAGTCTCTTTACCACAGGTCGGAAGCTAGTCCACGCATGTCGAACAATTTTGACGCTCCTTTGTCGACACAGTCTGACTGGCAGGGACAGCAGTACTCGTATCTTCCCCCTGGGGAGAGCTCCATCTATGCACAGTCTTATGGTCATGGAACAGCTTCTGGCGGCAACTCCGAGTCCCAGGCGCAGCCGCGCAGTGCCGCCGAGGCTAGCAGCTCCATGGACGTAGAGCCCAAGACAGAGCCGAACACACTGAGTCCGCCTCTGAGCCTACGGCGCGGCGCAGATCCTCTGGGTCTGCGTCAACAAAGACAGCCATCGCCCATCGCGGAGCAGTCAGAAACACAGGGCGATGTATACGCGCAGAAGGCGGCAGAGTCCTTGAAAGAGGATTCAGTCGCCTCGGCGGACACTCCCGGGATGTCGCTAGGCTCGAACCCAGTGAGCTCAGTCTCCTCCGCGGGACAGGGCGCGGAACTGCCTGCCAGCCAGTCGGGTCAGGAGGACCAGGTGCCTAAGCAGGAGGACGACGACGAGGTGATAGATGAGGATGACATGGTCGACGGTGACACCGAAGCAGCCCTGCAACAGATGACGCCTGCTGAAAGAACCGCAGCGCGGAGGAAGATGAAGAGGTTCAGGTAGGCAGTACGACAAGAGGGCGATGTCGAGCACAGGGCTGACGGTTTCTAGGCTCACCCATCAGCAAACGCGATTCCTTATGAGCGAGTTTGCGAAGCAGCCACACCCTGATGCTGCGCACAGGGAACGACTCTCGAGGGAAATTCCAGGATTGAGCCCCCGCCAGGTGCAAGTCTGGTTCCAAAACAGGTAAATCCAGTCCTTGCCACGAATCAATAAACGTCAACACTAATTCCGAATTTCAGGCGGGCAAAAATCAAGCGCCTCACAGCCGATGACAGGGAGCGCATGATCAAGATGAGGGCTGTACCAGACGACTTTGACAATGTCCAGGCCCTGCATTCACCATACGGCGCCGTCCACGGGCTGGGTACCCCAATGGCGTCTCCTGTTGGCTTCGGCCCAGGCCCATATCCGGATCACCTTATGAGGGGACCACTGGTGGTGGATGTTAGACGAGCCGAGGGCGGTGAGCACATGTCATCCAGCGGGCTGAGTCCAGCTTTTGGCAACATTGGGTTCAACACATCAGCGTCCATGAGTAACCCAGACCTGTTGACTCCCATGTCTCAAGAGTCCAGCGATCGGTACGACTACTCGAACCACTTGACGCCCCTGAGCGCCGGGCCTAGGACCTCCAACCCTTTTGCGAGACAGGGCAGCATGGAGACGGGCATGGCGGTTCAGAACCACCACTCGAGGCAGCAAATGAGACCTCTTCAACCACTCCAGCTCCGGGAGACGCTCACCCGGTCCAGGTCCGATAACCTTCAGTCACCACTCCGATCGAGCATGTCCTGGAAAGGCGACTCGATCGACTACTCTTCTTACCATCCTGCAGCCGGCAGCCCAACACCTCTGAGTGGGCGACAGCAGTCCGTCTATCAGCCTTCAGAGGGGCTCAGTGGTTCTCCCTCAACCACGCTGGGTGGCTACGAATCGAGCACCTATGCTGGTAAGTCCTGGAATTTGCTACAAGAAGTATCATTGTCGCTAAGAAGGCCTTCAGGTTCATCTGTCACGTCACCCACGCACATGTCCTATCCAAACTTCCAATCCAGCTCTTTCCAAAACTCACAGAATCGCTCCCGCCTTCGTGCTTCATCTGCGACGCTTCCGCTCGGCCTCGATTTGAGCGCTCAGAGATCATACTCTGCTTCCCACCACGGTCTGCGATCAGCAACCTCGCCAACGCATCGCCATGCCGCAGTCACTTCCGCGCCATATTCCACCGGCTTCCCCACCGCGCCGCTGACCGCTCCGAGCGACTTCTCTCTGCCAAGGACGCCAGGGTTCCCGACAAGAATACACGACTATTCGATACCACAGATGAGCGCGCCGATTGCGCCGCCCAACGACTTCTCGCAGGCCTTCCACGCCAGCATGGGCTCCGGACACAGCTCGAGGACACCGATGCGAGATCAATTTGGAGGCGGAGGCCCCCTGGGTGACAGGAGTGGCGATGACTACGGAGGACCTGGTGGCGAGCTGAAGAGGAAGAGGAGCTTCACGATCCCACAAGGCAGCTCAGCACACTGAGATGAATTCCGACGAATGGACGGAAGAGCGGTGAAAGCCGACAGAGGGGTGTGCTTGTCAACGCAGCAATGAAACACAGGGCTCTGTTCCAGGCCTTCCATCTGGCCATGTGGCATGCTCCGCGGCACATACTACATTTGCAGCACCATGTTCATATTACCCTGGCCCGACTTTGTTTCTTTCTGCCGCCTGACTGACAGCAAAGCCCTGAAACGACCGGAAGCCAGGAGACCCGCGCTGCAGTGCTTCTTCTGCGGGATGGAACGGAAGTCAACACTGCAGAGCTGACCGGGCTGGGACCTACGAGATACGCAATTTTCTTTGTCAACAATCAGGGGCCACAGGCGGACAGGCTTGGGAGGGGCAGGCTACGGCTGAGGCTACGGCGCAAGGCATTCCCCGTCTTCAACCGACATCGAAGCAAAGCATTCGACCAAAACAGTCTGGGTAAAATGTGGTCAGGGGTTCGTGGGGCAACGGTTAACGGGTAACAGGGGGTCTTTTCTTTTCGGAACTTCGGGAAAGGGGGGTTGGGCGGGTTGGAACCAGCGAACCACGGAAAAGGGCCAAGAGCCAACCTCGAAGACGGTGATTCCTACCACACACACACACACACACATAACGACACACAAACATGCACGACACGCAGGCTGGTCTGCTCTTCAGATAGACAGGGGCTCCTACGGTTTCCGGCGAGACTGGGTATTTTGCTTCTGCCAAGTCCCTCCCCTATCCCCTTCCCGGGCTTCTCTGCATGCTTCATGTACAAAGTTTGTTGGATTTTCTTTTTTCTTTTTGGTCTCTGTCTCTCTCCTTTCCCCCTGTTCGGGTAACGTCTTCTTTCCCCTGTGAGCTCTTCATTATGTCGCATACTTAGGTTAGGTACATTATTTCCTCCCGGTCGGCCGGTCTGCCAATATGGTATTCTTTCTACTTTCTACTTCCGCTTCCGTCCCCGCTTCAGAGGTCTATTTACGATAGCTCCCTTCTAAATTGGTTTTCGTTCTTGACTATTCTATTGGGGTTATCTGGTCCAGGGCTTTGTTTCAAGATACCTACCTGTTTCTAGCGCGTGGGTGTATGTGTGCGAGAGAGGGGATCTGCTGCTTTTACCGTGCTGCCTATCTGTCACGATACATTAAATAACAAAAAAAGAAAAGAAAAGAACATCAAAAAAGAAACGTAGAGAAAACGGGCTGCTGTGTGACTCCAGAGATGTGCTGTCGAACCGTTGGCCCGGGGAAAATCTGACAGAACGACCGAGCCGGTTGCCCTCGTCCAAAGCCCAGCCAGCTGGGCCTGCCTTGGTGAATGCAGGTCGCGCTCCCTCCGGCCTCATCTCGGCCGCTGCTCGTAACCGTTGGGCTACATCGCTCCCAGCGGGCGGTATGAGATTTCGTGTTTTGGAACTACCCGCAGTCGGGCCACACTTTGCTCTCCCGCGACTATGAAGTGTTCCATCGGCAGGGCTTTGTTGGTGCGCGTGGAAATAAGCTTAAACTACTAGTGACGGGCTTCGAGTCCCATTTCGGAACTGGTTAAAGGTACCATGAAGAATGGCTTCGAGAACCGGCGGACGTCGGGGTGTGCAAGGTTTCTTGGGGTGGAGGGGGGTTGCCGCCTAGACGCTTCCGACCGCCCCCCTCCATCGACGGCGAGGTTCGACCCCGACTGATCGCAAGGTGGTTCTGGTCGTCCAACCGGGTCTTTATCATGGGATGCAGTATGCATCCGTCAGGTGGCTTTGGCAAGTCGTCCACGGCAGTCGTTGTCAGCAGGCCCCCATCGGCCAGTGCAGCTCAGCCTGGCTGGCTGGCTGGCTGGCCGACCCGGTGGTGTTGAAGCCGGGCGGCATGCGGAATGGATTTCCCATGGCTACTTCTAGGCGCGGAACGAGGCGCCGTTAGCTGCCAGATACAGCGGCCCAAACAGGGCAGGACCCCATGGCGATCACCGACTACGTCCTGAGACGACCTCACAGCTCAGCGCACTTCTGCCGTGCGCTAACCCTCGCATATCAGAAGTAAGCAGCGGCGGTTACAGGAATTGCCCATGCCGTGTCATCTGCCGCCTCCCTGACATCTCAAGATCCCATCACGGAACGTCCCTCCGGTGCAGCGTGGTGGAGCGGCAGACCGGCCACGGTCATGGGGTGTGACAGGTTTGGGCCGGAGGTCAAGTTAAGCTTGCAGGATCATTGCGGATCACCCAAGCAAGAGAACCGGATGGGCGTGGGGATAGCAGCCTTGGTCTCTCCGGGTCCGCCACTCGCCCGAGCTGCGATGCACCTCACATGACCTTGGGCCTAGGTTTCTTTTCTGACCATTAGATGAGGGAGGGTGTGAGGACGGGTGATGTGACTCTCGCAGCTTCTGCATCTTGCTGCAAGTGCACCGATGCCCAGTAGGGTATAGCTTGGAAAGCTTCAGTTTCTTGGTCGGGTCTGGAGGGTCGTACAGGAGCGTTCAGCCTGGCCGCGGTCGAACGGCCCTGTATTGGTGTCTGAGTCCCGATCACCATCGACATGGACGGCATGGCTTGAAAGCCGGCCCGGCTTGGTCACCAGAAAAAGACTCAGCCCTTGACCGGTGAGCTCTGCTGTCCGCGAGACAGTGGGAGAGGCTCAATCATTTGACCTTTCACATGTCGCCTACAGGCAAGGCTTGTGAGACTGTGGCTACTGTAGGGCACCGTCCCGTGCCGCTCGGATGGATCAATGTCTTTGACATCTCCAGTTACTTGTTCACGGCCAAGAAACGACGTTGAGCCGTCATCGTGCAGTGTAATGCTCCCGCGGCAAGCCTTGGTGGAGGGGCACCCGATATGCTGTTTCTGAGCCGCGTCTGCAACGCCTGCATACAGAGAGCGGTTACTGTCGCCTGGCACTGAGCGTGACGTCGATTGATGGACAGATCGACGGTTCTCGACTGCGACAGGCGGGAATGTTGCGCCTCATGTAGAAAGTAGACGAGGTGGCGCTCATCGAGCACAGCCGCTGCGCGTTGTCTCCTTCTCCACTGGTCTGGGCCACTCCGTTGGGCAGGGTAGACGGCGAGTGCAGGATGCTGTGGCCCCGACTGCCCAAGTGGTCATCCGAGGCCCCAGTTCGAACAGTAGACTGATCGATGCACTCTCCACTTCGATGATGGCACTGAGCCGCGTTGTGCGTCGGTCAGTCAGTCAGTCAGTCAGTCAGTCAGTCAGTCAGTCAGTCAGTCAAGGTTGTGGAGCGTATGGCGAGGGCGAACACAAGGGGGCGGGAACTTGCACCCCCACATCACCAAGGTCCAGCCCGGACGATGCTGCGGTCCTCCACCAACGAGTGGCTTCGCGTTGTCGATCAGAAACGACCGAGGGGCCGAATGCTGAGCTTGTGAGAGCGATTGATGTGCTCCGTACCCCAGCGAAGGTGAGTTCTGACCCAGGCCCGGCGGTGACGGTTGGATGGTCCGGCTCCGAGCAGTGGTGGGTGTAACGGTAGCAATTGACTCCTGCCTCGTCCAGACGGATCGCCCGCCAGCGCCATGGGAGTCACCCACACCCGAGCTGCTGAGCCATTACTGTTAGCCATCTGCCAGACACAGCGGGTGTAGCCCAGAGAGCTGAAGTTCTGCACGACCAGGCGGCCTCGCTCCGGGAGTGAAAGCTGGGAGCCGTGGTCTGAGCGAGAGGAGTAAACCCAGTCGACAGACCCTGGCCCTTGGCCCCCTTGGCCCCCAGCAGGCCCCAGGAGGCCCTGCTTCAACGGCCTGCACTGACAGGCAGACAGGACAGCTGGGTAGGAAGGTGGAGACGCAAGTAACCGGTCGAGGCCAGTGTCATGGCCTTGGGGATGCAGGCGTCCGTGGATCCAGAGGGGAGAGACCCGAAGCGGGTAGGCTTGGCACGGAGGAAAACGTTGCGCATGTGAGGAGGGAGCCGTTCGACCCCAGATGCTTTTTTCCCCCTGGCCCGTCCCATCCTCACCCATGTGCAGTCAGACAGTCAGACAGGCTGTGTATGGACAGAGCTGAGCCTGCCACGACGGCGGGAGCCGGTCTCTGCGTTTTACAATGCACAGGCGGCGGCGCATGGTTGATGTGGTTGGTGGGAGGAAGATGTTGCGGTAAGGACGACCTGTCACCTTGCGTAACATTGTACATCACGTCCAGGTACGGGGTACTGCAGGTCGAGCCGTAGCACTCAACCGCAGTGTGCAGCCTGCCTGGATACCTAGGTGCCCAGGTACCCCAACCAGGTACGGCATCACCGTGTTAGTTGCCCCTTGGAGCATGGCAGCTGAGCCCAGCTGGCCACCGACGTCAGCCAGCTGGCAGGCTCGAGACATCGATCACGTCTCTGGTCGGCGCATGCTAAATGATATACCACTTGACAATTGACACTATCAACAGCGAGACTTGTCTGGATTTGCGGGACTCTCGAACTTGTGATAAACAAATACTGCGACGCCCTTCTCCCTGGAATAGACGTGCTCCTAGCATGGTGTATCCGGAGGCTTTCCTCAACCTTGTACCACCGCGTAGATGGACAAATCATGGGCTAATGACTCTTCTGGAAGACGACCTGCGAGATCATGACCATTGACCCACAACATTTGTCTCGAGCAGAGACGCTGTACCGCCCAAATGTCTTCTCACATCATAATACGAGGTGGTTCTGGTTGGTATCCCAGCCCTTGAATTTCCCCCTTTCTGCCTAAATACAGTCCAGTGGGCCTTGGACCAAGCAAGCTGCTCTGGTGACTGGTTAGCAGGAAACCTTGGACTCTCAGCCATCCTGTCGATATCTGACTATTGACGAGGGGCCTGCTCGGCAGTTGACACTAGGTACTCCGGGCCGTTCACCTAGGGTATTCAGGAGAACGTTCGTGAACTTGTTGGCCTACACGATCCCACGGGCGTCTCGACGCTAAAAAGCTTCTCAGAAGATCCCGAGTATCAGGCCATAGACAGAAGAACGTAGCATCGAGAGGACACACGATGCTGCTACCGAAACTTTGGCACTCGGGTTCAACATCAACACCGCTAGTGAGGCTTACGAGCTGCAGATATTGGTAGTATATTTTCGCGGCACTCGATGCGAGATCGACAGGCATCGTTATTCACCCAAGATTCGCTCTGCGGAGACGGAGCATCAGGTCGCTAGAAAAATGGCCGAGTCATCTCAACATGCATCCTGTGCTGGTGGGAGAGGTGCTATGTGAGTGCTGCCCCGTGTAAATGATTCTCCTCGGGCTCAATATGCCCCCATTCCTCGGGGCACACAAGTATCAAGATCGGTCCATTAATCTCGCATTAGAGATAGCCGGCACGCCTCGTGGCGGGCAGCCTCGTGTCGTCGATACCAAGTAGGGCCCGCACAGGAGACATCACCATAGATGCGACTGAGGGGTACAGGAGCCACTGTGGTGGTTGTATACGATCGGTCAACTATGGGCAATTTACAGCCCACCCAACAGCATCATCTCCCGTGTCAACAGAGGATGGCAGGAACCGCCCTAGGATCAAGGTTTGTGAGGAGGACAGGGACCAGCGTCTCGGGCCGTACTATTCGACAAGCAGTATGCAATGGTAACAAGGAACCAACCGAGTCTCCGCCTCTAACCTACCTGGACATTCGGGATGGCAAGCCCTCGATGGGTAGAGTGGTCAGCCACCGCATATCTGCACCCCGCCCAGATCGTGTCATCCCATCCGAGTCAAGGCTACCTGGCCCACAAGCAGCCAAGACAGACCGACAGGCGGCGAGGCCTTCATGCAAGTCATGCCCAGGAAGCGGCGGCAGCAACTTTTCGCAACCCGGGAGTGCGCCTAGATAGCGTACCGCAGCGCAGAGACGGATGATGCATCGCGAGGATTGGCTTCCAGAGATGGTCAAGCTTTGACTCGGAGCCTTGGTAGACGCCGGCCATGTGTTCGCCCCGGCAGGAAGCAGGAGCAGCAGCAGAAGCAAGGACTGAGTAACCCACCATCAAGAGCGTGACTCCCTCAACATGACTGACTGAGCCGCCTGATTCCCCACAGATTGCCCATTCGTTGGCGCTCGGTGGGCGTGTGTTTCCCTGTCAGGGAGTCTATATTACCTGGTTTAAGATAGAGCAGCAATAAGTTGTGCCCGCAAAGTAGGCTGGCCTTTTACGAGCACATGAGTGAGTAGTTTGCTCAATCGTATGACACTTCAGGTCACAGCCTGGTGGTCCAAAGTGAGCGTGGATACCGTCCAAGGTTCACGCAACTTGGACTTCTAGTAACCATGAAAGCAGAGGATGTTAGAGGACCTGGTACTCATCCATATCCTCGAAACGTGTCTCCACTTGTCAGTGTCCAAACGCGTAGTCTATTGTACCTGTTGTCATCTGGTCGAGGACATGGACCAGAGCAAAGGCTTGTGGCCTCCGACTCGTAAACGCCCTTTGCACACTGACAGCATGTCCAGATACGCTGGCAGATAGTAAATACCATTCCATCACCCATTGACTCGAAGCATACTCTGATCATGAAAGAGCCTGACAACATAACGCGAGAAGTAGTATCAATGTCAAACATCCAAAGGACACCCTCGATCCCCGAAAAGAACACGGATTTCCCTTCTCAAATGGACACCCAAGGGACACAGAAGCGAGTTTCGAAATCGCCAGACGAGCGGTGTGCCCATCGCTGATCACAAAAATGAGCCACGAGATTGTCTGAGTCTATCCAGTCTGACTTCAGACGATCGTCGAGGTCTCTTATCAAAACTACCTAGCCACGGCGTCGTAGCCCATTCATAATGAACCCCCCGATTATGTTCGTGCTCTTTCACAGCGGGCTTGTTCTGGCTAGCCATCCTGACTTGCGATTCCGACACCAAAAAACAAAGACGAGTCTGAGAAGACCCTTCTCCAAAGCTTAGGACCGTTCGGACTGCCTGGGTGCGTTTTCATTTATAGCAGCCCCAAAAGTGCGGTAGAGAGGATCAAGAACAGAGCCGAGTAGACATATGGGATTAGATGCTTGCATGGCAGCATAGGGAATGAATCGTCTCGCGCTGTCTATTGAGAAATACTTCTCCTCTTGGTATGAGGTGGTCGTCCAGATGCACTGGGACCTCCTCAGGCCGGTCAAGATCAGACCCAGCCAGCTCGTTTCTGACCATCTTCTTCCTCAGCCGCTATTGCCTGGCTGTTGACCATTGCTCAAATACACATGATGATACCCAATCGAGGCTATTGCATTAAAATATCTATTCCTCGTGGATCGCCGCGTTCAAGCGCTACTCCCATCAGCATCTCCTGGGAGTGGGAGAAGTATGAACTCAGTCCCTTCTTGAAGGGGCTCCACAAACTATGCCTCAGCAGAAAGTGGCTACTGGGACTGCGCATCGCCCACATCTTCTGGATTCATCGGTGGTCGGCAACTCAGATACCCAGCAGCTACTCCCCTTCCTCTTCTGTGGCGTACTCCGTAACTTCTCATCGCCAAGGGCTCAGTAGGAGCACTCGCGATAGGCACATCAGGATGAACCTGGGTGTGGCTGTCAACGGAAACTCTTCGGGGCGACTGAAAAACACTGGGTAACATACGAGGAGACCCGGGCAGATCTTGCAATAACCCTCGTCCACGGTCGCGAGTCGCCATGGGCTGCCGCAAAGAAGCAGGCCTGGTGGGGATCTTAAATACCACATCTTGGTTGCGGTCCTCCCCGTCCACCTGAGCGGTATGCGACCAAGCATTGGAAACGCTGCCAGACGCAATGCTCTCAGCTCCGAGTCCTGTGCCCTCGGGTTGTTCCCGCTTGACCTCGTCCTTGGGTCGGTACCGCTGCTAACGGCGCCGACTCGAGCTGCGGTCTCGACGGTCCCGGCGTGGTGAGCGATCTCTGGCCCTTTCACGGTCTCGGCCGCGGTCCCTGCCTCTGTCGCGGTCCCTGTCGCGATCTCTGTCGCGCTCCCGGTCCCTGTCCCTATCACGATCTCTGTCTCGGTCTCGGTCGCGGTCGCGGTCGCGGGAGTCATCCCTCACTCGGTGGCGAGGTCGACTCCTGCTGCGCGGGGACCGACTGCGTCGCCTGTCCTTTGCTCGGTCTCTTGAGCGCTCACGCTCTCGACTGCGGCGACGAGTAGTTGAAGCGCTGCGATCGCGGCGGATAATGGAGTCCCGACGAATAACAGAATCACGGCGGCTATCTCGCCTATCATCCTTTGCCCGATCCCGATCCCGGTCCTTGTCCCGGTCCCTGTCGCGATCTGGCCTGTGCGAATCAACCCGCGCTGGCGGCACATAGCGATCGATGTCATCCGGAGCACGTCGTCTCACATCCGGAGACCGTTCGGAACGCTCGCCACGTTCGTCATCGACCTCGAAGTCGATGCCAGGCACAGGCTTACCCTTCTCGCGTGCTTCCTTCTGGGCCGCTAGGTATGCCTTCGCCTCACGCTCTCGCTTCTTGACCTCATCTTGCTTCCAGGCTTCTTTTTCCTCCTTGTCAAGATACGCTGGGGGGCGGTCTAGGCGGCTCTCTTTGGATCTGGATCGCTTTCTCGCCTTGTCTGCACTCTTGGACCTCCTTCGGACAGATCGCGAGCGTTCTCCCCTCTTGGATCTGGAACGAGACTTCGCTCGAATCCTCGACCTTGAACGATGTCTTACACGGGAGTCAGATCGCGACCGCCTCCGTCTAACAGGTCTTGACGTGTCACGTCGATCTGCTCGATAAGGACTCCGCCTGCGCGGTGATCTCGATCTCCTGTAAGATGTGTAGTGATCACCGCGAGGACGCGACGGGCTTCGAGTTCGCCTCCTGTCATCTCTCCTGATAGATCGACTCCTTGATCGGCGTCTGCGGACTGATCGAACTGACCGGCTCCGCGATCTCCGAGGATGGCGATCACGGCTGCGACTACGGTCACGCCTGGAGTCCCTCCCTTCTCTTGGTGCCTTGGTCTCCTCAGCATTTCGTCTATCGCGTGAGGTAGATCTGTCGCGACGCCTGTGAGAGCCTGAGACACGGTCCCTGTCATCCCTCGGCTTCGTTTGAGAAGAGTTACGGTGAGAGTCCTTTCGCGGGTTTTCTTTGAGAGACGGTTCTCTCGCTTTGGGACTTGGTGTCCGATGACGGCTCCTGCCACGAGTGTCCCGAGACGCCGCAGTTGGGGCTGGGGAGCGCGATTTGCGGCGAGGCGGTGAATGTTTTCTCGGAGGCGTGGGTGCTCTCTTCTTCTCTTCCTTAGGCTTGGCGTCCTTTGGCTCCTTGTCGCCGTCTGCCAATTTGCTTTCCTTGACAGGTTTCGCATCTTTCGCCACCTCGAGTTTTTCGGACTTCAACTTGGCCGGCAACATGTCAGGGACCTTTTTCGTCTCCGCCACCTTCTGTGTCGTCTTTCGTATTGGGTTGATCGCGGACGCCGGCTTAGTTTTGCGAGGTGGTGGTTTCAATTCCTCGTCGATCTCCAGCTCAGGCTGCTTAGACGAGACTCGCTTGCTGTCTCGGAGCAGGTCAGCCAAAGCCTCTTCTTCGAGGCGAGACAGCTCTTCCTTCGATAATTCCTTCTTGGCTCCTTCTTGGCGGCCACGGCTTTCCTCTCTTGGGCTTCGGCGACGTCGATGTCGGTCCCTTGAGCGGTTGCGCGAATGATCTCGTGAGCGGGCTCTTGACCGAGCTCTGTCACGGCGATCTCGATCTCGACTTCTGTCTCTGTCTCTATCGCGGTGGTCCCGAAGCCTCTCCCGGCTTCTATCGCGGTCTCTCTCTCTGTCGCGATCCCTGTCTCGGTCTCGGTCCCTTCCTCGTTCACGCTCGCGCTCGCGCTCTCGTTCGCGCTCCTTCTCCCTTTCTCGTTCTTTTTCCCGCTCTTCTTTTCGCTTCGCCTCTCGCGCAGCTCTCTCGGCTTCCCTCTTCTTCTGCTCGGCGCGCTCTTCCCTCTCGGCGATTTCTCTGCGCTGACGGGCGATTTCTTCTTCCATGGCCTTCAGGTCGGCATACTTCTTGTCACGCTCGGCCCGTCTCGCACCAATCTCGGCGGCGTACTCCTCGTCTGTCTTTGCGCCATGGACGCGTTCTTCTTCCGCCGCATCTTCGCCAATCTCAGCCTTCCGAAGTTCGCGGATTTGTTGCTCGATTGCGCCGACGTCGATGAGGCTTTCGAGGAGTGCTTCAGCCTTTCTGTACACGCCCGTCCTATCCAGCGCTCCGTCTATCAGGGCGACAGCTTTGCCGCGGTCGAGTGTCAGCAGTTGGGTTGGGTTTCGTTCGATTTCCTCCTCGGCGACTTCAAGCATTGCTTTTGTTATTTGCTCCCGCTGATCCTGCGGCGCGCATCTGCATCAGCAACTGCGACATCATGAAAAATGGATTGAGCATTGTTAAATGCGTACACTAGCCTCAAATGTATCCCAGACCTGTTTGCGCGTTGCATCGTAGCCTCCCTTCTTCTTAAAGGCGTGGGCAAGTCCATCGATGGCTGTCCGGGTCGCCGACGTGAGGGGCAGCTCGGACGCCTTGAACCTTGGGGGATGGGTGACGGTCGGGGCATCGGCCATCTGCACATCGCCTTCTGCACGCTGGTCGCCAGCTGTAGGTGTGAGGTTGGCGACTGCTGCCATCGTGGAGGATGCCAGCTTGGCAGCTTAACAAGTGGCACCAGACATGGGTGTGGCCGCCACGCCTTAGCCTTTCTAAGAATGCGGATCTGAGGGCCCGTCCAAAGGCGACAATAAAAAAAGGTAGTTGGACTTTGACTGTGTTTAAGGAGTGAGCTGGCGCGATTGCTCCCAAAAGAATCAATCGCGGTTTGATGGATGGCACGCAGGGATGGGAGAAGTTGTGTGGGGGTACCGCCCATGCAGTGTGCTTTAGCCGCATGTGGGGCCCTGTGCCAGGGGTCCCACACACTGCTTACTCCACAGGCTAACTGGCTCGCGCCTGGGGACTGCAAAAAGACCTCAGGCCGCCGACGTCGACCGAGCGCCCGCAAAGCTCCAACCAAGCTTGAGCCATAAGTCATCAACCCACCCACCCTCCAACCGACGACCGCCTCCCCTCTACGAGTACAACCGACGAACCACTGCTCAGTAGAGCTTCGCTGCTCGAATTGTGACACCTTTCCACTCACGAACACCGCTGGTTCATTCCCAATTGCGACGCCAACATGGTCTCCCGCATCCTCTTCTGGACAGGCTTCGGTATGCACCGCTCTCCATGCCAACTACCAACGCCCGACGACTACAAATTGTGTGGGAAGATATAGGTCTAACATGTTTCTGATGTGCAGGTGTCGCCACCCGACTGTGGCAGCTGGGCCTTGAGATGCGACCGTGGTTCAACAGGGGATCTCTGTGGGCGTACCCCGTCTTCGCGGGCTGCGGAGCAAGCTTCGGATACTGGCTCCAGACTGTCGACGAGAAGCAGACAGCACTCCTTACCGAACGCAAAGAGTCGATCCTGGCGAAGCGAGCGAGGAGGGCAGCACGGGAGGCTGGCACTGCTGAGACGGCATAGTGGACGCACGAGGGATGCATGGGGCCTGGTCACATGGGGCAGCTTCAGATACGATGAAAGAGACAATGCATTAGAGTCGACGTCAAATGGGCTTGCACCGACAATTGTTCTCCCATCTAGTTGGCTGCGGCGACATCCGACGTGCCCATTCCGCAATCGGGGCTGAGCTATGCATTATATGGGTGCTTGACTGCTCGCCCAGAAGCACATTGCATTGGATGCTCCCATCAGATGCCTGCCCTGGCAATTTCCTGATTACCTCCCCTCTGGATTGCCACTGATATTCATGATACCGATGACTCCTCTGACGCGCCTTCTAAGCTTTCTCGCTGAGTTGACTGGACAACCTAACACACCGGAGCCCGCATGATCTCTAGCAAGGCGGCCTCTGCAGGACTCGCCAACGAGTCTCTGCGGGCCGGACGTTGCTGATACCACTTTTCATAATGCTGTGACTGATCATGATATCAGAAGCCAGCCCCTATACCATCTTCTCTTGCCGACCTCAACTGTTATGGTGCAGCGATAGGATGGGCGGACGGCGGAACGCCGCATTCTGTACTGGTCTGGGTAAACCCCTATGCCTCATAACGTGCGCTCATCCATTCTCCTCAACACCGGTAGCATCGCGGATGTAGAGGCAGTCGCGTTTCCTTCCTCGCTCTCGGTCACCACTGCTGTGATGTACTTGTCTTTTGTTGCGTCGAACAGAAGCCGCAAAGATTCAGCACTGTATCGCTCGGGGTCGATCTCGTTGTAGGTCAGGGAATCTGCCGAAACACGATCCCTGTCAAAATTGACCGTCTCGAGCAGGGCGATGACGGCGACATCAGCGTCGTTGGCCGAGATCGCAATGTCGCAAGTACCAGCCTGGCCGTAGAGTGACCCATTGGCAAACATGGCCTCGGCCCCTAGCAGAACCTTCGACGCGCGCCTGAGATTGATGCTCAGCCCGGCGAGGCTAGGATAGTAGTAGACCCGTATTCCATCGTTCCTGAGAATCTTGGCTAAATCCTGGCCGGATCGCTCAAATGGGTCGTCGAGGACGGCGACCTCGAAAGTCCGTCCCTGAGCGCGTGCTGCCTTGAGAGCTTTCCGAACGAGTTTGTGGTGGCCGTAGGTGAAAATGGTCTCGCCATCGGCGATCATCGATGCAGCCTTAGAGACGATGGAGTCCTCTGCGTAGAGTATTCTCTCCTGGATGAATAAATCTATAGCATCACAGAGCTGCTCCTTGGAGGCCTCGTCGGACTGATCGAGCTCAAGCTTCGCAATCTTGGACTTCAGCATGCGAATGGCGTTGCCCATGGCAAAGCACATGGGCCGACACTCGGCAAGGTAGTCAATCTGCGGGTTGAGAACGTGTGGGAGGAAGTGACGAGAAAAGACATGCCCTGGTGGACTCTCGTACTCCTCGATGACCTGAATGAGCTGTCAGCCTCAAGTTGTAGGCGCAGGACTTGTCAGCAGACGCCCACCTTTTTGAATGCTACGAGGGTGGCCTCGAGTCTGGTGACATTGTCTTTCAATGTGAAGGTTGCCATCTGCTGGCCGAGAGCCAGGACGGCCGGGTGGACATCTTTGTCGGTCTTTGACAGCGTGAGCTTCTTCGCCATAGGTAGGTGGCTGAAGCACTCGGGCACGACTGGCCCAGTAGGCTGCTTGGGTGCTGGCGCAGGAGTTGCGGCTGGCTTCTTAGGCCGGCTCGCAAGTGATGTCGCCGGCGCATCTTGCTTCGACTTATTTTGCTTTGCGCCGCTCTGCTTCTCGTTTGTCACTGGGGCGGCAGGACTTGGTTCTGCAGCCTTGGACTGTTCTCTGCGTGCAGCCTTCTCGGCCTTCTTCTGCGCTTTCAACTGGGCGCCCGACAGTTTCGGTGCAGCAGGTGCAGCCTCGGAGGCCGGGGCTGCAGCAGCGGACGGGGCTGGAGCTGCCGCCGCCGCCGGAACAGCTGGAGGTGCTGTTTCTGACATGTTGAACTGAGATTGTCAAGTTCGTGTGTTTGGGTTGAGAGGAGGACGAAAGAAACGGATGCGAGTGAGAAAGTGAAGGTGCGGTATTGAGGCGAGTGAGTCAAAATCCAACTGAGCTTGTACCTGGATGATGTACCTTTTTTGAGAATGCTGCCCCGCGCCTACCCAAGCTGGGGTCTGCCCTGTGCCACTTCCTCGAAGTGGCACTAAATTCGGCTGGATCCGAAGTCTCGCGGGACTCAGATGTTATTACCCTCAAATTTGCTAGGCGCAGTAGGTACTTGACATACCTGTGGGACTGCTTTCAGGGCCCCATATCGAGCAGCTGTAGGTATGAATCAGGTATGAATAATGTGATTCCCAGAAGTGATTCATAGAATTTGGCAGTCTACCTTTTCCTGCCCGCCCAACTAACTGCTATACAAAGGTACCTAGGTAGGTACATTAGCTACCTCCCCAGTATGCTCTGTGCCTTGTGCCTTGAATACTGCCACCCAACCAGTGTTGTGCACCTTGAGTTGATACCTACCAGATGGCCGTACAACACTTGCTTTCAAGCCAGCGCCAAGCCAACGTCTAGATTTCCCAATTGCTCGCGAGGAGGACTTGGCAAATGAGGTTACAATTGATTGACTTTGCTTTCCGCGGGATTCAACGTAATGTGAGTGGTCCTCGAACTTAAGTTCGGTTTGCCGTGCAATGCTCTACTACATTAATATTACACCGGTCCAAATTATCATGCTTGGGCCCCCCTACTGGGTTCCTCACTCTCCCCTATCGCGTCACTGCTCGCAACTGGGCTCTCTTCTGCCGCATCACTGCCTGCGGGTGGAGTAACCTCTACTCCATCACCGCCTGCAGTTGAAGTCTCCTTTGCCACAGTAGCGGATGCGGGTGCGGCTTCGTCCTGAACCTTGCCTTTCAAGAAGATCATGTATCTTCCTAGCACCTGGCCTTCTCTTCCCTTCCACTCCTTCGCGCCCTTCACCTCTCCGATGGCATTCATGACTTTCTCAATAAGCGCTTTGGCGTCCTCTTCAGTTGCTGTCACCTTGGCGCGGGCCTTTTTCTGCAGGAGAACCTGCACCTTGTACCCTTTGCTCAAAAACTTCTGCAACGTCTTCAGCTTGTGGTCCAGGTCGTGTGGCGCCAGCGTCCAGTTCAGCTCCAGCTCCTTCTCCTTGATGGCCCCCTTCTTCTTGCGCTCCTTCAGGTCCTTCAGCTTGGCCAGCTCCTCCTTCTTGTTGACAATCTTGCAGATAGGCCACCGCGGCGAGCCCCTGTCGTCCGCCTTGGGCACGACAACCGCCTCCAGGTAGGTCGTCTTGGTGTCCAGCTCCGCCAGGACCTCCTTGATGGGCCGGGGGCTGCCGAGGGCCTCCGAGCCGTCCACCCCGGGCGTCTTGACGTACACGTAGGGCCAGTCTATCTCGTTGTCGCGCGGCATGCGGCCGAGCTTGACCCCCACTCGCGGGCCTGGCGTGTCTGGGTCTATCGGTTTCTTCTGCTGAGGGCGCGCTGCGCGGCGGGCGTTGAAGCTGCTGGGGGCCGCGGGCCTCGGTGGTCTCGCATAGCTGTCGCGGTCGAAAATAGCGGAGCTGGGCCTTGGTGGTGCCTTGCTTGAGCCATTGTCTCGGCCTGCCCAGTACGCGCGAGTTTGTGGCGGCAGGGCGAGGAGCGCCGGGACGAATATCCTTGTGAGGTGTAGGGAGTGTGAACTTCCGTAGTTGGACGGCATGAAGACGCGACGCAGCGCCGTCGCCGGGTTGAAAACGCAGTGGGAGCTCGGCATGGTGAAGGGAGGCGAGGAAGTAGGAGAGAAGCAGTTCTGCTCGTATTTTGGTTCCGCAAGGAAATTCGAAGGCTGAGCAAGGAGAGACTTGGTATCTCTAATTGACTGGCTTGGTGAAATTTTCGAAGTCCTAGATTGTAAGACAGCTCGGAGCTTCAAATTCGTCCTCACAGGAGGAAATGTAGCTTCCACGGCCAATCAAAACGCACCAAGAGGGTTACGTAAGCGTTCTTGTGCTTCACAAGGCCAGGGTCCATTCCCAGCAAGCCCCATGAGTCTCGTTGATTACGACCTTAGGTTTTGAGAACTCCTCTTCGTCAGAGCTATCATTCATCCCAAGTCAAAGATGGACGACCCAGCCCAGTAAAAGAAAGCGTCTACCGACATGTCGCTCTCATAACATCGCCCCAACATGTCGTCCTTCCTCCGCTTCTTCCGCCAGGGCAAGGGCCGTCTCATAGCCCGCTTCACAACCCCCACGGTGCGCTTCTTCCTCGGCCGGTACTACGGCCGCCCCGTGGCCCTCTTCGCCGACGCCGGCAAGGTCCTAGCCGCCGCGCACCTCTTCTGGGCCTACGGCTATGACTGGGGCACTGTTTCCGGCCCCTCCATGCTGCCGGGCTGGTCCGTCTGGGGCGAGGGCGCCATCATCTCACACCGGCACCGCCGCGGCAGGGACATCAAGGTCGGCGACCTGGTCCGCTTCAAGATCCCCGTCGATGACGGCCTGGCCATCAAGAGGGTCCTCGGGCTCGCGGGCGACTACGTCATGATGGGGACCCCTGAGACTGGGCAGGACACTATGATACAGGTGAGGCGAGGAGTGTGAAAGTCATATTGCGTTGTGGAGAGACTGACGTGTGGCTCAGGTTCCACCTGGGCACGTCTGGCTGATTGGTGACAACCTGCCCGCATCGCGCGATTCTAGATTATATGGGCCGGTGCCCATGGCTTTGATCGATGGGAAGGTGATTGCGCGGACTGGCGCATGGCCATGGCAGATGCATGCCATTGAAAATCCATTCGATACTGGACATAACCCGTGACTCGCCTAAGACTGCGATCATCTTGCAAGCAGACCAGACCAGCACGGTTCCAGGCATCAGCTACCGTCCGGGCGGAGATGTTCATTTGGAACAACAGAACAAAGATTATACTCTCAAGAAGGTATGAGCTATCCCTCAGACTGGCCTAGTAGTGGCTAACGAAACCCATATTGAAGTGGGTAAAGCATCAAGTCGTCAGGATCACATCCAGGAAGTAAAAGGATTATCTTGTCAAGCTATGGGCCCGTGCATAGTAATTACAAAAGAGACGCACAGTCGAGTGGGATCAGCTCTTTGCAGTAAAGTTGTGCGGTTTCGAATTCCCGACACAGAACAGATAGAAGAAACCATATATGCAGAACGAAGACAAACAAGAAGCGCTCTCCCCTGCCCTAATGTTGTATATAGTCATGCGCCGGGGAACACCGTGCCGGTTTGCCGAGTCCAAAGTAAATGCAGGTATAGGAGACGTAGAGAAGAGACGCCGCAGACCCCAACCGGAAAAAAGTAACAAATGCCATAAGCCTCCATACAGTCTTTGTATCGTCAACCCTCGGTGTTGAACAAGGCCTTAGCCCTCAATATGGGCTTTGGAACCGCTCTGTCCCAGAAGCTCCAGGCACCGTTGGGCAAGGTTGACCACCTCGCCCTCATCATCCTCCTCAGGCTCGTTCTCCTCGGCCTCGATTTGCTTGTTTGCGATTTGCTTGATCATGTCGACAACGTCGTCTGACTTGCCAATTAATCCAATCAACTTCTTGTCCTCAGACTCAAGTAGTTGCAGCAATGTCCAGATCGCAATGTGTTGGAAAGTTGCGTCGCCGCTCGCGAGAAACCGGCTCAAATATCCGTGGATGCCGCCGTGCGGTTCAGTCCAGGCCTGTATGAAGATGGCATATTCTCCCACTGTGTACTTGTTAGCATTCTAGACCAGCACAATTTGGCGTAAACAAGACACGCACCTTTGGATGAGAGATTGCCCAGAGCTGCAGCACTATTGCCTTGGACCTCAATGCTCGACGACTGCGTCAGTGGTATCAACACATCGAAAACCCCGAGATCCAAGAGGTGTGTCTTCAGCTCGTCACTCAACGCCAGAACTGCTATGGCGGCAGTCATTTCTGACTGCACAGTGACTGGGACGTCGAGTACCAGCTGCTTGCACTTCTGAACGGCCCCAGCCTCCAAGACAAGCGCCTTGTTTCGGTCTGAGCTGGCAGCTAGATTTCTCAGGGTCGAAATGGCATGGCACTGGATCTCTTCATTGTCGGTAGAGCCGAGGAGGTCCACGAGCGGTTTCAGGAAGCCAGCTTCGATGATTGGTGACTCGTTCATGGGATGTATCGAGATGTTTCTTATACAAGCGACCGCAGACAGTATAAGGGGAAGGTATGATGACTGGAGAAGTCGAAGAAGAGGGTGCAGGCCATGAGACCTCACAATATCGAGCTGATACTTTTCATCTGAAGCCAGGTTCCGAAGGGCAAGAGCAGCTTGGCACTGAACTTTGGGAGACGAAGAATCCATCAAGTTGACAAGAGACTGAACCAATTTTGGTTCGGACTGTGCCAGCTTCTTCCGGTTGGTCGCGTCGACTGCTATGTTGCTTAGAGCTGTCGTGCAGTAGTACTGGACATCGACGTCGGACGAGGAAAGAAGTTGCACAAGAACTGGTATGGCGCCAGCGTTGACAAGTTGTTGGCGGTTTTCATCTGAAAAACAAGGTCAGGGGTGTTTCTCTGAGCTGAGGGCTCCTCAGCAACATACCGGAATGTGTCATATTCAAGAGAGCTCCTGTGGCATTTCTCTGCACGCGCATGTCCCTGGACTTTGCTAAACGCGTGAGCGGGCCAAGAGCGCCAGATTTGGCAATTTTCGCCTTGTTTTCCTCATGCGTGGCGAGGTTTGTGATGCACCCGACAGCATTACATTGGACCTCAACGTTGGGCGACAGCATCTGACGGATGAGAGGTGGGAGACCTCCCAGTTGAACGATGAGGACCTTGTTCTCCGCTGCGAGGTGTGTCAGTCATTATGTTTGCATGTCTCCAACGGATCAAACTTACTGTTGACCGCGAGATTTCCAAGAGCTGCGCTGGCTGCCCGTTGCACCTCAATATCGGAGCTTTGGAGAAGGAACAATATTGGTTCAAGGGTGTCGCGGTCGACCTCCCTGACGTCTGCTCGGCTTCAGGTTAGCGAAGACTGCTGCAACCGACCATATCGCAGCATGCATAGTGCTGGTGCGAGTGAATTTCTCTTCCCGTCTCCTCTTCCTGCCTACCGCCTACCGCCTGCACAGTATACGCACCTCTTTCGGTTATCTCTGCGAATGTCAGACTTGCGCTTCGTTGTAAATCGATGTTGTCGGAGAAGACGAGGGTGCTCAGGGCTCGAAGAGGCTCGCCTGAGAAGAAATCGGTTTCGCCGCGCTAGAATTTGTCAATATTCGGCGCGATGAGCAAGGGGTCAGAGAGGAACGGACATTTTCGAGGTACTGCAGGAGGTCGGCGACTGCCTCCCGCTCGCTGTCAGCGAGGACGGGCTCGTACAGGCCATCGCGGGATTTGGCTGCGTGGAGATTAGACAAGGCAAGACGGGCGTGTCTGGATGATGAAGGGACATACCTCCACAGCAGGAGGAGCTGCAGACGCCCATCTCGAAGGCGGGCGGCGGGCAGTTTGGACCGGCTTCAGCGCGCTGGGGTGGGCCGTGTCAACAGTTTTGAGACGCCGGAGGAGCGGCAGCTGCGTGCCTCGAAGGCGGGATCGCTGGCTGCACCAAGGCTGGTCGAAATGTCTGTGCAGTGATTGCTCGAGTAAGGGTTCAAGTCAGAGATGGTAATGTAGGAGCTCGAGGCGTTGGAGCCGGGCGTTGAGCGCTGCGCCAGAGCGTACGTAATTGTATGGGGATGGTGTTTTGATGAGCAAAGCAGAGCAAAGCCAAAGCAAAGCTTCCCTCCCCGTCCGCGAGTTGCTCTGTGCTCCAAAGGTCCTGGCTGGGCCTAGGGTGGCGCCGTGGGCTGCGGGCGGGTCCCATACCTAGGTACACGGACCCAGTGGAAAAGCTCCCGGTTCCCCCAGCATCTGGCTCGCCATGCCTACCCGGTAGGTACTTCCACGGGCAGACCGCTAGCGGACAATCTCGGCGGGGGCAAATAGGTGCTAGCAGTAGACGTCGAGTACCTGCTACCCGTGCCTAGCTGGCTCGGCTGGATATGACTGGGGTTTATTGGCTTTTGCACACTGATCCATTTATTAACCTGGTTTGGATCCGTGCTATCTTTTGATCTGACCCTCTTCAGCAGAATCCTACCCAGATGTGCCTGTCATCGGCCTTGCTGTTCGCATTAGACAGTGCAGCAATGGCTTTATGATTAATTGGCTTTACCCGTATGTACAAACTGTAAAACTACCTAGTATCCTAGGTATGCACATACCTAGATAGGTAGATAGTTTGTGACAGAACGTACCACTGCCCCTAGGTAATCTCGACGTCCACAGAGAATATGAAACGGAGATACCTGGACCGAAGCAAACCCACTCAACCAGCGTTGACCTGCCTGAGGGTTACCTAACCCAGGCTGTACTCATGCACTCTCTCTTGAAGCCCGCCAGTCACAGCGGGAGAGTATTCTATGGGAGGTTATCCCAGAGGAGGTGTTCCCAAAGGAGGTTACCCCAAAGAAGGCTACCCTAGAAGAAAGGGGAGGTTATTCCAGGGGAGGTTATAACGAGGAATTAGGGAGACAGGAGACTGCAGGCAAGTGGGGAATATACTTACCATAGGGACGTAGAATAGGTACCTTGATAGACTGGCTGGCTGAATGGTTGTTCTTACTACCGAAGGAAAAATATCACGAAAGGGCGACGAGAGTCTGCCTTGCTCCTTCATGGGGAGCTGGCCGACCGACTTCCAAAGGCACCTACCTAGATAGGTAGTTCCTTCCCGCTTGTCAGGCAAGCGCAAGAGTCTTGTGAGAACAGGGTGGTGATCCTTGGAAGGAGGCGAAACTTGACGCAGCTTGAGTTCAATCTCCTGCCGCCATATATTAAGTCTAATTCTCACGCCGGGGCACAGCAAACATCTGCTTGCAATTCAACCAGGTATACCAAGACTACTGTGTGGATATGGTGGCTGCACCTTTACTGTGCTGCAACTCAATTACCTTTTTAGGCATCCTGCGTTAGTCCCAACATCAGATGCTTAGGTTAGGCATGGGAGGATCTGCCTGGTTACCATCAGAGGAGCAGGCATAGAGACGAGATGTCAGTTTTTCTTGTGTCGATCCAGGATGAAACCGGAAAGCACTGCAGGACAAGGCGGAGGAAGACGTCCAACGTTGCCCTCATCCGCTGTAGTCTGCACATGTGAAGGCAGCCGCTTCCAAACATCGGGCGTCGGGGTTGCTTATCTATCTGATAAACCGCTCTCCAGTCAAGTCCAGCTCGGTCCAGTCCCCTTCGTCCACGGCCAATGCTCGGGCGAACTGCAGCATCTGGGCAGGAACACGGAGCACGACCTGCGAAGAAGCATCATCAATCATCCGTTGGTGGGTTGGACACTGCTGCAGCAGTCAGTCGGTGCCTGAGAGAGAGAGAGAGAGAGAGGGAGAGACAGATATTGCCCGCAGCTATCCAGACCGAGAGCCTTACTTGTCCTCTGTCATTTCTGTTCTGTTCCTCTCCCTGCTACTTACTCACTGCTTGCTGCCCACCGTCGCCTCGCACCTCTGACCTCACCACCACCACCACCACACCACTGTCACCAGCAGTATCTGCATCAGCAAGCAACTGTCGCACCTGGCACTGGACCTGATAGACCAAATCTGCAGGTGCTGCCGGGAGGCGCGAGGCTGAAGCCAAACCTTCTCCAATTCCCTGGCGCGGCACACATGTTTCTGAGCACCGAAACCAAACCAAAGCGGCCCTGAATCGGGAAACACTAGGAGAACCGGCATCCCCCCTTCATGTGCAACCGCAGGGCACAGTTAACTTAACGATGACGGACCCCGCGAATCCCAGCGAGGGTGGCCCAAAACAGCCTGCCGCCTTCGCAAGCGCAAGACACCCGGGTCACGAGCAGCTGCCTTTCGTCACGCCCTCCACATACCTGCACCTGCGCGCTCCAGTCGCTCAAAGGCCCACGGCCAGCAGTCACAGTCGCACAGATTTCTCCTTGGCAGCCGAGATGACGAGCGCCGACAGAGAGCAGATGCAGGGACTGGTCAGTCTTCCTACCCTTCGGGCTGAGGCACTTGTCCCGCGCGCGCTTCTTTTCCCTTTCGCCGTCTCCTGCGCCGCTTAAGATGCGCCGACGTCCTGATTCCCCATCGGCCGCTGGTGCCACGTCTGCGAGGTCACTGCCGGCTGCACTCGCTGCCGGGTCCATCCAACGTGGCTCAACGTCGTCGCGCAGCCTGCATGATGGTGCGGGGTACTGCCGGCGAGCATGGCGAGCTCGGTGAACGGAAGCAAGATGCGCGCATCTGGCCTGAGCACCACGGCTGGCGAATACAAGAAACACGCATGATGGCCGGTTCGGGAGTGCTGACTTGGTTGACAGAGGGCTATACGCGAATTCCTCAAGGTCCGAACCAGTTACGACGTCCTGCCCCTATCCTTTCGACTCATCGTTCTCGACAATGACCTCCTTATTCGTACGAGTGTGAACATCCTCATGCAAAACAGTACGCGAGACCCAGATGCCGCAATCTCGTCTACACCGCACTGACGCATCTGGTCCAGACATTGTGTCCGCTCCGCTATGGGACTCGAAGACGTCGACCTTTGCGGGCCTGCTTACGAGCACAGACTACATCAACGTCATCCAATACTATCTCCAAAATCCCGAGAGGTTCGAGGATGTGGATCGACTCCGTCTAAGTAGCTTGCGAGGTACGTGGACAGCATCAGACAGTGTGCGTGACACTAGCAGGCAAGCTGATCTAGTTATGTTGTGTCATCAGAGGTTGAGAAGGCCATTGGTGTCACGCCCCTCGAGACCGTGTCATTCCACCCAGGCCGGCCCCTCTATGAAGCCTGTCGGAAAATGCTGCAAACCCGAGCGCGCAGAATACCCCTTGTCGACATCGACGACGAGACAGGCAGGGAGAGTGTGGTCAGCGTCATCACGCAATACCGAATACTGAAGTTCATCGCCGTGAACAACGAGAAGAACACGATGCTCCTGAAGAAGACCGTGCGGGAGCTCAATCTCGGATCGTATGATGATTTAGCGACGGCAAGCATGACCAGCTCAGTCCTCGACGTGATCTCGCTCATGGTCAAATACAACATCTCGGCGGTTCCGATAGTGGATACCGAGAACACCGTTATCAATGTGTTCGAAGCCATCGACGTCATCCCCTGCATCAGAGGCGGCGCCTATGATGAGTTGTCGGGCACAGTTGGGGACGCGTTGTGCAAGCGGTCGGATGACTTCCAGGGCATTTACACTTGCACGGAAGAGGATCGTCTTGATTCGATATTTGACACGGTTCGGAAATCCAGAGTGCATCGATTAATCGTGGTGGACGACGAAAGCAAGCTCAGGGGCATCATTTCCCTCTCCGACATCCTGAAGTATGTCCTGATCCACGGGGAAGAAGAACACATGCAACAAGCATGACCAGGCAGGAAACAGTCCTCAGCCTCTGGTCCACATTCCCATCATCCCAGGCGTATGGGACTTTTCTGCGTTTCGAGGCATTTGCAGGGCGTTTGGGGAGGATCATGGACGGAAGAAGGGGTTCTAGGAGGCTGGTTGCATCGGTACAATGTTGTTGCTGTCTCCGGCTATTATAGACCTTTGGGCGACGTACCCGGAACGCGGTCTCGGGAGGCCGGCCACCCCTAATCTTGGGATATCGGAAGGAAGACCGTCAACAAAAGAAATTGAATGTGCGCTTTAGATATACTCAGAAGGGCAGAGGGTTCGGCGGTCGACAGCCGAGGACGACGTCAGCGCCTCTTCGCAACCTAATTCACTTGACTTTTTATCTTCCATCGCACGTGCCAACGGTCAGGTTTCACAGCATTCAGGGAGGCCGCTGAATGGCTCAAAGTCAGTTTGACAGAGATACGACAAGGCCTTGGTGCGGACTGTCAGCAGTGTGTGCGTCCAGGTATCACCCTTATCGCCCGTGGTGAAGTTGTACGGACGGGAGCGAATTGACTTGCTGTGCGATCCACTCACTCTGATTCACTGACGGAAGTTTGAGGCCAGCTGCAGCTGAGGCAGGTGCAATGCCGGGAAAGGGCAGGCCCCCATCTAGGCTGATCTGGGCTGAAGGAGTACATGGAAAGGACGAACGGTGCTTCGGTTTCCCCCTCGCTCACCTGCAGCGCGAGCCAGAGCAAGCAAGTCAACATGCCGACCAGATCCCAGCTCTCAACGAACACCTCCTGATCCCTTTTCGTCTTCTCTATCATCCGCAGTGGCATATTTCAGCTCTTCTTGGATTGCACCAACTGCAGTATCTCGCTATCGCCCTCCTGTACTTACCCGTGGCTATTCACTGCACTGCAGCTTCGTTATTGGACATTCTTGAATCCTCGATACCAATCCCCGATGCTGGCAACGGATGGCGACTGGGCGTATCTCAACTAGCATCTGCTGCGTTTCCCATACCTTGTTTCATGCGCAGTGCTGCTTTTCATGATTGTTGTCAATGTGGTCATCCCCTATCTCTTGCGAGTATGAGGGCGTCCCGAGAACTTTCCACGCCGGATCTGCAGCCCAGGCCGTCGGTCACGGGGTATCATGGCAGATTGTCGGTTCCAGTCAAAAAGACATCCAGTGGCCTCCAGAGCAGCGCAACCTGGACATCAAACAGCGGTGATTTGATGTCCGACACTGACGAGATTGCGAACCGAGATAATTTTGTTGAAGAATACAACAGACTAGCCAAGAAGGTGTGTACACTCGTGTCGACCCATTGATTCCGTTTGACTGACCGTAAAACAGCATGGCGTGCGTCACCTGGTCCCCGACCCCCCCGAGAACGCTGAGGTATGTCTTATACCACCCAAGCTGGCTGTGCATACGTCTGCTTGAAGAGCGTTCCTGACGTGGATACCAGTCCGAAGGGATCGCTCCGAGACGGAATTGGTGGTCACGCACCTTCAGAAGAACTTCCAGCCAGTCCACGGAGCATAGTGTGAAGCGCAAACGCAGTGTTGGCCATGTGACGGTACATATGATGCATCCTAAAAGGGACAGTCTCAAGGATCAAGACCTCCAGGGGCTCGTCCGCCTGTGTGGCAAGAGCTTCTTGTATCTGCCGCCTGAGTATGCGCCTGGGTCCTTGATTCTTCCAACGTGCTTCCGCGCCACTGCGCAGCATCTGGTTCATTCCGGTTAGCAGCCTGCCCATCTCAACGCCAACTTTAAGTGACTAAGACTAAGCAGCACCAGAGACTCGTGGAGTTTTCAGAATCCCAGGTTCGGTGCGAGTCGTCAACGAGCTGTACGAGTTTTATTGCGCACACCAGGCAGGAGGCGATGTCGCCAACACAGTTCGAAGCCCAAATCTGCCCTCACACATCAACGCCGGTATCCATGACGTTGCTTCCCTATTCAAGAAATTCCTCGCAGGCCTACCAGGAGGAATCCTCGGGTCTCTTTCACTGTTCGACGCGCTGGTTGCGATCAACAGCCAATTGTACACTGACCCGGAGTTCAGCAGGACAAAACAAAGCAAGCTTCGGGCGCGGCTCATTGCCCTCGCCGTTGGAACTTTGAGGTCACAATACAGAAGGGAACTGATCTGTGCTGTTTTTGGTCTTCTGTGTCTGCTCGGGAGAGCTGCAGAGACAGCTCCAAGGGAAGATGAGTCGGGAAGGCCGTTGCCCACCTCAGACCTTATGGGCTACAGCGCTCTCGGGATCGTCTTTGGACCTCTGCTGATCGGCGATATGCTCGGCTCTCATTCTGTGAAGCTCGCAGATCCCAGTTCTGGGCTGTTTCTTGTGCCGATGTCACCTCAGCCGAAGTCAAAGAAGGAGAAGAAGAAAGCCAAGGAGTCGGCTGATGAACCCCCTCAAGCTTTCTGGGATGTTGACAAAATTCACGTTGCCAATGATATCACGGAAATGCTCATCACAAATTGGAGAGACGTTGTTAAGCAGATGAGGAATCTGGACGGAAGCTTGAGCATATTGCGACACCGCAGCCGTGCCTCAATTTCTGAGGACTCAAGACAGGCAAGGAGCTTCACGAGACCTTCGGAAGATGTTTTCACCCATCACAAATCTATCGAGGTACGAACGTCTGAGGATCGTCCGCCTAGCCCAACAGCTTCTTCCTCCAGTGAGTTTGAGTCGGAGTTCCTGATTTTTGGGAGGTGTAGCTGACCTTGGCCTAAGGGGCCGTGTCTTTCAAACAGACAGATAGAACCAGCGAAGCTCTTTCTGTGAAGAAGACGCGCCAAAACACTGCCCGCTCCGCCTCGAACCTTGCCCGGGGCTCGAACCTAGGAGTTCTCTCTCCTCCGAAGGAGGAGTCTGGTAGCGAGAATCAAGAAAATCTGACTTCCAGGCGGACGACACCTTTGAAGAGCTCTCTCAGGTCACCCGGCAAGAATGCAACAGACAGTCGAAAGGCAGGTGAACCAACGAATTACGAAAATGCTCCGCCTACAAGCAAAGGTGAAGACCCTACTGTGCAGTCGCTCTATATCTCCTCGGTGCCCACTGGACCACTAGAATCGACGATGCCAGACAATGGAGCCACGACGGCGAAACATGTGGCAACAAACACAACTGAAAAAGACATATCAACACATGAGGCAAAGGCTGATACCCCGCGACGTCGTGACCACCCTTGCAGGACTACATCGAGAATTCCGAAGCCCACAAACCAGGATGACTTGAGTGTGGCTCCTGGGAAGAATCTGAAACCCACGTTTTCGTGCGACCTGGACTCAATGACTGCATACGCGGTGGTTCCTGGTGCAAAAATACTGAGTGGAACTTCTACCATGCGGTACCAGCCCAGAGCATCTCACACAGACTCGACAGCTGAGTTGAAAAATGTGGGATCGTCGAGCCGGTCACTCAAGTCCACACATGAAAAAGAAGACAACCAGGCGGAGAGATTGGCTATCGTTCCAAAGCATATTGTCACCCCTGACCAGATGGACGGGGCGGCAGACACTGTATTGACTGGAAACTTGTGCCGTGGATCGTTCCTTGATCTCAAGGACCGCTTCGAGGGGCGGCAGATTGCTATTAATCGACCATCGTCCTATCCCATCTGGAAGAGCAGGTCTAAGGCCCACTTGCCACAGCACATTGATGTGCACAGTCAAGACCAGAAGCCGCCCTTGATCACTCCACGGAAAGCCTCGCCCATGTCAGCCATCAGCAGTCGTGGTAATCTCAAGCGAGGTGCTGGTAGGGTAATGGATTTGGCCGCAAAGTTCGACAGTGCCGCCAAAAATTCGCCCTGCATAACTCTCGTGGAAGGTTCTGAGTACAAGCATCGACGAGAGGTTGCTGGACTGGTCTCCCCATACACCAGCAACCCGTCTCCGCTTCAGTCTGCTACCTCGGCGTCGACTCCAGCTTCACTGATGTGTCAGTCGCGAGACAAAATGATGCTGCCCTCCGCAACAGTCGACAGTGCTAAGAAGTCTAGAATTCCAAGACCGCAGCATTTGAACAGCGGTGGCAGGACTGAATGTGAAGCTGGGCCTGCGACTGCTCAAACTCAATTATGTTCGCAGCTGGGGACGGTTCTGTCACATCCCGCAGAAACAAAATTGCTCACTCCCTCAAGCTCGCCCACCAAGAAGGAGATCTCTGACACAGGTTCAGCATCCTTGACACAGCTAGACGGTTCATCGAAGATGCCAAGACCTCCCCTCATGCTTTCATCTCGACACGAAATAAGACCCGCCACTTATTACTCCAGCCCCATAGTACCAACCACGACTTGTACTAGTAATAGTGGGTTACCTCACCTCTCACAGCACAGTATGGCATCGACCTACAGCGAGACTCCGAGCTACAGCCAAGACTTATGCTCGCCCAATCTCAGCTCCAGCCCCAGCAGAGGTTTAGGCCGAGGTCGCAATGCCTCCTCGCTCCTCGATCAGATCCGTAGCCTCAGACAAGAACTGTCGTCCAAGAAAGAAGAGTATGCCCAGCTCCGCCTGGAGTTCGAGGAGAATAGAAAGGCAAGCCAAGTGAGTGAGATCCTGCTGCGGGAAGACATTGATCGTGCCATGGCGGATTTGGCCAAGTGGAAGCGGAGGGCCGAGAGGGCCGAGAACAAAGTCGAGAGCTTTGAGAGAATGGCAACGCGAGCTCAAGGAATACGTGCGCTGAGTTCTGGACGCAGCCACGATTTCTCTTTCGTGAGCGGCCTGCCCGATGACATTGATATTGGTGAACGTTCTCCGCAACACCAGCCACTGTCTACAAGGATGAACCAGAGTGCAAGGAGAGCTCCTGAGAATATCCGACCTACGGGGACTTCCGTTTTGATGGGTAGTGACTCCATGTCAGATTGTTCAGGGAGTACGGTCGTGAGAAATACGGAGGGACACTGGGCTTCTGTCGATGAGATGGTCGATCCCGCACTTATGGATGATATACTGTAGACGAGGCTTGTGTCGTGCCGTCCTTCCTTTAGGTTGACTTTGAATGTCGATAGCCGGGTGGCTTCACAAATGGGACGAGTCACGAAGGAGGGCGAGTCCCAGCTTGTCAACAACTATTCTTACGTAGCCTAGAATTCGCTGCTTGTTAGCTGCCGGTGGGAGATGGGGTGGGGAATCGCACTGCCAACCTGGTCAAAGGGGCCAGAACCATGTCGAAAGCTGCTTGATGGACCAAACAACCACCTATTGAATCTGAAGATAAACACAGGTACCTTGGTCTTTGTGTATGAATGTGCCATGATTTTGCATGCGACCCCAACGCCGATCAAAAACTGGTCGGCATCCAGTATGAAAATGCCCCGAATAATCTTCCTCAACCAGCAAAATTTCCCGCGGTACACTGGCCTTGCCAAATGTCTAATGTATTCATGATGTTATGAGTCTAGCATGCACAAAAGCCTGTGGATAACTCCCGCCATAGAAACAGGTTCGAGCGTCATAGTCTATCGCGAGCCCGTGAATCGCTCCCAGAGATTACCGGCGCTGATCCTCTCAGGCGACAGGACCGTGGTGTTCCAGGCCTCGACGCCGTCCACGAAGAGGCGGTATGAGAGACTACTCCTGCCGCTCTCGGGTACCTTCTCGATAGTGATCGCGCCGAACTTCGAGTACCCGCTGTTGATGTACCTGAGGTGTTTGGTCAGTAAGTGATCGGTGCGAAGTCTGCAACCGACGAAAGGGGTAGAGGCGGGATGAAGGCGTACTTGATCTTGACGTCCTCATCGTCAACCTGTTTGTAGGTGCCGATGGGCGAATAGAACTGGCTCAGGGGGCTGGCCGAGAACTCGTACACGGTCGCCTCCTCGGTCCACTTAGAGCCCTGAGGCGGCGGGAACTTTGTGGCCGCGAACTCGTGCCTGTCTCCAGACAAGACGACGACGCCGATGCCGCGGGCGGCGGTTTCCCACATGGCCTCGAGTATCACCTGCCTCTCCGCCAGGAATCCGCCCCAGGTGTCCTGGACGTTGACGGGCCAGTTCTTGGTGAAGGGCACCGACGAGGCGACAACCTTCCAGTCGACGCCCCTGGGCTCAGGCCTGCGCAGAAACGCGAGCAGGTCTGACAACTGCGCCAAGCCGAGCATTGTCTTTTCCTTGTCCTCGTAGTCGATCTTGTTGGATGATCGGTAGGAGCGCGTGTCCGCCATGAAGAAATTCGCTGGGCCTTGCGCGAACTCGAACCACGTCGGCCCGGCCGTGGAAATCGTCCAGTTGGACTTCTTTGCGGCGGGCGGGTTCACTGCTGTGTGATAGTGGTGCCATGGATCCACGGCGGCAGCATACACACCGGTAGTATTGCTATATGCGTTGTTAGTAAGTTAAATCCTGACATTTTTCGCAATGCTTAAGAACACGACGAGTCTCTATATGGAACAGCAGCTTCCTTGTTCTCGAAACACCTGCAACACATTGCATGGCACAGGATGGGCAAAGAAAACACGTACCCATCCCAATCATTATGAATTTCATGGTCGTCCAAAACGTGAATCCAGCTCAGGTTCTGCCCAACGCTAGGCCACTCGGGTGAAGCATAAACTGCTCTATACTTCTGGCGGAACTGTAACAACACAAATAAGTCAGTTTCGTGGCCAATGAAAAGTGTAACATTGATTTGATATTGGCTGTAGGGCGCAAGACACCCTGTTGAGACTTCCTTGAGACAGTGTAGAAGGGGCGAATATTTGGACTTCAAGATGGGCGGTCACTTACGTCTGCGGCGCTTTCGCCCCATTCGCGAGGGACATCTGCGTAGATGAAATCGCCTAGGAACAGCATGAACTGGGCACTCAGGTTTGGTAGAACTTTGCTAAGCTGGCGCATTCCGGGGATCGAGAGAGGGTGGTCCAGTGGATTATAGGGAAGACGATTGACGATACAAGAAGTTGACAGGAAGGTAAATTTGCCGTCGAACTTGTCTGGGTATTTGCCGGCTTTAGGTGCTGATGTAAATTCACCGGAGTGGCCGTTCGAGGTCCTCCACTCATATGTGCGTTGCGAATGATGATTCAGAGCAAGATCAACCACAGCAGTGTAGTCTGTGTCATCAGACGTACTTTGGACCTTGCCGGCTACCAGGTACTCGTCTGTAGAGAAGGGAAGTTCACTTTCCTTGACACGGATCTCGAAAACGACGGGCATCTTTGTCTGATCGGGCTCTCGGACGAGGAATTTCACCTCTTTGTCAGAAACGAAGCCCGGTCTGACGAAGGACAGGTCCTCGGTGGGGAGCAAGTGTTCTGAGTAAAGGCGGTCTGCAACCATGGTCACGCAGGCTAGGTTGATCAGGAAGGTGAGCAGCGTGAGGACGAGGTTGCGTGGGTTCGGGACGCCTGCCAGAATCGTGCGCCACAGACCGACAGTCTGAGATCCATCTATGGTTAGCTGTGTACCAGTGACATCGACATCCTCGATCACATCGCCGTCGACCTCCTCGAATTGTCCTGATATGTGTTAATCACCTGCTAATGAGCCTGAAAAGATGCATTCTGGAACAGAACAACAACACAACAGACGAGGAACCGGAAGAGGAGAAGAAGGGTACTTACGAATCCGAGTGGTTTGTGTCCTGACAACTTCCTCCTGGCCATCTTGCAGACTGGAGAAGAAGCTGGTGATGGAGGAGGGGATATAGATAGCAAAAGCCGTGAAGGCGATGGGTGCGAGTGGCTATTGAACTCATCAGAACCGAACATGAGCGGAGCCTGTGCAGCGATATCTGAGCTCACAGGTAGCAAGCCCTACTCAACTTGGTTAGCTATCTGGACTCAAGAAGACTGCAGCTTGCTGGTACGACTTACCCAGCGCAGGAAGAAGTAAGAGACAGCTCTCAAAACAACGGTCGAGGTCACCGTGAGGACATTGTTGATGGCCATTGTTGCGGCCGTGAGACTCGCTGCCGGATGCCGGGCTACGGGTCAGACGTTATGGTTCTCACTGCCTGTTTACCTGTTCCGGGTATGCAAGAGTGCCAGGTTGAGACCAAGTCGGGTTCGGGGGAGCTCAATCACCAAAAGATAACCCGGAATCATGTTGAAACAAAACCGAGCAGGGGGTTGAAGTAGGAGTGTCTACGAGGGCTGATGTCATTTATTACCAACTACTTGCTTCCGTCTGGTCAAACATACAGTACATCCTACGTGGAGCTACTAACACACATACACCACACTGTAGGCACCACAGTCTGCGGGTGTACACATATGTACCATTTGGGGCACTCTTCGCCGCCCACTCCTGCAGGCCCGGAGTCGTCAAGGTTACCCCCCACCCCCCCACGTGTACCTTTTGATAAAATGATTCTGAGCATGTACTGGAGTGCTACTGTATTGCACTGCTGGAGTCAGTCAACCCAGTAACGTCCGTACCTGTTATAGGTATGTACCTAGACGGCCAGACAGGTCTCCACCTGGCCCCTGCATGACACTGCTCCGCTTTGGGGATAGCGCTAGAGTAGCTGGAAACAGTTGCACCGTGGCATGTCGCGACGAAGCTGCTTGCTTGCTGGCCGAACAGAGCCTCGCCTACCGTCCACCATCTCCCTTGTGCCCCGTACCCAAACCCAACACAGCCAGCTGCCGCCCGACGATGAAGCTGACATCTATTGCATGCGGGCTGGTAGCCCTGTTCGCCGGCCATGCTTCTGCGACAGCGCTGACCTACAAGCTTGTCGCGAACGAGAAGGCCTGCTTCTACGCCCACAACCAGGACAAGGGCCAGAAGATCGCATTCTACTTCGCCGTACGCCCATCCCCGAGTGCCGATTCCCCAGCAAGGCCCTGTACTAACAAGCTGCCCAGGTCCAATCGGGAGGTTCTTTCGATGTCGACTTCGAGGTTACAGGACCAACGGGCAAGATTGTAATTGACGGGCAGAAGGAGCGCCAGGGAGACTTCGTCTTCACCGGCAACGATATTGGCGACTATTCGTTCTGCTTCAACAACGAGATGAGCACTGTCACAGACAAGTTTGTCGACTTTGAGATTGCGGTCAGTACCACCGATCCTCGAATGCTGCTACGACCACTTCCTAATACTTCATTCCGCCTACAGGTCGAGAACGAGGCCCGGGTCAACCTCCCCTCCAAGCAGGGTAGCTCCCCAGAACAAACAACCTCCCTCGAGGAGTCGGTCTTCAAGATCTCGGGCCAGCTCTCCACCATCTCCCGAAACCAGAAGTACTTCCGCACGCGCGAGAACCGCAACTTCAGCACAGTCCGCAGCACAGAGAAGAGGATCGTCAACTTCAGCTTGATCCAGTGCGGGCTGGTCGTCTGCATGGGCGCGCTGCAGGTCTTTGTCGTGCGCTTCTTCTTCCAGGGCGCGAGGAAGGGCTACGTGTGATCGCGCTGCCACACTCTTTTTCTTTGGACTCGTGCATGGCGTAGGATGGAAATTGGTATAGGTGCCTATCCAGTGTATTTCCCCAAAATGTGGGGCTCGACTGATTTTACGAAGCATGAAAAGTGAGCTGGGCTTGAACGTGTTCTTCCGTCAGGGCAACGTAACTGGGGAAGAAGATGGCCGATGGCCAAAGGCGGCAACTCCCCAGGGCTTGACAACGGTTTTATCGATATAAAAAATACCGAGACATAGAATCACGGCTATGGACCGCCAGTTTGGCGTGTGTGACAGACTCGAACTGTGGCCATTTCCACTCCACTTGAGCAGCGTATTGGTGAATAGATAGTAGATATCTACCTATTAGTCGATAGGTAGGTATCCATGTACTGTTAGACCAGCCGAGACTTGGGCCCATGCACGGTGGCCCGTGCGCCCGCAAACGTCGGGACCTTGACTTCTCTCCTAGTCTCGCAATCAGCGAGACCAAGCGCAAACTTCCAACCTCCATAAGCCATCCTCGCCATCCGCCCAACATGGCTTCCCTCGCAGCTGCACTCTCCCAGTCCCTCCCCAAACCAAACTACACTGGTGAGGATGAGGAGCTGCCATCGCGCGCCAACCAACGTGGCCCCAGAATCGTTGGCCCCGGCCATCTAGACGAATCCCAGATTGTCCTCAAGCGAGCAGGCGGGCCACCGCCCTACGGACAGCGCACTGGATGGCGACCACGCAATCCCGAGGATTTTGGCGACGGCGGCGCGTTTCCCGAGATCCACGTCGCGCAATACCCGCTTGATCTAGGTCGCAAGGGCGGCTCGTCAAACAAGTCCAACGCGCTTGCTCTCACCGTCGACGGCGACGGGAAGGTCAAATATGATGCCATCGCGAGGCAGGGCCATGCGGAAAACAGGATTGTGCAAACAAGCTTCAAGGACCTAATACCGCTGCGGCAGCGTGCCGACGCCGGCGAGATCAACCTCGAGCGGCCGAGCGAGGAAGAGGTCGCCGCCACGGCCGAGAGGACGAAAGCCGCGCTGGAGAAGCTGGTCAGCGGAGCTGTGGCGTCACAGAAGCCCAAGAATGTCAACGTCGGAGGCGGACGGGACCCTACATTTGTGAGGTACACACCGGCGAACCAGATGGGCGACAACTCGAAGAAGCAGGATCGAATCATGAAGATTGTTGAGAGGCAGCGTGACCCCATGGAGCCCCCCAAGTTCAAGGTCAAGAAGATCCCTCGTGGCCCACCTTCACCCCCGCCTCCAGTGTTGAGGTCTCCGCCAAGGAAATTGACGGCGCAGGACCAGGAGGACTGGAGGATCCCGCCGCCAGTGTCGAACTGGAAGAACCCAAAGGGTTTCACGGTCCCGCTGGACAAGCGTCTAGCTGCAGATGGACGAGGTCTACAAGACGTACAGATCAACGACAAATTTGCACAGTTCTCAGAGGCGCTATTCATGGCAGACAGGCATGCCCGTGAGGAGGTCAAGCAGCGAGCTCTGATGCAGCAGCGTCTCGCGGAGAAGGAGAAGCAGCAGAAGGAGGAACATCTCCGCGCACTCGCTCAGCAGGCCCGGGAGGAGAAGGCCGGGCACAGTCGGCGTCGGTCAAGATCAGGCAGCTATGACAGCCGCTCAGATTCCGGGTCGTCATACGACAGCGATGAGTCGGCAGTGCGTGAGCGTGAAGAAGCACGAAAGGAAAGGCGCCGCGAGGAGGAGCGAAAGCTCCGGCAGTCTCGCATGGGGGCGGAGAGGCGCGTTCAGGTCATGGCTCGCGAGCAAAATCGTGACATCTCCGAAAAGATTGCACTCGGCTTGGCGAAACCTACTCAGAGCAAGGAGGGAATGTACGATTCACGGCTCTTCAACCAGTCAAGTGGCTTCGACAGCGGTTTCAATGAGGACAACCCCTACGACAAGCCTCTGTTCGCAGCGCAGGACGCCATCAGCAGCATCTACCACTCGCGTGCGAACATGGACGAGGATGATGAGACGGCCGGGGACAAGGAGATGGACAAGATTCAGAAGTCGAGCCGATTCGGCGAGGTACTGGGCAAGGGCAAGTTCAAGGGGACGGAGGATGCAGGGGAACGCGAAGGGCCAGTGCAATTTGAGAAAGAGGCGGCCGACGTGTTCAACGTAGACAAATTCCTGTCTGAGGTGGAGCAGTCGTCGGGCAAACGGGGCTATGGCTTGCAGGAGACCGATGACCGGAAATCAAAGCGGCCAAGGGTGGAGGATGACGACGACGATTGGGGTGGAACAGCATAGGGAAGCCTACGGAGCTCCGGTATTCTCGAGCGCATGAATGTCGAAGAAACATATCAACGCCTCCTTGCGTTTTACCGTCCAGGGTATCTTAGTGCCCATGGCTGTATGACGACCACTTTTCGCTGCTCTGGCCCGAATCCTGATTTCCATCTGCGACACCACAGGCCCACACGAGTCGTGCGCGCAAGCGAATGATCTTGATGCCTCACAATTATTTAGTTCGTCACATGCAGTAGTTGCAATCTGACTTTCGCTCGAGAGGAAGATTCTCCTAATGAGTTGCGATCACATCACATATATATAGCCTTCGAACCCCACGCTACAAAAAGGCTTCTCCTGACGTCTTACCGTTGAGCTTCTTTTATCTCCGACACGAGGTTAGCACGAAGGTTCAGCAAGCCTTGTAATTATCGGGTGCGCACCCAAAATGTCCCTGGGATTGCAGTTTTGGCTCGGCCACTGCCGCTGTCACATATTGCGCCGAGACGCCTGAAAAGCACGGATCTCGGAGTCGTCCCTGATTCGCGCTTGATGAGCACGGAAGATTGGCCACATGAGATGAGAAATCAATGTCTTGGTCCTGGGTCTTTCACTGCTGAAACTTCTTCGATTCAGGCATAGGCCGCACAGCAGACAGTTGCCAGCTGCCAAGACCAGTCAACGTCTGGAAGTCAACCCCTTCCCCATCCTTTCTCGAGCACGATTGGGTATCAGTTTTCTCAGATCTCCCTCTTCCACTGATGCCACATGCCCTCCGATATGCTCTTTAACATCGTGAAAGGCGACAACTTATTGCTGAATTATTACCTGCTGTGACACAACTCCAGACGCAACGGCAACTTCAGGACAATCTCTCACGCTCTACGTCACCCGTGAGTCACTCGTGAGGCATCTGAAATCTCTCGACGGCGCCGATCGCGATCATCATGGCCCCAGCCCAACGAGCCAGCCACCCAGTCTCACGAAACGCATTAACGAGCTTGAACCTGAAGCAGCCTGGGGTTGCCCCAGCTGCTCACGAACCTGATCTGCCCCGGAGGGTTGAGCTTGATTCCAGCGCACTTCGCTTCGTCCCGAAACCATTGCCTTGTGTCGACCCTTAGGCCGTGCGCTATTGAAGCTACCATCTGAACTTGAACATTTGTCTGATCTTTTAGAGGTGCCAGCATACGCGTCTGGTAGCCTCTGGCAGCGGTGATCGCATGGACAACACGGTCCCACATGCGACACGACAGACTGTCTCGCTTATCTGGAGTGTGAAGCTCGCTCTCGCAGACAGTCAAGCTTTTGTTGCGTGCTGCAGGGCAGGAACAGGGCGCCAGGTCTGTGCATTACATGCAGAGCCGGGGCGGACACATGAACGACAGCCCCGTGGGGCAATCATCTGCATTTCGAGACAGGCGTGGCAGGGCATGGCAGGGCGGCGTAAGGCAGGGCATCAAACATCCGAAGCCATGCTCGACCCACGCCGATCAGAAAGATATCTATCTCGAGACTGTCCCTCGCCTCCAGCTGCTTGCATGTGCAAGAACTCGTGAGTTCTCCTCTCTCACTCTCCATTTTATCTCATATCATGATCTTCATATACATTCCATCTTCTCAAACGTCCCCACCGAGAGGCCATCTATCTCGAACAGTACTTGTCAAGTAGTCCCGAATCTTCCTCGCTACATTGGGTCACAGTAGCACCCCTCGCTAGGACTGGCATGCAGATCTCGCTGCAAGATCTGGTCCTGTCTGTCGAGTGCTCGTATCCCCGACCTGCATAGAACCTGCAGCCACTCTAGGGCTCCCACGGGCTCGGCCCCACGCCGGCTAGATAGAAAACATGCCACGACCCCCATCCTCCTTCTACAGCCAAGACGAGAGGACTCCCAACAACCTGGGCTACAAGCCATTCGAGTACTGGAAAGGACCAAAGCCGGTGGTCTGGCCATCGATCCGCCAGCCCAACAACCACGGCCGAAAGCACTCGAGCTCGCGGCCCGCGGCCCGGGTCAGCGCAAAAGCTCACCCGGGCGGCGCAGTAAACTCGCTAAGGCAATTTGAGCCAATCCAGCCGTCGAAGCTGTACTCGGCGCAGCAATTCGTGGCATCCCTGCAGGCCGCGAAGCTCGCGGATACGAAACACGACAGCCACACGCACGTGGAGTACGTCGGTAGCAGGGGTGACATTGGCCAATTCCGCGCGTCGGGAGACATCAAGTCGGGCGGCAACAGCCCTTGGGATGCTGACGACAAGGGGAAGCTCAGGCTGGCTGCGATTCAGGAGTCATCAAAAGGGTGGGCAGAGTCTCATCCCGGCGACTACAAGACACCATCTGGTGTACAAGTCTCCCACAAGGAACTCAGCCGGAGCCACTCCACACGCTCCAGCCCTCCAGACTACGCAGATTTACCGCCACTGAACATGAAGAAAGGCACGGGAAACCTCCCGCAGAGGTACTATGGTGACGAGCGAGGCGACAAGTGGTGGGACTTCAAGACGTGGCGCAGGAGGACATGGGCCATCCTCGTCGCCATCGTGGTGGTCATCATCATCGTCATCGTCATCGTGGTGACGATGCTGCAGAAGAACAACGCCTACCCCAACTACAAAAGAGTGGTTTACACGCTGTCAGATGAGTACTCGGGTTCAGAATTGTCAGCAGCGTCGATTTCGTCTAGGGACACGCACCACCTGGGCTCTCCATCGGCAAGGGCCGGCGCCCTCGTAGCTCGACACTTGGCAGGGTGATGAACAACACAACAAGCAACAGTTGACTGACAGTCTCGGGTTTTCAATTTCCCCACAACAGCTTTGACAACTTCGACTACTTCAGGCGGAGCCGCTCAACCTAACCTACGCCAGCACGTCCTCGGCCGTGCTGCGTGTGGACACCTCGGTGGGCCCATCGTCGTCCCCGGACGCCTCGACGGGTCGCTTCAGCGTGCGGGCGACGTCAAAGAAGCAGTACAACGCCGGCAGCAGCGCGGGGCTGTTCCTCTTCGACGTCAAGCACACGCCCTACGGCTGCGGGACCTGGCCGGCCCTGTGGCTGGCGGACCCTTCCAACTGGCCCGACAACGGCGAGAACGACGTCATGGAGGCGACGAACCTCGCGGACGGCGGCAACGCCATGACGCTGCACACGTCGCCGGGCTGCAGCATGGACCACAAGCGCAAGATGACGGGCTCCTCGACGCACTCCAACTGCGCGTCCAGCGGGACCAGCAACACCGGGTGCGGCGTGGACGGGTCCGTGGCCACGTACGGCGAGGAGTTCAACTCGAGCGGCGGCGGGATCATGGCCCTCGAGTGGCGCAGCGCCGGCATCAGGATGTGGCAGTTCGCACGGGGCAGCATACCGTCCGACATCACCGGCGGCTCCCCGGACCCGAGCACGTGGGGCACCGCGCTCGCCGATTTCCCCGAGACGGGGTGTGACGTTGACAGCCACTTCCGCAACCAGTCCATCATCATGAACATCGACCTCTGTGGTGACCTAGCGGGCAACCTCTATGGTGATGCTAGCTGTGAGTTCCCGTTACTGCCCTTCCTCTGACTGTCTGTCCCAAGGCGCGCGTGTAAGTGCTGACTTGTCTTTTCATAGGTCCGTCAAACTGCACTGATTTCGTGGCCAACAATCCAGATAATTCTACTCATGCGTACTGGGAGGTGGGAATCTTCCAGGTATATACGGCGTCTTGAGGGTGGTCATAAATTTTGTGAGAAAGATGAGGTTCTTTTTTGTTTGTTTTCTTCTTCCAGCTTGGTGTTCTATGGCGGGAAAAGTGTGTCGCTTTCGGTCAGCGTGGTTCGTTGCTCGCTACGCAGCGGCATGACACAAGGGACAGGAGAGTGATGGGTATCTAAACTTGTTGTCTAAAAGGGAAGAGACGTCAAAGACGCAGGACAGAGTGCCCAGCAAAGAGACATTAGATACTTCAAATTCTACCCTGCATTGGAAGAGAACCATTGAGTGCAGACTGTCTTGCCGTAAACAGATGCACCCCATGACCAGCGATTGAATTCCTGTCCCTTCTGTGGACTGCTCCCCGAAGTTTCACCGTCTCTTGCCGTTTGTATCTGTGGCTCAGTTCCCCGCACGCCGGAGGTATGTTACCCCATCCAACATCAGCTCCGTCAGGTCCTCGAGGGAGGACATGCATAACTCTTTCGCAGTCCAGAATGCATTGAAGTATTCAAAAAAATAAAAAAAAAAAATTTAAAAAAAAAGTTAAGATTGACTGTTCGTGACCCAGCCATACGATCTTGTACTTTGTTTGTACCTCCTTCAACTCGGGTGTCAATGAGCACGGTGACCCAAAATGGCAAAAGAGTTCGGCGACCAGCGCCTACGTCTCTCATCGCGTACTTTTATCTGACAATTCCGCGGTATACTACCAGGGAGGTCGAACCTGCGAGCTCTGAGTTTGATCCCGCGGCTAGTAGTATCTCCTGCACGGGACCCATCGCCATGGCAAATAGACCACTTGACCTGAATGGGACTGGCAGGAGGGCCGGCATTGCTCCTGGGCGGTTTCGCGGGGTTTATAAGACGGCAGGCAGGCAGGCAGGCAAACAGCCAGACATAGTTGGGATGAACGTGGTTTTGCATGCTTCTAAAGACCCCCAAGTAAGTGGTGATGATTTGCCCTCCAGTACATCTATCGCCGAGCATCTATCGACTTGATATCAGTCCGCCCAGTCCTGAACGCCAGATCCTGCCCGTACGCCTTTTGATCAATCATACCTTGCTATGCGTACACTGCCGATTCGAAGCGGAAATAGACCAAACGCCTCTATCCCAGCCATTTCCCACGACTTCCTGACTGCTGCTCTCATGTGGCGCAGGACCATCCGTCATGGCCGTGAAGCCGTCATCTCTCACAGGCACACTCGCGGCAGGACCTCCCAGCATCGCAGGCCAGGGACCATCGCCACAGGTACGCACCCAAACCGCCCCTCTACTCCTCCTTGGGCTGCCTCATCCACGCCTCGATGGCAGCAGAGAACGCAGCGAAGCCGACGCAGCCCACGGCGGCGGCCTGGGGCCCCGCGTTGCGCGCGAGGATGGCGCCCGTGACGCAGCCCGACGCCACGCCGTTGGTCATGTCGTTCTTGGCGCGGAACCCCTCGATGCCGCACTCGATGCCCGTGAAGAGCGCGCCCACCTTGCCAAAGTTCTTGGCCGTGCTCCACGACCGCGTGCCCATGTCCTTGAACCCCGTCTTCAGCTGCTGCTTCCACGGCAGCGACGAGATGGGCGTCTGCTGGGCGCCCGCCGTCGCCGCGGTGTGGTAGGGGGTGTCGTAGGCCATCTGAGAGAGTGCGCATCACGTGTTAGCTGTTTCTCTCCTTCTCCTCGGGGATGGGTGGGCTGGTGTGTAGGTGGGTAGGTATGTAGGCAACGTACCGAGGCCATGAACATGCCGAACACGCCGCCCAGCCCGAAGCCGGCGACGCCCGACATGGCGGTCTTGGTGAAGCAGTTGTGCTGCATTTCACTCATGAATTTTATTGTTTTTTGCTATGCACTCCCCACGTCAGCGTGCTGCGCGACCAAGGTAGCCAAAGCCGTGGTGGCCTGGCTGCCTGCTCCGCCGCAGGGGCTCCACGAACCATCTGTACGGCGTTGGGGTCATTGGGATCCACGTTGCCGCCGCCGGCGCCGGGCATGCCCGGTAGGCCGCCTCCCATGCCGGGAAGGCTCATGATGTCGTCGCACAGGTTCGGCGTGTCGCGCTCGTGGGGCTCGTGGGGCTCGTGGTGTGGCGTGAGGTTGTCGTATGTCGGCACAGCATGCGCCCGGTGCAGCCGTAAATATCGTTTCGCAGGAGGGAGAATTCTGATGGGAGGGAACGGGCGACGCAGGTGAGAAGCTGTCGTCGTCGACAGTCGAGGACGGTGGAGTGGATAGGACGAGGACTGAATTGCAACGAGCCCGGCGCGCGATAAAGAATTTTGGTCCTTATCGCCGCGGTCGCATTTCGCCGTCTCGGAGCCGCCGAGCCAAGGCGACCTTGTCTGCCCGTCCGTTCAGTCCCGCATTCCTTACCAGGGCAGGTTCGGGGGCATTAATTCCACGCAGGCAAAAAGAGCGCCGGTCATGAAGGATGCTGGGAATAATCTCCGCGGTTCATTGTCTTAAGATTCGCATACAGGCTTGGTCTAAGGATACCGTTTATGCAACGAAGAGACCAGTCTTTGCCTTCGCCAGCGCAGCGGGTGCTAGAAAAGCAAAAAAAGTGTCCGTCTGGCTGTGCCCCTTCCTCCCTTACAAACCCCCTATCCGCCTATTCATGTTACCCAACTCCCCCCTTCCGCGTATTGAATGCCCCTCTCCCGCGTCCTGCGCCGAATGCCTGCTGCTGAGTATATGATAATGTGCTGAGCCGGGGATCTTGGCCCACCTCCCCCTGCCTAGGACATATCAGGCTTTGCGATCCGCTACACCGAAAAAACCACAGGCCACGGGTCATGAGAGTGACACCATGCTTAACGCTACTTCTAGCGCCACATCTCTCTCACTTGTCTCTTCTCCGTCTACTTCAGGAACAGGTCTCCCGTCCCGTTGCGCATAGACCGTGTCCGGTCTACATGGTCCAAACCGAGGAAATCGTCGTCATCTCCCGACAGGATCTCTGTGAGGATCTCGTCTGTACTCTTCGTGTTAGTTGCCCGTCTCACACATCTGGGACTCCTGCAGACGTACCGTCCTGGATATAATGGACCTTGGAGTACGCAGACCGTCTCACGACGGCAAACTTGATTTTCTCGAAGCTCTTGCCCTTGAGGCCAGTCCGCCTCTCGAGCCGCTTCTTGGTGTCTGCGAACGTCTCGCCCTGCGATCTGCGTCAGTAACGTTTCTCATTACACCCAGCACACTGACTGCCACAATTCACCTCCTTGAGCAGGAACCTGAACGGCATCCCGTGAACGCGGCTCGGCTCATTTTGGAAATGGAAGCAGTTGATGAATTCCTTGTCTGTGGCCTCTGCTTCTTCTGGCGACATCCGCTCAGCCACGAGCAATGTGTACTCGTTGATGCTGATGACTGGGTACTCGCGCGACATTTCCCTGAAGAACTTGTGGTTGTTAACCTCAAAAACTCGAATCTTGCCGGCTTCGGCTTCTTCGGGGATTTGAGCCTTCTTGATGACTCCGTTGATCAGGTCTTCCACGATCCCGTTCTTGGGCACCAGGATGTCAAAATGGTCCTGTGGCTGCATGTTAGCAGACTTTCCCTGCACGCGCACCAACGCCAACTTGCCTCTTTGGTGATGCCTTCGCTGAGCCACGTGATCTTGACATTCTTCTTCGTATCAAGCTCTGCCAAGCTCATATCGAGCACTTCAAAGTACAACGCATCGCTTCTCTGGGTTTGGTTCATCTGAGAATAGCCTGACGGATTCAGGATGCTCTGCAGGGTCTGGTTCGTAGACAACCGTTTCACAGCGACCCGGACGTTCCCACTGTTGGTGTTCACAGTGTAGAATCGGAGATGTGTCGGATCCACAGCCAGCGCGTTCCCAACCTTCTCAGCCAGTTGATCATAGCTGATCTTCGCGCTGAGAACGAGCTCGAACGGAGGAAACTGGTTCGGGTCACACCGGGTTGGGTGAGCATGGAACTTTACTGTCCTCTTGAACATGAGAAAGTCGTAGTATTCGCGAGCGTCTTCGCACCGGTCCGATTTCCTTGTTCTGAACCAATTAGCATAGGCAGGTTACACATAGAAATGGGGACTTTCACTCACGTCTCCTCGGGTGTTTTGTCTCCAAGTCCGAGCCTCTTCTCAAGTCCCGACTTCTTCTCCGTCACCCTCTGGAAGCAGACAATATCCCCGTCTTGCAGCTCAGCAGCCTTTAGGGTCTGTTTCGCCCGGAGCGCCTCGATCATATTTGGCTTGATCTCCTCCCAGAGCATGACCTTGTCATCGCCTGGCAATTTCTCGCCCCATCCCATCTTCTTGCCGATCAGCGGCACGATCTCCTCAACCTTCTTCTCTTTGTTGATGTAGGCGTGCCCAACACCTCGGAGAGTCTGTGATTCGGCATCAAAATGCTTCAGGAACAGTAGTATCAGATCATTCTTCACCACCATGCCGTTGCTTTGACCTTGGTATGTTGGCCAGACAGCATCGCCTTCGGCGTTGACCTCCTCTGCCACTTCAACCCAGACACGGAGGACGTTGCTGTTGTGAGTGGTCGACTTGTTATAGCTTTCTTCCACTGTCACTCTAGTGTCCATCATGGGCGTGTCCGGGCGCGTTGTCTTGTTTTGACGATTGACCATCATCCAGAGCCGCAGCCTTCGCGGGTCCTCGTTGATATCCTCGGCAATGCGGCTGACTAGATCCTGGACAGTGGACGAGCGCAGCGTTCTGTAGAACCTAGGCGCTGCTGGGTCCAGGTCAGGGTTTGCGTCGAAAGACGCGAGATCTGTACCACCGTGTTCCCGGAATGTCGAAGGAAGGATAGCCTTAACGCCCATGTAGAGATGCTGCTCCTCCCTCTCCCTCCTTCGCGTCTCTCTGATGGCGGCCTCTTCCTCAAATCGGTTACCTGTGACAAATCAGGACAGGGATCTTCTCACAGCATCGGGACCCTCAACTCACGCAGATGTTCTGGGATGTCTTGCTCAGTGACCGGGCAAAGGACCTTGTCTACTCGTGATTGGCGGATGTAAACCAACATGTAGGCGCTGTTAGGCCGCATAATAGGTGCCTTTCTTTGCAAAGGACTCCGGAGGTTGTTTGTGGCCTGCCGGTATTCGCCACCAAAGTTGTCTTCCAAGACTTCTCGCATCGTTGCCTTGGTCACCTTGTCATCGTCGTACTTGTAGAACCATCCATCCTTATCTGGCTTCAAAAACGCATAGTAATGTCCGGCGTTCAGGTCGCCACTGTGCACAAGGACGCCATGTAACTGATATGTCCAGGACTCGGACGTGTCGGCATCCTCCGAGAGGTATGGAGCCGCGTCGAAGACTTCAGGAAACTCGTAGCGGTCATTGATTTTCGTCATGGTGTCCCTCATGTAGTCGTATTCGAAACGTTTCAGCTGCAGGTGGAGGACGTCGGGAAAGCTCACGAAAATGACGCCCTTATTGGCGTCCTGCAGCTTGTACTGCTCACCTGCCATGTACTGATTTTCGCCTTCCATCTTCTCGACCTGTATGTAGTCCTGGAAGCTTTCCTGCAGGTTCTTGTTCCCGGAAACGTTGAGTTGAACGTCCCAGAAGTCTTCTATGCGGCTGGATTCGTAGTCGACATTAATACAAGAAATGTATGTCTTGATTTTGCCACTGAACATCTGCGGCAGCATGTTCTCGGCCTTTGTGCCCTTCATCCTTTCCTCCATGCGCTCCATCAGCTTTCGTGAGAGCTCCTGAACATCTTGTTGCTCAAAGATGTGCCTTGTCTCCCAGCCGAAAGACTTGGTCAGCTCATTCGTGCCGACTGCTGCGTTGGAGGTCTGAAGCTGGTAAAAGAGGCGCTGCAGGGTGTATGCGCTGTTGGTCATGCTCTCGTCGTGCTCAGTAGGTATTTCGTACACGGCCTGCTCAGAATATCAGCATTTGCCAGCCACAAAGCTAGGGACGGGGTTCATCACCTTGCGGAATGCGTTTGTAAAGTAAAGAGATTGCAGAAGAGAGTTCAAGTAACATGTTGCGCCCTGATTCTTGAGGCCGACGAATCCTGTCTCCTTCTTGGAATCGTAGTTGTTGAAGTTATGCCATAATACCCCGGTTTCGTCCTCGACGATCCTGACATAGACGGTGATGTTGGCGGCGTCGTTCTCGATCATGGGTCGGTTCGCATTGTCCCAGAGACCATACATCCTACGAGACTCCAGGAACTTTGTGAAGCCCCAGTCACTCTCTTCTTTGGTGAACCGGTGGTGGGCACTGTGATGTGCAAAGATTGTGGGCTCTTCCGGATTCCACAAGACCAGTGCGAACTGCACGCAGCAGCTCCAGTCCTCAGGGACCTCGTTCGGTTCGAAGCCATGTTCCAGGTATATAGAGCATTGGTCGACGTTGTTGCCGAATGGGAAGAGCAATATCCGCCTGCACACCAGGGTCAGCCTTTCAGGGTACAACTTGCGAATGGCTCAGTGAAGCTCATACCAGGGAAACCCGCCAGCTTGGAAGATAGGGCCACGCTCCTTCTTATTCAACGACCTCCAGTTTGTGATTTCCCAGGTGGTAACAACATCTTCGAGCACGCGAGGTTCTTCGACCAAGGGTATAAGGACAAGCTCTTTTATAGCCTCATCTGCAGGGCGTCAGCATCTCGCCCGCGCAACACACAGCCCCTTTGTTCCTGTTCACGTACAGTCATCCGCCCTGGTCAAGTCTTGAAGCTGCTCTGCCTCTGTTTCTAGGTTGTCCGGATTGATGATTGTGAGGTTGTCCTTCTCGACACCGTTGGCTGCCGGGTCGACGATGTGTTCCTCTGTATCGACGAGCATGTCGTTTGGGGAGTGCATGTCAGGGTTGAAGGCCTCATCAGAAATTCCCAGGTCAGCACGGGTGCCATCGAGAATGTTCCAAAGCAGTTGGGGATCAACGGGTGCTGAGGAAGGCGCAGGGGACTGGGGGCCGTCTGGAAACAGTGGCGACGCTGAAACAGACGGAGAGCCGCCCACGCATGGCGTGGATGATGTCGACCTTGGGGTGGAGAGTGGCAGCGAGCTCTCGTCTGGGGGACTGCTCCGTGTGCGGCGCCACATCTTCCACGGCCTCGTGGGGAGGGGCATTGGCAGAGGACTCGATGGGTAAACTTGGCTTGGATAAGATGCCAAGATAGGTTGCAGCAGCGGGGCCGGTGAATGTGACGGGGGTGTGCGGTAGATAGGTGGATGAAGGTGAAAGCTGGTGAAGTTGTGTACTCACCATGTCTGAGGTTTGCGAGCAAGCTCGACTTGGGGAGGATCGGGTGGGAGCGATGCGGTAGGAAGGAGAGGCTCGCAGGGCAGAGTCCCGTGGGAAGGCTCTCTTGACAGCCCGAGGCAGCTGCAAGCGACAGAGGTGGCAATGAGTTGTCGGTGATGGTCCTTCGGAGAAGTGGCTTGGTGTTTAGGAGAAGACGGGCGACCGCGGGCCAGATACGCTGCGCTGGGGAAAGCGCGTGTGGCCAGTCGACGTCAGGATCCACCGGAGGAGTGCGATGCGATTCCTGGTCTGGCCTAGACAGGCTTCCGGGTGTTGGGGTTGGCGAGGAGAAGGAACAGGTGAGACACTGTAAGCCAGGATATTGGGGCAGCACGAAAAAAACGGAGAGCGAGTGCCGCGTTGGAGTATGGGAACCTGGGAAGGCAAGGCAGGTAGCAAGCAGGCAGGGCAGGGCAGGCAGGGCTGCAAGGACAAGTCAAGGCGAGGAAGATGTCTCTGTGGTTGTCTTTCCGTTACTCGGCCCAGTCTTCGCCCAGGTAGACAATGCGTTGTGGTGGTGGTGGTGCTGCCGGGCAAAGCATCTGCATGAGCAAAGCCTGGCAAGCCAAAGGTACGTAAGAATTGCGGGTTGTGGATGCGGAGTGCTTAGCTTGCTGCAGAAAGAACATGCAGAGCGTCCCACAAGGCCGGGAGAGGCGAGGTGCTACCAGTGTCCCTCCCAACTCACGGTGTGGTCAAGATAGCTCCGGGACCACCAGACTAGGAGAGCTCGCCCCCAGCCTGCCGCAGTGCCCCTCGCTGTATGACGTCCGTCTGGCTCTGGCCTTTGTCAGCTTCATGCGCGTGAGTGACTGCGAGTGAGGGCGAGTTGCACAGCCTCCCGTGTCTGCTGTAGATTCATCCTCATGCCCAGCTACAGTACACAAGAGACCCCTGAAGTGATGACTGCTTCGCTTGGGGCAGACCATGGTTGACGATGTCGAGTTCCTGTTCTAGACTAATAACTCTGTAGCATTGGTGCATTCTGGCGGGACCTGGGTAATATACATGAAATGCCACAGGAGACCTATACATAGCACCAGGACCAGATTCGGACACAGGCCAGTATCGACCAGGGTAGCAAGCCAGGCCGCGCAATCGCTATCATGTCAGAAGGGCCCCCGAGCTCCTGAGCCTCTTGCAGCGGACAGTTTGCTCCTACCTGGCTCCTGCTGAGCTCCCACTGCAACTCCTACTGACAGTACTTTGTGGCAATCGTCTGCATGCGTTGTCTCTCGCTGTGTACTGCACACTTAAGTTTGCTGACACGTGCTAGGCTAGCAACAAGACCGAACCCAGCACCGATTATTATGCGATGTGTGCATGCATGGCGTACACAGTTGCGAGGCTTGTGACAATGGCGGGGTAAATACTGTCCCGTTGGCTACAGTACTAATGTGCTCAGTAGATGCCATGCCGTAGCGTGCGTAGCCAGCAAGCAACATGGCAGTTGACTTGAGGAAATGAAATTACCCCCTGCGCCGAGTGACACAAGAAGCTGAGAAGCAAGCTCCCCACTTTTCCAGCACCAGCACCAGCGCCATGCCGCTCAGAGTACCTAGGCAGGTTAGGCCAGAATAGAACAACACCAGAGCATTTATCACCCGACTCATTCAACGCACACTTGCGGATGAGATCAAACGAGCAGCTATGAGGCTGCTCTGACTACCGACACATACATACACACCCCACTGACCTTGCTCGTGTCCCGGGGCTCCAACCACCAGCATACACTCGCCATTCGTATGGAATCATCGCCGGGATGTCGAGCTTGGGGGGCAGCATCGCCTCAGCAAGCTTGGGGATGAGACCAACCCTCAGACCACCAGCCGCCAAGCGCCTGCCAGAACAAGCTCGGCGGGCAGTGGGTTGCGCACGCGACCAGACGCGCTCCATGGTGCACAACCACAGGTGGAGAGCCTTCTCCGCCCTCGACGAGTACGTCCGCTGCTGCTGCTTCCGCCGGCCAGCCAGCCATGCCCACCCTCCCCCGAGAGAGCCTCGGTTCCACTGACCGTGACTCAGCTGGGTCGGGAAGGAGGCGAGGCCCATCAGCCTCCGCCAGCTCATGGTCTTTGGCCGCTCCCTGAACGAGCAGAGGCTGATCAGCTCGGCCAACTATGTGAGGACAGAGCTCCCGAGGAGGTACGTGAGAGTGACCAGAGGGATGCGCCATGAGTCAAACCTGCTGCGCTGCACTGCGTTGCGTTGCGCCGCTCTGCGTTGTCCGGCGTCGGGATCGGCCTTGTTTCGCTAAAGCTATGACCAATGTAGGATTGCACATCGCATCCGAGACATGCAGACCCTGCCGTACTGCGTCGTGGCCAACCCTCACTTCAACGACGTATACGAGCTGTACTACGATGCCTTCGACAAGTTTAGGAGGGTGCCCGAGATCCGCTCGCTCGATGAGAATGACTCCTTTTGCCGGGCCATCAGCACCACCCTCAAGGCCCACCTTTCGGTAATCCCCAAGCTGGCGATGGGCATCCTCGAGGTGAGCGCCGACGACATGCTGCCGGCCGAGGAGCTGGATCGCTTCATGAACGCCATCCTGCGCTCCAGGATCTCCCGTCGCGTCATAGCCGAGCAGCATCTGTCCCTCACCGAGACCTTCCACTCGCCCTCCTTCTCGCCCGGCGTCAAGGTCCCGGAAAGTGACTTCGTCGGCAAGGTGTTCCTCAAGTGCAATGCCGCCGACGTGATCCAGCGCTGTGGAAAGGCCGTCCTCGACCTGGCCAGGTCTGCCTATGGCGAGGACGTCGCCCTGCCCGAGATCAGGCTCGCTGGCCACCAGGACGCCAACTTTCCCTTCATCCTGAGCCACATAGAGTACATAATCGGCGAACTCCTCCGAAACTCGGTCCAGTCCGTCATCGAGCGGCAGATCCAGGACGGCCGCGCGGGGCGGCCGCCCCCGCCCATCGAGGTGACCATCTGTGAGTCGTCAAAACACGTCGAGATACGCGTGTCCGACCAGGGAGGCGGCATCCCGCGCGACGTCCTGCCCCACCTGTGGTCCTTCTGCAAGGGCCCCAAGAGCCAGCAGATCCTCGCCAACCTGACTCGCGTCCCCAGGATGGCCGCGACCCTGCAGGAGGTGCGTGTCGATGAGCCTCCGGCGAGCGAGGTCAAGGCGAGCGCTGCGACGGCGAGCTACGTGAGCTCCCTGTCGTCCCTGACAAGCAGGCCGCCCAACCTGCGCCTCGGTATGGGGCTACCTTTGAGCCGCATTTACGCCGAGTACTGGGCCGGGGGTCTGGAATTACAGAGTTTGTGGGGTTATGGCGTAGACGTATTCCTCCAGGTGTCGAAACTGGGAAACAAGAACGAGCAATTGCTCACGAGGGCCATGATGGACGCTGTCTAGAGAGCGGTAAAGTACCGGCTATTTGTTGAAATTTGTTAACCCAAAGTTTGGGTACGTGTTTGATTTACTTATACCTATGTTATATGAGTGGTGGAGCTTGGGGAGGGTGTTGGATGGGAGTAACTCGAGGCTGTGGGGTTCAATCACGCCCGCGTGTTCGTGTCAGTCCATACAATTATTGAGTCTCAAGGGGCAGCCATTCTCATTAATTGGTATCATGAAAAGGTCAAGGGAATTACATCAAGGCTATCTCGAAATGGAATAAAATGGGGGATCGGGTCTGAGAAAGGTTGTGAGATAGTAGCAGAACGGCACAAAAAGTGGCCTTGCTCGCTGCTCCAGTTTCTCGACCTTCTTTTTGCTCTCAGCCCTTGTGGAAGACGAAGAAAGAAAACGACGGCGTGCCGGAGGAAACTATTATCCCCTCGTCCCCGAGGCCGGTTAACGCGCACTCCAAGTCACAAGCAAAGCTCCAGAGCATATTCGCAACGCGTCCTCTTAGCTCCCCGTGTCAGTGAACCTTGTTGAAACCAGCCCCTCAGGCTACCATAAACTCCGGAACGGTGAATTTGGTCGTTCCCAAGATGTCGAACGTTGGATCTAAGCCGCCACTTCGTGGCCCTAACGACGACCATGGCTGCGGACCGCGCTGCCCTGCATCTGCTCCAGCTCCTGCTCCAGTGTCTTGATCTGGGCATGCGTCTGCTCCAGATCCTTGTTAAGGCGATCACGCTCAGCAATGAGCTTCTGCTCCCATTGTCTGAACCGCTGCTCCTCGATCTTGACTTGCTCCGTGAAGCGCTTCCGGAGGGCCTCTTCCTCCTCCTTGAACTTGGGGTTGTCAAGCTTCCGTGGGCGGGCCTCGCCGAACTTGCGCGTCTCCATCTGTTGAGCGCGATAGGCCTCGTAGTGAAGCTCCTCGGTGGTGTGGATGAGGTCGAGCATGTGGGTCCGGATGAGGATTGATCGGAGCTTCTTGAAGTCACAGTGGTCCTCGTTCTCGACCTCGGCAACACCCCACGAGTACTGCCGTCCCTTGACGATGCGGCCATCGCCGGTCTTGACGTCCTTCTCGGATCCGATGACAGCGAACGGCATGGCGGCCATCAGGCTGCGGGCATGCTGAGCGGCGGCCTCGTCGTCCTCCTCAACGGGTGGCTGGTAAATCTTGATGCTCTGGGCCTCGATGACAGCTCGGATCTGATTTAAAGGGTCAGCAATAGGGAACACGTGCTTCGGCGTAGGAGCGACATACGCGTTGCTTGAAGGTGGCCAGGTCAGCAGGGCTGAGAGTATCAGCCTTGGCAATCACTGGAATCAAGTTGACGCGAGAGCAAAGTCTCTTCATAACCTCGATGTCGAGAGGCTTCAGGGTGTGACCGGTGGGGCGGATGAAGTACAAGCAAGCGTGGACACGGAGGTCGATCTTGTCGTTTCGGCGGGGCTGTTGCTCTTGCAACATGTAGGACTCGTGCTGGTCGTCAAGGAACTCGATGATTGGCATCCAGGAGTCGCGGTTGTTGACATAATCGCCGAAGCCAGGGGTGTCGATGACGGTCAGGCGGACTGTGTCGGGTCAGTCAGTGGGTTGTACCTCCATTCCGACGTTTTGCCCAAAACATACCCTTGAAGAACTTCTCCTCCAACTCAGCCTTTGTGATCTCGATCTCGACGGTCTTGTCGACTTGCTTCTGGTGTCTCCGCTTGTGATCGGCATAGTTCTTGATGGTCGTGGAGAACAGGGTGTTGATGAAGGTGGTCTTGCCCAGGCCAGATTCGCCAGCAACCTGTGATTGAAGTCAGGAGGGTTTGTCACAAGCTTGAATGCCTTTCCTACGAACCATAATAGTGAAGGCGGCACCCCTCTTAGCAACAATCTTGTGTCGCTGGTTGGGCAGGTTTGCGATACCTGTGGCAATTGGCGGTCGCGTTAGCATGACATGGGATGTTGTCTCCGCGTTGGGCGTGCTTGTAAGTCTGGCCATGCGTACCTATGGGGCTGGCGCTGCTTTCGGTCGACATCTTGACGGTTGAGTTCTTGTGCGATGGGAGAATAGGGTTCAGGGAAGATGGCGTTCGATCAAGAAGCTCTCAAGAAATGGCAATTGAGATGCGCCTCCTTGTGTTTGACGGAGCAATTCGTCTCTGTTGAGAAGGGGAGGGAGCAATTTCGGTTTGGCCAGTCTTCCCCTGAAAGCTCGAGCCCCTTACTTAGGTTGGCAGGCTGGCCCAATTAACAAGGGTCCCTCCTCCCCAGCGTGCCAGGCACGGCGATAACGGGACGATAAGGCGGGCCCCACAAATAACTTGAAAGGTTCGCTGAAGTTTGGGACTTTTCGATGCAGGACGCTGATGAGGAACATGGCTATACTCTGAAAATGAAGACGGATTTCAAGGTGCGCATGCCCTACGGTGACTCTTATTATGTCGCGCACTTACTGACACAGCATCTAGTTCTCCAACCTCCTCGGAACTGTCTATAGCAGGGGCAATCTGGTCTTCAGCCCAGATGGGACCGACCTGTTCTCGCCCGTGGGCAACCGAGTGACGGTTTTCAACCTTGTTGAGTATGCTATGCTGCCTCCTCCATGAGCATCTTGCGCGCTATCACGTATCTGCGCTGTGTGATCCACCACTGACAATGACTGCAGCAACAAGTCTTACACACTTCCTTTTGCCCACCGAAAGAACATCGCGAGAATAGGGCTCACGCCTCAGGGCAACCTGCTCCTCACAATCGACGAAGATGGCCAGGCTACACTGACCAATATCGCCCGGCGTATCGCCATTTACAACTTTTCCTTCAAAGCTGCGCCCACAGCACTCTCGTTCTCCCCATCCGGTCGTTACTTCGCCGTCGGTCTCGGTCGCAAACTCGAAGTATGGCATGTGCCGTCCACACCCGACGCACATCCGGACGGCGAGCTGGAGTTTGCGCCCTTTGTCAAGCACCACACACATACCGGTCATTTCGATGAAGTGCGGCATATTGAATGGTCCAGAGATTCAAGATTTTTCCTCAGCGCCTCGAAAGACTTGACAGCACGAGTATGGAGCTTGAACCAGGAGGAAGGGTTTATTCCAACAGTACTGTCAGGTCATAGGCAGGCTGTTGTGGGCGCCTACTTCTCAAAAGACCAAGAGACAATATACACCATCAGCAAGGACGGTGCTGTCTTCCACTGGAAATATGTTGCTTCAAAACGCGGCGGCGAGGAGATGGACGACGAGGAACAGGAGAAAGATTTGCGCTGGAGGATAGTCAACAAGCACTACTTCATGCAAAATAACGCTCACCTGAAGTGCGCCGCATACCACGCCGATTCAAACCTGTTGGTTGCGGGCTTCTCAAACGGAATATTCGGCCTGTACGAGATGCCTGACTTCAACATGATTCATACCCTGAGCATATCACAAAACGACATCGACTTTGTCACCATAAACAAGACGGGAGAATGGTTAGCTTTTGGCGCCTCAAAGCTGGGCCAGCTCCTGGTCTGGGAATGGCAATCGGAGTCCTACATATTGAAGCAGCAAGGCCACTTTGATTCTATGAATTCACTCGTCTACACGCCTGATGGCCAACGAATAATCACGACGGCAGATGATGGCAAGATCAAGGTCTGGGATATTGAATCCGGATTCTGCATTGTAACCTTCACAGAGCATACCAGTGGCGTCACGGCGTGCGAATTCACCAAAAAGGGCAACGTGCTCTTCACGTCCAGCTTGGATGGATCAATAAGAGCGTGGGATCTCATCAGATACCGAAACTTCAGGACTTTTACAGCACCAACGAGGCTTTCATGGTCATGTATGGCCGTGGACCCCAGCGGAGAAGTGGTGGCTGCTGGCTCTCTTGATTCATTCGATATTCACATCTGGTCTGTTCAAACGGGTCAGCTTCTGGACCAGCTCGCAGGTCACGAGGGACCTGTGTCGTCGCTTGCGTTCGCTCCAAACGGCAACACTCTGGTCAGCGGTAGTTGGGATCGGACTGCAAGGATATGGTCCATCTTCGACAGGACGCAAACGAGTGAACCGTTGCAGTTGCAAGCAGATGTTCTGGATATCGCGATCAGGCCGGACTCGACACAATTCGCCATCTCGACCCTGGACGGCCAGCTGAGCTTCTGGAATATGACAGAGGCGCTGCAGGTCTCAGGTCTAGATGGCCGAAGAGATGTATCTGGTGGGCGGAAAATCGGTGACCGGAGGACGGCAGCCAACGTAGCTGGGACAAAGGCCTATAACAGCATTAAGTACAGCGCGGATGGCAGTTGTCTGCTCGCAGGTGGCAACAGCAAGTACATCTGCTTGTACTCGGTCGCGACGATGGTGCTCCTGAAGAAGTTCACAGTCAGCGTCAATCTGTCGTTATCAGGCACGCAAGAATTCCTGAACAGCAAGCTTTTGACGGAAGCTGGTCCGCAAGGCGAGCTTGACGACCAGGGAGAGGCTTCCGACCGGGACGACCGTATAGACAAGTCTCTTCCTGGCTCGAAGCGAGGAGACCCGTCCTCCAGGAAGAACATGCCCGAGGTGCGGGTCTCGGGCGTCGCCTTTTCACCAGCCGGCACAGCGTTCTGCGCAGCCTCGACGGAGGGCCTATTGATCTACAGCCTCGACAATGTTCTGCAGTTCGATCCCTTTGATCTGAACATGGAGATCACGCCGGCAGCGACACTGGCAGTGTTGGAAGACGAGAAGGACTACCTCAAGGCACTGGTCATGGCATTCCGCCTCAACGAGGCCGGTCTGATCAAGCGGGTGTTCCAGGCCATCCCATACCAGGACATCCCGCTGGTCGTGGAGGAGATGCCCGTGGTCTATGTCCCAAGACTCCTCCGCTTCGTCGCCGCCGAGACGGAGTCACCGCACATTGAGTTCTGTCTGCTCTGGATCAAGGCGCTGGTGGATAAGCACGGCGCCTGGCTGACGGCCAACAGGGGCAAGATCGACATGGAGCTACGGGTCGTGAACCGGGCGGTGACGAGGATGAGGGACGAGATCCGCAAGCTGGCGGACGAGAACGTCTACATGGTGGACTATCTCCTGGGACAGGCTGAGACCAAGGATGCTGCGCAGGAAGGGAAGGCGCTTGCTTGGTCACTTAATGGCGAGAATGGCACAGGCCTCCTGACCACTGGCCAGGAGGGCGTGACTGTTGCTGATCTTGTGAGCGAGGGGGAGTCCGAAGAAGAGTGGATTGGTGTAGAGTAGAGTAGATTAAGGTTGCTACAGGTTGAGAAGAAGAAGAAAAAAAGCTATGAATACCACGCCGCTGATACCCCTACCAGTCAATCTGTGCCCGTGATAGTGTACTCGTACAAAGGTAACATACAATGTGTAGACGTGCGCCAGCGGCAAAATTTTGGTCCAGGGGAACATGCCCCAAAGTAGCGACTGTTGAAATGGTCCTCGAGCACAGACTCTTCCCCAGTTTCAAGAACTTCGACGTGTGTCCCCTGCGCAGGAAGTCGAGGGCAAGGCCGCCTGCGGATCTCACCCGCAGGGTTACAGCTTGGCAGAACTCGGGATTTCCTTGTTGTTGCCGTTGTATGTCAGCAGACCATCCCCAGCGGAACGGACAACGAAAACAAAACTTCGGAGGAGTCACCGTTCAGAGCTCATGAGCGCCCCCGCCTCTCACCCAGTACCCGCCAGGCGACTGCAGCGAGTCGAGAATCATGTGGTTGATCTTGGCCCACATGTCGTCCCCCTTGATTAGCACCCAGTCTTTGTCCTGGTACTTCTTCGTTACCTCCTGGCATATCCCTGCCGCCCTCGCCAGCTTGATGGCATGGCCGTCGTCGGGAATCAGCGCGATCTTTGATGCGATCTCTGCGAGGACCGGTCAGCCTGGGTTGTTTTCCTCGCGCGGTCATCACGATGACTTACCAGCTATGGAGGCAGTGCCTTGATTCTTGGGCTGGTATGCCTTGATCTGGTCTAGAGACAGCTCGGGGACGCCTCCGGCAGCATACTCCAACAGATCATATCGGATCTTCCACTCCAACAAGCGGGCCTTGGTCTCGGCCGGTATCCATGACTGGGAGTTGAAGGTCACAGATATGGGGGCTGAGTTCGGGTGGTGGCTGGCCATACGCAGACTGTCAGTCCTCCCTTCTCTGTTCGGAGACCCCTTCGCACAGAGGAGACCTCGAAAGGGGGCATAGGGGAAGGCGCACTCACATGAGGAAGAAATCGAACTTGTTGACCTTGTTTGGACGAAATGAAGCACCGGCAGCCATGAACATATTCGCGTCGAACATCTCGGCCGTCCTCTCCTCCACCTCGTCAGGCCTCACCTTGACCTTGCTCAGTATCTCAAGCATCTCGTCCCCAGCACGCTTGAAGATGGTGTCGTGGAGATTATACCTGGCCTCGTTCGCCAGCTCCTTCCCCAGCTTCGGCTGGTCGCGCACCTCCCTCAGCAGCGACGCGATGCTCGGCATCCTGGCCGCGGGCGCCCTGCCGTGCGCCTCGTTGGCCATGTTCTCGGCGGCGAAGAGCTCCTTCTTGAGGTTGTCGTGGTGCACGCACGTCTGCGCCAGCGCCTCGGCCACGATGGCGGGCTGGGCCCACTCCATCGCGTACATTAGCTGGATGAGCGGGTGGAGGACGCCGGCGTAGAGGCGCACGAAGAGGTCTTCGGCGGCCTCGCTGCCTGACAAGAGATACTCGGTCACGACGGCCTCCCAGCCCTTCTGCTCGATCTCGCGCTGAAAGAAGGCAAGGAAGTCCGGGTAGTGCTGGCCCCTCCCGAGGTACTTGCTCGCATGCGACCACGTCTGGAGGTCCTCGACGACGTCCTTGTGGGTGGGCTTCGCCGGCAGCTGGTAGCCCGTGTTGCCATCGAAGCCATGCTGGATGGCCTCCGCGTCGGCGCCGGTGCCGTAGAGGGCCAGGAGGTGGTGGACTATGTGGTTATGGAAGCCTCGGTCGTTGAAGTAGACATGGAACACGTCCAGGTCTTTCTGCAGGAGCTCGGTGACCTTCTTCGCGACCCCGTCCGTCTGCTTGACCCCCCACAGGCCGGTGTCCTCGGGGCTGATATGGATTCTGTGAGCCGATGCCATGGTGCTTGATCTTCGCAGGGAATTGGATGGATTATTTCTGAGAGTGTAGCTTGCTAGCCTTGACAATATCATCTGCAACTGAAAGCAGTTGGCCTGATGATAAACTTTCATTCCACCGCCAGCTCCCTCCACCAGTGCCCCCTTTATGCTCCCAAACAACCTTCTTTGAAATGTTCCACCTGCTGTTTTTCGGACTAGAGTGACTAATTGATATCCTGCGCTCTGGTCGTGAGAGGGTAGGGCATCTCACGGTGACTGGTTCGGATCACGTCGAGGGGTCGTCACCGAGCGGAGAAGGCAGGAGATGCTCGGGGCTGGGCATGGATCCATGCTCGCGAGGCGAGAGCCCCGAGATGTGTCGTTGAACGTGTGACCTCAGTGACAGAGACTGAGTGCCGGGCCAGTACGAGGATAGGACAGGGTTGATGCTACGTACGTAATTGTCACGGCCCAGCTGGGAGTAGGCTTGCTGCTTGGAGCGAGCTGGGTGGGCGGGTAGGAGTCCTCGGATTACTACGGTGTGCGGACTGGTGGACTGGTGGACTGGTGGACTGGACGGCCTAGACCCAGGACTTGGACTGGACGGATGAAGCTTAATAACATCAGGATCACAATTGCTCCATTGTCCGAGATCCGAGATCCGAGAGCAATGGATGTCGTGCCAATTGTCAGCAGCCGCCCATACTCCCCATATTAACGCTGCTGCCGTTGCCGAGTTTGTGGGGTTTGCGCAAGCCAAGTCGACCAGATCCCTTACTCTGTATGACTATCACTTGTGCATCCGGGCCTGAGCCAGCTGTGCCGCCCGGAGATGCAACCCCTTCTCCGACGCGAGACAGCGGAGAAAGAAACTTTGACCTTGCGGGAGCTAAAGGGGCCTTGGGCAACCTAGCTCACCCAGGTGCTTTAATCACGACAAGCTCTGAACAGGCTCGTAGTATGTGAACCTTGGCCTCAACCTCGAAGGGGGACCGAACACGGACTCGGGGACCAGGCCCAGGGGCAACGGCCGGCCAGCATCATACTAGAAGGGATTGGATGCGATGCATATCCGGACGGATCTACAGTCCCATTCCATGCCTGTCCTCTCAACTTCCTCTTTTGCCTCGACTGGGATGCGGTTGCTTTGGCAAGAGCGTATTCACCGTCGTTCCCAAAACGGCCACCCAGACGCCTGGGCCTGCATACCTTGCATACACAGCAGCGGCATGGGACGGCTTCACCTGTATGGGTCCTCGTTTCGAGCCCAGCCTGACGAGCTTGGCCCACCGCGTGCCCTTCCGAAAAGTGCTCCCCCCGAGAAATGCTTACCGTGGTAGCTGTCCCTGCACGCCTGTGCTCACCGACGAGGTCAGAATCCGGTCCACGCTTCATCGACGCCTCCTCGCAACAGAGCGTCAGACGCGGGTTCGCTCGCTACACACCACGAAAGCGGCAATGGTTGCAGGAAGGTGGTGAGAAGAATGCAACGTGGTTCACGTGAAGCGAGGACTTGGGACTTGCTGTTCCGAATTTCGCAGCTGCCCAGATGGGAATGACCCCGGCCACCCGGACCCAGATCCACGGACCGTACCAAGGTTCTGACAGCCCGCCTGAAACCTCGCCCACCAGGCATCATCGCAGCACGCCACGACGCATACACTTTCCTGCCACGCAAGTCCTCATCGGCCATGCTAACCGAGTCCAGCCCTATCCGCAGACCGCCACCGGATCTCCCAAGACTTCCATGTTGCCTCTCTCGGTGCGCCGCGGCGGCCCCTCCTCCGCCAAGGGCGAGCGTGATCGACGGCCAGGATCTTGCGACGGTCACCACAGCATGCGGCGCCCGAGCCTATTCTATTCTCTGCCATCGTTGCCTCCCTGGGCGCGGTGTAGTCATGGGCTATCCGTTTCCTCACCTGTCAGCCTGTCAGCGCGCCGCGTGAGAGGACATACTCCGCACTTGTCTCATGTGACAGCTTTTTATGCTCGTGGACCTGCCCACGGTGAGAAACATGAGGCGGCACGGACGGTGGACCTCGACATCGGACGAGTTTGCGGGCCTTGTTGGCGACGCCTCGGTCTGGCCGCCCCGATCTGGATGTCAAGGTTTATCTTTGGGGGGGCCTCTCATGCGGGAGCTTCACCTGGCCAGTGCCAGGAAGCGAGCCCTGCCAGGTGGTCATATCCCGCAGTTCTCGCCGTGCGGCCTGCTTGGACTGGAGTTTGATCCTTTCCGTCTTCTAATCCGCCTTGGACCTTGACGTTTATTCCTTTTGTTTTGACTCCTGTGGCTTCGATTCCATGAGTATGGCTCTGGAAGCCCCACTGTCTCTCTTAGACTACCATGAGGAAGCCGTGCTTCTCTGAGGTGGCAAGTGTGTATGGGCTGGTAGCCTGCTGGCTGCATGGAAGGTTGGCGTGTGCAGCAGTCCTGCACAGCCGTCAAAATACAGGAGCCCCTTCGTCCGGATGTGTTCGCCGGTCATTTGCTGTGGGGACAGTCCTGGGTGACTTCGCCTACATTGATGGCGGCGAGGTATCCCAGGCCAACGGAGGTCAGCCGTCGGGCAATAATGTCCCGAGTCCAGGTGAGTTGCAATACTGAATAGATCCTCGCAATATCAATATCACTGGTGAGAGTCACGGCTTATTTGTTCTTGTTTAGAAAGCTCAACGCTATCAATAAGTCTCCGGGAGTCCTGGACCAACTCCACCGTGCCCATCCAGGTAATCCAAAAGCCAGCACCCGTCCTCAACAGCCAAGCCATATGGACCGATGAATCAACAAACTCATTCTGGATCTGGGGAGGAGCATCTGCAGATGGGACCCCGCCCCCTCCAGACCAGACATGGCAATTCTCCGCCGATGGGAATGGAGGTGGCTCCTGGAACCTGAAGCCGCCGTCAAATCCGAGAATCTTCAACGAACTGTCACGTCCCGTCGGGTGTGCCCACACCCAAGGCGATGGTGTAGGATATTGCATGGGCGGGCTCCTGACCAGCCAGTCGAACGCCTCGGTGGCGAGCGACTACGCCGTGGCCGGCCTCGTGAGCTTTGGGATGAGCTCGTCGGTGTGGACCAACACTTCGATCGAACGCACGCTCGTGAACGCGCAGGCCGAGTACGCACCGTTTGGTCCCAACGGCCTCATATTGCTTCTTGGCGGGACATCAGGGGACTCGCCGCCCGCTCTCATCGACTTCGTCAACATCACATTCTATGACCCCATTACGAAGCAATTCTTCTCCCAGCAGGCCACCGGCACCATCCCCACGTCCCGTCAGCGCCTCTGCTCGGTGGGAGTCCCCGGGCCAGGCAATACCTTCGAGGTTTTCCTGTACGGTGGCCTCATGGCCGACAACACCGTCTCTGACGAGGTGTTCGTGCTGTCACTGCCGGGCTTCGTTTTCGCCAAGGCAGACAACCCCGGTGCGACCACCGCGCGTGCCGATCACGCGTGTGTCGCCGTGGGCAGTGGCAAGAGACAGATGCTCTCCATCGGGGGCACCGACGCCTCCAAAGGCTACCCTGCAGAGTTCGCGGACCCGGACCCATGGGCTCAGGGACTTGGGGTTTTCGACATGACCGCTCTGCTCTGGACGGATGGGTATAACAACGATGCTGGAGCTTATGATACCCCAGAAGTTGTGAAGCAGTTCTATCGTGATGGAGGGCTGGACAAGGTTCAGTGGACAAGTGACGAGGTAAAAAATTTGTTCAGTTCCAGTAAGTCAGGACATGAGCATCGTCCTTGTAAGGTCCTCCATTTGGGTGAGAGTACTGACATAAATCCAGCCACGCCGGGCTTTGGTGCAGGCTCGAACAACAACAACCCTGGGGGTGCCACTAGCGACAATAGTAATGATAATAATAACAACAATAACGACAACAACACGAACGAAAACGATACAAACAGCTCTACCGGCAGCGGACTAACATCAGGTCTGTCGAGGCAAGCCATTCTAGGAATCTCAATCGGGTCATCCGCAGCCCTGCCCATCCTAATAGCCGGACTATATTTCTTCTGCTGCCGACGGCGGCCCAAAGCCTCCAGATCGATATCCGCCACGACGACAACGACTATCCACCACCACCCCAAACGGCGCAGCTCGGACGCCAGCAAGGAAGAACGCGATCATGACTACAACCTTTCCGATGTCAGCAAGCGCCCAGCAGTCCGCTCCATCGACAGCAACAAGAAAGGACACCTAGCCGTTCCATCCACCCCTCTGGCACGGCGGTCCCTGGAGCAGTACAGCGTACACATCAAGGGCAACGCAACGCCAATCATCATCAACAGCAACGCGCTGACAGAAACAAGGCCGCTCATCTCAGGGACAGAACAGCAGCAGCAGCAGCAACAAGGACCGCAAGCGCCAAAGCGGGTCAGGTTCTCGGCGCTGCTGAGGCCGCCGCAGCGCAAGCCCGTGCCCGCCCTCCAGCCGCAGCAGGCCCTCGGCGGCAACCCCGTAACAATTCGCTCGGAACTGGCCGACCGCCGCGGGCGCCCGGCCCTGCAGGCCATCCGCACTCGCGCCGCCGCGGCGGCGGCAGCGGGAGGAGGGGGCGGGCCTGTGAAGAGTGGTGGGGTTCGCGTGTACCAGGGGCCGTCGTGATGATCAATGACGGGGAGAGGGATATAACAGAACCTCTTGCTTCGCCTCCTGCTGTTAATTTTTTTTTTCTTGGCTTCTATTTGTGTGTCCCATATTTCACGAAGGATGTACTGTCTGGACTTGGTTCACATAGTAGCCGTCTAAATGTATAGACATTGGCCACCAAGGCTATCTCTTCATCTTGCTGGGTGCAAGATGCCTGTACCGTTACCATTGAATGGGCAGGAGCATCAGCATGAATACCACAAGGGGCAGCCCCCTCGTTATTCACAACAGTAATTATGTAGTCAACCATATAGACCGTCCAACCCGTAATATCTGGATATGCTCGCTTAAGTCATCGCCTCAGAACCCCACTCCAAGAAGTGCCCGCCACCTTGGTCTTCTATCAAACATCCCTTTCATCCCCACCCGGTGACGCTCTGGTTGTCATTGCGCCAGACTACAGATCTAAGCTTTTTTCTTTTCTCTCTCGAAACGCGCCCCGCGGTTAATAAAAGCTGTTGCCACAGCTTGACCTTTGACCTTGACCGAAGATGATTGATGATGCCTCCTTGCGCCGTGCCCATGTCTCTTTTGAAATCGTTGACGTTGCCCCCGTTGTGTGGGTATAAGAGCTTCTTCGATGTCGTGATCGTTTCGTTTCATCTATGAGTCGCTCCTTTCGTGATGGCTCAAGGCCCGCAGTGAACAGGTCGTCCAGCCCGCCATGGCCCGTCATGGCTGCTCTTACTGGATTATCGATCACTGATCAGACTCTGGCTTGTTGCCTTGTCGTATCCAATGACCTCAGTCAGGTAGTACATCCTACCACGATCTGTTAGCTTCCCACAACTTGGGACTGCGAAGGGTATGACAAGGTTGCTTACTTCTCGACCATGAGCTCCTCCGCGAACGTGTCTTCGAAGCTCTGCTGACACTGTATCCAGGCCATCGTCCTCTTCTTGGGCGATATCTTCTTGACTGTCAGTTTGAATCTTCCTGTGACAGGCCTGTGGTCCGACACCCGGACCTCGTGCCTCCTGTAGTCGATTTGCTGTATCCTTCCTCTGCCACGGAACAGCAGACGGTCGCACCATGCAGGGCTGCGCTTCTTCTCGCTCGAGTCGTAGTTGTCTGTGCCCACGTCGTACTTGTACGTCGGCGCGAACGTGATGGGCATCTCCTCGAAGGCTCGGAGCTTGAAATCCGGTTTTCTTCGACGCGCCACTAGGAGTTGGTCTCGTTCGAGGAGCTTGGGGAGGTTGCCCTGCTTCACCGCCATGACCACCGTATCGCGGCTCATGGTGTCGATCCGGTAATTCAGATCGCCGTTGAGGATGACAAGCTCGTGATCCAGGATCATGGTGCCGTCACCGCCCCCGGCATAGCTATCGATGCGGACACTTGGGTCGCGCTCCGAAGGTAGAATGGGGGCCTCAAGTATCGCAGCAATGTCGTTGTTGCGACTTTGAGCTTGCGACTGCCCTGCTGCCAAATGGCAGTTGAAGAAGCAGAGAGAAGTGTCGTCAACCATGAAGCGGATTATGATAGCACCTTTGTTCCCGTGCAAACCGCCCATGCCTCGTTTGACCTCAGCTGTGCTGAGATTCGAAATCCGATCCCGAACGTCGGCCTTGACGAAGATGCAATAGAAGAGACCGACCATGTGTGAAGTTTGTAAGAGGTGGTACAGATCCCCAGGCATGTAGTCATCTAGGCTTCTGATGAGGAAATCCCTCCAATCTCGATATTGATGGCTCATGCGCTCCTGGTCCGATTCTTTCTTCTTGGATTTGAAGAACCGCTTAGCAGTGGCGGTCTTGTCCTCCAAATCAACGAGCTCTTGGAAGGCGAATATCAAAATGTCCGGGGAACCGCTGCCCTGTAGCAAATTCTGTATGAAGACGGAATCCGACTCGGAATAGCGCAGGCTGTTGGGTGTAGAAGCTCCGGCATTCCATGTCATTATCATGGCCTTGAGCGTTTGGAACTCGCAGTATTGCACGTCTTTGGCCTTCATTTCCGCTTCAAGCCAGTCATCTTGCAGCATGCCGTCCCATACCCTGATCATATTGTCTGCACCCAAGGAAAGAACCTGATGCCTCTCTAGCCTGTACGAGCTCGAACGATCGGCGATGATCTTGAGCACTGGTTCGTTATGAGCTTGCCACTCTTTCTTAACAACCCATGGGCTCTGGTGGACGTCATAGACAGACACCCTGCCGTTGCTGTAGCCTGCCCAAATGTTGCCGCAGGTCCCTGACAGGGAATTGATCTTGAACGTGCTGATGTTGAGGACTTCCAAACACGAGTAGTCTTTCTTCGAGTACACAGTGACTTTCCCGTCGCTGTGACCGAAGAAAACCTTGTTGGGATCCGAGGGGAGCATGGCGCCTGCAGTGACATCGCCGGCGGCGTCTTGGAATAATGAGCGAAGGAGCACCTGGAACTGGGCCTTGCCATCGAGTGTCGGGAGGAATACGCGTATCTCCCTGCCCGTGGCATGCCAGAGCTCATCACCGACGACCATGGAAAATGTATGGCCCTTGGGCACTCGGAACGACTGATGTGGGTGACCCGACAGGTCAGGCGTTCCGTCGGGCCCAGGTCCCCAAACGTGAAGGGTCCCAGCCTCGTCCAGGGTCCACAGCTCGTTGAAGTGCCGATATATCTTGACAACTTCATTCCTCTGGTGGGCACCGGTCTTGGTTGAGACAAGACTTTGCGTTAATATGTCCGCCTCCATCAGGTCCCCATTGTTGTTTCCGATCCACAGTCGCTTCCCCTCCTCATCAACATTCAAGCCAGGTTTGAAGCTCACAGCCGTAGCCTTCAATCCCTCACCGTGCTGAAAGCTCATGACGAGTTCCCCGTCCCTCAAGCTCCACACCCTAGTAAGATGCCCTGAGGTGCACACGAGGTCGCCACATGCATCGAAATTCCTCGCATCCGACTTGGTTACGATTTCCTGTTGCCCGTGTTTCATGTAGGGAGGTTTCCTGTTCGTATTTGAAGCATCCGGGTATGCTCCGTTGACAACTGCAGCTGACTCTGCAGACTTGGCAAGCACGACGGCTTCAGAATCGGCATTCCGCGGCTCGGTATGAGGAGCGATGGCTGCCGCAGACTTTCTGGACTCAGCGGGTGGCCTCTCGGCCCCTCTGTGAGACACCGTATTTGCCCTACCGGTCATTGTTGGTGTTGGTTGCTGCACAACAGGTGTCGAAACGGTTCGCTTCTGGTTCGCTGCCGGAATCACTGCTAGACTCGAAGCCGGAACCCCTGGTCTCGGAGGTCTTGGAGGTGGTATTTTCTCGGGTGGTGGCCCTGACTTCTCTATCGTCACACTCTGTGGTCTCGTAGGCAGTGTCGGCCGCGGCTCCCCTGTGACGTCTTGAGTAAGCTGGCCCCTTGCGGATCCATCCAGCTCCAGCTCTCGATCCCTCCTCTTGCTTGCTATCGACGGATGAAGTGGCGGCGGGTCGAATCCAACCTGCAGAGTCTTGGCTGTGGCAACGGGCTCTCTCGGCGGGCGTGGCCTTCGCGGCAGTGTCGGCGGCGACCCTTCGTCGACGCTGGCAGAGCCACTGGTAGGCGGGCTGCTGAAGGGCGACACTTTGTCGGGCATGTTTCTTCTCGACTCCATCGCACTGTCTGCCGTCCAAGAGTTCCTAGACCTGATGAGCGCCTTTCCAGAGCGGTTGGTTGGCGGAGGCGCAGGCGCAGGGTCGGCCTCGCGCTGTCGCCGAAGCTCGGCAGACCGTCGGGGGGGAGGCGGTGAGGGAGGCTTGAAGGCCACGACTTTTGGCGATTTCCGAGGATCAAGGTTCGGTGTGCGCGAGCGACTTGGGATCTTGAAGTTTTTGCCCGGCACGGCCGGCGAGGTGGCCGGCTTCACGACATCGTCCGAGTTCAGGAAGCTGGGCTGGTCGTTCACAGCTATATTCAGAGATCGGCCCTTGGGAGGGGACTGTGGCGGTTCGACGGTGAGGGCGGGAGCTGGCACAGGTCGTGGGGTGAGCGGAGGGGCAGGGAAAGCGCTGCGCGCAGGAGAGCACGGGACGCCGTTTTCCTTGGGGAGAGGAGGTGCAAGGCCAGGCTTGTGCTTGGGTATGGGAGGAGGCTCCTTGGAAATCGCGTTTGTGTCCCTGGGCTTGTCGGGGCGAGGCCCTGGGGAGGCATTCCGGCTCGAGGGTTGAGGTTGGGCTGGCTGCGGTTGTTGGGGCTGCGCCTGGAGCTGCGGCTGATCACCAACCTTGCCAATGTTTTCGAAGTGCGAACGGAGAGAGGAGACTGGTTTCTGTCGTCGGTTGTCAGTCATCCGCAGGGCGCCGGGCTAGAGGGCAACAGGAAGGGCGAGGATGCCCCTAGACATCACCCGGGACCCAGAGCAGTAGGACTCACAATGGAGGATCCATCAGGCCCTCCTTCCTCTTGAGGAGCCGCCATGGCCTGGTGTTGTGGAAGAGGGATGCGGAACAGAGAAGGTTGACGGCGGCAGCGACGGCGACAGCGACAGCGCCGGTGACGGTGACGGTGACGGTGACGGTGGGGCTTGCGGGCGCGGGCGTGGGAGTGGGCTCGTCGTAGTTGGGGTTGGGCGTGGGCTTTGGACTCGGGCTCTGGCTCTTGGGGCGCCCATCACTCCAAGATTGAGCAGTGACTCGCAGGAAACATGCACCAGTGAGGAGGCCAGGCAAGCGGGCTGTTGTTGTTTTTGTGACTGACAATCAAAGACGGAAAAGGGGGGCTGTTGGCCCCGGGCGCACTGGGTAGGCTAGACTTGAGCAGACGCGAGTATAGATACCACTCTGTGTATTAAGATGCGATGCTGGTATGTGCTCCGTACCACCTAATGTACGTAGGCATGCAGAGTGCAGACTAGGTACCCGTCCAAGGCACAGCGGCCACCCTCCTGACTGGGTGAGCAAGGGTTGTGCGTGGTTGGGGTCTTGGTGGGCTGGCAGGCGTGCCTGGATTGCCAACGGTACAAGCAGTCTACCCCGTACAGTGTGCCCATGTACCCCTCTGCAGGGGAGAGCTGCTGGGTACCGTCGCTCGTACTGCGTACCTAGGTAGGGCGTATGTAGTCTCCAGCGCGGTAGGCAGGTAGGTAAGCAATCGAGGCATCCGGATGGGGCGAATCGGGCGGTGTTTTGGGGCTGGCCCTGAGGGATTGCGTCAGAGGCCCGCCCCAGCCTGTCTGTGTGTGGTTCTGGTCTCTCTTCTCTTGTGACAATCTCAGTCATGCTCACTGCCTATGCAGCTGGCAGCGTGATTAAGGTAAAAATGCAGGTACCTGGCTGTTCCTCTGAGCCTGGCTCCGTGGCCGTGCCATTTCTTTCTATGTTTAGATACGTTTCCGGCCTAGCTCGAGGCCTTGTGTCAGTGAGTTGGTTTGAGTGGTGCGAGTGCCAGTCACCACAGCATAATATCCCAAGGTTTCTGTCTACCAAAGAGGCCCTTCTCGAGGCCACCCACATGGCCACCTCTGACTCCCCCCAAATTGCTGGTGGCCAGCCTTGAAACATGGTTGGCCTGGCCACCATCGGGTCCGCCACGCCTCTATTTAGATTGATGGATATGCATGTTGAAATAAACACATGTCGCTAGAAAATGACTGGCCGACAAATCTTCATCTTATTGAAGGTTCCTTGGTACTCCCGATATAATCTGGGTGGGCCTGTAATGAGTTACCCATACGCCGAACCACTCGCACCCAGCCAACATAGGTTCACTGGCCGTGCTGGGAGTTGCTGGTTCATATCCGTCTAGTACATACATACATATAGGTATGTATGTGTGTGTACATGCGCAGACAGGTGGGCAGGGAAAGATGAGACGAATAGGGGTCGATTGCCAGCTGGTGGTAACGAGTAGCGGCAGCCGGTAGCTTGCCTATGCACGTACCTGGGTGCCCAGCGTCCTGCCCCACTAGCTGTTGCTGCACTAGCTAGCGTCACGGCAGGCAGGCAGGCAATGCGGGAGCTAACGGAGCTCTCCCGCGACATTTTTGGAGGACGGGACCCCGATTCGATTCACAACTCACCGGCTCCCAACCCACAGCGCCACCGCAACCACACAGCAAACTGCTCTGCTCAGGTAGACACATCTCTCACCGTCACCCCACCTGCCCGATAAACACCCGGCAGACATCACCCGTCAATCAAGATTGGCAATTTCTGCCCGACAACATTAATCCATCCGGAGCAAACCAATCTCAGCAAGAGCAACGACAACACCAATAGTCTACATCTCAATCGCAAGATGAACACTGTACGTCTGCTCTGTACCCTGCCAAGCCTGCCTTCGCATCATGAGCTGCTTTCGCTGACGAGGATTCCCCGACAGGTCAAGTCTTTCTGGTTAGCAGATCACCACGGCCAAACCACTGACGAGAAACACACTGACCAGGTCGTTTTCACAGGCTGGGCTGGGGCTCTCTGTGTGTTGGTAAGTTGGTCCTCGTGCTTTTGCTATCCTCTCCCTGTCAGATGCAGCCACACCTGGCCATTTTCATGTCTCGCCTGGCAGTCACTGACTTAGCTGAACCGTCTCTACAGCCGGCGCCGGCGCATACGTCGTCGCCAAACGAAGCATCAATGCCGACCGCCAGGCCCGCCTCGAGGAGCAGCGCAAGAAGAAGTCCATGATTGAGTCCCTCGAGTATTCTCAGAACGTCCCGTCTCACCCGGGCTCTGCCTCCGCCATGGGTGGCTCTCGCACTCGAACCGACGATCAGAAGGAGCGCCCGAGGCAGGAGGAGGACCGCGTCGACCATGCCTTCCGGCCAAGCCTGGAGATGGCCGCCAAAGAGGTGACGCCGACCGAGCCTCTATCTGACAAAGAGTATAACCGGCTCTACGGCAAGAGCAAGTACGAGAGCTCTACTCCTTTCAGGAGCACAAAAGGGGACCGCTTTTCCTAGATTGCGAGGACAACAGCTTATACGGCGTACAGGAGGTGACAGGTAACCGGTCGCCCAGCCCTGTCTGCCACAACCGACGATCCCGCCCGCGAATACCGGAAAGACGATTTGGGGAATATCTGGGGTCTCGGCGGGGAGCAGGAGGCATATTTTGGAGGCCACAAAGGCCTGGCGAGTCACTGCACTTAGGCGACTGGCGCCTCATGGCGCATGTACATTATTATGACCGAGACCGCATGTGGAACTGCGGCAATGAAATGGAATCGCCACTTGATCTTGCCTAATTCCTAATTGTACTCGCAGCATCCGAGTCCAACTCTTCAAATCGCCTCGTGGGCAGCGCCATGGCTCCTCTCATGGGCATCAACGCTCTTTGGATCTTGATCGTGATATGCCATTGTACTTGACCGTTCATGTAAATAAAGACCCTGCATTAAATTATCAAAGTACTATACGCGTGTCTGTACGTCGCGTCGGGCCCGAGTCGGCCGATTTTCCAATCCACGCACGGGCGGGCCCAGCCCTGCAGCCCAGCCTGCCCTGCCCTGGCCAGCTCCAATTCTAGCGCATCTCAATCGGAACTTTCCTCCAGCTGCCCCCCTGGTTTCCCGCTTGCGCCGAACACCTCCACACACGTGGGTTCGTCACCCCCGTTCCCTTGCACGTCACTTCGTCAGATCATTTCTCTCCTCTCGAGAATGTGCCCGTGATACCTTGAAGGGCGCGACACCGTTCCGACGCCCGTGACCGCACTGCCCAGGGCTACCCAGTCAACATGGCGGCCGCACAGCTCGCCATCGCCAAAGCCTCCCTCTTTGCGTCCCTCCTCAAGGCAGACGCCGACGCCGACCTTGCGTCGTGTTCTCGCGACGAGATCGAGCAGTTCCATGGTCTGCTCAACGCGGCCGTCGTCAAGTGCTCACCAACCAACGTTCAGGTTTGGAACACACACGCCACTCCGTTTGACATGAGCCTTTGAGCCCCGGCTAAACATTTGCTTATATTCTCTTTCGCCGACAACAGAAATGCAAGCAATGGATCCTCCAGCATCTGGTCCCCTCTCCTGCTCGTGCGGCCGCATTTGGGAAATACCTGGTCGCCCTCGCCTCTTCTTTCCCCAGCGGCTCGCAGAAGGCGCCTGGCCCATCCTCGAAGCGAAGGAGGCTGCATGTGCTCTACGTCCTGAACGATGTACTGTTCCACGTCAAGTTTCGCACACGGAATCATACCTTCTTCGACAATATTGCACCGCACCTCTCTGCCTTGTTCAAGGGCGCCGCCTCTTTCGCGAACGCACCAAAGCACTTGAAGAAGTTGCATGATATACTCCAATTATGGGAGAAGAAATCCTATTTCCCGGCATCTGTGCTTGACTCTTTGCGCGCCGCCGTCGAAGAAGGGCCAAAATCTCAAGGGTCGGAAGCGAATGGTGGGCCTGTGGCAAACAAGGCGCATGCAGCCTCGACAGCACGAGAAGCACCTTTTATACTGCCGTCCATGCACGGCGACCCATCTACGCCATGGTACGACCTTCCCGCTGCCAATTGGCTCCCCGTAATAGAGCCGAACTCCACGAGACCTATGAATCCGACCATGATCAAGCCGCTCCAACTTGCAGGTGGGCCGGCCGACAAGAACCTCGCCGACGCAGTGAAAAAGCTGCTGGGCGACGTTGATAAGATTTATGCGAAGGATGCGCTTCTGGATGGCGACTCAGCGGTCGATGTCAGTCAGATGGGTGAATTTATCGAGCGAGACGAGCTGGGGGATATTGTCGGCGGTGAGACATACTACGGTTGGTCGAGGAACTTTTGTGAGAAGATGAGGGCACGAAGGCTGAAGGGAGACGGAATGGACATGGATGATGAGCAAAGGGGCCGACGAGGCTCATCGCGGTCGAGCAGCCGGTCCCGGAGTCATAGCCGGCGGCCCTCGTCAAGGCGAGGCTCCTCGCGCCCTGCCACTAAACGACGTCGGCTCTCGCGTTCGCGAAGCCGGAGCTGGAGCAGCGCGTCACGATCTCGCAGCCGCGCAAGGAGAGGAAGCTACAGCCCACGGCGGCCACGAAGCTATTCTCGCTCTATGTCTCGGTCGCGGTCTCCACGGCGTGGCCAGAATGGCAGAGACGGACCCAGGTCACGGTCGCGCGGTTCATACTCACCACAACCAGTGCTGTCAACAACCCAAAACACGCAAGCGGTAGGTTATGGCCCCCAAAAAGGCTATGCGCCGCCAAACCCGCAACAATATCATCACCAGCAGCAGCAACAGCAGCAGCAGCAGCAGCAGCAGCAGCCGCCGCCGCCGCCCGCCTCGTACCCACCTCCGAACTTTCCCATGGGCGCACCACCACAGCCCAGTAGGTTCAACTCTTGGAATGCAGCTGTCCCACCTCCTCCACCTCCTCACTATCAAGGTCAGTGGCCTCCTCCGCCGCCACCACCGCCACCACATATGTCTCCCACAGCAGGCAACCACGGGCCACATCAGCCACCTCAGGGCTGGTTCCCACCTCACCACTCCTCGGGTGGACCTCCCGTCCCGGGCCCTTCCCCAGGCTCGTGGGGCGGCGGTTGGGCGCCTCCGCCTCCGCCTCCGCCTTATTCGCCTCAAGGACACCCAGAGCAGCAGCAACCAGGAGGGTTCCAGTATGGCAGGGGAGGGAATGGCGGCGGTGGGTATAGGGGAAGAGGTGGCGGCGGCGGGTACGGCAGGGGAAGAGGGTGGTGATCGATCGTAAGACCAGGACGACGTTGGATCGTTGGATGGTACTGTGCTGGATAGATGGTGGCACACGGTGATGGTCAGATGACATTGAACGAATGCATATCTTGTAGCTGTACTTTGTAAGCGCTGTCAGAGCGCAGGACTACCAAGCCAGCAAGATGTCACAACATTGTCCACCTCACGACCCATCCTCACCAATTGTCGATGACAAAAGTACGTATGTAGTATGCACGGCAGAGACATGCGACGTCGTCACGGCTCAGCTGAGAAATGACATGCTTCTACCTCACACCATCATGGTAATAAACAAATATGTAGACAAGAAAACAAACAGATTCAAGAAAGAGAAGAAGAGTAAAAAGAGCTTCCTTCTTTTAAAGCGTTGTTCGTTCGTCCCCCAAAACCACGATATCGGTACGCCGACACGCCAATATGTCCCGTCTTTTTGCCCTAGAGGTGGTTTTGCAGAAGCTTTGTTGACTAAAAATTCGTACAGTTAAAAATCCTTGAAAGGTGGCCTCTTGCCTCCCCCAGTGCCTCTTTGTTTTCTTTCACCACACCCCCATCCCGTAACCGTCCTGCCCAGCGTGAGCAACGCACAACTGGTCCTGGCGAACGACAGAAAGGGAGCTCGACTCCCCTTGCCTGTACCACCCAGCCTTTGCTTGCCACAGATCTTCAGTCCTAATGCCACCTGGTCTACCAAATCCACAGGAAACCAAAAGTCCCGCTAGAGTACTCGGACAGCCCCTTGTGACAGCGCGCGTTTTCTAATCGAATGTGGGAAGAAGCGCTAGCGAGCGCATCCAAACTTTGTCTGGGCCGGCCAACAGAAACAAGTGGTTCGGCCCGGGCCAATTCAGTCGTCCAGAATTTCTAGCCTGAGCCGCCAGCATACCCTTCCTCCTCCAGCCATGATCTCGGATTCTCAAGAGACGTTCTGGCATTAGTTGCGCAAGGGAAACGAGAAAATGAGGCCTTGTCCATTAATCGTTCGGCAAACCTCTCCGCATGGTCGATTTCCAGACGCAACCCTGAGCCTGATTCGGTCTGACACACTGCTGAGGCAGGACACAGTGATCCAAGGTTATCGCCCGCTTCTCGACGACCCCGCTGAGCTCTGCCTCTCGTGCGTGCCCGGCCGCCGATCTCTTCGGTCTCCGTCTTGCAGGTTCAGCGAGTCGAGCCGCTTCTGGTTATCTTCTGTGCCGTCAGTCTCTTCCGTCTGCTCATCTTGGAGTGCCGCTGACCCATTAGCCTTTTGTTTGTTGGCCAAGTCTTGAATGGCCGCCCATTTCCTCTCCCGCTGCTTCTCCCTAGCCGGCGCGCTGTTCTGCTGCTCCGTGTACTCCTGGGAGCAGTCGTCGAAGAGTTGAGGGTTAATTTCCATGAAGAGTTTCATAGCGTTGTACACCATCCCATGGATAGTCCTAGCACTGGGTCAATAACAGGAACCCCACGTTTCCAGCGTGACGGGACGAAACCCACCTATTCCAGTGCCCCTTCGAGTTCTCGTACAGCGGCGCGAACATGATGGGGAGGATGATCTCGACGTTATCGCTGACCAGGTTGCAGAAGTACTCGTTGTTCCAGAAGTACAGAGCACGCTCTGCAACCTGGAAATGAGGACTTGCCACCGACTTGGCGAGCTGGTGGAACAAGGGTTCCTGAACCTTGGCAAACTCCGCCGGGTCCATAACCTCGAAGATATCCTCTACCTCGTTCAAAAACATGACCTCCTTGGTGCTGTTTACCTTTGGCCAATAGCGCAGGAGACCAAGCACCACCTGTGAACCATTAGAATTGGATCTGTACGTGGCTTGTTAGAATTTGGAGTCTCACCTCTTCCGTAAGGGACGCATCCTTCTCCAAGAATTGAACGATGCAATACGCAAGCTGTGGGTGGTACATGCTGAGGCTCTTTGCTTTGTGCAGAGGTATCAGCGTACGTGTAAGGAACAACTTGTGTTCCTCCTTCAAGGGCAGTGCGAATCCGTTGATAATGGACCCCAGAATTTCGAGGAGTTCGGCCACGCCGTTGAACCTTTCCGTCTCGTACACAAAATGAAAGAAGACATTGTTGATGGATCGTCGAATGAAGCTTCGCAGATTGAGGAATTTCCCGTAGATCCTGTGCAGCGTTGTCTTTAGGAAATCGCGCTCACGAGGGTCTTCGGAGTCGAAGAGCTCAAGCAGCCGGAGAACAAAACTATGGTCAATGTAGGCCTTCGCGATGTTGGTGTTGAAGTCCTGGCTCTCAATGAAGCGCAGGAAGAACTCGTAGACGACCTGGATGTGAGGCCAAGCGACTTCCAGCACGGGCTCATCCTCTTCCGGGTCGAAGGCTTCGCCCGATGGGTTCATTGGCGGTGGCAGTGGGCGGAACAAGTTCTTGGCGAACATCTCGACAACCCGCGGGTACATGGGTTCAGTGATGACCTGCCGGTTGTTGGCAACGTAGTCGAGCAGCTCGTGAAGCGCCAAGCGCTTGATCTCCTTGGACTTCATGTCTCCACTGGCATCGTTGAAGTCGAAAATGACGTTGCACTGGTCGATCTTCTGCATGAACAGCTCCTGCCGACGATTAGGCGGCACCTCGTGAAACCCAGGAAGCTTTTCCAGCTCGCGATGCGCCGAGATATCAAACCGAGACGAGTGCTGCCGCTTCGGAGTCCGCAGTCCCTCGGGCACGTCCTTCGGTGTCTGCTGCAGGCGGTCGAACATCAGGGATTTCTGGCCGGCTTTTGGAGGCGCCAGGTCATGCGGCATGGTCTCGGCCGCGCCGGGCGGAGGGACATGGGGAGCGCTGGGGCTGATGATGACTGTGGGCGGGAGACCGCCGGAGCGCTGGGGCGTGCCTCCGCCATTAGCAGCCTGAGGGGAGCCGCCGAAGGAGCCAGATCCCGAGGCAGAGCTCATGTTGCTCAAGGGTGACTGCCCTGGTATGCCCTGCTCTTGCCCATGTGCTCCAGCGCTGTTAGGGGGAAGAGGCTTGTTTCGGGTGTCGGGGAGGTTCGACGCGGACGACGAGGGCGTGATTGTAGGAGACTGGTTGGAAGCGTCCCTCGATGCTGTGCTGTTGGGGGAGGCTGTGCCGTCTTTAGAGTCCTTCTTCTTTGATGATTTGCTGGAGTCTTTCCCGCGCGACAGCTGTGATGTGTGCGAGCGAGCGTTAGCAGACGTCCGACGAAGGTCGAGCCATCGGGACATTGCTGGTAGGAAAGGCGTGAAACTTACAACCCTCTGGCTGAAGCGCTTCATCTTCGAGGAAAGTTGCTTCTCTGTGGTGACGGTGTCAGCAATGGCCAGCTGGATGGCAATGGCGGGGCCTGAGGGGGTGGGAGACAAGCTCCGCGGATGGCGGGAGGGCGACGGCTCAGCGCAAATGCACGGGAAGGACCGCGTGTGGCTGTCCCGGGACCTTGGGGGAGAGCCCAGGCAGTATGTGCTTGTGTGTGTGTATGATGTTATGTGAGGTGTGTGGGAGTGATGCGGGGAGAGGACAAATGTTGAAGATCTATCTACCTGTTCAGCCTCGCGGGATGGCAGGGGGAACGGCAGTAGGCGCTGACGACAGATCAATGGGTCGTGGTCCACGTCTAAGCCAGTCTCGCTGGATGGTCCGGAGGAGAGGGAGGGTGATTGGCAACAGGGCGGCAGCAGGTGAGGGCAAAGCGCAACCAATTCGCCAGAGGGCAGGTCAGACTGATGCGCTTGGCGGGTCCCAAGGTGGGTGGTGAGGTTGTCGGGATGGCGAAACGATGGGAGCTTAGGTAAAGGTGAGGAGGGCTGGAGAACAACCTTGGGGCAGGGTGGTGGCTCAAAAGGGGGCCGGACAGGGGTTGTCGAGAGGGCGAAGGGGAGGGCAGGGAAGCTTGGAAGTGACAATAGGGTTTATTAGGCACAACCAGTGAACCGGTAGTAGATGGATGGAGGACGAATGGATGGGCTGAGGACGGCCGTGGGACGAGCAGAGCAGGGCAGGGAGGCTTGGCTGGCTCGCTGGCAGGTGCTGGTGCTGGTGCTGGTGCTGGTGCTGGTGCTGGTGCTGGTGCTGGTGGTACACAGTATTGAGGTTGAGGCACACGCAGGCGTGCAAGCGTGCAGCAGGCATGCAGGTGAGTTGAGGGAGGAGGATCGGAGGTGCGTCTGGGTGATAGGCAGGTACTCATTTACCGTTTGACGGGGAGGAGCCGTTGGCGTCTTTGGAGTCTTTGGTGGAGGGCATCCGTGATAGTCGAGCAAGGCCCATCAAGCCTCGATCAAAAGCCTGTGGGGAAAAAAAGAAACCTCGGCGATGAAGCGCAGCAGGCAGAGCAGACAAGAGAGAGTTGGAAGATGGCAATCCGCAATCCGTGAGGGTGGGAAACTCGAAAGGTTGGGTTTGGGTTTGGGTTTGGGGTCGGAGGACACACGATAGGCACTGACTGGCACGGTGCGGTGCAGTACGGTGCGGTAGAGGGTAGCAGACCAGGCGGCGAAGCAGTCTATCCTAGGTGGGCGGGAGCTGCGAGTCGGGAGCTTGGAAGGCGGGAGGTGCCAGAATACGGTATAGACCATGGGATTGAGTTCGGGTGCATGTGCAAGTAGAGCACTATGTGGTAATAACAGTTGGAAGTTGCAGGCGCAAGGCACCGCTTGCCTGCCAGGCCCGCCTGCTTGCTGGGGTGGCCGGCACCTGTCCACTCTGACCTCAGTATCCAGCTCGGTGGTCAGGGCGGACCTGGCCTAGGACCCCACTGGCCGCCGCAATTAGAGCCCTGTGGTTGAGCCCATCACCCGTGAATTTGGGACTGCGGGGCTTGCAGACGGCAAGGACAACAAATGTCCGTCACCGGTTGGCCCAGAGCGTGGTCCAAGGTGATCTCCCGCCGCCTCGTCATCGGGTCGATGCACGCAACGCACGGCATTCCTCTGCAGGCTGCAGCAATAATTCATCTGTGTGCATGACTATCTGTTGCTATATTTCTGCAGAGCACTGGCTACCTAGGTACTGTGTGCCCAGGTGGATAGGCTGTTATTACAGTAGGCGTACATGTACTTCAAGCAGCAGCAGGGTGGGACGAAATGTGGCCCACCTCGACCAAAACACCGGAGCGAGTTGGGGATATTCAGGGTTTCTGGACATTACAGTACCTCGTGCCTCCCTGGGTCTGCTGTAACCGTGTCTATACCTCCCATAGCATGTATTGTCTACCTATGTAGTGTAGTTCTAATTGTTAGCCATCACTTATGATCTATGTGTCCAGGAAGGAGTGCATGCACAAAGATGTAGGCACATCGCCTATCCGCCTGTAGCCAGGTATCTGTGTAAGAACGTCACCAAAAATCGAGGGCTTGAGTGGCCAGAGACCTTCACCTACAAAGCTCGTGGCTGTTTTGGATGATCTGGGAGACCTGATCCATGCCGTTGCCATGCAGTGCCATGCCGTGCAGGACCAAGCAATGAGTGTGCGTCTCCGAGCAAAAGAAAGGCAGATCTGTTTCGAGAGAGCACGGAAGCTTGGGTGGTGGCTCCGGGCCCGCCTGCAGCTCCTGCAGGTGCAGGGCCCATCCTGACCTCCAGTGTGACCAGGGGACCAGGCTAGCAGGTAACCAGGCTCTGTCTTTGGCATCTGGCTGCCAGCTGCGAGTCCCAAGTCCTCATCAACATTGGGAAGGCTTCATCCAACAATCAATTCACATGGGCCGCAACATTAGACCCTCTTGAGGTAGCTTTGCATCGCCTACATAGATGACACATGTGGAACCCATCTCATCTCTTTGCTAGAGTGAAAGCGCCGGCATCTCAACCTTCGACACACCACGGCCCCGAATCTGTGGCGAATGCACCAAACACCACTTCCAGTCCAGCACTGACCAAGAAGTCCTTCCATGACCTGACTTGATGGACTCCTCAGCCTGCTACCACACACAACATGTCGTTCGTGGACCTGAATGATGTCGAGGAGACCGATGCGCTCCTGAGTGCTGCATCGCCCTCCGCCTCCTCCGTCTCAGATGGCCAACCACAAGCTCCCGCTTTCAAGATACCCTCACGGACCATTGCCGCCGTTGAGCATCCCTTTCTGATCCAGAATCTCGACAAAGGCTTGGACACTTTTGGTCCGAACCCTCAGTTTCAATCAGTGAGACCACACCACTTCCTTCTCCCACTTCATCTTGATCCAAAATTCTAACCTGCATACTAGGTCTTGGATCCATCCAGACCCCAACTTTCTGTGCCTCTATATCTTCAACCCCAGGATCCTGCCTCGAGGCCAATGATGTCCCATTATTCATCATCTCATAATGTGCTCTTCAAAATTACGGTCCCGAAAAGGACCGGCCGGAAGAGGAAGAGGGGCAGCAATGGGCCGTGGCAGGGCGAGGTTGACCAACCCGCTCAGGCCACAGGGCCAGGACCCGAGAACCTGCGCTCAGAGTCCAGACTTGATGATCCAAAAGTTTTGAGGCGAAAGCTCCAGGACAATGTTGATCGTTATCGTGCCGAAGCCGTCGGTGTCATCAAGCACACCCATCGCTACAGAGGCATGGCCGACTTCAACTACTCCATGAAGAACAATAATTTCATGAACGATTTCAAGGACAAGATCTTGTCTGGTGATGGTAAGAACCACAATGATTCCTGCAGTGACCTCTTACTCATATGAATCCTGCAGTGTCCAAGTTCCGTCAGTTCTCCATGAAGCATGGGGTAGAAAAGACTCCCCAGCAAGAAATTGTTGCTCCACCCCTTATGACACAGATCAGCGTGCCATACTACTACTTCTACTCCCAAAATCCCTACGTGAGGGTGGTTAGCACTAAGGATGGTGGCTTCGAGATGGTCAACACGACTTCTAGGGTGAAATCTGTGGGCTATTTCATCGGCACCCACGACCCAATACCCGACGCACCTACCGGCAAGCCAAGGGTCAAGGATCCCTTATTCGATGTGATTGTAAAGGCGATGAGAAAGCTCCTGGACGAGCGGCCAGTCTGGACGCGGCGTTCGATCATCAACAAGCTGACTGACTTCGCCTACGACCCCGATCACCCAGAGAAACGCTTCCCGCCGAACCTGTCACAGCAGCTCCTCAAGAATGCTATACAATACGCAGGCTACCAATTCAAGGGTGGTCCCTGGCGCGACTCCCTCTGCAGATACGGTTACGATCCTCGCGTGGACCCTTCAAGTCGTATGTACCAGTGCCTCATCTTCCGGCTGCGGCGGCTCCAGGTCGGTGAGATGGGTGAGATGTGGCAGGAGCTGCGTAAACGTGACATTTCAGGGGTGAAGGCGACCAATGACGAACACACCGGCACCCACCTGTTCGATGGCAAGATTTACCACGACGACGGCAAGGTCTGGCAGGTGTGCGACATCACGGACCCCTTACTGGCTAAGCTTCTCGCAGAAGCGCCCATACGACCCGAGTGCGACATCGAGGGCAGCGGCTGGTACCATCGCGGGCTGTGGGCGAAGGCGAGGGCCATTATGAAGTGCAAGATGAGGGCAATCCAGTTCGGGAGGGTTCTCCAGGACAGTGACTTCGATCAAGCATTGCAGGCGCGTGACGAGAGCCCGGACCCTGAAGCAACCAAGAGTATCGCCATCCCTACGCCCGACCTCAAGCTAACGGAGAAGGAGCTTGAGCTCATACGCGGCAAGAAGTACAAGGGGGTGGGGAGGATCCGGAATAACAAGCGGACCTCGTACCATTTCCCAGGAAAGAGGGTACAGACGAGACTTGGAAAGCCAGGTGAAGCTGGCGAGCCATCGCAGTCGCAGGAGGGTGACGGGGATGAGACGGCCCTGGAAGACGACCAGGACCGCGAGGAGGGAGATGATACAGGCATTGTGGACGGCCTTCCGACCGATTTCGAGGATGGTAGTGAGTATGACGAGGACGAGGGCGACGAAGATGAAGAAGACTTTGAAGAAGACTATGGCGAAGACGACGAGGATGACATGGCCGAGCGGGGCCAATACCAAGCATTCCAAGTCGACGAGGACGATGATGAGGAAGAAGAGCAGGGCCTCGAGGACGGCGATGCGGATGGCTGATTCCGGCGCCGGCAGAGACGTCGCGCAGGCTGGGTGGGAGTGGATCTACTTTATCCGCATCGGAGTCCCTCTTTCTTTCGATAGACAGCCATTAACTCATTGGTATATAGGCCCTCATGGACTCATCAAAGAAAGCACACCGTGCCTTGCCTTCCTCTGGTATCCAACGGCTTTTTCGTGAGGATAATATCGCCTGACGGTTACAGCTGAAAGGAAAGTCATGATATGAATTGGAAATGTAACAGCAAGGTAAGGACGAAAGGACCAAAGGGCCAGTAGCAAGACGAGGGACTGTATCCAGGGTCTTCTTTGCTGACAAAACAGTGGACGACGAAATCAATGCAGCAAGACTATCTATTTTCCCGGGAAAGAAAGTCGTCAACACAGTGGGAGGCAGCTAAGCTACAGATTGCCGCTCAAGAAATCCCTTATTCTTTCCATGCAAGCTGTTCGTATACTAGAAGTGTATTCATTCTCATGTCTCATGACGTTTCTAATTATGCTAATGCTAGCCAGCCTGTGCAACGTATCGCGCAACCCTCTCGTGGTGCCGTGGGTACCAACCATGACCATCACCACAAAAACAGAAAAACAAGACATGCCGTGGCAGGGCCTCACTGCACCTGCAGCACCTTGGTCTTGCTCGCCTTCTGCCTCATCATCGCCTCGACCCAGTTCTCCACCTCGGCGAGCGCCCGGCGCGGGTCCTTCTTCCTCTTGAGCAGGAATCCCTGCAGCTCCGCGGGCGAGAAACCGTCGGGGATCTTGGCCGCGAAGTCGGCGGCCACGTCCCTGAGCTCCTCGATCGTTATCTCGAGGCGGTGGTCGTCGAGCGCCTCGCTCGAGATGGTGCCTCCGTTGGCGTGATCGCCGGCGTGAGCCCCGTTCGGGCGGTGGTGGTCCGGCTCCGCTGCATGCGCGCCAGCCTTCTCCGGGTTGTCCGTGTGTCCGTTGGCAACGGGTTTCCCGTTCATCGCTGGAGGCTGCGGCACGACGGCCGCGGCAGGCTTGCGCTTCGAGTCGGCCTCGTACATGCGCTCGAACAGCTCGCGGGCCTGCTCCTGGGTGGCGTTGGTGAACGCCACCTGCAGGTCGACGCGACCCGGCCGGATCAGGGCGTCGTCGAGCGCCTCGGGCTTGTTCGTGGTCATGATCAGCACGCGTCCCTCGTGCGACGCGACGCCATCGATGGCGTTCAGCAGCCCTGACAAGCTGATGCCCTTCTCTCGTCCGGCCCGCCCTGCTTCTTCAGCTCGCGGGCGAGGTCGGACACCTTCCAGTCGTTAGGGCCGCCGCCGCCGCCGCCGCCTCCCTCGCCACTTCCAGTGCCATTGGGTCTCCCGCCCTTGCGGCCCTTGCCGCCTTCTCTTTTGCCGCCGTCCTTACCCTCACCCTCGACATCCACATCCTGATCCTGCTCCTCCTTCGGCCGCGCCAAGCCGGCGGTGTCGATGTCCTCTAGCAGGATGACGCATCGTCGTGGCAGGGAGTTGAACAGCGCCAGAAGGTCCTCCTCGGTAAGCGACGGCTCCAGGAGACTTATAACGTATATATCAAGGCCGAAGACACCGGCCAGCGCGAATGACAGAGACGTCTTGCCGGTTCCCGGCGGGCCGTGGAAGAGATAGCCTCGCCTGAGGGGAATGCCACGGTTGGCGTACCATCTCGGCGTCGCGGGGTGCAGGTACTCGTTGACGTCGGCCAGGAGCTGCACCTTCTGCTTGCCGTCGAGGACGACCGTCTTCATCGGGCGGACAGGGCGGTTAGCCACCTGGGCCCAGGCGTGACGGCCGCCGTACCGGCGCATATTCATAGGCGACGGCCTCTTGACGATGGTCTTTGCGTAGTGGTCGTTGTAGTAGGCCTCCTTGGCGTGGCGGAGCAGCTTCTTGATGGGCTCGGGCGAGCGGCCCAGGCACGAGATGACGAGGTTTTCTTTATCCTTGAACGTCTGCCCGCCGCTGCCGCTATCCTCGAGGAAGCTCTCCTGCTTGCGGTGCAGGCGGAAGTAGTGGCCCTCAAACCAGAAACCGTGGACGCCCAGCGCTGGGACGAACCGCGGCGGCATCTTGGCCTCCTGGTTCGAGAAGTTTAGGTAGACGCCTTCCCCGTCGGGCGAGATCCTAGTTGCTAGCACGTCGGCCTCGTCTTCCTCCTCCCAGGCCGTCTTGGACAGAGTCTCGGCGGTGAGGGAGCGCGAGTTGACGAGTTTAGGTTGCGAGGCCAGCCACTTGATCATGTGCAGGTAGATCTCGTCGCCACTCGATACGTGTATGCTGGCCATCAGGTACTCGGCGATGAACCTGTAGATAACCATAAAGAACTGGCGCCATATTTTATTGGCCGCCCAGGCGAACCCGGCCAGAGTCAGGATCATGGTGGGATCGATGCCTATACGCGAGCCGACCATCTGATGTAGTACCATGAACATCTGGACCAGAGGGTTCCGGCTGCCCAGGAGGGTGATGATACCTTCCAGGCCAGGCATGCCCCCACTCATGTTGGCCGCAGTCAAATTTGAGTTGAAGGCGCCATGGGGCAGCTGCTTGCCAAACGCGGCTTTGAAATCCATGTCGTAAGACTCCTGGGTGAAGGGACCAGAAGAAGCAGAAACCTTTAGTCTTCGATTTTGCTTGCTCACGATGCCCAGCCTCACGCGCACGCCTCCAACGAACCGTTTGATTAACCTGGGAAAGAAGGAGAGGTAATTAGAAAGAATACTTTCGAAAAGAAGATGAAAACCACAGTTCTTGGGGGAATAAATACTTACAAAGGCACCTACGAATATTGCGGCGAAGAGGCAGCCAAAGAGCCTCGTAAGTGCGCCGCCGACTTTCGCTGCCTGGGAACGTAGTGTAGTGGCGAATGGTACTTGCTGTATGGCACTGTACCTAGCCTGCAGAAGCCCTCAGCCCAGCTTTATTTAGTTCCCGTACGGGCTACTTATTAGTCCACAACCACACACTCTCTGGTTACGGTACTCCGGCAACTCCTGCATTACGTGGATTTCCCCTCTCTGCTGGATTTGGACTTTGAGTCAGCCCTGGATGCAAGGAAGGGTGCAGCTGCTGACCTAGGGCGAAGTGGCCAAGACACAATGGTATCGTCAGACGTGATCCGAGTGCAAGTCCTACTGTCTTGCTTGCATCGGTGCCTTGGCCAATGACTCTTACTGTAGTTCGTACGCACGCTGCTCCACCGCATGCGTGTACTCTACAGCCCACAGGGATTTATCCCAAAAAGTTTGCGGAGTACTCGACAGCACGGGGAAAATGTCCAGCCAGAAGACTGACCCCGGGAGATACCTGAGCTTTCAGGCTTGACTCTTCCTGCCTGGGCTTCGAGACAGACATGCCGTGGTATGGCCAAGTACTCTGTGCTACCTCAGTATGCCTCGAGCACAGGTCGACTGGCGTTCGCCACGTCAGAATCCGCCTTGTGTCCAGGCAGGCTGGCCCGGAAAGCGTCACACTATACGGGAGATGGTGTGCGTGTGCCCTACTGTGAGAGACGAAGCAGAGCCTCCCGGGCTTCCAGAGTGCCCCAGGTGGTCTCACTCCAAGCGGGGTACTGCTCGGCTGCTGGAAAGAAGCTTTTGAGCCGCAGCGCTGACGACGAAAGCCCCAGCAAGCCCAGCCTGCTGGATACCACAGTGCTAAGTGCCTAACAGGTAGGCAAGGTCACCCGCTTATATCTCATCCTGGGAATGGATGGTCTTTCATCCGAAGTCTATCATAACTCAGTCTACCAGGGTCTATCAATGTCTGGGACATACATGTGCCCTTTTGAGGCTCTGCGGCGTTTCCCACGAGCAGTGAGCCCGATACGCGTGCTCCACCGTTGCCTCGTGATACCGGTACCTCTGTGGAGGAGTCCAGTCTTGCAAGGTTTGCCCAGTGCCTTGAGCAAGCCCAGGAGAGCCTGCTTCCGAGGACGTTCTTGGGACCTGCGCGCCATCTCGTATTTGTTGGCCCCATAGCTGCCACCAGCCGGGGACGACGCCCTCAACGCACGAAAGCGCATTCATCACCGCAGTCACACATCCACCACCCGTTCCGCCGTCCAACGGGTGCTCAAGCCCGACCTGGTCCCCTCCAATAGTCCGTCCCGATGCAGCCAGGTGCATACTGCATTTCCAACCACGCGCGGAACCTTCCTCCTTGGGCAGCCAGTGTCTAGCCTCGTTGTATGCCAACGTACAAAGGCAGGCTGTGGAGAGCCAAGTGGCCAAATTCAACCACCACAAGCTGGATAAAAACGAGGGCTGGGTAAGGCAAGCGATGGCTTACGAGCCGAAGGAATCAGGCACCGTGAGCAGCCCACAGGGAGTCCTGTGAGGGCAAAGGGGGAAATAGCCTCGACAGTGTGTGTACATCACATCCCTGGAGACATTGGCCTGCTCAGGGGGAAGTCCGCAGTCCTCGGCGTCGACGCTCCGCTGCGAGCCCTCTCGTCCACCCACAGGTGACCTCCTGCGCCCTCGAGCAGCTCCACGCACTCCCTGTGGGCCGTCCTCCTGGCCAGGAAGAGCGGCGTGTTGTTTGCCGAGTTCCTGGCGTGCACGCTGGCCCCGCGGGTGAGCAGCTCTCGTAAGATCTCCACGTTTGCGCTCCTGCAGGCTCTCGGGTCAGTCTCGTCTCCTTTTGGTAAGATAGGCAGATGATGACAGGGCTCGTGGCGCATGTTGGGGGCCTAGACCACCAGCACTTGGCGACGGCGAGAGGTCAAAGGTAGAGCAAGAGCGAACGAGGCCGTTCAAGGAACTGAACCCGACTGGCTTTTCTCCAGAGGGCAACTTACATGGCCGCCAGGTGCAGAGCTGTGTTTCCGGCATAGTCTGCCATCTTCAAAAGTTGGTAGCTGGTCTCATCCCCCTCGAGAGACTCGCGGACGGTCCGCAGATCGCCTCTTTGGATAGCATAGCCCAGCGCTGTGAAGGCCGATTCGGCGGCTGTGAGGCTGCTCACGAGCGCGTCCAAGGTACCGGACGGGTGCGAGAAGCTCGGTGTTGTCATCTCGGTCACTGTGAAGATGTATATTAGTCAACTTCATAATTGCGCGGCGTAGAGCTTTCCTGGAAGAAGGGGCTGCTTACTTTCACCGCGGATGGAGTGAGCCATCTGCGCGGTAATGTCCGAGTAGGAGAGGTTCTCCACGGCCAGAAGGTACGAGAGCTTTGTCAGAGCAGCCTCCGTCGTGAGATCGTAGCCAAAGACCACACCAAGCTTGCCCAGAGCGAACCCTGGGGCGTAAAGGGGCGACACGAAACCGTTCGTGCACTGGCTCACGTTCACGATCACAATCTTTCGCTCAACGGCCTCCTTGATGACCTTGGTTAGGCTGCCGTCCACGCCGCCTGGCGCGTTGCCCATGCCAAAGGTCTCGAGGATCAGGCCCTTCAGGTTAGGGACTCGCAGGACAGAGTCAACCATCTCCGGCTTGATACCCGGGAAGATGCGCAGACAGGCCACATGGGCTGTGTCGATGTACTTTGTGACCTGGAACTCGGCTATCCTCGTGGGACGTCGCACCAGCGACCACTTGACGTCGACGCCGAGGCTGGTCACCTTCGCAAGAGGCTCACAGTTGGGGCTGTCGAAGGCCTCGAAAGCCGACGCAGAGACCTTGGTCGTCCTGTTGCCACGGAAGAGAGTGTGCGAGAAGAACAGGCAGACCTCGGGGATCACAAAGGTCCCTGCAATGATCAGGGAGCCCAGTAGATTGTCCACCGCATCGGATTGGAGAGCAAAGATGGATGCTTGGGAGCCTGTCAGGATGATTGGCTTGCCCAGGTCTGTCATCATGAAGGATAATGCTGACGCGGTATCTGTTCTCCTACATTAGCACTGATCCTGGCCCATTTCGACCTTGTGAGGCCCAGCTACAGGTCCCAAGAAAACCCCAAATATCATTACTGTCCAATTACAGGCGATATGAGCTTGTAATGAATCGCAGAGGCCATTTTTTGAGAGTCAGATGTGATCCAAGCAAGGGATTCCAGCTTAGCCACATCATGAGCGTCTTCTTGTTCGTCCTCTGCTAAAATTGTCGGTCAAGTCTCATACTTGCCTCATCTGTGCTGGCTCTGTCGTAGACAAAGACAAGTCTCCCGTTCATATGCGAGGAGCATCCGCTTTCCGAGGAGATGGTGTCACCAAAAGACAAACGGTAGAGCAAACGGCTGGTGACCAGATGTGTACCACTTCCAAGAACACTGACAAAGCAAACTACGCTAGAACACACACAAAACAGGAGAGTAACTACTCACAAGCTAAGGAATCCGTTCCATGGAGCACCACAAACCCGTCAAAGAGGTGGTAATTCTCCTTCACGGTGAGGGCGACCTCCGTCCAGCCGACGGACGAGATGGAGCTAGAGTCGAGCAGCGGCGAGAACTCGAGGATGCTGTACCGGACGTGGCGCGAGTAGGAGCTGGGCGGTGTCCGCAGGCTCTCGAGGCTGAGCTTCTCGCCGCCCTTGTACGCGTGGAGCCGCACGGGGGGCGAGCCGTCGTTAAAGGTCGGCCGGGGCGCCATTGCGTTCTCGAGGAACCCCGTCATGGGCACCAGCCCGTCCGCCGACGGCTGCATGCAGATCGTGCCGCCCGTCATGATGATCAGGACGCGCGACTCCGGGTAGTTGGCGTCGGCCCCGTTGGCGCCGGGCCCGTGTGCGTACCCCGTGGCCATGGTGCTGGTGGGTCGGTCAAGCCTTCTCTTCTCTTGTGGAGTTCCGTAGGCGAATTCGTTTAGACGAGAGAGTCTTTCAAGCTTTGCCTGATAGGGCTGATATCTGCGTGCGATGAGTGTTATCTCCGAGATAGAGACTTATAAATCTTATCGGTCCTTTTTCCTCTTCTTCTTCTCAAAGAGAGGGTCTGATCCAGGGCCGAGAACAAGGGAGGAGCTGATCTGGGCCATCGTCTTGGGCGGACGGCGGGCCGTTCCTTTCTTTTCAACGTTGGGCGTGAGTCGCTAGCCGGTGTTTCTGAGGCAAAATTTTTGGCCTATTACCCCATAATAACCTAACTTCCCAGGTGACCGTCGAATCCACATCGACATGATAATCCGGGGCAATTTGTCTGGGGTAAGAGGTTGCAGCGCGTGATCACAAGGCATCCGATAGCGGGAATATCTTAGATAATTACTGTAGAAGCCAAGATGCAGAATAGGGAACAGGCTGAGACGCCCAGTGAAGATATTATTTTCACACTCTACGCTATGGTAAATCGACTGCGCCTCATGTGCCAGCATTAAGTAACTAGTCCACCATAACCTTCACACCTCCAACCAACTTACACCAATTTACTTGTACATGCATATTCTGCCACCCTTCCCCCCCCCCCTACTTGGCTCGAAATCGCCTTGAACTTGAGCTCCCGGGTATCTCTCATTCCCGCCTATCTAACCCAGACTCTACCCAGCTGATTCTTTCAACACGTCATGGCAGCGCGTATCCTCGGCCGAGGCCCCGGGTGAGAGCACAACCTCCCCCTTCCATTATCCTATCACGCGGTGCGGGCTGGGACAACCGCACACCGCACCGCAGCCGCACCCCGTGTCATTGGACCTGCCGAACTGATTACATGTGAAATCCAGGGCTGTCCTATCCGCCTTGAAAGGACCAGCCCGGCGGCCTTCGGCTTGCTGCCCAGCCTCGCGCGATGCTCTTGCGGGGATAGGCGGCCGGCGGCTCAGCTCCCAGCTGTCCCCTGACGTCCAAAATGGAAAGACGCTTGGTTCTGTAACCAAGGCCAAGGGCAGGTTAAATGTGGGGGGCCAAAGGATACTCGATTTCGACCACGACCGCCAGCGGGAAGATGTGATGGAAGCAGTCGACGTCTCCGGCGGGATTGCCGGGTACAAGGCGCTATTCTCTGATTTAGGTGTCTTATTTTACCAACCAGACGGACGCCCCGCAGGCGAAGCTCGCACCTTACTGTAAGACAATGGTTTATAACCGGTGTCGGATGCTTAACTCTGTCGATGTCTACTTCTTGCTTTTCCTCATAGCCCGACTAACGTGAGACCACAGGCCGAATACATGGTTGAGGTGAGGCACGAACTCAGGCGAACCCCGCGAGGCCAACACGCTGACTTTCAATAGAGACAATTGCCGTTGTCCCAAGTGTGTCAACCAGGAAACCATGCAGCGAAGCTTCAATATTCTCACAGTGAGTTGACAGCCATCGCGAGCCTGGAATATGATCTGAGACAGGCCATTTTAGTCGCCTCTTCCCACCCCGCCGCCACTTGAAGTCCAACTTGAGCAGCGTGGTGTAAAGATCACTTGTGAGTTACCAAGGATTTGGCATTGCGAGTTCGGGAACCATTCTCAACACTGCTCATGTAGGGACCCATGAGCGCCACGAGAGCTTCTATGACTGGGCCTTCATCACGCGTTATCTTGAAGGCCATGCCAGACCCAAGCTCCCCAGAGAGTGCGTCACAGCTCCAATCGTTTTCACCATAACTATCGCTGACTCTCCTAGACCTCAGCTCTGGGGTGCCGAGATCATGCAGGACCCACCGACTGTGAAATACGGTGAAGTCATGGACTCTGAAGGTGGCATAGGCAAGATGACAAGCCTTATTGTATGAATATGGGTGTCGTCATGAAAGAAAGCCTGATGAGTCTGACTCCCCTCGTTGTAGATGAAGTTTGGGCTCGTGTTTGTCGAGGACACGCCGTTCGACGACTCGATCCACACCAAGAAGCTCTTGGAGCGCATCGGGCCCATTAGGGAAACCCACTACGGCGGCTTCTACGACTTCATCCCAGACATGGCAAAAGCAGACACGGCATACACCAACATAGCGTTGGCCGCGCATACCGACACCACTTATTTCACAGACCCAGCCGGGCTGCAAGCCTTTCACCTCCTGTCTCATACGCGGTCCCCGGACGAGCCAGATGCCACCGGGGGAGAGTCGTTACTTGTTGACGGTTTTCATGCTGCCAAAGTACTAAGGGAATCTAGCAAAACTCATTTCAGGACCTTGGCCCAGAGAACTATTCCGTGGCACGCTAGTGGCAACGAAGGAGTCACCATCACCCCAGAGAAACTGCTTCCTGTTCTCATGGTCGGGAAGGATGGCGAATCGGTGTATTTGGTCAGGTGGAATGCCGACGATCGAGGTGGTAAGTGGCCCTCGCAAGACAGGAATCGACGGATCCGACAGCTACCACTGGTCGACCCGAGTGAGCTGGCCGAGCCCGATTCTGAGAGCATGTCGGCACACAACATCATACATCAGCCGCGGACACTGACATGGCCTCACATCTTAGTGCTGCCTCTGAAGAACCCCAAGACTGATTCGATCCACGGAATGCAGTGGTACACTGCCGCAGCCAAGTGGGAGAAGATCCTCAGAAGCAAGGAATTGGAGTACCGGTTCCAGCTGAGGCCAGGGACGACGGTAATCTTCAACAACCACAGGGTTCTGCACGGCAGGACCGCCTTCACGGGGCTGAGAAGAATCTGCGGTGGCTACAGTGAGTCTCTCCTGACATGTCAACCCGCAGATCCCTCTGCTCGAGGATGCATTCAGCCTTTGGCCTCAGATGCGGAGACTAATTTGTGCGATGGCGACTTTAGTTAGCATGGACGACTTCCTGTCTCGCTGGCGAAACTCAAATCTGCCCCGAGAAGAGGTGCTGGCCCAGGTGATTGGATAATGTTGGCGGTTTCCAGGGCGAGAGGGCAAGGCTGCGAGGGAAGACGGCCTGTCTGCCCTGGGCCTTGGCGGAGCGGGATGGACGAGATGCATGTCCTCGGACCAGGTGTGACAGCAGGTGGCGGAGAAGAAAAAAAGAAGTATAGAAATTGGGAGGGAGCCTGCGATCTAGAGCAGCCTCGCTCAGTACATCGTCTACTTGCATATAGCTCCTGTGGTATACTTTAGTCGGGCATCGAACGTTTGAGTGGTGCTGGCGTATACATCTAGATCATACACACACAGTCAGGGCTTATGAAGCATGAGGTGCTGCAGGGCTGCAGGGCTGGAGGGGCAGCTCGCTCCGCCATGGCTGGATGTTCGGCACCCCTTTTTTATTAGCTCTCAGTCGATTGGCCATACAGGTACCTCGAATAGGGGCTTCGTATTCCTGGGCGACAGTTAGTCTGTTCAATCTGCTCAGTAGCGTGCTAACACTGGGCCTGGGCAGCCTGCCTCTGTTGCGATAGCAAAGTATCCCAAATCTGACAGCCTGACCCCAGGCGCGTTCGCAGTTGGCAAGACGGTCAGGAAGAGTAATAAGTCATTGGGAATCGAAAGGGGCAAATGCTGGGGCCTGTCGTCGCTTGTTTGCCTGGGCGGTACCCTACAGAGAGGTACACAGATACCAGGGTGGCACGCATGCTGTACAGGTAGAGAGCACACCGATAAGAGAGGTGCTGCTGCTCTGTGCTTTGTGCTGCTGTACCGCAACCAAGTCTAATAAGCTTGGGGGCAGGTCCCCTGGCCCGTTGGCGGGGCTCCACTCGTTCGGCAGTACCCCATCTGGCTGCGATTTTCCAGCTGTCTGACTGTCTGGTTGTCTGTCTGGCTGTCTGTTTCTCCGTCCTCCAATGCCCTGGTACTTGTTCTCAGCCCTACCTCGCCAACTTGCCATCCTCGCCCTCTACACCTCTCGTGACCCCTTCAAGGCTCTGGCGACGGCTTGCTGAATACAAGCATTCTCCCGATCTGCGGCGTGTCTTTTTGCTGATCCTTTCGGGCCGCCAACAGCCTCCAGACTTGAGACGAAAGACAGCTCTTTGCCGATTTGCCCTCGCCCTCCTACCCCTCGCCTCGCCTCGCCTCGCCTTGCCTCGCCTGTCCTCGCCTCGCCGCCCACCATGGACGCAGATGGCGCCGGTACGCCGGGCTCCCAGGACCCTCGCAATGCCCAGGTCGACAATGCGATCCGCGCCATACAGCAGAAGAAGCCCCTGCCCGAGATCGACTTCTCCATCCACCAGATGGAAGACGGCAGCCAAGTGAGCACCATGGAGAGGGTCTGCAAAGGTATGTGTTTCCCGCCCACCCCGCTTGCCAATCCTCGCGACCACAAGCCACAAACAACATGCAGCACGTCACACGCTGACCACGGTGGCGCCCCAAATCCAGATGTCCAAGCTCCGGCTATGCTCAAGCCCACCGACGAGCAGTTCTTCGAGGACAGCACCCAAGCCAAGCCCGACATTACCTTCCTGAAGTCACACTTCTACAGGGAGGGCCGTTTGACCGAGGAGCAGGCGCTATGGATCATCAGGAAGGGCACAGAGCTGCTGTGTGCCGAACCCAACCTCCTGGAGATGGACGCCCCCATAACCGTCTGTGGTGACGTGCACGGCCAATACTACGATCTCATGAAGCTTTTCGAGGTCGGGGGCGACCCGGCCGAGACGAGATACCTTTTCCTGGGCGACTATGTCGACCGTGGCTACTTCAGTATCGAATGTGTCCTATACCTGTGGTCGTTGAAGATCCACTACCCCAAGACGCTATGGCTGCTCCGAGGAAACCACGAATGCCGCCACTTGACAGACTACTTCACCTTCAAGCTCGAGTGCAAGCACAAGTACTCCGAGGCCGTGTACGAGGCTTGCATGGAGTCCTTCTGTTCACTGCCTCTGGCTGCAGTTATGAACAAGCAGTTCCTGTGTATCCACGGCGGTCTGAGCCCTGAGCTGCACACTCTCGACGATATCCGAAATGTGAGCAGTCCCGCGCGGCCACTCGGTCGCCACACGCTCCCCGCTCCACGCCGTCCCAGGCTGCTGACAGGTTTTACAGATTGATCGATTCAGGGAACCACCGACCCAAGGCCTCATGTGCGACATCCTCTGGGCCGACCCGCTCGAGGACTTTGGCCAGGAAAAGACCAATGATTACTTCCTGCACAACCACGTCAGAGGCTGTTCGTACTTCTTCTCGTACCCGGCAGCATGCGCCTTCCTCGAAAAGAACAACCTGCTGTCGGTCATTCGCGCGCACGAGGCACAGGATGCAGGGTATCGGATGTACCGTAAGACTAGGACAACGGGCTTCCCAAGTGTTATGACCATTTTCTCCGCGCCGAACTACCTCGACGTTTACAACAACAAGGCGGCCGTGTTGAAGTACGAGAACAACGTCATGAACATCCGGCAGTTCAACTGCACGCCACACCCCTACTGGCTGCCTAACTTCATGGATGTCTTCACATGGTCCCTGCCATTCGTCGGCGAGAAGATCACGGACATGCTGATTGCCATCCTCAGCACGTGCAGCGAGGACGAGCTCAGGGATGACTCCTCGTCATCTCCCGGCCCGGTGTCGCCGCCCATCACGCCCTCGGCCAATCTGGACCCTGACTCCGTGGAGGCGAAGAGGAGGGCAATCAAGAACAAGATCCTCGCGATTGGCCGTCTGTCCCGGGTGTTCCAGGTTCTTCGAGAAGAGTCCGAGAGCGTTACGGAGCTCAAGACTGTTTCTGGAGGGAGACTGCCTGCGGGGACCCTTATGTTGGGAGCCGAGGGCATCAAGAACGCTATCAGCACATTTGAAGATGCCCGAAAGGTTGACCTTCAGAACGAAAGGCTGCCTCCCAGTCACGAGGAAGTCCAACGGGCCAACGAGGAGGAGCGTCAGCAGGCGCTGGAGAGGGCAACACGGGAGGCGGACAATGACAAAAAGCTTCAGTCGCTCTCCAGGAGACTCTCGACGTGAGTGTGCTATTGATTGATTTCTGGAAAAAGGACAAGTTTTCTCACTGACGTGCTTCACAGTGATCGCGATACCCGTAAGAAATAATCTTCACGCTCGTATCGATAGTCCAAGATCGAATGCCAGAGGCGGGTGGGGGCAGAAAGCACTTTTCAGTCAGAGACGGGAAGCAATCATAAAGTCGCAAGTGCCCTCCCGTCTGGTAATTGGCAGGTCATACATGATCGATGTGTATGGGACAAGGGCTAGGACAGGGTCAAAGACCGGCGCAGCAAATTCATGCGTCGGATCCAGCAAGCGTTTTCATATTCTTGTCCGCAACACATATAGCCACAGGCTCGTGATGCCTCATTCCCCCCTTTTCTCACAAGCTTTCTGCCGGCCAAAAAAGGGCCGGTCATGATTTCGTGGTCACCACTGTATACAGCTGTACAGGCCGAACAATAGTCTAGACACAGCGAGGCGAAAGGAAGAGAGGCTGCTTCAAACAATCCAAGGGAAGGGGGGCCAGGAGGCGGGTGGGCTGGGTCCGGTACGTTCGTGTGTGCGTTTGTGTACCTCCCACCTCGACACATGATGGAACATTTACTTCTGTGTTTTCTCGAGCCTCTTGGAACCACGTGTGTCAACGGTGAAATGTGCTCTCAAATTTCTGTGCAGAGGGCTGTGCAAGTCCTTGTGTGGTTCAGCCCTTGAGCCAATATATACTCAGCCCTTGCCTTCCCTGAAACCCCTTATTCTCGTGTGACGTCAAAACACTTCCCGGTGTGTTGTCCCTCCCGGCCTATTGGATGATAGATGGTTGTTTCGCGACGTCGACGTCGACTTCATCGTCACTGCCACCTTTCTCGTCAGTCTGGGAGATGCGACTCTGTGACGCAGGAACCACCTCTGCTACCTGGTCACAGGGGCATGCATAACTAGCAATATACAGATGCTCAGTCGTATGAGAGGAAGAACGCAGGGGCGAGAGCGCATTAGCTTGCCTTCGCGTCAACATCCCCAAAAGTCAGACATACTCCTCACATACAACCCGCCCCCCCCCCCAAACAAACATCCCAATCCCACTCTGTACCCCTCTAGAAGATAGCAAGGATATTAGGCGGGCTCGCGACGCCGCCGGGGACGTTGCACGGCTCGCTGGTGACGAAGAAGCTCCAGCGCCCTTCCCGCGCGCACGTCTCGGCCAGTTCCTCGAGCCAGAACAGCTCGCCGATGGGGGTGCCGTACCCGGCGAGGAGCACCTCGTGCAGGGCCCAGTCCTCGCGGCTCGGCCAGGCCTCGAAGGACGGCTGATCGCCCGCCACCGCGGAGAAGTTGTCCCATACCCAGCGGATCATCTCCTCTGACTGCTCCACGCCGCCGAAGCGGTGCGGGAGCACGGCCTGGTACGCCCTCAGCTGGGCCTCGGGCAACTGGGCGTGTTGGGCGTGCCAGCCTGTGGCCGACTGTTAGTACATTGTGTGGTTGTCTGTGTGCGCGCATGCATGCCGGAAGGGAGACGGTTCTTACCAGTGCGCGTGAAGAGGATATCACCGAACTTGACCTCTGTGCCCTGGGCCGCCAGGCAGGCCTTGATGTCCTTCAGCGGAATGCTCGACGTCTCGAAGCAGTTGAACTCCTTCAGGGCCGGGTCGTCCTGCTTCTGGCGCCAGCTGTACAGGTCAACCAGGATCCCGCGTCCCACGATGCCTTTCTCGGCGAAGGCTGTGTGCGCAATGAAGGCACCTCGTCAGCCCCAAGTAACGTCTCCATCACCCCTCAACATTCACACCCCCGAGCTCGGACTCACCATGGATCCCGTTCACGGTCGTCTTCTTGCCATTGGCGTCCTTCCCATGGATGTCCTCCAGCGTGACACCGTTGTAGAACTTCTTCTCCTTCTGGTAGCCAAAGTGGCGGAAGCCGTCCCACTGGCTGGAGACCTGGGTATTGAACGTCCAGACGTCATCATTGACGATGCGCGGGGGCTTCTGGAAGAGCTCCTGGTGGAACAGCTTCCGCTGGAAGAAGCCGTGCTCGCCCTGGGCGTCGAGCGGCCAGTTGAGCGAGACGCGGGTGCCCTTCCTGATCTCGCCCCGCGCCGCCGCCGCGACCCGCTCGTCGGTCAGGCGGTTCAGGGTCCCCAGCTCGTCGTTGTCGCCGTACAGGCCCCAGGCCGAGTGGTGCGGGTCGCCCTCCCTAAGGGGCAGGTCGTCGAAGCTGGGGATGCCGTTCTCGTTCAGCTTAGGGGCCATCTTCAAGGTGTTGCTGATTGCTTTGAGTCTCTCGGCCATGCCCGGGACTTATACACTCACTGGGAAAGTAGATAGGTATGAATTTCTGAAATCAGTTCACCACATCATCAGACTATACTGCAGGTACATTGAAGAAATACAGTGTCTACCTACGTAGGTCGGCAAGGGCGGGGAAGCAAGCCCGACTCCAAACGGCCGGAGAAGCGTGCCCAGGGGGTAACAGCTCCGACATCGTCCCGCACCATGACGGAGGTGGTGGCCGGCGTGGTTCAGCACCTCGGTCATCTTTCACACGAGTGCGGTGACTTGACGTCTCAGGAGTGGATCCCACCGTCATCAGACGAGAGTTATCTTCCAGGGGGACGGTGCCTCTGCCTCAGGGTACAACCCTCGAGCCCCGTCTGTGAAAACCTTGTGGGGGGGGGGGAGAATGGGGGGCTGCCTTCCTCAATCTCATTGATATCCTATGAGAGGCGAAAACTCACAACCAGTTTCCTAGATCTCATACTTGGGATCTCCAAAGAGTTGTCAACGCATCACGATATAGATCACTATGATCTGATTGAAGAATGTCACTAAGTTGATCGACCTCCGTGCCTTATGATGCTGTCCGATTGACTGCAGCCCAAGTTGGTTTGTTGAGACGACGAGGCTGTGTTGGTGAAGCAAACCCTCACCAATGCCTCGCATCACCCCGGGTGCGATACGTCAAGCCTACAAGATCTCACCCCAGGCAGCGAAACTCTTGCCAGCCTGCAGAGACCTTCCCTCAACCCTCAACGAGCTGCGATGGATCCGTGAACACGTCAAAGAGCTCCAGCGCGGACGGCCGCCCTCACCCTTTATCACAGAGCATCAGGTCGCCTCGCTGTGCCGCCGGCGTGGAAAGGGCGTGCCTCTGCAATATGTCCTAGGCAGCCAGCCTTTTGGAAACCTGGACATGAAATGTCGCCCGGGCGTCTTGATCCCCAGGTACTTCCAATCTCTACTGACCTGTCATCATCACTCGTCCCCCCGCAGGTCCTTCTCAGAAAGCTAACCAAGAGTGAGCTGGCCCTGATTAAACAGGCCCGAGCCTGAAGCCTACACAACCCACCTGGCCAGCCTCATCAGAAGTGGTTCGCTCTTGGGCAAGGGGCATCACAAGCCCCCAGCAGCCCTGCGCGTTCTTGACCTGTGCACGGGGACGGGCTGCATCGCCCTGCTGCTCTACTCGCTCCTCCGCGACGCCGTCCCCGACGGCCTGCACGTCCTCGGCGTCGACATCTCGGCCCAAGCCGTGCAGCTCGCCCGTGAGAACCTCACCTACAACATCACCAAAGGCCTGGTCTCTGCTCCTCAAGCCCCCAGGCATTCAGTCGACTTCATCCTGGGGAATGTCTTCTCCGACTCTCTGCTCTCGGCAGGAGAGGCGAAAGGAGATGGAGATCGAGACCGGCCGCAGCGCTGGGACTTGATGATCTGCAACCCGCCCTACGTCTCCCGCTGGGCCTTTGCCCACCAGACCGCCCGGAGCGTCCGCAACTACGAGCCCAAGATCGCCCAGGTCCCGGCCGTGGCGTACGGCGGCGGCGCCGTCAGGCCCGAGGACGTGTTCTACGCCCGGCTTCTCGACATTGCTGCGCGTTTGGGGCCCAGGGTGATGCTGTTCGAGGTGGGTGACCTGGAGCAGGCCCTGCGCGTCGCGGAGATGGCCCTCGGCCACAAGGACCTCGCTAGCTCGGGTTCCGGCGTGAACGTCGAGGTTTGGAGGGATTGGCCGGACGCGGCGCCAGAGGAGGACGAGGAATCATCCGCAAAAGTCTTTGAGGGGAGTAGAGAAGTGCATATTAGAGGGAGCGGCCATGGCCGGTCAATATTCATACAGCGCAGCTGAGATACTGCGTCCTTCTACCTAGAACCTGTCCCTCTTTCTTGTTTCGGGGTAAAGTGAATGTTCTATGAATGCGTCCAGGGTATCATCCTCCATCTACAGCACGAAATTCACAACCTTGCCGTTCTTGACGACAATGATTTTCTTAGCTGCGCGAAGGTCCTCCACGGCCGGCAGCTTCTTGCCTCCGGCCTTCCGCAAGATTTCATCTACAACCAACGCCTCCACTTCTTCCCGCCCCATGCCCTCTGGTGGTACGGGAATCTCCAAGACGTCCCTCACCCTCCCGTTGATTTGCACCGCACAGGATTGCTCCCTGGGCTTCATGAGGGAGAGCGTTCCGTCCGGCACAGGGAATGGCACTGAGCCGGAAAAGAGTGACTCACGCGCCCCGAGGCTCTCCCAGCACTCGGAAGCAATTGCTGGTGCGACAGGAGCAAGCATTCTGACGAGCGTCGAGACTGCAGCGGCACGGATAACCTCGGTGGCGCTTGTCTGAGAAGCGATTGTGTTGGAGAGGATCATGAGGTCGGAGATAACAGTGTTGAGGGAGTACACCTCATGGAACGATCTCGTTACTGAGATTATCGTGTTCTGTACGTCCCGCCAAACACCAGTGTCGATGTCCCATTGTGTGAGCTGGGGACCTTTCATATCCTGTACTCTCGACGCACAAGCCTTGATATGCTCGGTCGCGTCTTTTTTCAAGATATCTTTGGGCGCGGACGTGGTTTTCGCCAAGTCATGCACCCGACCAAGCCAGCGTGTGACTCCCGAGATCTTATCCTCGTCCCAGTTGACCACATCGTTGACGGGTGCTTGGAATAGCATATGTGCTCTGGTGGCATCAGCCCCGTATCTTGCAATGAATTCTGTGGGATCTACCCCGTTGAACTTGGACTTGGACATCTTCTCGTAGCTAATGATGGCCGGGTCTCCAGTAGCAGTCACCCTCGGAGTGGATGGGTCACTCAAATCGACCTCGTCAGGCCTCAAAAACCGACCATTCGATGGTTCAATGAAGGTCTTTCCGTGTACCATTCCCTGCGTGATGAGGCGGGTAAATGGCTCATGGACGGTACCTGGTGGTTCTGCAGGGCCGAGAGAGGAGCCCATCAGGAATTTGTAGATGAATCGCGCGTAAAGAAGATGCAAAATTGCATGCTCTATACCACCAACGTAAAGATCGACTGGGAGGAGCGACGTCTTCTCCTTCGAGAATGGTGCCTCATCATTCTCCGGATCGACAAAGCGCATGTAATACCAACTCGAGTCAACGAACGTATCCATGGTGTCAGTGTCTCTCTTCGCAGCACCACCGCATGAAGGGCAGGAGGTGTTTACCCAGTCGGCTGCCGACTCAAGCGGGTTTCCTGGTTTGCCCTCCGCCCAGTGGTGATCTACCTCGGGCAACTCAACTGGGAGCTGTTCGGCAGGAACGGGTACCGTACCACACGAGTCGCAATGTATGATCGGGATGGGTGTTCCCCAGTATCTCTGCCGACTGACGAGCCAGTCTCGCAGTCTCCATTTCTCGACAGGCTTTGCTACTTCGGCAGCCTCAAGGATCTTGAGCAGCATTTGGCCGCCTTCTTGTGATGATTTGCCCCCGGAACGGTCCACTTTGGGCCGTCATCACGCCATGTTCCACGAAGGGTTCGTTGGAAATTGCTGTCGTAGTCTCATCATCGGATGCTTCTAGTACGATACGAACAGGCTGGTCATAATGATGCTCCTTCCAGAAAGCATTGTCTCGAAGGTCGTGGCCAGGGACGCCCATGACCGCGCCCTCGCCGTAGTCACCGAGGACGTAGGGAGCGACGTACACCGGCAGAGACTCCTTTGCTGGTTCTGGCGTGTGCTCGTGGTATGCAAGAGGGTTGATAGCCCTTATACTAGGGAGCATGTAGCCGACCTTGGAGTCGGGTGGGAGGCCGGGCAGAGTATCCAGGAAAGCCTGGAGCTCAGGGTCGGTCTCTGAGAGACGACTTACAATAGGGTGGTTTGCAGACAACGCCAGGTACTGTACCCCGAACAAGGTATCAGGTCTGGTAGTGTAGACTTCGATGGAAGCATGGGCGTCATTGCTGTGAGCCATGATGGGGAACTTGATCATTGCACCCTGCGACTTGCCCAGCCAGTTCTTCTGCATGGCCATGACCCGCTCCGGCCAGGCCTCATCTTTCGCCAGTACCTCAAGATTTTGCAGGAGCTCCTCACGGAACCTCTGAGATTTTGAAAAACCACTGCTTCAGACGGCGTTTCTCGACCTTTGCACCAGACCTCCAGGAGCAGCCATTAGCATCCACCTGTTCGTTTGCCAGCACGGTCTGGTCAACAGGGTCATAGTTGACCTCGGCTTCTGCCTGGTATGCTAGACCTTTCTCGTGGAGCATGAGGAAGATGCGCTGGGTGTGCTTGTAGAACTCGGGGTCGCAAGTTGATATCTCCTATACGCAAGCTGGTGTCAATTACAGGTCTAGAAAGTTGGCAGCAGTGGAACAACGCACACGCTCCCAGTCCCAGCTGCCGTTCATGCACTGCAGCTGGTCCTTCATCTTGGCTATGTTGCCCTTGGTCCATGTCGCGGGGTTGATGCCTCGCTGGAGGGCAGCGTTCTCTGCAGGGAGGCCAAAAGAGTCCCAGCCCATGGGGAGGATGGCCTTGTTGCCCTGGAGAGCATGGAACCGCGCAAGAACATCGGCGATTGTGTAGACCCTGAGATGACCGATGTGCAGGTGGCCCGAAGGGTACGGGAACATTGGCAGGATGTATTTGCTATCTTTGTGCGGCTTGTCCTGGCCGGTGGGGGAGCGGCTGGCCTTGAGGCGATCCCATTCCGCTCGCCACTTCCTATCCAGGGCAGGAAGGTCGAGCTTCTGCGGCGCTGTCGAGGCGGCACGCCATAACGGCACGGCGTGGTGGGCGCAAGATATTCTGCTGCCCAGGAGAGAGTGTGTATTGCCCGTCCTGGGCCATTGTCGGCCTATCGCCCTTGCGTATGACGACAGCATGGTGGAGGCATTCTTTGCGTGTTGCAGGTTGAAGCTAGGTGCTTCGTTTGCGCGGCAGGAGAAAGTGGTATTTGTTTAGTCCATGCCGTCAGATGTCTTGCTTGACCAGACCGGGACCAGCAAGCACGCCCGCAGTGACAAAAAAAATATTCGAGCTCCAAGCTATGGCGACCGGGTACCTCGCAGACAGGTATTTCAGGGTCCTGTCATCGCCTGAGGGACGATCAGATGGTGATCTAACCATGAGCGCCAGGTCAAAAAAATGCGGTAGGTCACTCGATCAAATGGCATGAAGTGAAATTACCGTCATATTCGGTTCATGCATATGTATACAACGAAATCGAGCACCTCCTGTTGAGGTTTCTGATCAAGCATGCTCAATTCCCATCAAGAGCCGAGGTACCGCCAAGATGAGTACCTCGTGTGCAAGGGTCAGTCAACGCGCTCCCTACCAGCCCCTACGTAGCTCAGGAGCTTGCCGAAACGTCCATGGCAGGGCACGGGCCTTCCGTTGGTGATACCTGGACCACTCAATCATCGCCTTGGCCCTTTCGGCTGTTCTAGCGCTGCAGAATCGGGCCCGTTGCGCCCCAGGCCCCCCAGACCAGCCGGCCAGACAGCATCGGGGCTCTTGGCCTGGATGCTTGTTTGCCCACCCGGCACTGCCTGCCGTCCGCCTGTCTCTGTCTCCTTTCCGCAACCGTCATCTGTCTCAAAACTCTCCGATTCCGATCTGCGAGTCCTGAATTCCATATCCAGCAGACTCACTCGGCATTTTGGACCCGACTAGGCTTTGGCATTTCTACCGTTGCTGCGTTGTGTCGAAACAACTTCTCCTACTGCACCATCCTGGCCTTCGAACACGTGCTTCCCGTGAGCGCGTACGCCGACCCCAGACTCGGAAGACGACTGGCCACGCCACGCCTCAGCAGAGCGTGAGGTTGACGACGAATTCTCGACGACCCTTTTTTGTTCCGAATATGTTTGGTATAGTTCAAATATTTGAGTAGCGGAAGAATTGGATCTGGTGGACCACGATATACACCCAACCAGTCGGGTGCGCTCGACTCGCCTCACCCCCTCCTCAACGATGCCACCGTTGTACTCCTCGAACCTGCAAGGGCACACGCGCGACTCGCTGGAGCTCGCGTCGCTCGCGAGCTCCGACCAGCTCGATACAGCAGAAACCGACTCGCGCCCCAGTATATCGTCGTCACGGAAGCTGTCACTCGAGCAGGATGACCCCCTGGACGCCGACAATCCGGCCGCCAACGGCCGGCCCATGGGCCACGGGCGTACATTCTCAGTGTCCTCGGGCTTCGACTTTACCGCCAACCTCTTCCCGCTGTCCTCGACCACCGGCGCTGGCTACACCCCCATCGGCGCCCCAGCCACGCCGGCGCAGAACGGCGGTTTGGGCGGAGGGTCCCTCGAGAAACACAAGACCCTGACGTACCTCAACGGGCTGTCCTTGATTGTTGGTCTGATTATCGGGTCTGGGATATTCTCGTCGCCGAGCCAGGTCAACGCAAACGTCGGCTCGCCAGGCGCTGCGCTCATTGTTTGGGTAATAGCCGGGATACTTGCTTGGACCGGCGCGGCCAGTTACGCAGAACTGGGGGGCGCCATACCTCTGAATGGAGGATCGCAGGTATATCTGGCTAAGATATTCGGCGAGATTTTTGGGTTCCTCTTTATGTGGTCAGCTGTGCTGGTGCTGAAGCCCGGCAGCTCGGCCATCATCTCCATCATCATGGGGGAATACGTTGTCCGCGCTGCCATTGGCGCAGAAGCGGAAACCATCAACCCCTGGATCAACAAGTCGGTGGGTTTGGCTGGGCTGTTTTTGGTTACGTTTTTGAACTGCGTCTCGACCAAGCTCGGGACAAGAGTGAATGACTTGCTCATGTTCATGAAGTTTATTGCATTGCTAGGCGTTACGATTACTGGGATCGTTGTCGCAGCCACTGGCTACTCTTACTCAGGGAAACCGAACCTGGACTGGAAGAACCACGAGTGGTTTGAGGGAACCAAGACGGAGACTTCGGCATGGGCGGTCGCCCTGTATGCTGGCCTCTGGGCTTACGACGGCTGGGATAACGTGAGTGCACTCGACTGATCGACCAAGTCGTTCGATGTCCCGCCGCTGACACTGTCTCAGACAAATTACGTGGTGGGAGAATTCCGCAATCCCAGCCGAGACCTGCCACGAGTGATCCACACGGCCATGCCACTGGTTATCCTCTCGTACGTGCTGGCCAACATATCGTACTTCCTCGTGCTGCCCCTGGCGGCCACCAATTCGTCAAACACCATCGCCGTGCTCTTTGGCTCCAAGGTATTCGGCCCGATCGGGTCGCTCTTCCTGGCCCTGATCGTCAGCGCGTCGTGCTTCGGGGCGCTCAACAGCTCCACTTTCACGAGCAGCCGCCTCGTCTACGCTGCGGGCAAGGAGGGCTACATCCCTGCCTTCTTCGGGCGCATCGGCGTGGGGTCGAGCGCGCCCGAGAACCAGCACGTGTCGACGGTGCGGACGCGTAGCTGGCTGTCGGGAGGGCTGGCGCGGCTGGTGGGCGACGAGGACAAGGGCCTCTTCTTCACGCCCATCAACGCGCTGGCGCTCAACTGCGCCCTGACGACGGCCTACGTCGTCGTGGGCGAGTTCGACACCCTTCTGACCTTCTACGGCGTCGCGGGCTACTCCTTCTACTTCCTGACCGTCCTCGCCCTCATCGTCCTGCGCGTGCGCGAGCCGAACCTCGAGCGCCCCTACCGCACCTGGATCACCACCCCGATCATCTTCTGCTGCGTCAGCCTCTTCCTGCTCAGCCGCGCAGTCTTCGCCGAGCCCCTCCAGACCCTCCTCGTCATCGCCTTCGTCTCCGCCGGCGTGCCCGTCTACCTCCTGCGCGTCAGGGGCAGCGCCCCGGCCAAGCGGCCCCGCGACTACGACGAGGACGAGTCCGGGCCGTGGTGGAAGTTCTGGAGGCGCTGGCGGAGCTGAGAGAGAGGAAAGCTTCTTTTCGGCGTCTTTTGTCTTTGGGCTGCGGCGTTGTGGGGAGGGCTAAATGTGCACATAGACGCAGCGGATTCCCCAGGCCCGCCGGGGCCAGAGAGGAAGACGAGAGGGGCATTAGGAAATATGATGTATGTAATGTTCTGGCAGTATAATAAAGACGAGCCGATGTTTAATGCCGCATCGTTTATGATGTTTGGGATAGACAGTGAAGCGTTCTCGTAAGAGAGCAACTTCGTGGGTTGGGTGTTGCACAACCCGCTCACTCCAGGGGCCTCTGCCTCAATTTGGCAGTATTCGGCTACGTGATTACCTACCAAGCAACACTGCGAGTAGTCCGACATCGTATTTTGAGAATTCGACGGCGAGTCACCCACAGAGGTGGGTCGAGGTCACACTTTCATTGAACGGGTGCCGTCTAGAATATCAACTTAATTTGCACAATTTGAGACATCCACATTCTTCGCTGTTCTGCTTGACTGCCTAACGAGCACGTTTAGGAAGTGGCCCGTGACCGAACGCGGAGTCAGCACATGCATCCGCCTCTTCTCTTTTGTGAGTTTGCACGGCATAACAGTACAAGTGTTTGTTTGATCATTTTTTCATTTATCCAACGTTTTAAGCTATGAACTATGGGAATCATGAAAACGTCCGCAAATATGGACAAACCTCCCCCAAAAATTGCCTTCGAACTCATGGCTTACTAAATTATCACCGACAGCTTGCACCTCACATTATTTACTTCTTAGCAGCACGCTGGCCGTACTGTGAAAGGGGTTAGCAATCAGTCCGCAGGGTTGATTAGGTCGGTGCAGAATCTTACAGCCTTGGTGGCGTAGTCGCCGTTGGTCACGATGAGATCCTCGGGCCGGTAGTCGAACTTGCCGGTCAGGTAGGACTGCAGGATGGCCTTTGTGCCGTCGGCGTAACGCTTCTGGGCATCGAGCGAGGTACCAGACATGTGAGGGACCATGGCGTTGCCGCCTCCGAAGGGGTTCTTGGCGTAGCGCAGGGGATGGTCCTTAGGCGCGGGCTGAGGGAACCAGACGTCACCACCGTAGCCGCGGAGCTGGCCGGACTTGAGGGCATCGGCGACGTCCTCCTTGACGACGATGGCTCCACGGGCGGTGTTGACGAGCCATGAGCCTGGCTTCATCTTGCTGATGAGGTCCTTGTTGAACAGGCCGCGAGTCTTCTCGTGCAGTGGGCAGTTGATGGTGACGACGTCACACTGTGCCAACATCTCCTCGAGGTTCTCGACGCGCCGGGCGCCAATCTCCTTCTCCTTCTCAGGGCTCAGAGGCTGGTAGTCGTAGTAGAGCAGCTCCTTGCAGTCGAAGGGCTTGAGGCGGCGCAGCACACGCTCACCGATACGGCCAACGGCGACGGTACCGACGACCTTGCCCTCGAGATCGAACTCGTTCTTGGCGGCCTCGGCGACATCCCAATCTCCACGCTCAATCTGCTCGTGAGCGGGGACAAAGTTGCGGACGAGGGTCAGGATGGTCATGACGACATGCTCGGCGACGGAGACGACGTTGGAACCCGTGACCTCGGCAACAGTAATGCCACCGTTGGTGGTGTTGGCAGCGTTCAGGTCAACATGGTCGGAGCCGATACCAGCGGTGACGGCGAGCTTCAGGTTCTTCGCCTTAGCGAGGCGCTCGGCGGTCAGGTAGCCAGGGTGGAAACTGTGGGTTGGCGATCAGTTTAGAGTCCTACAACAGCGAGCCGAAAAGGGGCAGATGATGACCTGGAGGGCTGGGTGGTGGTGGTGAGAAACAAGGGGGACTCACGGAGTGGTAATGATGATCTCGGCGTCGACAAGCTCCTTGTCGAAGGTTGAGTTCTCACCCTCCTTGTCAGAGGTGGTGACCAGAGTGTGACCTTGATCCTCGAGCCACTTCCGGATTCCGAGCTCGTTCTGGGTGGTGCCAAGCAGACCGGGGACCTGGAGACGGAGGATTCTTGTTAGCGAGCTGCACATCTTTTTTCCCCAGGCCGCGCGCCCAGATCGCGGCAGCCGCTTCCCCAATAAGCACCCCGCACTTCTCCAATTACGACTGTGTGTGTGTTGTGTGTCTGTAGCTCTTTCTCTGGCTGCCCGCCGCAACGGAACGCAGACGCATGGGGTCGATCCGCTCGTCCATGCGATTGACATCCACCACACGCCTGGCCAGAAACGGCAGGGTTGCCTGGGGTATCGAGAATTGGATCGAGCATCGGATGGATCGTCCAAAACCCCCTCCTCTCCCTGCCCTCTCTCAAGAACGCTACCCCGCAATCCTGTACCCAATCTACTGGGCCACAGAAATGCTGGCTGTCTTTCGTAGTGCGTAGCATCGCATAGCAATGTATAGCATAGCATGCACCGTCTAGTCCAGCCTGGGAATCCGCGTGCTGGGAGAGAGGAGAGATCGGACCGCTTCTGAGGAGGCAATTCGCAGCGTCCGTGCGAGGACCCGTAAATGCGAGAAGAGCTGCTGTCGGTCGACGGCGCAGGCGCATTGGGAAGTTTGGGTTAAAAAAAAATTAGGGAAATACTGGGTGAGCTTACCTCCTCTGCGTGCTTGCCACCATCGTACAGGACCATCAACACCTTGACCTTTTCACGAGGGAAACCTGTCAGCGACCGGATCGACATGGTTGGTCCCAGCTTGCTCCGGCATATTGAGCCTGGCAGGGCTGACGAGTTTGCGGCAGCCTGTCGAGATGTCACCGCCCCAGATCGAGAGGAGTTCCTCAGGCTGGAGACGGCAGAGGCGGAAGCTAGAGAGCTCAGGCCTCGGCTGCGCGAAGCAATGGGACCAAGAGAGCGGGCTAGGGGACGAGATGCAGAAGTAAGTACCATTTTGACGGATTGTGAGGCTCAATTGATATGAGAGAATATGAGGGAGGAGATTTGAGTTGGCTTGGCCGAGGAACGATGTCGACACAGGAGAGCCTTGGGCGGGCGAGCTGGTCTTATAGTCCTGGGAGGAGGGTCGAGTGTGCGAGAGCGCGAGAGAGAAGCTCGGAGGTTGGTCGGGATAACTAACGATCAGACCAGACAAGGCAATGACAAGGTTGAGTAAGAGGTATGGTCTGATTACGACACGATGATCTCGGAACAGGTCTGGAAAGGAGCAGGGCTAGGTATTTATGTGTCCCAGTCTAGAGGACCGATGCAAGGGGGAAAGGAGGAAGGAGGCGCCCAGTCTGGCGCGCCTGCCCGTTCCTCAACTCGAAGCTCTGCTCGGTGCCTCTCCTCTCGGTCCTACTCCTCCTACGCGAAGCATTCTCGTGTGTAAGAGATAATCCGGCGGGCCTGCCTCCAAGGCTATCTGCATGAGCTTGGGAGAGGGCCATCTGACCCGGATCCCTGCGCAAACGCCGTTGCCCAGGTGTGGCCCTGGGTACACGATACCACTGGGGCACCCTGATGGTTGGGTGGCGGGAGCTGGTCTGGAGCTTGATAGCATGGCAGGGCGTTGAGGTAGTGGTGACATCAAACGCCGATATTAACGCGCGTGGGTGTGCCTGGATTCCCATTGCCATGTCCCATTGCCATGCCAGCATGCCCGTCGTGGAGGTGGGGCTGTGCTCCACTCGAGCTTCTGTCTGGTGGATCTACTGTACTGTGTGTGGTCTACACTGATTAGTCTACGATGTGTGTTACTGCCACTGTCTGTGATGCTCAGCTCCTCCTTCCACCGCGCCGCGCCGCGCGCCTGCAATGCATGTCTCTGTTCAGCCGGAGCAATGGGGAGCTGGCACGATACAAGGCCAAGCCAGCCTTGGTCTCAGTTGTGCAGCAGCCCGTCGGGGCGTGCCTATGAGTGGCCATCATCGGCGACAGACGCCGACCCCGCATGGTGCTGCCCTCATTTGGGCCGTCCTTGGTAGTTTGGTGGTTTCGACCGTGTAGTACTACTGGTCACCGGTTCGCGGCCTGTTGCTCGATGAGGAAAGATGTCGGCCCCTCGGGGTCTGCCTGCCTGCCACCGCCGGCCTGTTGGCATGGCGTTGGCGGTCGTTTCTCGGGCATCGCTCGGCTTCCCCCCGCTCCATGTCTGGCGGAGCTCACGGACAAGTGGGACGGCAGGACGGGACCACGACCAAGACGTGTGGGGTAGGTAGCCCACCCCTCCAGGCCTCCAGCCCTCCAGTCCTCCCACGGACAGTGCTCCTGTGGTACGCTGTAGGCTAGGTCAGTATGTGGTCTAGCCTATGATGCAACAGCCACACTCCTCTGATGCCACGGTACCATACCTATGTGGGTGGTAGGAAGCAGGTCTGCAGGTTGGACATGCGGACATGAACCACGGGTGTGTGCTGTGCCACCAGGCTGCATACAATGCACACGCAGTTGAACTAGGTAGACTACACAATAACATGTATGGAATATAGTAGACAGTAGTCTGCATGGTACTGTGGTACTCCCTTGTTAGCATCTGGACCATGCATGATCCATCCCATCTGCTAGGGCTCGACTGGAGAGCCAAGCGTTCAAAAAGCTTGTCCGTCATTTGACACCCCATACAAGAAGGCTGTCTGACTTGCACGACCGCAATCGGCGTGTCATGTCCACGGTAGACGGGGAGAATTGTCTGTCCGTGATGGAATGTCAGAGGCAGAGGCAGAGGGACGACGGAGACGCATGGACAAATGCGGAGGGAACAGAGATAGAAAGAAGTAGAAGTCGAGGTGGAAAGAAACCTGCCTAATCGGGGGAGGCCTTGCTCTGCTGTCAGCAGTGGTGGTAGCAGGGCAGCAGAGACAGGAAGTGGAACGAGAGTTTGTTTACTTGCAACCACCTAGTCTACCTGCTAGGTGGGATATCTACATTGCACCCAGAGGTACCGGCCCCCAACACACTCCCCCAATGGTTATCTCCATCTCCTCCTCCGTCTCAGTCCCCTCCTCTTCCCCTCCTACTGGGAGGAGAAGCCAAAAACCTTCGCAATTCCACCCCACGGCCTTGCCTGCCTGCCCTTTCTCCTCGCCTTGACCAGCAAGAACCGGGGGATCACGCCCTCGACCCAGTCCGGGTGCTTCCTCCCGGCCTGGTTGGTCGCGCCCCACTCGTCCATCTTCTCGACCTCGAACCCAGCCTCGCGCATCGCCTGGAAGTACGACGTCAGCGTGCGGTGCTGCTTGATGACCCCGTCCACGATCCAGTCCACCGACCGCACACCCTCGGCGAAGTAGCTGTCCACCGTCCACTGGTCCACCTCGCCGCTGCCGCTCGACCCCGCGCCGGTCTTGATGTTGTTGTTGTTGTTGTTGGTCGTCGGCGTGCTGATGAACCCGGGGCATGTGGGCGCCGTCAGGAATGGGTGCTCGATCGAGTACACGAACAGCCCTCCCGGCACCAGCGACGAGTGCACCTGGTGCATCAGGCCGCCAATGTTCTTGACGTAGTGCAGGGCCAGTCCGCAGAACACCAGGTCGTACGTCTCGCCCGCCAGCTGCAGCGTCTCGAGGTCCACGCGCGTGAACCGGATGAGCCCGTCGACGTCCTCGGCTCCCCTCCCGCCGCCGCCGACGAAGCCGCCGAGGCCCGACGCGGACGTGGTCGCCGACGTGGTCGCCGACGTGGTCTTGGGCCCCTTGGTCAGGCCCTCGGCCTTGCGCAGCATGTTGATGCTGATGTCGCAGGCGTCGACCGACTTGGCGCCCCCGCGACACGCACCACCGCGCGAACCAGCCCTCGCCGCACGCGAGGTCCAGCACCCTCTTGCCGTTGAGGTCATGGGGTAGCATCTGCAGGAGCTCGGGCCATTCTGAGGCTCCTTTCTCTCCTTCCTTAGCACGAGGGTACTCGGAGTAAAGCTCGAAAAAAACAGGGTTGTCGTAGATGTTCTGAGGTGCCATTGTTTAGGTTGTGTATATAGGTGGGTGGTTGTAGGTGAGCGGTAACGCTGTCTTTCTATTTCTACTGCAACAAAGAAATCAAAGAGGGACGTGATGTGTTGATCTGACCATAGGTTCTAGGGGATCTGGTGATGGTATGGTACGATGTCCTTTCCTCAGGTTTCGACTGACATGCAATTATAGGCAGATGGACAGGCATGCCGATCAACGAGCCACGACCCTCGTGCTTTTATAACTGACGGCGCTGACTTTTTTGCGGCCCCCATCTTGGGACGTGACTGACGCTCTTCCCTCTTCCATTCATTCACTGACTACTTCGTCTAGCCTCAGATTTAGGGACTTCGCCCTTTCCGTGATTCACGGCTGATGGTGATGGTACACACGACTCGCTACGTCCTGTACGACTTGCTGGGAAGCTGCGGCTGCGCATGTTGGATGACAACCGACGAGCTCGTTTGTGGCGTTGTCGAACTGGACGGGGCCACCAGCAGACGCCAGGAGGCTGCTGCAGCGGATATAATATCACGGGAGGGCGAAACTACTGTGCCCACGCAAGACCATTCGTGAGCTCGCAGCGACGAGGGAAGTACCGGCGTCACACGAGTCCGTCGCGTCGTAGCCGCCATAGAAGCATCCAGCCGGGAGCGTCATCCACCAATTCGCCTCGAAGGGCCTGCCCTGCGCCTTCCCCAGTGGTGTCCCAGGTCCCAAGGGCGGGTAGGATGGACCTTTGACAGCTAGCCTCGGTACATGAAGGGCTAGCGGTACGACGAGATACAGTACCGCGCGGAACGGGCGAAGGCTCGTGGCTCGGGTCGGTCAGGATGGCACAGGTCTCACCTCACCAGACTTAGACCCCTTCCGGACGCGATCTAATCCTGCAGGGCTGCTGGATCTGAGTTGCCTTAAAGCTGCGGCCCAGCGGAATCTGTGCCTGGCCGTCTGACCCAAGACAGGTTTGGATGATTATGCCCGCTGAGAAAGCTTACATACAAGTACGTGCATCCCGTTGGGGTCCACAGGCGAGGACAGCCGCCCATATACGAGACACAACCGAGCGAGGCGCAATATTGTCAAGACCGCCCCGTGGTGACTCGTGCTGCACAGAAGGAGACGAGCAGGAACAGGGTGGGAGGGAGTAGACGCAGTAGAAGTAGGAGCCGGCAAGGGCACGTCGGTGCTGTGTGGCGTGATCTTGATGGCATAACGTTTGGACGTTCTGACCGTTGGTGGCTTGGCCTTTGACAGCACTTGCCTGTCCGCGGCTTGGCACAGTAGAAAACAAAAAGTGCCTATGGCTGCCCCTTCGAACAACAGCCGCGCACTCGATCGGGCGTGTCAGTCGAAGAAGTAGCCCACGAGGCCCCTTGCCCATCTCGGGTGCTGGGTTGGTTGCTGGGGAGAGAGCGGGGCTGCTGCGATACAAAGGAGACGACGCCTCGGCGCTCGTGTGTTGTGCCCCCAAGGGCTGTTTTACCACAAATTCCAACCTCGCCAATATACCGTGCTGTGCATCAACCCTCAGCTCGGCCTTTTTTTGCTCCCAGGATCTGCGCCCGCGACAGGGCCCGGCTCCAGAGTGTCACTTGTGCGCACGCCCCCGAGCATCAAGTCCCGATGGTTTGACGCACGCTGTCACGTCCGTAGTCGCTTACGAGTGGGACCATGGCGGACAGTCAAGCCAGTCAGTCGGATAGTCTAACCTCGATCGATGCCATGCCATGCTGTTGGAATCGGCTGTCAGTCTGCTCATGGCCCCGTATTAACGAGGCTCTCGCTGTTTCGTCTCAGCGCAGTGGAGACACTCGTGCTCATCCACGATCATGATGGGAATTGGGCCTCCCGCCAACACCGAATTCTTGCCGCTTTACGGAACCACCCACATAAAATGGGCTAGGGAATGTGGGGTCAATCTTAAAATCGGCATGTTCGTCAACCATTCGGAGGAGTGGGCCAAAAGAAAGCAGAGGTCCGACCTCCCGACATGCCGTAGATTGTGGGCCTGGGCCCCGTTAGTGTAGACGCAACGGCAGAGACGGAAGGGATGTCGGCGGGCGATCCATGATGATCCAAGGAGTCTCGACCACGACGGCTGCCAGCACGGCAGGGAAGAAAGGAAGAAAGAAAGAAAGAAAGAGAGGGAAAAACAAGTAACTCATCATCATGTCCCATCATCGACCCGTCGCCCCAGCATCGAGCCCCACGAGCAGGCTGGCAGGGCCGGGCATGATGGAGATGGGGGCCTGTGTATCAACAACGGTGGAACCACGATGCCTGCTTCCACGGGCCTTTGTGCTACTGTAACGTTGACGTCGATGTGTCAAGTTGAACGCGCACGCGCGTGGGCCGGGCCACGACATCGGCCCAGATCAGCCTTTCCACCCTGTCGTCCCAGGCGCAGGCTGTCAGGGGCCGTCTAATCATCCACCGTGGATGGCTCTCAACTCGTTGACGTAAATGTTCTCCATCCTCTCTGCCTCTCTCTCTCTCTCTCTCTCCGCCCGCCCAACGGATGCTGCACCACGCCCCCGTCCACATCTGCCTCTCCCCCGGCCGGGTCTCTGCCCTGCCCGTCCCGCGCCCCCAGCAGCGCGATGCTGCAGCTTTTTACGCATTCGGCCCAGGGCGCAAAGGTGAGGCAGGGTTGACAGCTACGAATGTCTCAGCGGCGGGCAGCCGGATTGGACGGGGGGCCATCGCACGGCCTGCGAGCTTGCTTTGCGGAAATGATGCCGGCCAGGGCGAGGGCGACAAGGGACGTGAGAAAATGAACAATACGTGAGCCAAGGTGAAGTGAGGTGAGAAACGGACACAAGAAAAAAAATCTATCGAGTCAAGTCGCACCAAAAAAGAAACAAGCCACGCGCAGATCTTTCCTGTCAGCTGTGCGACCCCAACAGAACAATGACAGGAACGAAGGTCACACAACCTCTCTCCTCCGCCAAGCAGAGGCTCGCAGCCCACGCGGGGGTGAGTGGGATTGACTGCCTGACTAACTAACTTACTGACTGACAGGCACAAGAACAGGGGAGTCACTCGGCGGCCCCTGGCCTTGCCTTGCCTTTATGGTAACATGGATATGTGCAGCCGGCGTTGCACCAAGGGGGGGGATGGAGGGCGGCAGAATTGAGCGAGAGAAGGATCGCCGCCCTGCTTCTTCGCCATCAGGACAATCAATAAACACCAGACTACCGCGCCACAATCAACGGTTATACCTGCCGCCATCCGAAAGGGGATGGAAAAGCAAAGCCGGCAGGGAGGGGGAGGGAGGAAGGTGCAAGAGTACGAGATGACACCCAAAAACGACTACGCCCAAGAGCAAGAACAAAAAAAAAAAAAAAAACACAAACACAAGGTTGTTGTGGCCGGCCTTGGACGTACCTCTGTCTCGGACGTTTTCACCGGACCTTTGCTCGGCCCCGAGTGACAGACAGCTGGAACAGAGTAGTCGCAGTCTAAGGGCCGTGTCACGGGGAGCAATCTAGAAGCCCACCGCCCTTCAAAATCGACCATCACCGACGTTTGCTCACATCGCCAATGGGATAAGAGCCGCCTGCCTCGAGGAGGATGGGAGGGGTCTCAGCTGAGGTGAGGTGAGGCTGATTCCTGTCTCTCCAGTGGCTTGTTACAGAGTGGCAGAGACATTCCTCAGGGGCGGCCGCAACCAACCGGCTCAATAATCCTCCCCGCGCCCACTCCGGCCCGCTTCCTCACTCACTCTCACTCATACTCTCTCGCTCGGTCAACCTTATTCTCGCCATTGAAACAAAATGAGGCTGTTCCAAGTAGAGTACGAGACTGGCCTACGAACGCGGCCTTGTCCAACAGCGGAAGCACAGGGTCGATCACCCTTGGCCCTAGGGCCGCCCTCCACAACACCCCCGGCGGAATGCCTCACGTCACACACACCCCACGTGGCTACGAACTTGACAGGTCCTTAATCGAAGGGGCCAAACGCCCCTCGGAAGCTGAGTGGTCTTTCGCGCTGTTACAGATATGTTGTCTAATGTAGTGCCATGTATGCTGTGAGCCCCGGAGGCCATTGCGACCCCATGTCTCCTTGCTTCTGTCTGGATGCAGGTACGAAATGAACACCAAGCCCAAATTCCAACGCCTCAAAACGCTCCGCGAAATGTTTCGTCAACGCCGTGCTGAATGCTCCTCTAGTGTGTGCTCCTGAAATCTCCACGCGGCCTGCCAACGACTCGGGTCTTGTCCCTACGCGTTCTGAACCCTGTCTCGTGCACTTCCACCCTCTCGGCAACCCTTCGCCTAGGCTGCCGCACATTCCTCTTGATCCAAGTACCTTTGTATACTTGTCATAAGTCCCTGGCAACGTCTAAGGCTCGGCAGGCAGCCGGCCCCCAGATGCTTAGTTCATCTGACTGTACGGCGGCGGCGGCGGCGGCACTTGCTGCTCCGGCTGAGCCCCGATGATTGTGACCGGGGTCTCTCGCTGACTCCCGTTGCCTGGCGCCTGAGTCCATGACAAAGCCCGTGACATCATCTTTGTAAAGTATTCCTGGATGAAGGATTCGGTGTAATAGCTGTGATTTGCGTCGTGCGGCCCGACGAGGTTATGGGCCAGTTCGTGCGCAACAACAACAAACCACCATATCCCAGCTCCAGCCTTGGTCGCCGCCCCCGAAGGACCCGAGGCCTTGATCTTGTCGTAGTGCAGCTGCCTAAAGTACCGCAGGTTGCAGAAGATACTGCCGTTCAGGTTGAACGCAATACAGGGGCCTTCCTCGTCGAAATGGATCTGCATCGCCGTAGGAGAGACGCCATACACGTCCGCGACGTCACGCAGGAGCGACTCGAAGGTCGAGATCGCATCCCTGTTGGTGGTCAAGAAGCTCATCTGGTCCATGGAGAGCTCCCTGGAGAGGTACACCTTCATGCCACGCGGCGCTTGTGCCGCGAAGACAATATTCTGGGCTGGCTTGCTGTCGCAGTATGTCGCCTGTTCCTTGATTTCTTGCGTCTGCGGTTTGTTGAATACCGAGGACGAGTCGTGTGGCCTCGTGGATCGGATGGCTTGTAATAAATTGTTCTGCACAACAGCTGGGTTCGTCACTCGGCCGCTGTCGCCGGGGCCTTGAGTCTGGGGCCCTGGAGGAGCGGGCTTGGCCTCAGATTCCGGGTTCGTGAGCAGCTTGTCCAACTGCTCCTCTGCCGTCTTGTTCCTATCCAGCCCAAAATTGCGGGTCAAGTTAGAGAAGAAACCCCTGCTGCGCCTATCTTGTTGGCTTGGAGGCGGCGGCGGGAGCTCGGGCGGATCTTCAGGAGAATCAAATGCACCCGGCATCTTGGATGACGGTTCTGCTGGTGTGCGGGGACGCTGCTTGCTTTCAGCTTCAGAGGCGACTTTGCTCTGTCGAGCCCAGTCCGCTTCCCTTTCCTTGATTCTCTGCTCCTCAGCCTCCAGAGCCTTGCGTCGTTCCTCTTCGGCCATCCGTGCCTCCTCGGCCTTCGCACGCAATATCCTGTCAACATTATACCCGCGAGCCCTCAGGTCTAGGAGACCAAGCTTCAGGAACGGCTCGAAGAAGAAGTATGACTGTTGGTTGTGGCGTGTGAGGATAAGTGAACAGACGGCTTGGCCCACCTGATACATGTCCGGTTTCCCTTGGTCAGCAGCGATGTACAGTGTCTGCCCTGTCGCAGTGCGCATGGCCATCGCTGACCGCTTCTCTGTGTGCGACTGGGCTTGACCCCGTAATGTGCGCCTGAGTTGCACGCTCTGAACAACTTCAACGTTGAGGTTCTTATCCAACCATTTGGCATCATGCTTGATGGTATCCCTTCGAATATTCCGGTACTCGTGCAGAAACAACTTCGTGCGCTCAAGGATGTGTTTCCGCAGCCATTCAGCACCATCTTGAGATGGCATTGATCTTCCGACCCGCGCATCCTCCTGGACCAAGCTACTGATTGTTGGAGAGCCCAAAGAAAGGTAGAAGGCCTCCAGAGCATCATCTTCGGGGGCCGAAAGCAAATGTTCCTTGAACAGTCGAAAGCTGTAGAAATCGTCCGATATGACAATTTCACCAGGTGCGGCAAGCTGAGCATGGCGAATGGGCTCATTGTACTCATCATCCTCCGACCCCTTACTATTAGATGGGACGTCCTTGAAGGCCAACAGCCAATTTTCAGCCTTCATCTTCCTGTAGAGATCTTTGTCTCTCTTGAGGGTTGGCAAGTCGCTTGCAAGTGATCTCAGGACGTCCAGGTATTTCTCAGATGTCTGAACTGTGGTCCACAGCCGAACAGGCTCACTGCAGGCGAACGTGGCGATTTCGTGCTGCGTCATGTTAGTTTTTGTGGTGTGGAAGCGACACTATGATGAGTCTTACCTTGGTTGGCTCCAGTTTGGCTCCGCACTTGAGCAAGAATGCATTTGCCGTGCGTCCAAAGTCGACAAAATCAAAGATGTCCCCATACGTTGACGAGGAGCCAAGATAGACACTCTGGGGAGCCACGAGCGTCATGTTCTGAGCCTGGGTCTTCTCCCCAGATGATTCGCCATAGCGTCTCTTCCGACTGACGGGCACAATTGGAGCCCCTCTCAGCTTGGCTAGCTGGCCTTCATTCAAGTCGGTCATTCGGGCAGTGAAGTACTCGAACAAAGTGACTGCCGAATCACGATTCTGTGGTGGCGTAGTCACAAGCCTGTAAACACAGTTCTCCACTGGAGGGTCGCGAGGAACCCCGAACTTATTGGCATGCTGGTGGAGGTCCCTGGCCAGGATATTGAAACCCAGTACAGAAGCTGATTCGTTGGTGTAGCAGGCAGAGGGTGGCACAAGCTGCTTTCCGTTTCCTTGCAACGGGAGGATGGCCTTGGTGGTGTTCGCAATGTTGAAAGCAACATAGCCGTTGATCTGATGGTTCGCAATGAAGTAATTCCTGGCCTTTTCTCTCAGCGACGGGTCAGAAGATGCCATCATTTCCACGAGCTCTGGAACAGAAGGATAAGGGCGCAATCCTAGGCTGTAAAGGAACTTGCCCTCCTTGGAACTGGCCCTGAAGCTCCCTGGTGGCCCAGGCCACTGCAAAAGCGGTAGCCCTAGAGCCCGAAGGTCCGACTTGGGCTCGAAGAGATCGGACAGTTTGTACAACTCCTTCGTGCCCTGGGTGGATTCCATGCCTGATGGTCCAGCCTCTGCAGGGCAGATCTGGGAGTTCTTCAACTTCTTCTTGTCCTCTGCGGGGATGTCATCTGTTACAGAAGCCAGGTACTTGATGAGCTCCATGTGACTCCATGGCTTGTGAGCCGTCTCCCCGGAAGGGTTGAGCAGCCGAGAGAAAATGGTGTCCAGATCAAGTGTTCTCCGGACACCCAAAGCAGACAAAAATTTCTCCTTGAGAGTCTGGCACCCTTCTATCGTGGGCAGGTCATCGAATAGCTTTACTGATGGGAAAAAGGACTCGGCCGGCTTCTTCATTCCCATCTTCGTGGGCATTACAGTGATGCCTTGAAGCAAAGAAGCAGTAGTGTTCTTCGAACCCAAACTCAGATTTTCCCAGTTTTTTGATAGAACTGTCAAGACCGACACAGCGAATTTAGGTGACCTCGTGATGTTCTCATCCTCGGACCGGCCAGATGCCGTTTCTATCAGGAATCGCAGCCAAGGTACGATCTCTAGCCGATCCCAGCCCAGGGCCTGGAGCTGGGGTTCGTTGAGATGGTTCGTGAAGGCAAAAGGAATTGTTGTCGGGGGTATCGGCAGGCTTGGTGGGATCTTGTTGCTGCTGAGATAGTTCTTGACAGAACTCAACGCAATAATTTCGCCTGAGTCGTCGCCGTCCCCAATGGTTGCAACTGTCACATCAAAGAGACGGGACCTGCTGCCGGGGTCCAATTCTCCACTGGCTGCCTTCTTGCTAGCCCAGCTAATGAAGTGTATTAGTTGGTCCTTGTTCAACGCTTTCGCTTCCAGCTCCTCGCGAATATCATCCGCCGTAATCCGTTGAATCAGACCAAAGTCTTCGAGCTTTCTCATGAAAGCTGATTCTTTCATCTCGTCAAGTATGACTGGGATCCCATTGACGAACTTTGCCAGTTCGTCAGACCCGACACGGACTTTAGTCGACGGCAAGACTCCACGACTCGAAAAGACCTCGATCGATGCCTTCTGGAAAGCGAACCAGAATGACTCCTCGATGATCTGCCCTACGTTCGCACTAGGAGTCGAGTCCTGGAACGTGTACGTTCTCAAAATGTGCAGTGCTTCAGGGACAAGTTTTGTAACCTCATCTTTTGTAGGCTGAGAGCCCTTTGCCCTGGCATCTATGACCCTCCGAAGCTTGAGCTCTAGATCCGACATCTCGTTGGCAAATGCCAAGCGCGTCATGATACCAGCAACGCGGAGCATCTCGATATTCCAATTCCTGACCCAACGGGCGTTCAAGTCGATTGCCTCACGTTCTACTGTGGGAATGACAGACGGCGCCGAGATGTGCATGCCAGCTCCCGTGGTCTGTGTGGTAGGGAAACCAATGAAGATCCTGCCTCCGGGCTTCTTGTTTGGCAGCACTGACGCAAACACATCAGCGGCCTTAGCAGCCGGGCCTGAACTGGATGAATTCTCTGAAGCGAGTGTCTCATCGTATGACGACGTCAGTATGGCCAACTTTGTCGTCTTGGGTGGTGGCTTCTTCGTGGCTCGCTCCAATTCCGCTGCAAAAGAAGCAGAGACCTTCGTCTGTATTGAGCCGGTTGTGACCTGGAGGAAGATGCTCGAAGTCGACTGAGCAATGATATCCTCGGATAGTGCCTGCTGCACAGCAGCTTCCTCTTTGGCCGCCTTGCTTCGATTTGCTTGCGCAGCAGAGGAGGCAAGCCTTGAAAAGAAGCTCCTGATGGTGGGAATGTCTGAGGCGCCAGAGTTATCATTGGACGTATTCGTTGCGGCCACTGGTTTCCAGCCGATAGCCCCCATGAAGGATGCATCTATTTGCGCGCTCGTGCGGTCGACCACCGCCAGTTTCATGAGGCCATCCCGAGTCTTGGTCTCCAAATCCCTCGGAATCGGTACGTTAACACTCGGAGCGGTCTTCTTCTGCAAAGACAACACCTTGTAGTCATCGATCCAGGACTCGATGTTCTGTAACGCCACAAAAGTCAAACTTGTCGCAAGAAATTGGCTAATGGATAGCAGGTTGGGAACTGGTGTCGTGGTGTTCCGGTAATCAAGGACAAAAGCAGTATCCTTAGTGCACTGCTCCGGTGGCAGAACTAACTTCCTGGTGAAGAGAGCGTTTCCCTTCCAGTAGAAAGCCATTGCTTCGTTTCCAGAGCTGACAAATGGATCCTCACAGTCGGCGAAGACGCTGTAGAAGCCTACTCCGAAGGCACCGATCTTGGTCTCATCCGGATTACCCTCGGCTATCCTCTTCAGCCTCCCCCAGTCTGTCTTTGCGAAAGGCTGGCCATTGTTCTTGACGACTAACCGGCGAAGCGTATGATGCGTCAGCGTGTGCTTCAGCAGCTCGGATCGGTTTGTTGTGGCGGGAAGAGGCGTCGTGGTCGAGGGGAGTGTCTCGTACGTTATCGAGACGGTTGTAGCCTGGGCGTCGGCGGCGTTCTGGATGAGCTCTCGTAGTGTCGTCCATTCTCCGGAGTATCTTGCAAGCACCTTATCGATCAAGGCCCTGGTATCGACGGTGACGGCTTCTTCGTCTTCGCCAGCCGTCAAGGCTGTTGCTCGCAGCTTGGAGTAGTCCATCACAGCTACCACAGGCTGTGCCTGTTGGGCAGCGACGGGTCCAAGTGGTTGCAGTGTATGTACGATATCTTGAGGAATCTATACGCAAGCGTCGAGATCTGCCTCTGCGTAGGAACTCGGGTAGAGGGTGTCGTGTGAGACTCGGTTGAAGGACCGTCCAGTCTCGCCTGTAATCGCGCCGGCGATCTGGTCGGAGGGAGGTGAGTTGTATGGCCGCGGAAACAAACACACAGTAGACGGGCAGGGCCGCGCTTTGTACGAGCCAGAAAGAGTGAGAAGGATCGAAAACAAGTCTAGTTCTCAAAGAGTGGCTTTTAGTCTATTGGAATAGTGAGAGCATAAGCGAGGGTGGCCGTGCAAGGCTGCCGTCGCCTTGCGTTTCGTCTTTTATCTAACTTGTCGCCGCTGCGTGCCTGCCCGCGGCAAACACAAAGCGTCATGCAGAAGGTCCAGCGGCTAGATCCAGGGTCCGCCACCACCCTGCCCCTTTGCCCCTGCGCTGGACACGCGGGCAGCCTTCCAGCCTGCAGTCGGTGCAGGTCCGCCTGGCGCCCGGGCCTAGGTACTGAGCCCCGCCACAAGCAGTCAGGGGTTCCTTGATCAGGAGGTCTGCTGTGGTCGTGACCAAGTAGCGAGGCATTCCCGTTCCGTCTCATACTCGATTGTCCTCATATCTCGCTGGTATTACTGACGATGAGAGCGGCTCTTGATAGTGACTGCATTGGTTGTCAAATTACAATGGGATGGTGAGCGCCAAGTGCTCTGCAAGTGTCCCTCAAAGCTGCTTCACCTGTGAGGCAACATTCAACGCCTTCTATGTATGTGGTTTGGTAGGAATTGAGAAATGCTCGCGTGTACAGCTCTTCACCACACAAGGTCTTCCACTATCCTTAAAGCTCGTAAGACAACGACCGTGGCGGTCTTTCCACCCACAGATCAGGTAGTTCCATGAAACTAGTATGCTCCTCCAAAAGTAGCCCGGCTCACCTCCTGGAGCCGTCTGAGTCTCCATGGTTTTCGGTACTTATCTATCACTCCGTCGGCGTTGAGGACTGAAACTCCTTCGTCTGTCTGGAGATCTTCGACGGTGTCCATCTCTTGCCGGCCGCCGATGTTCCCGGCTGTTGCTTCTGCTTGGCGTCGCCTCGTGGTGCCTGTGTCGTCTGCGTTGATCCTCGTCCCGGCTGCGGCTCCTACTCCTGTGGCTCCTACGGTCGCGGCGTAAAGACGGTTCGCCCTCGTCGTCTCGGTCTCTCCTCCGATGCTCCCGATGTCTTTCTCTGCTGCGGCTTCGGCTGCGGTGGCGATGCCTGTGGCGATGTTCGCGGTCACGTCCTTCCCTCTTCCTCTCATCTCGGCCCTCTGATCGTCGTCCACGAGCTGCCTCGCCCTTCTCTTCCATCTTCGTGACTTGGAGTCCGCCAGCCGCATCACCTTGATCGTCCGTGGCCCTCGACCCAGACAGTTCGATAGCATTTGCTCCTGATTGATTTCGTACCGGGGGCGGTAGGCCTAGTGCTGCTGCCATTGCATCCTCCTCGGCCTCCTTGATCTTCTGGATCTCCTCTCGACGCCTGCGAGCCTTGGCCTCTTCCTCCGTCTCGTTCGAGTTTGGATCACTCGCATCAGCCTTGGCATACCACCCGAGGTCGCGACCTTGTTGCCACCGCCCAACGGGTGCTTTTAGGGAATGGCCCAGATAGTTCTCACGATGTGCTGAGTTGGCGACCTCATCCCAGCTGAAATTGACGCCTCCTCGTGAGCCCGACTTGCGGATGGTCGAAACCAGATCCATCTTGTAGGAGTGCGAGTGACAAAAAAGATGAATGCCTTCGTATGGGTAGACAAAGATTAAAACCAAGGCAGTGTTTGGGACTGAGAGTGCCGGGTGGATGAGGTAAGAAGAAACAAGCCAGTATCGCCGCCGAGGTCTAGAAGTTTGGAAGCCTTGCAGCATCCGGAAGTTAGTTGTTATCGGTGGACCAGCCCACTAACGACCCGGCCTGCCAGTGGGGCGAGCTGGGGTCACCCAGGTACCAGTACCCTACCCCTGTCGCCAAGGCAGGCCAGCTCGGCGAGCTCCAGTCTATCAAAGAAACCCCACGGCCGTGATTCCCAAACTACGCTCTGCCTTCGCGCAGCTGGCAACATCACCATTAATCATCGGCACTTTCGAGGCAGAGAGCAATCCCTCTAGTATCTTTGGTCGTCTCCGAAGCAGCCCGCCGTTTTCAAACTTGACTGAAACGATCCTTGGTAACTGCGGAGTAGAACTCACTTCCTGTGTCCCACGATCGCGAGGTCCAGGCTGTCAAGATGGGCTCCGCGGCGAAAGAGTCCGCCATGGACGAGATCCAATGGAGGAATCCGGCCTTCATCATGCAATTCGGACCGTTGCACACAAATACCGTGTTACACTACTTCGCTACATCACCGTTCTTCGACCCAACGTCCAACAACAATGTTATCCAGAACCAAGCCCAGTACAATGCCAACCTCTTTCACGTCCTCGCCACCCGCGAGGCCTTCGAGACACGCCTGAAGAGTATGCAGGGCCTCGAATACATTGTCGCCGAGCAGCCCGCCGAGACTGGCCCGGGCCAGGGAACGGGTGTCTGGATAATTCGCAAGCAGAACAGACGGAAGAGGCCAGGCCAGGAAGACGAATTGACGGTGCATAAGGACTATTTCTTGGTTGGGGAGAACCTATATGCCGCACCGACATTTGCGGACCTCATGAGCTCCAGAATGGTAGGTTATAGACTCTACACTTGGCACCTCCTTCAGGGAACATGACGCTGACATGCCCCTGCTTTATAGGCCACCATTTCTACGGCAGTGGGGAAGATCCTCGAGAGTGCCAACAGTGTACAGAAGTGGACACCTGCGAAGGGACATGTCTATGCCAATCCTCAAATACCACGCGCCTCGACCTTGGAGCCAAAAGAAGCGACACCCATGCCGGAAGGCCCCGGCGGCAAGCAAGGCCAACCACCCGCGAAAACCTCGACAAAGGAGGAAGAGCTCGAGCGCCTGGCCGAGGAATCCTTCCGCATCCACATGAAGTACGGTGGCGACTACATGGATGAGATACCCATCACCGGAGCGCCAGGGAACTTCCACTTCGCGTCGACCGGGCGCAACGACAAGCTTGCCGTACCAAATGTGCCACCTGTAACCCTAAAGCCGTCCACACTAGCTCCATTGAACACGAAAACTGTCGAGGTGCTTTCTGCGAAGGACGCCAAGAAGACGAAGAGTCCACGGCCTGGAGGCAGCGGGAGGTCAAAGGACAGAAGGAAAAGCAAAGGGGGCTCAGGCGTGGCCACTGGTACGCCAACGCCATCTTGATCAGGTTGACATTTGAAATTCGGGGACAGTCTTCTCTTAAGAGTGTCGTGGGAAGGAAAAGGTTGCATGGCGTTCTGTGTGAAGCTTAGGTGCGATACCCCCGTCTGACGCCACACATATGGCAGGCGAAATCAAAATTGCGTTGGTCCTCCTTTTAGTCACTGCTTTCGTATCAGCCCCTCAGGCTGGCATTCTCTCTTCACATGCCGGCCCACAACTTGGTATTACAAGCAAGTCACTCATAAATCTGAAGCTGGGTTAAGTAGACTCGGCAGTGCAAGACTCCCACTTGCACAATTTCTTTCGTCCTCTGACCTTGCCATGTAACGTGTGGCTCCCCAAATTGGAGGCGGCTGGACCCTGGGGTGAGAATCCAGGAGCCCAGACAAATGGTCACTTCTGTGTTTCTATCTATCTAGCTAGGCACGTCTCGCCTCACTCACAACAGAAGTTGAAGTGGGGAATGATGGCTGAGTGGCCATGTGAGATGTCAGGGCTGGGGCTCAGCAAATCCGTGCTTTTCTGTTACTCTGCATGGGGGTTTCAACGTTTGCCTCGCACAAATGTTTCCAGGCTCGGAAATGGCAAGGAGCATGAAGCACTTTGCGGGGTTGGTTGTGGTGTGATATCTTGCCATCTGCGACTATGCATGCTGGGAAAGGTTCTCTCGGGACCAAAACACGGTTGAAAACAGGAGAGAGCATCATATGCCAACCGCTTATTATCTCCGGTGGGCAGGAATACTCCCGAGGCTTTCAAGGCAGGGTCTCAGGGCTCCCGCTTCACATACGCTACAATACCTTTCGGGCATATTCTAGAAACTCAGACCACCAGTCCTCCCACCTAAACGCCTCCATCGTCACTCCCCGCCGGGCGGCTGGTTCGAGGGTCTTATTGTCGGACCATTGAATTCGAGAGAACGCAGCTCGTAACTTGGCTTGACATCGTCCCACTTATGCAGCCTTCCGAGCGCCTGCATCTTGACTTCTTCCTTATCATTCCAGTTCACATCGACACCGCCGCCCCCCTCACCATCCTCATAGCCGACGGCATCAGCGGCGGCAGCCTCATGGTGCGCATAGCTGGTGTTGTACACGAAGGGCATCACGGGTTCCGGCTTGGTCCACGAGACATCCAGCCCGTCAAAATACCTGGCCGGCCGGCCCCCAGGTGGATTGCGGTACGCCGCCACCCGGGCGCGCGCAGCTGGGTACAACGTATCGACCATCCACCGCGAGTCGGCCGTGACATCGCCCAAGGGGTCCTCCAATTCATGAATATCGGTCCCTGTCTCCATGGCGTCCCACTCGAAATTCCCCAGCAGGTCAACCAGCTGGGCAGAGAAGTCTGGCGCCGATGCGTCCCGCGCGTTGAGGCCCGCCATTCTGATGTTGTTAGGCCGCCGGGCGTGCCAGTCGGCGTCACCAACGTCGCCATCATCCGGGGAGATTGGGAGGTGGGCCTGGCACAGCCGCCGCAGGGTGTTGCCCACCCCGTACGTGTCCTCCCACAGGCGCAGCTCCGTGTCTCCCGGGTCCTCGCCCCCGAGAACGTTTAGGGGGATAATCATCGTGTCGTCCCCGTCGGCCGCCGAATTCCCGAAGTCGCCCAAAACGATTTGGGGGAACGCGCTGGATTCCTCCCCTACCCTCGCAGTGCGCCCGCCTACACGACGCGGGGGATAGTTGATGAAGACGTTGTTTGCGAACTGTGCTGAAAGTCAGACTTCTGTGTAGATACGGTCGGCTGGCGTTGTCATGAAAAACCAGTCAGTGACTTACTGAATCACGGTGATATAGTCATTTCCAGCTGGCTGGAGCTTGGTGCCCTGGGCGATCAGGTCTCTCCCCAAAGTGCAACCATGCGATCGCAAGACAGAGCTGCTCTGCTACAAGCCTGTGGAACAAGACTTAGCAGCGTTCCGCCTTCTCGTGCTTGATATAAATCACAAAGGGTCAAGCGTTACCATACAAAGTGTTCGGAAACAGCCCGATTTCTGTCCCGATGCTTAGATATGAGTCCCGACAAATCACCTCCATTGCAATGTCTTCAGACAGGCGACGTTAGGAGCGAAGACTACAACCAACAAGTTGATGCTCTTAGATAAACAGAATATCTCACTCAAAGCACAGCGAATACGCCGGCATGTCCTCGTCGTCATCGGGTTTACAGTGCTGCCAGAACCTCAACTTGTTAAAAAACGGTGCATCCCGAGGCAGGACGCCAAGGGGAACATAGTTGGGAAACCCATTGCTGGGCAGCGTGTCCTGCCACGTCGAGATTCGCAGCTCCAGCGGCTCCTCGTACTCGTAGTCTGGGTCGTCGGTATTGGGCCGTACAAGTTTTTGCACGAGGAGCTCGCCGGTCTGCACGGACTGCACGACGAGCATTGTGGCCCTGTTGATCGTGTCGATCAGGCCTGCAAGGAGGAACCCTTTGCTTGCGATGTTGGGTGTTATTGATTCTGGGCCATTCCCTTGCTACGCGGTTCGGGTGGTCGCTGCGGCGCTGCACTGGAAGGAAAACACCCAGTTGTCTGTATGGCCTTGATTGAGCGGTTGACATGTTGGGCAGTTCTACTAGAAACAATCAAGCGATGAAACTGCACGGATTTCGCTATGGTCTTCATTTCTGTCTCATACCTTCACTTATACTGAAGGTTTCTTTTGACCCGGGAATGTCAATGAAAGTCAACAGGCATCCTTTGTCTGCCGATATGAAGTAGCACATAACTCGCTCGTCCACCCTTTGTCTTCACGTCCTCAACCCAGAATCAGATCTTTTGAACGCTGGTCCTATGCAGACCATTGACTACTCCACGACCCAGTTGCCCGCTACCCTGCGTTGCGTGACTTGCCTCGCAGGAAGGGGCCATCCTAAGCCACCCTTGCCCTCCGCATTCAACGAGGGCACGACCCATACCTCTCGCAACTTTCCACCCTCCGTGTTCTCCAGCTTGACCTCCTTGATAGGCTTCCCGTATGAGATCAACGGCGTTCCCTTGGCCAGCGACGCAAGCTGTCTGCCCGTCACATCGGTGAGCGTGTGCATTCTCGTGCGGCCCCCGGATGCCTTCTGCAGGCGCGAGTAGATGACATAGTCCGGGCACTCGTCGGGGCTGAGGCGCGCCATCGGGGACGACGGATGCAGGTATACGGCCTTCTCGCTGTTCTCGGCTGTCGCCGGCACGGCGAGCGGCGTCAGGGGCAGGTATGCCACCTCGATAGCCCGCCTAGGCTTCCGCCCCATGGATAGCGGCGTCGGGGCCTTGTCGTTCCTGATGGCGACCTGGTCGATGAACCCGGCGGCCACCATCTGCTTCAAGGCGGTGATCTGCTTCGCAGACGGCGCGGGGAGCTTTGCCTGGAACGAGAGGCCGGCGAATGATGCGATGTTCGTCCGCAGGAGTTCAGTGATCTGCTGCCTTAACCGCAGGGTCTCCTTCAGCGTCTTATACTGGACGAAGTGCGACTCGCACCACGCCTCGGTCGGCTCGTGCGCGAACTCCCCGACAACTTGCAGCAGCTTGATGGCGTCAGCCTTGTCATCTAGGAAGCAGAAGTTCTTGTGCACCGTGTTGTAAGCACGCCGGGCGCTGGCTTGTCGAGTTTCGGCGTTCACACCCGCATTCGTGCGGATGCTTTCCTCGCCGTCTTCTTTGGAAGCGAGCTGCGGGATTGCGTGTGATTCTTGCAGGAAGATTTCAGCAGCTGAAAGACCGGCAACCAACGCAATCGTGTAGTGAATACAATCGAACTGATGGCCGACAAGGAGGATGCGAGAGAATCGTGGTGATAGCGGGAAAATAGACATGGTCTTTCCGATTTGCGTAACCTGTCCGCTGCTGTTGATGGCGGACAAATAGTTCAACAGCCTTTCTGCCTTGCGCAGGCTTTGTCTGTCCGGAGGCGTGGGAAATGGGAAGTTGACGACGTTCTGTAGGTTCATGGCCTTGAGTTGGAGAACCACGCCTTCGATGGGTATTCGCAATAATTCTGGTTCGGCGAATTCCTGAAAATCCCTCTCATACACAGCTGAAGAGTATAATCTGTAGCAGTGACCGGGTCCCGTTCGACCTGCACGCCCAGACCTCTGGCTAGCACTGGCCTTGCTGATCCAACCAACCTCAAAGCTCTGGACGCCAGTCAGATGGTCGTATTTTCTCTCCTTTGATCGCCCGCAGTCGAATACATATCGTATGCCCGGGATGGTCAAACTGGTCTCGGCGACGTTGGTGGCCAGGATAACCATGCGGGAGCCGTCTGGCGGCGGCTCAAAGACAAGCATTTGCTCTTTCGTAGGTAGGAGTGAATACAGAGGTAGAACGTGCATGCGCTTCGGGCCGGATCCTGTTTCTCCCTCTTCTTCTGGGATTTCAAACTCAGTCTCATCGTCCTCTTCTTCCTCATCGCCAGAATCCAGGCCGTCATCGTAGTCATCTACGTCGCGGTCATCATCAACCCCAAAATCTATGTCCTCAGCCTCTATCGAGGCGAAGTAAGCGGGCAGCCTGACTTTCGGCACCGTGGCAGAGTCCATCCCAGTGAATGCCTTTTTGAGCTTCTTCCCAAGCTCCGTGATCTCGTTTTGGCCAGTCATGAACACGAGGATGCCTCCTGGGGGAAGTTTTCGATGACCTCTGCTGATCTTCTTGAAAGCCTCCTCGACGTAGTCGTGTTGAGTCCTCCTTGAGAAGTGAATGGTAACTGGATATTGCCTTCCTTCCACCTCCAAGACCGGAGGAGGCGTTTTGAACAAGGTTGGGTTCTGTGTCATATCTTCTATCCGAAGTGTAGCAGACATGATGACCAATTTCAAAGGCTTATTCGTTGGGTCTTCCTGGGACAGCTCTGCACGCAGCTTGACCACCCTGCTGAGCATACCAATCAGGATATCAGTGTTGACGCTTCGCTCGTGAGCCTCGTCAACAATGATGGCGGAGTACTTCCTGAGGGCGATGTCTCGAGCTGCTTCTCGGAGCAGCACACCATCAGTCATGAATTTTACAGCCGTTTTTGGATCAACCGTGCCTTCAAAACGGATTTGATAAGCCACTTTGTCGGAATGGTCCCCGAGCTCCTGACCGACCCGTTTTGACATACTGACAGCTGCAACTCTCCTGGGCTGGGTGACACCGATCAAGCCAGGTGTTGGGCCATCGCGAGATCCGTATCCCGCCTCGAAGAGAAACTGGGGGACTTGAGTGGTTTTCCCGGATCCTGTGGAACCGCATAGAACGACAATGTCGTTGTCGTGGATGGCCTCCATTATCCGCTGCTCCTCGGCCACCACCGGAAGCTTTAGTCGAGCCTCCTGAATGTCAGGAGACCGTGATACGGTGACACTGTAGGCTTTCCGGTCCACATTCTTTGTCGGCAGCAGCTCGCGGGGTAATGGATCTTCCTCGAGCGGTCGGGGTGTAAAATTTGCAGGTTTCGGTATTTGGAGGCCTTGTGGACCTGATCCAACTGGTGTATACCCCATGGCCTCGTTCCGTTGCTGATGAGCCCATTGCTTGAAGGCTGAAGAGCGCTCTTTTCGTTTGGATCGCGCTGCCTCCTCGTCTGACACTTCGTCTGACTCTTCCTGGCTGCTGTCATCACTGCTGCCTTCGGATTTCGACTCCTCCGACTCGCCTTCGGACTCGACATCAGAATCCTCTTGTTCACTTGGTTCATCAGAGTTGTTACTGTCGCTGCCGCTGGCTGACTCTTCTGTCCCGTCATCGGAGCTGAAGCCGTTCCATGCGTCGTCATCGGATTCTTCAACAACCGGCTCTGGTTCAATAGGCTGGGAAATGGTTACTTTGGACTTGACGCCACCTCTCTTTTGTCGCTTCGCGAGCTTGGGTCGTCCATCTTCGCCGAGGTCCAATGGTCGCTTGAGACCGAAACCCACGCTCCCCGTTGAGGGCTGAGGCGCAGAAGATTGGATTTGCGGGGGTGATGCCACAGTTCTCACAGGGGGCTCATCCTCGCCGTCATCCTCGCCCTCGTCTGCTGACGGCTGCCGTGCTTGGAACAGGATTCTCTCATTGTCGTCCTTGTTGATACCGGCTTGTGTCTCCTTCAGGGCTCTTGCCAAAGCTTCGCGTGTGGTCTCACGATTGTGGCCAAGGGAGCGACTGCTTGCGAAGAGGCTGGTGTCTACCCTCGTCTCAGCCAGCTTGGCGAGTAGTTCTCGGTTTTCGTCCTTCTTGAGCTTGTTCTCGATGTATTTATCCAGACGCTTTGACTTTTTGCTGCTGACTTTGACGCCCTGGTTTTTCAACTCCTCGCGCATGCGGGCCTTCCGGGCTTCTTTCTCCCGGATTTGCTCAGGGAGGATCTCTTGCGCATTTGGGAAATCGATAACGTCGCCTTGGCCATCCTGGCGGTTGTTGCGTGCCAGATTCCGGTGTTTCTGTTTGCGTTGCCTCGGCACGTGCTTCTTCGCCATGATTATCCGACTGGGGCAATATTTTTGGGATGGGTAAGAGTTGGTGGTGATGAAGTTAAGAGCTGGTGGTGTTGAAGTTAAGAGTTGGTGTCGTCGAGGTTGAGAGTCGGTGGTGTCGAGGTTGAGATTTCTCACTGGTGGCTCTTTCCGATTTACGATTTGTAGTGAGCAGCAGCATCTCACATGAAAACCCGATGAAATCTTAGGTTGGCTCCAGAAAGTTTTTGGTGGGTCCATACCGCTAGCGCCGCTAATGTGAAGCCAGTCCAAATGTACCTGGTCACACCTGCATGGCAGATTTGGACTATGGAAGACTTTACTACAAGGGTAGCGAATGACCTTCCCTCTGGTTGACTTTTTAAGGATGACCCATCACGGGATAATCTGTCATAGGGTACTGGGTAGTCTTTCATAGGATAACCTTCCTTGAGAAGCCTCCCATGGGTTAGGCACCTGTGGGATAACCTTCCGTGGGATAACAGCCTACGGGATAACCTCCTGTGGGATATTAGTAACTGCCTCTGAGGTGATTTTCTGTGAGACCATCTTTCATGGGATGATATCATATTCACCATATTTTGGGATAAAATCCTCTGTTATAAATGCCCATGAGGCAGCTTTCCGCAACATTAAATTATCTGAGGCATCAAATAACATGATAACTTCTGTACGCTCTCCCCAGGCCTGTGTGGTAGCCGGCCCTGGAACCCTGCCGGAGACCCAGGCGTGTGGGCGGGCCGAGTTAGAGTTAGCGGGGTGGGGCGCAGGATGTCAACCCCAGCTTGAGCTTTCAAGTCTCGAAGACCGGTCGTTACCTTCTGTGTACTCCGTCAACATAGGACAACTTCTCGTCTCGGCTTGCCCCGGTCAATACCCCCAAGCCCCAAACCTGTGCTCACGATGGCGTCGCCAGCATCGACTGACGTTCGAGAGGAGCCTTTCCCAGCGCCGTCGAAATTGGCAAACGGGACAGTCAACGGCACCCCAACCCAGGTCTCCTGCACCAACTTCGCCGACAAGGTCTTGCTCACAATCTCACAAGAGGGTCGCCTATCGCAATGGGTATGTTGTGCGCCCCACTGAGATCAAAATGTTTCTCAAGCACTGACGACAAGTTTCAGGTCCAAGTACCGCTCTCTGCACCGTCTCCCGCGCTCGTGGACATGGCCATGCCCAGGGCTGAGCTGTCGGCACTCCCCTCCCTCCACCTGACGCCCAAGACCCTCCTCGGTGGCGGAGGACAGGACAGAGAGACTATGGGCCAGCTGTACGCCGCTCAGATCGCCAGTCATCTTGCCCTCAAGAACCCTGATGACCGGAGGACGCTTGTGGTCGGCCTGGGCATCACCAAGTTTGACGAGCAAAGCCGCGAAGCCTTTTTTGATGTTCTTGAGTTGGTCACCCAAGCTTTATGATCCTGTTGGGTTGAATCAACGAAATCCTCACCACAAGAAACGACGTCTACAGATAGTGTCTGCCCCGTGTGTGCATAATGACTGCTGAGAGACGCGGAATGCTTCCTAGAACGGACCGCTGAGACGTTGAAGCTGCCTCATCGCCTTGAGACACCACGCCTAGCAGTCACTGTGACCTCCATATCGCCTACAAGATGGACTGTTCAGCTGCCCCAGCTTGATGCCCGCTAATAAAGGAGCTGGATTAATGACCAAGTCACACCAGTGGTCTTTACGTGTCAAGTGCACAACTTGTGATCGAACCCCGCGGGATCAGTCTTGGGGGTTATGACCGTTTCCAATTCCGAAATCAATGCAGTGAACATTTGAGGAGGGAGTCTCGGGTTGGGTGAAAATGGAGCTGGATGAGACGGCTCGAGGTCACAAACCTACGTTTCTGGGCCCAAGCATAATGGCCAGACCGAATAATCACAGGATTTTGAGACCATGCTGGGTTTCATGGAGTCTCGACCATCGATGACTCCCATGAAGGACGCAAAGATGGGTCTAGAGAATGTCAGTCCATGCAATAATCACGAAAGAAAAAAAAAAAAAACCCCTAAATTATCTGGGAACTTCGAGTATTACTATAAACCCGTGGTCGTGTGGCCATCACCGGTTGAAATCAGCACGTAGAGTTGTCTATTGACTTGATATTGGCACACTGGACTTGCCCATATCAGTCTACTTGCAAATAAATACGCTGAAGAAAAATTTTGATTACTACTTTCTCTTTGTGATATTTCTCGACGATGAGTATATGCAGACTGTATGTGCCTTGTATTGAAGACTGTTGATGGGAGGTCGCAAGCGCGATGTTTGGTCTTTGAATGGGGAGGTGGCGGGAGTGAACCCTGAGAAGGCCCTCGGGAACCTACCTGAAGACCCCGGGGTTTGCCCGACGACTTAGTGGCAACCACAACTACAAGAGCGTTGCTTCCCAACCACCACCTGGGCTGTTTGGTCACTTTAAACCCGCGAGAGCAGATTATCTCTCTATTAGCTTGTGATGCTGCTCTGCACACCTCGGCCTGTCTATGGCCTGTCTAGACGGCGGTTCGCCCTCTCACTGCAGAGATTCTACAACACCCGCGCCAGAGCCCCGGCCTTTCCGACGGTGCCGGCCTGCCCGCCGTCGACATGCGAGTGCGCCGCGACGCCCCCGATGCCAGACGGGCTGGAGATCGACCACAAGGGCAAGCTGAACGGGCTCATCTCAAACTACAGCGAGCAGGTGCTCATATGCACGGGCAAGGACGACTGGCCGTCGCGGATAGAGGAGGACAACAGCGGCGACAACCTCGCCGCCGACCTCAAGGAGCTCTTCGGCCGGGGAGGTGTCTACAGTGACGTGAGTCGGACGCTTCAGCCCGCGTGAGATCAGGTGGGTGTGATCGCTGCTAACGGTAAGTCTTTTTCCTTCGCGCCTCACAGCCGTTTCACAACATCTCCATGCTCAACTCGTCGTTCGCGTCCTCTGTCCCCAGGAGGACGGAGCTCGTCACGACGTCGGTCTACCTGCTACCCAGCTTCAAGTATGTGCCCTTCTTGCCGAGGGTGTCCTTCGACAGTGTCGAGGCGCTGGCGAAGGGATTTTTGCTTCCGGAGAAGCTGCACCGTGCGCACGATGGGTTGTCGCCGATACATCGCGACCGTCTGACGCGCAAGCCGATGTGTGGCCAGCTGCTCTACGGTGTGAGGGATGTTGAGGACATCATGGTCCTCATCTGCGGTCACGGTGGGAGAGATATGCGCTGCGGAGTGATGGGCCCAGTGCTCAGGAGTGAGTTTGAGACTCAGCTAGCTCGGCAGGGCGTCGAGGTGCTGCGCGGACCTGTCAAGATCGACGTTCCCAGTGAAGCCGAGGCCACCACGGGAGCTGTTCAGAAGCCGGCTCCGACGGCACGCGTTGGGCTTATATCTCATATTGGTGGTCACAAATTTGCTGGCAACATCATCATCTATCTGCCACCGTCCATGAAGACGGCTAATGGAGAGAAACATCCCCTGGCTGGGTATGGCCTATGGTACGGTCGGGTCGAGCCAAAGCATGTTGAGGGAATCATACACGAGACAGTAGGGAAGGGTCGGGTCATCGAGAATATGTTCCGAGGTGGTATCAAACAAGACCGAGAGATTTTGAGGTTATAGACTCAAAGAGGAATAATACAGAACGTCATGACTTTGACAACAAATTGATTGCTGCCGTCGCTGTAAAATACGTAACGTAACTTTCACTACTGCAGTCTTTTCTCAAGACTCATGGATTTGGATCACCTCAAACCCATGACAGATATGGGATTAACGGCTGTGGAATAAGCCCAACACACAAATCTGCTCTCAGACTCACATTTGACGAGTATTGGATCACAGTGCAGACGATGCTGTAGTGCACGTGATTGTGCCTAAAATCCACAGCTTTGGAACCATCAAGTTGGCCTCGCTCTGTCCACCAACCTGCAGCGCGTACACGATTGCGCCGATGCTGCGGCGATCAAACAATTGCCTTGGAGCATGGCAAGCCTGAAGCTGACGGGATTAACAGCGGCACGCCGGCTGTGTGGCCATGCAGGCGCCAGTGCACCTGCTATATCACTCACAGGCGTGCGGTCACAAGAAGGCACAGGACAGGGGACTTGCAAACTATCAACATACAGCAAAACGTCCATTCCACGTTGCAAGGGAGTGAATATCAGTTTGCCATGCAACGCCCCACGCCCAAGGACTTCTGCGCGAGGCTATACGAGCACGGTGCTCAAGCGTAACACGGATAAGCCAAAAACCTGCGAGAAAAAGACACCACGCAGGCGAGCACTGGCCATCCTGACAATCGCCATCTTGGCCACAGCCCTCCTCAGCGCCACAACCGACATTGGCAACCCCTTCGGCAGGAAACCCAAGGGCGTCTTAAACGGCGAGACCTTCGTCCCCTTCAAGGTCATCTCGACGGAGCGCACCTCGCCCACCACCTTCATCCTGACCGTCTCGGCGCCGGCGCCGCACCAGGCGGACAACGCCGCCCTGATCCGGGACGCATGGGCCCACGGCCTGTGGTCCGTCGAGATCAAGCAGCCGCAGCTGCAGATCGCACGCAACTACACGCCACTGCCCCCGGCGGTGGCTGCTGCCGGCGGTGACAACGGTGACGGCACCTCAGCCACGGCTCAACTGCGCTTCCTCGTCCGCAGGTACGACGGCGGCGAGATGTCCACGTACCTGTCCCGGCTGGGGCCCGGCGACGACGTCTGGCTGCGGGGCCCGCACCTCGGGTTCGACGTGGCCGCGCGGCTCGGCGCCGCCGGCGAGCGCGTGGTGTTCCTGGCCGGGGGCACGGGGGTAGCGCCCGCGCTGCAGGTCGCGCGGCACCTGCTGTCTTTGCGGCAGGGAGGAGGAGAGGATGGGAAGCTATCGATGGATATCATCTGGGCGAGTAGGTCGCGCGCCGACTGTGCCGGGTGCCCGCGGCCTCTTCTCCAGGGGGCTGAAGCGAGCAGGGGATTCTGGGGCCGGCTGGCCTCGGTCGCTGGCGGGTCTGGGCCGGCCGGGAACCAGGACGTGGAGGGCATTCAGCATCCTGTTGTGAGGGAGCTGCGGGAGCTGCAGGCTGCGTACAGGAGCCGGGGCCACGAGCTGGAGTTCAGGTGCGTCGCGGACGACGAGGCCGGCGCAATCAGCGGCGCGGACGTCACGAGGGCGATCGAGCGCTCGCGCACTCCGTCGCCATCAACGGCAGTGAGTGTGCCGACCGAGCGGGCGTCGTGTTACTACCACTCGCAGCGGCTACTACAGCAGAGCACGCAAGAGTCCGATGCCGGGTCGAAGGGCCAGGGTGGGTTGGACACGGCAGCAAGTGAGTGCACCTGTGGTGCCAATGGCGCGAGCGGCAAGAACCTGCTCATGATCTCCGGGCCAGACGGGTTCGTCAGCGCGTACGTCGGGCCCAAGGTATGGGCAGAAGGTGCTGAGCGACAGGGTCCCGTGGGAGGACTCGTCCGGAAACTCATGCAAAAGAGCCCGGATGCCTGGAGGGACTGGCTCGTGCTCAAACAATGAGAGAAGGCTAAAGATGGCATTCTACTTTGGTCGATCCTGTGACAGATATGGCTGGGTGGGGGGCACTTATGGCATACTGGTCACGGCCTGCATCCGCCGTATGGAACAGATAGACTTCACCAGCAGTCTCATTCTGGGAGATAGAACTATATGGCAAGGCAAGCAAGACCCGCATTCTAGAAACACCACTGCTGGGAACCCAACGCCAAAGCTATGCGTGCAGCAACCGACGGGAAACAAAAGGGAAGGAGCAGCAAAGACACGGTCGCAAAAGCCTGTAGGTCAGGTCGCTCAAATCAAATCCCTTGCACCTTTCGGTACGAGGGCGGCTTCATGGTCCTCCTGATCAGCTTTCCAGCATACGGTGGGATGAGCGAAATTGCACCGATCGCCAGGACTCGCCAGTAGAAACCCCTTTAAGTTTGGTCAGCCAGTGCCGTGGAAGAGAAGATTGATCTATCGGAGGGGTCCTGGGATACTCACCAAGTTATCAGGAAGGCCAGATCAAAGTAGCCGCCCAGGAACGGTATCGAGCCAACATACATCAGGAAGGTCCCAATGATGCATATGATCATAACTGGGTGCCACGTCGTGATTTCAATCGCCACCATGAGCAGCTCGTTCAGCACAAGTACGGTGTAACTGACCGCGACCATTCTAGGGCCGTCGACCTCGGTTAACACCTGGGACAGGCCCTGGATCATGCTGCCCTGGTATATCGAAACGAACACCCAGACAAAGAACGTCCGATATGAAAGGGATCGACCTGAAGTAAGCTCCTTGTATAGCTCGGGGTAGAGGTTGGCCAGCTCTTCATCGACGTCCTTGTCCAGGACGAGGGACAGGACCGGCATGGCGGTGTACACGGTCGCATATCCAACCAGGAGCCAGTCCTTGTACAAGCCCTCGGGCTCGAACTTGATGGCGATACTGTACATGGTCTGGCAGACGGCTATGATCAAGCCACGGTGAATGACGAACTGCGCGAGCTTGGCGCTTCTCTTGTAGCTGTTTCGACCGTGCCATACGAGAAGCTTGGTCAGGTGGTAGAATTGCTCGATAGAAAAGTCCGCGGCAAGACTGGCCTGACGACCTTCCTTGCCCACGATACCCACACCGACGTCAGCAGCCTGGATCATGCTCACGTCGTTGCCACCATCACCGATACAACACACGCGCTTCTTGGTGAACTCCTTGATGAGCTTTGCAACCTCGGCTTTCTGCGTGGGTGAGCATCGACATGCGACAACGGTGGGTAACTGGACGGCCGCTGATATGAACTCGGTGCGGAAGTGCGTCAGAAAGAGGGCAAGACTCTCGCCGTCAATAAGGAGACATGAATCTGCTTTGCTCCGAAGAAAGTCGAGGTGGTCCTGCGCATGGTCTTTCCGCTTCATCTTAGCGACTGTGTAGATGTACTGGCCGCGTGCGACGAGCTTGGAGCTCACGGCGACGCAACGGGCTGTTTCCACCTTGTCGCCTGTCAACATCCAAATTTTGATGCCCGCGTTCCTGAGGAGCTCTAGAGAGGGCTTGACGTCTCTTTGAAGCTTGTCCTCCACGCCCGTGACGCCAAGAAGTTCTAGGTCACGCTCCAGGTACTGCGAGACGACTTTCTGCATGCCTGTATCTCGCCCACCGATGGCGAGAGATGCTTCTTGGTATTTGGACTGAAATTCCTGGTATTCGGCAGGCGAGAGGCGCTTTCGACCCACCACGAGTGTCCGCAGGCCTTCTCGAGCCATATTGGCGGTCTCCTCGTCCAACCAGTCGTTTGCAGCCACGATTGTACTCATCACCGTGTCTGCACCCTTTTGGTAGAACCAGATCTCGCCATTGTTGACATTCGGAACCTTCCCTGATCGTTCAAAGAACTGAACGACAATCCCCATCCTCTTACCATCGGATGTGAAGGGAAACACGTCGAGTATGCGCACCTGGACAATTGGCCGGCCATTCTCAGGCGACTCGAGCACCATGCTTTTGCGATCACGGTATGAGAGTCGCAGTCCAACAGCCTCTGTCCATTTCACGATGGCGATCTCATCAGGAGACGAGGCTTGATATGCAGTGACAATCTTGCCGTCCTCCTCGTCTGTGGTTGGGGTGACATTGTGGCACAATGCTAATGCCAGCACCACATCGCGCACTCTCGTGCCAATCTCGCGACGTGTACGTGTGGCTCCAGCATTGGCTGTCGCGGTAAATGTCGATGAGGGTGTGATGAGCGTGCCATTTGTGGCTGGATCTGTGGACAAGGGGACTTGAAACCCCTGGTTCACATATGCCGAAACCTCGTCCATTGCCTCGTTGGCGTAGGACACAGTTCCCACGTGGATCTTTTTCATTTCCATTTCATTTTGAGTAAGTGTGCCCGTCTTGTCGCTCAGTAAATACTCGATCCGGCCCAAATCTTCTGGAATCGTGCTAGTCCGAACAACGGCACCCGGTATATCAGGATCACGTTGGATGAACCAAGAGTAGACACTCTTGCCCATGTCAAGATTGACGCGGAGACTGATGGGAACAATTGTCGAGAACAAGACCAGGAAACGCATGATCTTGACATACCAGACGTTCCCGGGCACATTTTCGAAGCCTTCCAGGGCGACGAGGATGATCGAAATGCCGAGGGTCAAGGCGCAGAGAATCTTGGTCAATGAGTTGATCTCGTACTCGAGAAGTCCGGTTTTGGATCTGGAAGGCGCCGTAGAAAGAGCGGACCGGGTTTGGGGGCCAGTGTAGATGATCACGGCCAAGGTGGTCGCGTGGGATGCAATGACCGTGTTTGCCCAGGCAGTGTTGTCTATAGACAAAGGCGCCGTGCTAGACAGGTTGTCATCACTCTGAGCGCTGCTGGTATTGCCCATAGCTTCCTGTCTCGATGGCAGAAGCTCAAGAGTGCCGACAAAGTCATTGACCTTTTTGTCTGGCTTGCCACCGGTGACTCGAAGGCGAACCAACTCCTCAACGGCCAAATTCTGCGATAGCGGCGACGCGATGCGGAGCTTCCAGTCAGTCTCTCCATCCAACTGATCCGTCCTGATGAAGGTCTCCCCGCCAGGCCCCGAGCTCTGCTCAGGCTCACTGCTCGCAGGCGGGTCAGCACTGCTCTCTCCTGACTCATCGATACTGCCCAGGAGGTCCGGTTCGGCCTTCTGGGGCACTTCAACCTCGATTGCTGCATTCGCATCACCGGACAAGCACTTCAAGATGATCACATCGGCTGGCACTCTTTGGCCCTTCTCCAACTTCAAGACATCACCAACCTTCAGATCCCGCGACTTTTTGCTTATGTCCCGGACCTGCGAGGAAGGCTCCCTGCGAATGCCAGCACCCTCGACTTGCTCCTCTTCTTCTTGGATATCAGAGAGCCTATCTCTCTCAGGGAGCTTTCCCTTGCGCCCCTTCCGTATGGACGTGGACTTCAGCGTTCTTCTTGGGCGACTGGACGAAGCAGAGTGGCCAGGTTCGTCAAACGCTAGCACGGCATATGGTTCTGAGTTGGCCTCATTGTCCCTGCGCCTTCGTTCTATGTCATCGTATGCCTCCTTCCCCATCGTGATTACCAGAACAAAGGCTAGGGGCGCGACGTAAGTCGAGAGATAGCCAATCCGCAAGGCAGGTATTGCTTGTGAGAGCGCAACGAGTAGGAAGTACATGTTAAAAAAGAATGAGAATTCGTTATATAGCGTGATAGGAAGAAATGTGAAGGCGGTGTACTTTGCATTCGACACGAGGTTCGGCGGGAAACGAGTCGACTGAGCCGAGCCGACGGGGACGAGCCTGGACGCCGAGGGGTCGTCTTCCTCCTGGTCGTGCTCCTCTTCCTCCTGACGCTGCGACCCGGTGGAAGACATGAAGCTGGGCAGACGCAGGCCACCGGACGAACTCGGGCGCCTCTTTTGGCCGTTGGGGCGGCGGGAGCGGTCATCGTGCTCTCGCAAGAACGGGGCATCCTCGCCAGAGTTCTCGCGGCTGGACTGGCCATCTCCGTCACCGTCACCGTCGCCTAGCAGGGCGGCAGCATCGTCGAGCCCAGCATCCCTGCTCTCACCAGCGCCAGGATAGCCTCTGGACGACTTTCCCTTGCGGCGCAGACTCCCCATACGGAGGTTGCGCAGGGCTATCCTCGGGGCCCTCTGTTCGGCAGCTTCTCTGTCGTGTCCTAAAAGCCCTGACTTATTGCGGGGCTCATCGGCGGGGAGGGGGTCAAGCTCTTGAAGGTCGAGGTCGAGGTCGGAGTCGGAGTCATCGGCGGGCGAATCTGGAGGCTCTGTAGGATGGTATGGAGTTGAGGGAGGCATCCCGCAGGCAGGCGAGTCGAGTAGCCCACTTGCCTCTGGGGTCCTAATATGGGTGGGAGCAGTGATGATTTATCCTGCGGCGTGGGCCGGGTGAAGTGGCAGCCCTCTAGCTCTCATGTGGTCGTGCCGGGACTGGAGCTGGCTGCTGTCATTCTTGAAGTCCACTTGCACTCGCACTTGCAGGGTCGCTGATCTGAGGCGGACCTGGCGCGTGCTGCGCTGTGCTGCGCTGTGCTGCGCTGTGCTGCGCTGTGCTGCGCTGTGCTGCGGTGTGTTGGTGGATGTGGGTATGGGATCCTCTTTCCTGGTTTCGCGTGTCGGCAGCGAGGCTCAGGACCGGGAAAAACGGGGTATCGAAGAGAACAGCCAGGCCTAGAGATGGTTATTCAGTTAAAGACAGACATCTGGCGAATGGAATACAGATCTATGGCGTGCATGAGTTGGTGCCAGTCACACATATTCGGCCGACGATCGACGACGGGTGACGGACAAGAGGACAGCTCGAGCTTTGGGGGGGGGGCGAGCCCACATGCCCAGGCTCGGGGACGTCACTGCCTGCAACAACGCCACGGGTAGTACAAACGCACTATCCGGGTACATGGTTTCTCGACAAGTATGCATCTCCAGGGGTCTCACTCAGCACTAAAGATAGGTGCCCGGAGGAAGAGAGCCACGGTCGCATTTCCAGGCAAGCAGGCGTGTTTCTGGAAAAAGTCCAGGCCAGCTTTCAAGTCGAACAGAACTCAAAGAACCACACTGTGCAGTGCAGTAGACGACCACAGCAACGGCACAGCACTCCATCCATCTGCTCTGCCTCATATTCGTCAAACCAATCCGTCTGCCTGTCTGCATCATCTCCCCACTCGAGGCTTCCTCTTGTGTCTAGCTGTGGGCTCTGTCGTCCCATCCCTTCCGGTTCGCCTTCACGAGACACGAACTCAATAGACTTGGCCGCGGCCTCGGCAGCTTTCCTCGCAAGATGAAGCACTGCTTCTAGGGATTGCATGCTTGCAGCGTATTCGAATTCACTGTACTATACATGTAAGACTCACCGTCTGTTCCCCTTCTACCTGTCTTCTACCTGAGAAGCGCATCAGTCACACCACAACGGATTCGGTCTGCGCTTTGCTTTGGGTTTGATACGGCTGTCTTCCGTGATCGAACATGTTGCCAGCTCGACCTGCATGCTGACCACAATAAGCTTTCCCAGCTCCATATACTCCCTGTCTGCGATTACCGTGTCCCGCCTCCGCTATTCCTTGGTTTCCGATACCTGCACAATAATCAGGCACCATGTTGTCTGACGCCCCGACGGCCGCATGGCATCCCGCCATGATGCCGAATTTCTCTGCGGATGTTGCGGCCGACGCCAGCATATCCGAGTCGGACAAACCTTACAACCCGCGACCCGAAGCTGCTCCCAGTGCGCAGTCCGAAGAACCCCCGGCTCCGGAGCCTGTCATCGATGCGCCCCGGACTCGTGAGAGCTCAGTGGCAGATGAGTGGTTCCCAAACTACGAGGTCGGCAGCCCGCGGAAACAAGACCCGGAGCCCCAGGCAGAGATGCCAGTGCGACTTGAAGAACCGGAGCTTGGGTCAGGGCTCGAAGCCGGAGACGCGCCGTTGCAGGAAGAGGAGCCTTGGGCGCATAACGAAGAGACGCCAGCCGATGTGGTTGATACAATAGAAACCGACGAGGTTGCCCAACCTCAAGCCGAAGCCATTCAAGACCCTCAAGACGCGAATTCGTCGGCACCGAAGCATGTGAGCAGCGATTCGTTCGCACGCACCGTCTCCCACCAACCGAATTGGATGGACGATGAAGAACCCGAATGGAGCTTGCCCAGGGCCGAGACCGACCTTTTCAACAGGTACATGCCGCCGAACGAAAGGACCAACTCGTTTCCCGTGGTACCGCAGTCAGAACATCACGAGAACGAGGTGGTTGAACCACTCCCCGCAAACCAAGCCGAAGATGTGCTTCACGAAATAGAGCACGAATCCGAGTCCCTCACGCGCGAGGATGAGGACGGCGCCATGTCACATTCGAACAATGCGCTACATCAGGACAACTTCTGGGGGGACGATGACGCGGAAGCAGGGTTTATTACCCAGGGAGGCGACATGCAAGCGCCCGAGGACGAGGCTTCAGACGCCAGATACGCCGAAGGATTGCCGTTGATTGATCATCAGGATGCTGGAGAGCCAGCACAAACAGAGTCCAGTGAAAAACAAGATCCTTTCTCCCTGGATGGAGAGGATGATGACTTTTTCGACCAGGTGGCAGCGGGCGGAAATGATGCGGAAGCTGAAAACTTCTCGCCCGGTCAGCTAGAAAGAAAGCCGACGATGCAAGTGCTCAACGGCCTCGACACGGGCGGCTCCAAAGGTCTAGGTGGCCTTGTCGAGGACACGCTAGAAGAGGAAAAGGAAGACGAAGACGAAAGGCGAGTTGAGCCTGTGGCCCAAGAAGAGCCTACAAAACCCACCGAGGACTCTGTCGCAGCAGAGGCGCCCAGGGCTGCTGGCCAAGAAGCCCAGGAACCCCGTGGTGAAGACATCGCTGCAAAATGGTCCGAGGCCTTTGCGAGCGATGATGACGACGGCTTCCTTCTCGAGGACGAGCCTGTCGCGGATGGCTCGGACCAGAAAGCAGTGGATCCATCTGCCTTCTTCCTCGATGATGATGAAGGATTCCTTGAGGACGTTGAAGACACAACAGCTCCGCAGGCCCCTCAGCCCTCTTCAAATATCAGTCAACCGGCTCAAACACCAGCCTCGACTACTGGCAGCAGATATCTCCCTACGAGCACCACGCAACCCGGCGCGGCTCGCTCACCCAATCCGTATATCCCGAGTGCTTCACCGGCAGTGCCACAACCGCAGATTCTTAATTCCGTTCCTCTGACCCCTCCTGTCGCCGCAAATCCTTATACTGTTCAGCCTCCACCACTCCAACACTCAACAACAGCGCCTCTTGGAGCACACCCTGCACGCCCGCCCGCGGTAAACAAGGCACAGAGTTTCGCAGACAAGGCCAAGGGTGGTTACCATTCCCCTTATGACCTTCCGATGGAAGTCGTCAAACCGAAGAAGCGGGCCAGTCTACAGCAAATGCCCCGGGCATCACCAGCCCCAGTATCCGGGCCCCCAGCGCCCCCGAGGACTTCAAGCATGCATAGCCAGGGACCACCTGTGTCACATATTTCGCCAGCGCCCGCTCACGGCTCTATGGCCCCGGGCCCCGATCAAATGCAGAACCCTACACCGACTATATCGCCCCAGTCATCTGTCCACCCTGGCCAGGCGCCTCCAGATACCAAACGTCCGCAACAATTGAAACCCAAAGCCAGCTTCTTCGAGGACCTCCCATCGTCTCACAAGGTACGACCTGCCTCGCGTACGAGCAACAAGAGTCAACCCTCGCCCTCACAAGCCAGCTTCAGTGGGCCTCCTCAAGCCTCGCATCCCCCACCGTCGTCTTCACTGGCCGTACCCCATGAATCATTGGTACCTGGACATCCAGCGGCACCAGATATCGCGAAATTAGTACCACCTGCACCAACGAACCCGTATGTATCGCTGCCTCCTGGACCGGCTACTGATTCAGGCGGGCCGCCCCCCAGCTCGTCACGGTACTCCCCAGCACCACCTCAGGGCTCAATACAAAGTGGTTCGGCACCTCCCCCGATGAGTCGATATTCTCCCGCGCCTCCTGCTCAACGTTCCGCAGCGACACCACCTACTGTGTTGCCTCACCTGCCCAGGACGTCCAGTCCGTTGGCAAATTTTGAAGTCAGCCATGATCGACAAAGACCTGTGCCTGGCGAAAACGGCCTACACTCAAGCCGTAGCAATTCCACCTCGTACGAGCCAAGGCTGAACAGGATGACATCTCTACCTCCTACGCGCGAAGTCGAAGAGGAAGACCCGTCCGCCCAACCAACAGTCGGCGCGCCTCCCGGCATGGCCGCTGCTCAGAGCGCCGTGGCCCAGGACTTTCAGCAAGGCCAATTTGCGCCGGAAAGCCCGCAGAGGCCCCCAGTCGCTCACGCGACCTACAACCCAGATGTCATGTCTGCCCCGAAGCGGAAGATATCATACGGCCCGGCTCCGGTGACTGGGATAGTACCTCCCCCAAGGTCCAGCACCGGATCGCCTGGTGCCATGTCAGGCCTTAGGTCTCCCATTAAGGCTTCGGAAATGGTGCCGCGGCCTTCTTCGGCATACAGCCCATCCCCAGTGTCGATAGCCAATGTCATGTCGCCGAACGGCGTGGCAGCAGGTCCCACACCAGCAGTATCGGGGCGACCCAGGGGCATGTCGCAGAAGCTGAACCTCATCCCACCTACAGATGGTCGTGAGCATGATCCTTTACAGAGATGGAGAGGCTGTCCCTTGATAAGCTGGGGTAGCGGTGGAATGATTGTGACCTCTTTCCCAGTTGACGTCCCGAGGTACGGCATGAACCAACCTGCTCCAATGATAGTCCGCAGCCCTGGCGAGGTTGTCATTAAAACTATCAAGGACGTCCAGCCGTTGGAGGAACGTCTTGCCAAATTCCCTGGCCCCCTCAAGGGCAAGTCAAAGAAGAAAGAGACCATTGCTTGGCTCACAGCCGGCATTCAAGAGCTTGAGCAAGGTTTGCCAAACCCGGGCCTCCAGTCTCATTTGTCCCACGAGGACAAGCGAGCTACTGAGCGTGTGCTATTGTGGAAGGTCTTGAGAACTTTCATCGAGAATGATGGCGTGCTCGAAGGTAATCCAGCGGTGGAAAAAGCCGTGCGTGACATCCTCGCCAACACGACAACTGGGCAAAGCGAACTCGCATCTCCTATCTACACAACTGGTGCCAACCTCGGAAGCTTGGCCAGCGAACCGCTCGCAACTCAAATGCAGTCAGACTCCGTAGATCCGGCGACCGTACAGCAGCTCAAAGAGTCTCTCATGGCTGGCGAGAGGGAGAAAGCAGTTTGGGATGCTGCTGACAAACGTCTCTGGGGCCATGCTCTGCTCATTGCCAACACCGTCTCACCAGAGCTCTATCACAAAGTCTCGCAGGAATTCATCAAGAAGGAGGTGAATTTCCCCGGGCGTAGTAACGAATCGCTCGCGGCTCTCTATGCCGTCTTGTCCGGCAATCACGCGGAGTGTGTTGATGAGCTCGTGCCTACGCATGCTCGGGCAGGAGTTCAGCTTATTGCATCAACGTCGCGTTCGACTCGTGGTGGCGTAGACGGGCTCGAGAAGTGGCGCGAGACCCTGAACCTCGTTTTGAGCAACAGGAGTGCTGGCGATGTCCAGGCCCTAAACTCACTTGGAAACTTGCTTTCAGAGTATGGTAGAGCAGAAGCGGCCCACATATGCTTCCTCTTCTCTAGGACTGCGACCGTGTTCGGCGGGCTTGATGACCCTCAGGCCCAATTTGTGCTTGTCGGAGCGGACCACCGGAAACAGGCGCAGCAATTCTTCAAGGAAACTGAGGCGCTTCTCCTCAGTGAGGTGTATGAATATGGGCTAAGCCTTTCTGGAGCATCGCACTTTGCGACGGGAGTTCCTCATCTTGCTGTCTACAAATTGCAGCACGCCATAACTCTTGCCGAATATGGCTTCAGGGACAAGGCGATGCAATACTGCGACATCATCTCGAAGGACATGAGTGCTCAGACCAGAAGGTCGCCATATCACCATGTCTTGTTGGAGGCAACAGTCGAGGATTTGCGACAGAGAATTGCTCAAAGCCCTCACAAGGAAGCCTCGGGCTCTTGGATCTCCAAACCGAGCATGAACAAGGTGTCGGATTCCATGTGGAGTCGCTTCAACAAGTTCGTGGCTGGTGATGAGAATGAGACTCCTGGACAAGGATCACCGAAGCTTGGCGACGACTCTGGCCCATTCGGCCGCATCGCCGGCGGCACGCCGACCATAAGTCGCCCGGCGTCTGCATCGAATGCCACGGGCATGGAGATGTTTGGATCACCGAATGGGTATGCAGCCGGAGTTGCACCTCTTGCACCGGCGATGTCCCCTCAGTTGACAAGGGCGTCTTCGCGATACGCGCCCGGTTCGGCGCAGCCGCCTGTCACCGCGTCTCCTTACGAACCCACTGCGTCTTATACTCCGGTAGGACGCTCATCTATGGAGCGTTCATCTAGCGAGTACAGTCGAGGTCCTTATGAGCCTCGACGGCCGTCGTCCGATGTTCAAGCCGGCCACACAAGCGCATACACCCCCAGCAATGTACACACACCAGCACAAAGTATCCCTGACCCTGGGCTCGGTATTTCCAGCCATTCCCCCTACCAGCCAGCTCGACCGGCTTTCAACACGTCGACTTCGGCCCTTGCGCCGGCAGGGACTTCGGTTCCAACTACTCCAGCCTTCTCACCTTACGCTTCCTTTTCTCAAGACTCGTCGCCGTACGCGCCTGCACCGCCCGCAACAAGCAATGCGTCACACTACGCCCCGGTTGCTCCCGCCGCTGAGCATCCCGTCGCTAACAATGATACCTGGTCCGAGCCATCGATGGGATACCAGCCCCCGTCATATGGTTATGAGCCACCATCGACCAGCTCAGTGGAACAAGGGCCAGCTGAGACAGAGCATCAAGGATCTAGTGGCGGCTATGAACCTCCTTCATATCAACCTCAGGGTTTCGAACCTCCACCGTACCTACCAAACCCAGAGCCGGACAATGACAATGCGGAGGGCACAGACGAATCCAAGCCAAAGAAGAAGAGTTTCATGGACGATGATGATGACGACTTTCCCTCTATGAGATCGATGACGCCAGGTGAGAAGAGCAAGGCGGAGAAGGATAAAGAGAACGAGGAGATGTTCCGCAAGGTCGCGGAAGAGGAAGGTGAGTACACTTAACGTTGCCCTTATTCGATGGGTCTTCCGTCACTAACAACAGTCCAGCCAAACGAGCCGAAGCTGAGAAAGCGGCCAAATCCAAGAAGGGATGGGGTTTGACCTCCTGGTTCGGCGGCGGCGGCGGTTCAAAGAAGGACTCGTTGGAGAATTCGCCCAACAAACCGATCCGCGCCAAGCTTGGGGAAAAGTCTAGCTTTGTCTACGATCCTGAACAGAAGCGCTGGGTCAACAAGGCTGCCGGGGCGGAGGAGAGTGCTCCCAAGTCTGCAACGCCTCCGCCTCCTCGCGCAACTCCTCGACCGGCGGGTGCTGGGACACCCCCACCACCGGGGCCCTCAAGCTCTGCGCCGCCGTTGAGGCCCACGCCGCCGGTAAGCGCTGCCTCATCGCCCAACCTGTCTGGTCCATCGGCCGTGCCGCCGTCCATGATCCGCTCCGCCTCGAACGCTAGCAGCGTGGCGGGTGGTCCGCCCTCCGCGCCGCCCAGCAGGCCCGCGACGAGCATGAGCAACGCCAGCAGTATCGATGACCTTCTCGGGGCAGCAATGCCACGCAAGGGCGCCAGCGGCAAGGGCAAGAAGAAGGGCGGGAGGTATGTCGATGTGATGGCTAAGTAGGGGCGGCCTCAGGTCGACAAGAGAAGTCGTTACTAAGTTTGAACGGAACCGTATGACTGGTGCATGTGGAGCGGTCTAACATCCCATGGAAAATGGGGATGGCGAGTCCAAGAATAATCTAGCGGGGTCAAAACGGAAGAATCAATTTGCGCCGCGACTCTAGATGCCTTCCTTTTCAACATCACATTGAACAAGCCGCATGAGAGATGGAGTACATGGATACACGCACAGAAATAACGTGTACATGGGACAGATAAAGCAAGCGCTTCCTCTCACTGGAGATTGATGGAACTCCACTGCCCGGGGATGAAATTATGAGATTGGGGGAGGGGGGATGTTGTAATAGAACTGTTGTAATGATAGAATTTGATCATGACTCTTCCTGTCCCACATGCAATGAATACACCTAATCTCAAGACATCTTTAGATTCGCAGCCGACTCATAATGCTTTTTATTACTTACTGACACACTTGTGTTAAGAGGTGAGAATGCGGAGAAGAAACATACTTAATCCGTGGAGGTCTCACTCGTCCCTTGAAATTCGCATTTTCCTTTTCAAATTAGAGGGGGAAAATCTCATATTCCATGCATAAGAGTTGCCGTGTCTTTGTCCACTCCATACAAATATTGAGACTAGTTGATGTGTTGTTGCTATGTTTTCAACTTTGTCTGCCCACCCAAACTACATAATCTCGCTCATCTATGGACAGCAGAAATTCTGCACACGTACTGTATAAGTCTTTTTAAAGAAGTCCTTAAACGTCCGTATATCTCTGTACGTCCTATTATACTGAGTCCGTCAATAATTGTCACGCGTTTTGTCTACCAATCCATGCAAGCATGGCCTTGTTGTACTCAGCTTTCTTTGTCGTCAGCTTCAGGTCCACAGAGTATGCACTATTGTGACACCTTACCCCAGAGTTTCAAAGGGCAAGACATAGACCTTGTCATGGGAAAGCGTTCTGCGAAACCCCAGTGGATCAAGAGCTAGGCAAATTTGCGGGTTCACAGCATATATGTACGGATCCACCTCACTTGCTCCCAACGCCTTTCTTTCACTCACTTACAAACCTTTCATAAAATTTCTAACTAATTCACTAAATATCTTTCAACAGAATTCATATCAATTTCTCATTTCGTAAAGTGGAATTCTAATCGCTCTACCTGATAGACTCTGGAAAAGTAAGTGGTCCAAATGGGCCACCGTTGTGAAAGACGCTTGAGAATTTCACATGTAGCTCGAAGACATGACCCTCTAAAACAGATTCTCAACGGAGACTATAGAGACTGTATCTGTGAGCTTTGTTCCTTCGTTCTCGAAGACTCAAAGTGCCCTTTCTGTCCCGTGGGACTTCAAAGAGCCTGAGACAAAGCCGATATATCGCCGCTGGTATTCCACGTTCACAATGGTCTGTCCCTAGTTATGAATTACACCAGACAAGGACGTTGCTAGAAAAGGACGTTGCTAGATGAAGACAATGGCATTGTTGTGTAATACTCCCCTAAAGTCGGGGAGTATATGAATTCTACACCCATCCGGTCCAGGCAAGGGGCCTTGCCATTGGCTTCGCCAACGACGAGTGAACTCGCATGAGCAAGCAGAAATCTCACAGCATGGAGAACATTTTCAGCGCAAGATTCGACAAGTACGAGCCGCGGCGGGACAACCTCCCCAGAGTACTGCTCAGGGGGTGGCACCCAGGCACCGCGGCCGCTGCCCTGGGCTTAAACACTGGAAGGGGCATCTATCCTTTTGCGTGGCAATGCCTCCTACCGGCGTCGAACACCCGGGTCAGCAGGGAGCCCCCAAGTCTCCCCTCGCGCCTCACCGAGCTCTCGAGGCCGGCGGTAACGGCTCTGGCCCAGAGCCACATCGGCAGTCAACAAGAGGTAGCCACTCCATTCACATCGTGGACGGCGGACTTGTCTACGGCCGTATTCTTCGCACTGGGCAGCTTTGGCCACGTCCAGTGGGAGATGAATGATGCGCCGGGATACATTGCTGTCGTCGACTCATCGCGCCCGCGCCCAGTTATTCACGTGCCCGATTTAGGCTGGCAGTCTCTGCCGCAGGAGTACCTCATCTACGGTCCCGTCACGGAGGGCATCCGAGTCGTGTCCATCGCCGCCATTAGGAACATAATTAACTGCCAGCACTGGCCCTTTTGCCACAGCGTCAGGCGAGAACCTCACGCGGTTACAGAAGAAGAAATCCGGGACTCGGTGAGGGTGGGCCTTCTCTTCTTAGGCCCCACGGACAAGCACGTCGATGTCGTGCTAGTAATCGCAGCATCGCTTCTATCTTGGGCCCAGGTCCGGGTCTTAAGCCCCAGGCCCCTCGGCCCTGCGGAATTGGCACGTGCCGAAAGGCAGCAGACCAGGCCGTGGCCCCAACCCGACCTTGACACCATCCTGGGTTCTCGCCTTCTGGTCCACAAGGGCGCTGTTCCTCCTCTCAGCGGCGCTCTTCTCGGGAATGCCCTCACGAGTACGGTAGGTGCCCCCCAGCTTGAACTCACAACCCAGTTGCTAACGAAGATGCAGTCAGCTTGGGAACCCGCGAGGGACACGGCCGAAACGAGCCCACCAGTGCTTACGCGTGCACAGTGGGTTGCGGCGTTCAAAGCGGCGGCCAACTGGCACTCGCCCGTTCCGCATGATTGCGGACCCATTCGGTGCGAGTTCTGCGGAAAGGTCGGTGCTACGGCGACGGACTGGCTGAAATTAGAATCGATCTATTTTTGCTCCCAGCAGTGTTACGATTCGCAGGCCAAGAAAGAGAGGGCTGAAGGGAACCAGAATTCGGTTAAGGAACTGTAATTCGCAGATGATGCAGATGCTTTGAACTAGAGTTTTGCCATTCGTAACGGAATAGATGTAGCATTCAATGAAACGCTCACCTAAAAACCCCTTGAATCACTCACTAGAAGCTCACTCTGGGAGCAGATTCTTGTTTAGAATGATGAAGTATTTCCACTGCCTTTTAGTCAATGTGAAAAGCCCGTTGTAGCTGATCTGCCGGGTGCTGGGCTTCTATAAAGCAATTATTTTATCCCCGAGACGCCATCCGGAACCCCTAGAATATTCCAGCTATGCAATGCGAGATACGCTCTTGAACCAAACCTCTCGACTTCAAGCACTGTACGAAGAAACATAGTAGGTGACGACAGCATCCTCGGCAGTGGCATCGTCGAACTGCGGCACGTACGCGTACAGGATCAGCGCGTGGTCGTCGGCAAAGCACGCGATGACGCGGCCCTCGAGGCGGCCCACGCTCAGCACCCTGCTCCAGTCCTTGCCGTCGACGCGCACCGTCGCCCACCTGTCGGGCCCGGCCTCGCGGAAGCGCGTGCTGGGGTGCTCCTCGAGCGGCACGGCCAGCTGCGTGGGGTCCAGCTCCGGGTTGTCCAGGCCGCGCCACACGCTCTCGATGTCCAGGGCGTCGGTGGCGATGCGCAGGCGGAGGCTGCCGTGCATGTTGGCTGACAGCTCCAGCTTCGGCCCGTTGGCGCCCGCGGCGCCCGCCCCGCCCCGGGCGCCACCCGCTCCGCCGCCGCCGCCGGACGTGGTCAGGGCCAGCTTGGTGAAGCGGTCCGAGATGGCCTTGAGCTGCATGAGCGGGGGCAGCTGGATGTGCACGTCGGGCTCGCGCACCTTGGGCTGCATGATGGTCTCGACCGTGTCCGGGTGCAGCACCCTGACCGGAATGTCGTGCGTGATCACCTTCTCGCGCTCGCGCTTCATCGTCAGCTCGAGAGCCTCCACGTCGGCTTCGCCAAAGGGGTCGTCGTCGTCGTACTCGTCACCACCGCCGCCACCTCTGTGGCCACTATCTGCGCCTCCGCGGCGGTTTTGGAATGCAGCCGCTGGCGGAGGGTTGTTTGAGCGCTGCTCGGGGGTGGTGTGGATGGTCATAGACAGCACAGGTATGCCATCCTTCTTTGTGAGGCGCAGCGTCGCATGGTCGCTGTTGATGGCGGACTTGAGGGCGCGCTGGAGAGGCCCGAGGGGCAGTTCGAGGTTGATTGTGTTGGAGGGCTCGGCAGACTGGATGTGGTAGTCGTTGAAGATGAAGTCCATGGACAGGGAGCTGCGGGGAGGCCATTGTAAGTTCGTGCCCATCACCCAGGAAAAAAAAAAAAAAAAAAAAAAGGACCGACAGGGAGACTCGAGACACTCACGCCCAGACTTGGGATCCCGTCTCGGGAATCACTGTGAAGCGCGCCGTGTCATCGTCGAGGCGGACCCAGGCGATCTTTTCGAGCGTGTTCAGGGCGGCGATCAGCTTGTTGAACGTGCGTATGTTCTTCAGCTCCGTCTTGAACCTCATCGTGGGCCAGGTTCCGGCCGAGGGCCCATGTGGACGCGTCGAGACGCGTCAAGAATGCCCACCTCGGTCAGTCAGTCAGTCAGTCAGTCGATTCGTTAGACTCAACTCGGAGAGTCGATTCGGAGAGAAAAGAGTAAGTCCAAGTGGAGAATCAAAGGACCATGGGTACAGTAGCGGGGCCGACATGCACAAGTCGCCGTGGACCTTGTCCTGTACAGAACGTAGTAGTGCTAAATGGATTGCGGCTGCTGAAGGGGTATAGCGTGGCTGCGGCTATCGACGACGTCTGTCTGTAGCTAGGTAGCTATAGGTGGTGCTAGGAAAATTACCCCAGTGTTGCCCCCACCATATAAGGACCCTTGTAATGACAGCGGGCTGGCCACCTCCAGGTGGGGTTTGGGGTCGTTGAACGGCAAGCTACCCCGCCTGGATCATCCCGTCGTCTCCGCCCGCACCAACACCCCAGCCTCGCTCCGCCTCGCCTCAATCAGTGCCCGCGAATGCTTCCGTGTTGCTCCTGTCCACAGCGCGTCATGCAATGAGTGGCTTTCCAGTCCACCAGGCAGTGACAAATAAAAAGAAAACCAGACTTCGGAAACGCCTCGGCAGAAAGAAAAGCCAAAATTCCATTGAAACACCCCTTCACCTAAAGACCAGATCCCAGAAGCAGCAGAAGTTGAGAAGAAGACCGCTCTCAACACGACCACCGTAGCAGGTAGCTCCAAGGCGCCCAGCCTACATTACCCTCCGAGCAATACGCCCGGACCGTAGAAGTCGCAGTTGCTCTCTTGTCCTGTCATCCTGCAGTGCTCGCAACCATCTCCATGAGCCGTGTTGGCATGTGAGCGTCATGTAGACAAATGCATCATGCATACACCTCCGCCTCTTTCTCAAGTCTTATGAGAACTGATCGGCCGTGGTCTTCATCTTGGGCTCCTGCGAGTCGTAAAATGCCAGGAACTTCCAGTCTGGCCCCTTCTTCGCCACGTCCCAGTAGCCGTAGGCGCCGGGAACTGGGGGCAGGTCTCGGTTCGACGTCGGTACCAGCTGTGGGGAGTCGGCCATGTCGTTCTCCTCGCCCTCATCTTCTTCGGGGTGCAGCGACTTCATCTTCCTAATATGCGTAACGTCCAGTGTCAGCCTTGCCAAGGCGTTTGCTATACGCAGTGCTGACAGTGCCCACCTCAAGCCTTTCGTCCTTGGTGTTCGGGTCCCCTCCATGTCGTCGTCGCTGTCGCTCTCGGTGTCGCTTCGACCCTCTGCCGTCTCCCGCGGACCTCCCTCCAGCATCTCCTGCACCCGTTGGCGCCTCGCCAGTTTGAGCCTCTGCTGCCGGCAGTAAGGGCAGTCGCTGTTTCGGGGGTCACCGGGAAAGCTCACGCTCGCGGCCTCATCGCGGGTCAGTCTTGACTTCTTTCGATCGTAGGCCGCGGGCAGGATCGGGTGTGAGCAGATGTGGAACAGGTCGGTCCGGCAGACGGGGCACAGGGGCTTGTCGGTTATGGAGAGGTAGCGCTTGATGCACACATTGCCGAAGACATGGCCGCAGGGGGTGATTGACCAGCCCTCCTTGATGCCGTCCGGGGACTTGGTGCCCACGTCGACCTGGCAGATCGCACAGGCCGGGTCGATGTCGTGGAGATCGGGATGATCCTCGTGGCGGGCGACCGAGGTCTTGACGGGCGACTTTAGCTTGACAGACTTCATGATGCCCCGGCTGAGAGGACCGAGGTTTGGAGGGCAGCAGGAGATGTAGTCGAGGAGGTCGGCGGTGGTTGTGAAAGAGACCAGAGGGAAAACGAAAGGGTGTGTCAGGAGTGCAGCGGCCAGGGCCCAGCAGAAAGGCGAGTGTGAGGGTGAGGGTGAGTTTGAGGTGTTAGTCTGGGTGAAAGGCAGCTGCAGCCTGCCCAACATGGATGCGGCTGTTGAGAAGGGAAAGCGATAAGGCTTGGGCAAGGAGCGGGTCTGAAGACGGAGGAAGTAGCGCACAAGTCTGTGCGAATGACTAGTTATCGTCGAGTGATGCAGTCGTCACTCCAACGAAGGCGTGCCACATGGGTCACAGGTCAGCTTGCTTGGAGGAGGGTTGGGTGTGTTGGTGGGTGTGGGTGGAGAGGGGCGCGGGCCCGGGAGAGATAACCTAGGCAGGTAGGAGGAGGTGGCCAGGCTAGAGCGGGCAGGATAGCGTGCAGAAGTGAGTTGGCTGGACCGGCAGGCAGGGAGGGGTGGGATGGCAGGATGGCTGGGAGTCAGTGGGTTGGGCTAGAGCTTGGGACTTGTATGCTGGACTGGTGTTTGGCGGTTGCGTGCGTGCGTTCGCTCGTTCGTTCGTATGCACATGTACAGTAGTATGTGGGCTGGGCTGGGGACGGGGACGGGGACGATGGGCTGAGGAGATGGGCCGAGCAAGTGGAGGGCCTCGGACACGACAGCATAGGACAAGACGAGCGGACAAGCCCAGCCTGGGCGCCTCCGTTGGTTTTCGTCTGGGCTGCTTTCCAACAAGGAAATGCAAGTCTCGTGGCTGACTGGCCCGGCCCCCAAGAGCGAATTACTATGGGAAATCGGCCTCGGATGGCACGCCTGGCGAAACGGTGTCTGGAGCTGTGGCGCTTGCTGTGCGTCCGTAGATAAGCTTCACGTTAGTCGTCAAACCGCGCGGGTGCCTCTCCCAGTATCCAGGTACCTAGCAGCGAGGTAGATATGCTCAGCGAGTGCCTACCTCGGAACCTGCCCGCCCAGCCTCTCTAGGCTTTGATAAACCTTGGCAATGATGTGAAATGCAATTAATCCACCCAAGTCAGGTCAAGCTGCAGGCGTGTACTTTACGGCGTTCTGGAAAGGTGGCGGGGGTGGACACAAGGCTGAACAGACTAAATAGGCTGCCCGCTTATTCAGATGCAAGGAAGTGGATTGCCCTTGTGCTGTGAGTGAAAGTGACCAGGACAGGGGTTGTCCGGCTGCATATGCAGCCCCTGCTCTGCTCACTTCACCTCACGGCCCACCGCCGTACTGTACTACCTCTATCATAAGGTATCACTCTGTGTCCGTCTTGGAGAGAGGCTGGAAAGGCTGGCACGAGCTATATTCCACTTGCGCCCCGCCTGTGCTTGTGCACACACCCGTTGGTTTCATGTGGACGGCCAACACCTGTTGCGCCGCAGCCACTTGCTGTTGGCCTTTGATATCTGCCCCTTGCGGCTTGGCCTCACGTACAAGCACGGCTCTGCATCCCCTGAAGGGATGAAGACGGATGCCTCACTGCGCTATTGTTATATTTCTGCACACTGTCGTAACTCAGTACGGTCCGAGAGAGACATGGAGCACAGTCATCCATCCATTGTACCTCCCCTGGACTGGTCACGATGCTGTAGAACTATGTGACGGTGGATCTTCAGGCTTCCACTGTCTCACCCCAACCGGCTGCCCATAGGCGTGTCCCTGAAGACCCAACCCGAGACTCAGCTAGACTACGGGAACCACCTGAGGGAATACTGGGGTGCGGCTCTAAACACCAGTGATGGCGATGCCTTGATTGAAAAGCCGCTGTATCAGATTGCAACACACGATGTATTCACCGGCATGGAATGCGCGTTAGATGGGTATCGTTTAATGTTGCGCTTGCAGTTGATGCCCTGCAGTTGGACTATCGTGCCCTTGTCGCTTGATCGGGCTCCTCGTCGCTGTCATCCCGAAAACCCTCTTCCAAGCTGTTGGGACGTTAGCAGCTGATCGCAAGATGTCGACCACGCAGCAGACTCACTCCCGGCTTAACCTGCGCTCCAGGTCCGGCCTGCCACTGCTCCTGCTCCTCCTGGCCTCCCTCTCTAGACGATTCCTCACGTCCTCATCCTCCGGCACCTCGTCCAGCTCCTCGCCCTCGTCGGAGTCGTATCCGTTGTCAGACCCAGGACCCCCAGCGACTACCAGTCGGTCTTGCAGCCTCTCTCGCCAGGTCGAGGGTACAAGCCATCGTGCAATCTGATTTTGTACCCTGGCCCGGACGGTCTGGGTCCCGTTGGAGATGGTCTCGAGCGGAAGGTACGCACCGTATCGGCTATTGCGAGTACGCTGCCATAGAGGATAGATAATGTATGTTGCGAGGAGGAACACTATGAGGGCTATTATCGCCGGGATGACGAGAGTCTGTCGGCCGCAAGGACAATCGCGGTTAGCTGTGGGTCTCGGTGCATAAAGGGGGCGAGAGAGAGAGAAAGAGAGGAAAACAGCGAAACTTGCCTTTGCTGTGGATACCGTAGAGCCCATGCTGAGATTATTGGAGGGATGATATGTCGCGCCCTAGTGGTATGCTAGAATGGCTAGCGATTCCGCCGGGACGGACGAGAAGAGGATGACGTTGCAGATGGCCGGTCGAGAACGAGTGGACGGTAGGTAGCCTTGATTGGTTGCTGGAGGCGGCACTTGGGACGGTGCTGTGCGTTTTTGGCAAGATCCTATTGCGGTTCCTGGTCTGATTGAAACAAACCTGCCTCAGGATCCAGTAGCGACTGGGCGAAGTCCCGAAGTCGATGCCCCGTGAGAGGTAGTTGCGAGCTCGGAGATGATCGTCGTCAGCCACGAGCGTCTTCAATATCTTCCCAGGAGACGTAGGGGTCCAAAGTACCCGGACACTCAGGCGGCGAAGGGTTAGGGTAGTTCTTCCCTTTCCCGATCCTACTCAACCAGCGGGACAAGCACTTGGAATCCCTACTTGCTTCCCACCTAGATACCAGGTAGGTACCTTGGTACACCTACCATTGTGGAACAATACTGTGTAAGCATGCCAAATTGTCTGGTGCCTCGGAGTCAGTGCTCGCCCTTTCCGTCAACTGCCCCGTCTCCGTCTCCATCTCCAGCTCCATGGATACGGGAATTGTTACATCATGCTGGGCTGGGCTCCACGTGGACTGGATTCGAATCTGTAGTCTATCATCTATGTCTGGATGTCTTCACATGGTCGAATGTCCATTGCGCTTGCTACTCCGCACCTAACTTACTTAGCCTACTAGGCGAAGAAGAGCATGGCGGCATCTGATGGTGTTGGTTGAAACAAGATTGGTTTCAGGGGCAATACCAGCCAATTCGAAGGGGTTGCATTTCCAGGTAGCAAGCTCATGTGCTGCGTACTAGGCAATAATGTAGGCACGCTGCTCATGTGTAGCTATAGTTAGCTGCAAGCAGAAACGGGAAATGAGGACGGGGATTTGGATTGGTGTCTGGATGGAGAAGGAGATGGAAATGAGAGCCAAACCGGCGCACCAGGTCATCTCCGGATCCAGCTGACTCGACTGTCCAACTTTTCGTCGTCTACAGTGTGTTGTGAATATCGAATGTACCTACCGAGGGCAGAAGTATGGCATTTGCTGCTTCTCACTGCTCGCAAGTCCCAACCTCAAGGACGAGGAAGGCGGATAGGCCCTTGGATAGATGCAGTATGTGTAGACTAGTCCCATGCGCCACCATTATCAAGACGGGTGTCGATCTTGGAGAGCCTTACCGTATCAGTGCTTGCAGGTGGTTGGTGCTAGACAGAAAAGGTCGTATTTGCCCTGGTGGGCCTCCAATTTGGGAAATTAACTCGATTGTTTGGTTGGGCTTCTGCGGCTCCAGTCCGGAGCCAGAACTGGCAGAGCCAGAGCCAGCAGCAGCCCACCTGGGCACCCAGGCACCCAGGCACCCAGACACCGGGGCAGTCCAGACCAGACCTGGCTCGTGTCCCCTTGTCCTTCGGCACGCACGCACTCACACGCAACCGACGCAGGGGCTCGGGAGGACCACAAGCTGGGCGGCAGCTGGGCACGCACGCACCACCCACCACCTGGCACCCTTGAACTGAACCCGAACCAGGCCCATCATCTCGCGAAACCTAAACCAAACCCCCAAGGCTTCGTTCGAGATTCCGGCAGCGTCGTGCATCAGTCTCTCTTGCTCCTGTCCCGGCCCTCTCCACCACACCACCACACCCTCCGCACTCCACTTGTCCGTCCCAAGTACGGACGATGCTGGGCACCTAGTCTGCTGGCTTTCCGGGTTTGCGGTGCATGCTAAAACAAGCCTGATTATGCGCCTGCAGTCTCTCCTTGCCAATACCGTCCCGCGCATCACAGCACACCGGGACACCCATCCGATTCGAATCGACGGGTACAATGCGATCGGCCTCGAGCTCTGAGACTGACACAGAGACACACGCCGCTACCGACAACACTCGCATCCCTGCCCGTCCCGTTCGCAGCATCCTTCCAACAGTTTGCGACTCTGGGTCGTCACCCTCCCCTCCCTCCAACCACCCACTGAACCCCTCGACCAGCCTGCCGTTTGACACACGCTCCCATCGGCACACGCAGCAACACACCACAAAGGACTGAGCACCGGGCACGACTGCCGCCAGGAGGCTCGTCCTCGCGCGACCCGCAACATGGCCTCGTTATTTTCTAGGGGGAAGCACAAGGCCGACAAGAGAGCCACAAGTGACGAGGGCCGCAACTTGGCTGTGAACCAGCAGCTTGACACAGGCAGTTCAACAGGCTCGCGCTCCTCGCGCCACAACCGGGACTCTTCGGTGGTATCCGTCGACCGTCCCAACTCGGCCGAGGGAGTCGGCATCAACGAGGTGGCAGGCGTCTTCTCGACGATACCTTACGACAGTACCGCCAACGGCCGCCGTTCCCCCGTGCCCGTCGAATACCTGCCCAAACCCGACCAGCTGCCCGTCCGGAGAGACCCACTGCCGCATCAATTGAACAAGGCCACTGCCGACTTCCACCAGTATCCAAGTTTCGATCCATCTTCCCTCCAAGCTCATGCAAGTACTCACCTCTCCGGGCCCCGGCCCCCTCCCGGGAGGGCTTCGAATATTACAATGGCATCGACCGGCCGCCAGACGCAGTACCAGCAATGGGGACCGGCCCGGGAAAGTTCTCATCCAGCAGGATCCCATGGCTCCAAATACACCTCCTATGCAACCTCTGCGGGCAGGACTTCGACAGACCAATCTAGTATATTTTCAGGTAACGGAGGCTCCCACGAATATGCGCATATGTCCGGTCGCTCATCCAGAACAGCACTGCCCAGTGCTTCCTCTCAGAGTAGCTACGCCTCGAACCTTTCCAATCGGGATTCCCACCGCCTGACCAAATTTCCAGGAGGCCTTTCACCTACGAGTCCCGGCGATGCGTTCTACTTCCCCAAGCCCGAAGACCGGTTGATCGACGACATGTTCCTCCAGTTGATGCAGAAACGCGGTTGGCATAACCTCCCGGAACAGGCCCAGCGCCAGATGCTCGCATATCCCTCCGCAAAGAAATGGACACTTATTTACCAGGATAGGCTCACCGAGTGGCAAGGCGAACAGAAGAGAAGAACCACCGCGAAACCCGGACAATACCAAACCTTTGATGTCGCCGCCTCTGCTGCCGAGGAGGGCAGCCCTGAATGGTACGTTAGGAAGGTCATGGATAACAGCCTCGACACAAAGGGACTTGGAAGTTTGGAGGTCAATTTGAGAACACAACAGATCGGCTGGGTCAAGCGATTTATCGAGTGTCAAGGACAAGTCGCCCTCACCAACGTTCTTATGAAGCTCAACCGGAAACAGGCTGTTGGGCCGGCGGCACCCGAGACCAAGAACGACACCAAAAACCTTGACCGCGAGTATGATATTGTAAAATGTTTAAAGGCACTGATGAACAACAAGTTCGGCGCCGACGATGCACTGGCGCATCAGCAAGTTATCGTGGCCTTGGGCACATCCCTTATATCTCCAAGGTTGAGTACGCGAAAGCTGGTCAGCGAAGTCTTGACCTTCCTGTGTCACTGGGGCGATGGCGACGGCCATGTCAAGGTCATCCAGGCCATGGATGTTGTCAAAAACCAACAAAACGAGAATGGGCGATTCGACGCCTGGATGCGCCTGGTCGAGGTCACTGTCGACGGCCGAGGCAAGATGGGCAGTCTGGTTGGTGCGAGCGAAGAGGTTCGAAGCGGTGGTATCGGCATGGAGAATCTGCTGATGGAATACGCCGTCGCAACACTCATCCTCGTCAACATGATCATCGACGCCCCCGAGAATGACCTGCAGTTGCGGATGCACATCCGGGCCCAATTCGGGGCTTGCGGCATCAAGCGCATCCTCACCAAGATGGAGGCGTTCCAGTACGACCTCATTGACAAGCAGATCGAGCGGTACCGCAACAACGAAGCCATCGACTACGAGGACATGCTCGAGAGGGAGAATAGCAGCATCAAGGATAGTATCGAAGGTGAGGTTAAGGACCTCAACGACCCTGTCCAGATCGCGGATGCCATCCAGTCGAGACTGCAGGGCACCAAGACGCAAGACTATTTCATCTCGGCGCTGCAGCATCTGCTCCTCATAAGAGAGGGCGATGGCGAGGAGAGGCTGAGGATGTTCCAGCTTGTTGACTCGATGCTAAGCTACGTGGCCATGGACCGGCGGCTGCCGGATATGGACCTCAAGCAGAGCCTGAATTTCACCGTGCAGAGTCTCTTGGACAAGCTTCACACGGACTCCGAGGCTCGCCAAGCCCTTGATGAGGCCCTCGAGGGTCGGCAAATAGCTGAGGCCGCCATGGCCGAGAGGGACGAGATGAAGGCGCAGCTGGAGCTGGGCGCTGATGGGCTTGTCGCGAAGCTCCAGAAGCAACTGGATGAGCAGGCAAGGTTCATTGAGGCGCAGAGGAGGCAAGCCGATACTCTGAAGTCCGAGCTCGAAAACATCCAAAACCTGCGGGCAAAGGAGGCCCAACGGTATGAGCTCGAGACTCGTGAACTCTACCTCATGCTCCGAGATGCCCAAGACGTAGCAGCCTCGAACGCTGCTAAGGGTGGCAGTAACGGAACGGAGGACCCAGCCCGTATGCAAGGTATTTTGGACCGTGAGAGGCTCATGGACCGTCTGGCCATGCAAATCGAGCGGCAGAAGACTCAGTACAAGCTGGAAGGCAGGAAATGGGGCGAGGACGCTGGGCCATCCGACCGGTTGCGGGCGTTGCGTGAGGAGATGGAGGGCTATGGCGCGGCAGGCGCAGGCCTTGGTGTACCAACTGACCCCAACGACTTTACTCACAGCGTGCTCGGAAGTGTGAATCGCAACACTAGGATGAACCGTAAGCGCGAGTCCCAGGATGACTTCGGTGACGAGGGCGAAGACGAAGACGTCGTCTACGAGAAACCCACGCTCGTCGAACTACGCCGGCCACGCATGGATCCCAAGCAGGCTAGTGGCCTGATGGGTGAGATCAAGGGCACGGTCAAGAGATACGATGGCAGCGACTCCGAGGGTGAACAAGACGCGACAACAGGCCCGTCCCATCCTAGCTTTGAGACGCAGTCACCCATCACGCCCAGCGATGACACGCCCAAGATCCAGATCACCGCGCAAATGGACCTCCCCCACCGCCACCGCCTCCACCGCCCATGCCAGGTCAGATCCCAGGTGTTGGTCCCCCGCCGCCTCCTCCTCCACCGCCGCCACCGATGCCAGGACAACTTCCTGGCGCTGGTCCTCCACCGCCTCCACCACCTCCTCCGATGCCAGGAAGTGGCGGGCCACCACCACCGCCTCCGCCCCCTCCTCCCCCAGGCATGATTGGCCGAGTGCCAGGCGCCCCGCCTCCTCCACCGATGCCTGGTGCTGCTCCTCATGGTCACTACTTGCCTCAATCGCCTGGACTGCCAATGTCGAATGGTCTTGGCCTTCCCGTTGTGCGACCAAAGAAGAAGCTCAAGGCTCTCCATTGGGACAAGGTCGACGAGGCTTCCTCTACTCACTGGGCTGCTCACGCTCCCACTGCAGAAGAGAGGGAGGAGAAGTATATTGAGCTCAGCAAGAAGGGTATCTTGGACGAGGTCGAGAAGCTTTTCATGGCGAAGGAAGCCAAGCGGCTTGGTGGAGGCGCTGGTAAGAAGGATGACAAGAAGCAGCTTATTTCCAATGATCTGCGGAAAGCATTCGGTAAGTTTTCCTCGCACAGTTCTGGAGTGACTGGAGTAAGTTACTTACAAATCATTAGAAATCGCTCTATCCAAGTTCTCCCAGTACTCTGTTGAGAAGGTTGTGCAGATGATCATCCACTGTGACGCCGCCGTTCTCGACAATCCCGTTGTCATGGACTTCCTGCAGAAGGATGACTTGTGCAATATCCCAGAGAATACTGCCAAGGTTATGGCTCCGTACAGCAAAGACTGGACGGGTCCAGACGCCATGTCAGTTGCTCGTGAGCAAGATCCGGCTGAACTTACGAGGCAAGATCAGATCTACTTGCAGACCGCGTTCGAGCTTCACTACTATTGGAAGAGCAGGATGCGAGCTCTGGCTTTGACGAGGAGCTACGAAGCTGATTATGACGAGATCACCGAGAAGATGCGCCAAGTTGTTGATGTGTCCGAATCCCTGAGAGACTCGGTCGCGTTGATGAATGTGCTTGGTTTGATTCTCGATATCGGTAATTATATGAACGATGCGAACAAGCAAGCTCGTGGATTCAAGCTCAGCTCGCTTTCTCGTCTCGCCATGGTCAAAGACGACAAGAATCAATCCACGCTTGCGGATCTCGTGGAACGCATCGTCCGGCAGCAGTACCCCGAGTGGGACTCATTCGTCAACGACATACAGGGCGTCATGACCGCACAGAAGATCAATATCGAGCAGCTGCAAGCAGACTCCAGGAGGTACATTGACAATGTTCGGAACGTACAAATGTCGCTCGACAGCGGCAATTTGTCCGACCCCAAGAAATTCCACCCACAAGACCGCGTGTCCCAGGTTGTACAGCGCTGTATGAAGGAAGCTAGACGCAAGGCCGAGCAGATGCAGCTGTACCTGGAGGAGATGTCGCGAACCTACGATGAGATCATGGCGTTCTATGGCGAGGACCCGACAGACGACAACGCCAGGCGAGATTTCTTCGCGAAGCTGGCCCTCTTCATCTCAGAGTGGAAGAAATCACGGGACAAGAACGTCACCTTCGAGGAGCAGAGACGCCGCAACGAGGAGTCGATGCGTCGGAAGAACGCAGCACTTAATATTCGTCCCGACCGCCCCGCAGATGGCGGACCCGTCAGCCCTAGCAGTGCCGGAGCGATGGATAGCCTTCTCGAGAAGCTGCGTGCAGCGGCGCCGCAGACGCGAGACCAGAGAGAACGCAGAAGGCGTGCAAGGCTCAAGGACAGGCACCAGGTACGCGTTGCCTCGGGACAGAAGATCCCGGAGATCAATGAGATTCCCGAGTTGGACACGGGTCTCCTGAGTGCCAAGAGCGTCGATAGCCAGGTCACGGACGAGACGACAGAAACCGGTAGCGTGGGCGGCAACCTGCTTTCGCCTACCTCAGTCACCTCGCCCCAGGAAGGCGAGGACGATGTCGCGCAGCGAGCAGCCATGCTGTTGCAGGGCATGAGAGATGGTGACGAGGGCTCGACGCAGGCCTGGCGGAAGACGGCCCAGGACGAGAGGACCTCGAGGAGGCGGAGGAGGGAGAAGACGAGCAGCTCGCAGCCGCCACCGAAGCAGGCGAACGGGACAGCGGAGGGCGAGGGCGAGGGCAATGCGGCAGAGGGCGAGTCGGCCCAGGGGGACAACGACGAGGCTGGAAGCACAGCACACAGTGACGAGCCCGCAGCTGCGGCCGAGGAAGAGGGAGACGTGCCGACGCCGAAACCAGAGGCCGAGGTGCCGGCGTGAAAGGCCCCCTTGATGTCGTCGGCCGTGCCTATGTGCTCAGGGCCCCAACTGTATGAGTTCTTGCGTTTCCAGGTTTTCGAGATAGGGGATGGGTAGCAACACGCCGAAAGAAGGGATTCAGTAAGCTGCCGCTTCCGCTGTCCATATCTGCCTGCCTACGTATACGTATGTAGCAGGTGTATACATCTATATATATCCATATAATGTTTACCCAAGGCAGGTTTGGGAACAGTCAAATTGGGCCTTCCATGCTATGCTCACCGAAAGGGAAAGGCGGGAAGGACAAGCTGGAGAATCGCCAGAGCCTTTTGGTTCAATATTCCTGCGTGGCGTGTCAGCATGCGGCGAGGTGGTTATCAGGCTTGGGGGGAAGGTGGTGGAGCATCTGGACTGGGTGACATGGGCGTCGGGCGAGCACGAACATTATACTAATGTACATAGCTGCAATGGATGCATCGATGCTGATTCTTGTTAAAGGCAGTTGTGGCGTTGTGGACCTTCAAAGTCGGCCATGTTCTCCCGCACTGGATCGACCTCGACTGGAATTGAGATGGCTTTGGATGTAGATATTGTTGTTTTTCAAGTCCCTTCTAAAGGGCCGGTAGCGTGTCTTCGAGTTATTTCTCCTGCTTTCTTCAGCCACATAGTCAATAATTTTAAGATTTGGGTTTGTCAGACAACGTCCTCGTCATTTGAATATCAACCCGTGAAGCAATAACTACCGGGTAAGACACAGTGGTATGACACCCGAGAAATTAATTCCTGCGCGAAGAGATGTTCGAAAGATGACATTCTATCATTGCTTTGGCAAGCCCCAGAAGCATGCGGTTGAAGCCAGAACGTAAAAGGGTGGAGAAAAAGTCTTATGTCTCAAGCCAAAAGAACATTAAATAAAGCTACAAGAATCCAGGCATTCCTTTATAAACTCTGCTTCGAGAGCAACTCCGAAAATTAACCGTACCGGCCTTGAACCCATGAAACGTCATCATGTCCGCACATCACCCAAAACCAGTACATACCCACACAAACACACACAAGAATGTTTCCAAAATCGACATATCATACTCAAGCCCGTGTGAAATCCCCATCATAATCATCATCAAGTGCAAATAGCCCCCTCATCTCTTGAGATACTTCAGCCTCCTACAGCGCGAAGATATCGGGGTTGAGGGCGCATCTGGCACCGTCGATCTGGGCGCCTAGAAGAGGGAGAGTGCCAACGAGGTTCAGTGCGACGCCAACGCTCCCAGGCACGGGGTTTATGGGGAAGCGCCACGTCGCGCCGCTGTTCTGCTCGGTTGCGTAGATGAAGCCGTCATTGGTACTGTAGATGGCACCCCACGCAGCCTGACCGACAAGATTAAGGAGGCCGCCGGAGGTGTTTTCAAAAGTGAAGACTTCAACCCAGGTTTTAGTGTTGAGGTCGAAGTAGACCAGGTGGGTGTTGTATTGCGTGACGATGCCGAGGGCGTTCGAAACGACCTCCCGGCCAAGTGCCCAGAGCTTGTTGGGATAATTAGGTATGTAGGCCCAGTCTCCCACGGCCCATCTAAAGTTGGTCGCGGGTCCCGATCCTACGACTGTTCCGTAGGTCGCGCTGGCAAGGTTCATATCCACCTGGACCCAGTTAGCGCCACCGGCGTAAGCGAGCCAGTACTGCTGGTTAGTATCGATGTCGCCAATTAGCAGCGGTTGTGTGGTCGTCGACACTGGGATGACGGCGTTGGGTCCTACGGCTTCCGTAGCACCCCCTGCGCCTATTCGGATGATGGCTTGAGGAACGACGGTGTAGCTGATTCCGTAAACATAGTCGTGTACGGGGTGATACCCTATGGCATTGACCGGAGGGAGAGCGGCATTAGTGAGCAAGTCGAAGAGGCCTTTAACTATGTTGATGAGGTTCCGACCGAGGTTGAGAGAATAAATAGTGGTTCCAACCACCTCGTACGCCGGCCCAACGCAAGCGAGCTTCGGCAACTTCGAAATTGGAGTAGCGGATGCTCTGAAGGATAAGTTAGCGGAGATACCAGTGATACGGTCAGGTTTCAAACATACGACTGAGAAGAGCTTGTAGATGACGACGTCCCAGATGTCGCGCCAGTCGATGCCGTGCCGGTCGATGCCGTACCGGTCGATGCCGTGCCAGTCGATGCTGTCCCAGTCGATGCCGTGCCGGTCGATGCCGAGCCAGTCGATGAGTCCCCTCCGCTGCTCATCGTTGACGATGGCTCTCCGGTTGAGAACAGGCTACTGCTCCCATCGCCAGTGGAGGTTGGCACGGGCAGTTCTCCTGTGCTGCTACTCGAGTCACCACTGCTTGATGTTGGTACGGGCAGTTCTCCTGTGCTGCTACTCGAGATACCACTGCTTGGGTTGGGCACGGGCGGCTCTCCTGTGCTGCTACTCGAGTCACCACTGCTTGATGTTGGTACGGGCAGTTCTCCTGTGCTGCTAATCGAGATACCACTGCTTGGGTTGGGCACGGGCGGCTCTCCCATGCTGCTGCTCGAGATACCGCTGCTTGGGCTTGGCACAGGCGGTACTACTGTGCTACTACCCGAGTTTGGAGTGGTCGGCACTGGGGGGTTGTTGGTCGGACCGCCATTGGGGCCGGTAGACTGAGGGTTGCCGCTGGTGATGGACGAGCGGGTGCCAGTGCTGGCAGGGGGGTTGATCGGGTTGATCGGGCCAAGAATGACGATGTAGAACTGTATAGTGAAGCTGACGCCCACACCGACCTGCCTGGGATTGATACCGACTCCTGCCTGAGTAGTGGCAGTGATAGTGACGAGAATGGTGATCGGGAAGCTTGGATAATCGGCCGGCACAACGCCGATAACTTGTCTGGTTGAAGGGCTCAGGTCGGCGTTGAGGAAGGGAGTATTGGGGCTCGTGCCGATTGTGTTCACGATATCCGTGGGATTCCGTAGGTACTTCACCAGGTCGATGGCGAAGGGGCTGCCGACGTATATCGTCTCCACCGGCAAAGGTCTGGGAGAGACGGAAGAGCTCGGAGAAGGACCAGTAGGGGGTTGGGCCTGGTCCTATGTTGATTGTCACACTGAGTTGGATGACGAAGCTGTAAGTCGCACCGGTGGTTGGATTGTATGCTCGCACTAGAATCCTGATGATGCCTGCGGGTTGATTGGCTGGTACGACGCCGTAGAAGGATCGAGTGACTGGGTCATAGAAGATCCAGTTCACCGGTGGATCCGTCGTGAAGGTCACGATCTGGTCGCCCAGGCTGCTGAGGTAGGAGGCGAGGCTGACGCTGAATGGGGATCCAGGAGTTACAGCCACTGTGGCTGTGATTGGGCCTGCTCCAGGAATCGTCGTCGGCGTCGCAGCACCGGGAGGGCCTGGGGGGCCTGGGGGACCAGGAGGACCAGGAGGACCAGGAGGACCCGGCGGACCCGGCGGGCCAGGGAGCCCACCAGTTCCGTATGGGCCAGCAGGAACTGGAGTTACAAACGGAGCGGCAAGATACTCTGTGGTGAAGGTGTAGCACACCGACGCGAGCCCACCATACAATGCCCGCTCGTCGACAGCGGCCAGGTTGCGGGCATCAACCGCAGCTGGTCCTTGGTGCTTCCGAATAGGTTCGGCCGTGAGGGGGGATGCAAGAGCCAGCAGCCCAAGAGTGAGCCACGAGCGGAGTGTTGATGCCATCTTCTTTCTGATTGCAAAGCCAAGGGGAACGATCTGGGGCAGAAGAAGGTCGTGGCGAGTTTAGCAGAACCCAGCAAGAAGCGAAGACAGAGATGGCCATAAACGATATATATGCTGTGTGAGTTCGATGCGACTTCGCGTCCCAATGCTATGGGACGCGCTTTTCACCCTCCGGGGCGGACAGGAATGGAAATCACATTGCGTGTTCCAACCTTGGCCAACGTTGGACTCTATCGACAGCGAGTCTAATAATAAGCAGCAGTGACATTCCGTCTCGTAGCATTGCGTCGGCCTCGGCTCTGCGTCGGGACCCCGCGAGTTTGATTTGATCAGCACAGGAATATCATACTGACGGACTCGACTCTGGAAGCTAGACGCACCAGTCTGGTTCGTGATTCGGATTGAGCTGCAACGGTTGACTCAGCCCAGAAACGCAGCGCCACGTATCGGCTGAGGCCGGCACCTGAGACAACACCCGCGACGCCCACGGCGAAGCCGCAACGCTGATTCCAGCAGACCGACCCAGGAATGCTGCTCAGATTGCTCTAACCAAAGAGTCCATATCTGAGGACGGAAACGTGATTTGCCATACCAGTCGATCCCTGTAACCCGGTTAGAATGTAGACTATGCTTGTTCCGACGCGTAAACAGAAAAACACGGCGTTGACGCTGGCCAAATCAGCCACGCTCTCCTTACCTTTCTATTTAACTCGTTTCCTCCCGAATTCATCTCACTCCAGCGAAGACGCAAGCAGGCTATCGCTTCGACAATCCTCAACACTCGCTTTTCACCACACTCTTTTTTAAGCCACCGCCTCCTTGGGTCAGCACTAAGACGCTCGCTCGTCTTTGTCTCCCTGTCCACTCATTCGTTCGTCAACCTCCTCACTGGAGCGACAGAATACTCGGACTGGTGAAAATGAGCTCCAACGTCCGTTCCCTTTCCGCCATTATGGCGGCGGCCATGCTGGCGCCCCTCGCCGCCGCGGCCCCGGAATACTGCCCCCTCGAGGTCCGCACTGCGACTGTCACCGCGTGCTTTACCAACACCGGGGCTCCGGTCAAGCCGACCTGCGACGTTGCCTGCCCTACTCCTGTTGCAAAGCCCAACGACGACGGCCCCATCCAGGTGTATGTGCAGGCACCAAAGTGTGACAGCTGCGGCTGTGACTCGTGTGCCCACACAAACGTGTACACCACCACTTACGACGCCTTCTGCCCCACTGGTCTCTCCAAGCAAGAATACGTCGTCACCGAGGTCTACGCCGGCATGTCTGCGAAGCCCAGCGTGACTGCTGCCCCCAAGGTGCCCTTCGGTTTCGCCGTCGATGTTAAGACCTGCAACGAGTGCGGCAAGAAGCCCATCACTGCCACTCTCACCTACCCGGCCTCTGGCTGTCCTTACATCAAGGGCATGTCCGAGCCCACCGGCGCCCCTGCGGGTTCCCCGGCATACGCCGTTTGGGCTGACAATTCTGGTGGTGGGCCTGGAAAACCCGGCCAGCCTGGCCCTGGCTCCGGCCCCGGATATCCTGGTCAGGCTGGTGCTCAGGCTGGTGCTCAGGCTGGAGCTCAAGCAGGGGCTCAAGCAGGGGGAGACTCAAAAGGACCTGGCTGGAACCAAGGAGGCGCTCAGGCAGGCGCGCAAGCAGGCGCGGCTGCCGGGGCCGCTGCCGGGGCCGGTGCAAACGGCGCTCAAGGCGGCGCTCAAGCTGGTGCTCAAGCCGGTGCTGCCGCAGGTGCCCAGGCGGGCTCAGGTCCATCCGGCGCTCAAGCAGGCGCTCAAGCAGGGGCTCAAGCAGGAGCTGCTGCCGGAGCGGCCGCGGGAGCCGGCTCGAACCAGGTTGGCGCTCAGGCGGGCGCGGGCGCTGGGGCCGCTGCTGGGGCCGACTCAAAAGGACCTGGCTCAGCGGCGATCGCAGGAGCAGGAGCAGGAGCAGGAGCAGGAGCGTCGGCGAATGCTGGACCTGGAGCTCCCGTACCGCCCAACAAGGACAACAACGCGTCCCCTCCGGCACCACCGCCCAAGGGTGAGTCATTCATCGTCTTCTGCTTGAGAGGAAGAGAGCTGACAGCATCACTCAAACACAGATGGGTCGAACCCTCCCCCCCCTCCTCCCGCTCAGCCAACAGGCTCGTCAGGCAAGGTGCAGGTTTCCGCTGCTCGCCCTGCCTTTGTCGCAATAACCATGGGCGGCGTCCTGGGCTTCTTGCTTTCCTTCGTAGCGGCTCTGTGACGAGCGGCCGATCTATATTAATGCTTTTTTTAATGAGTAATGTTTCTCGTTGAGGGGCGATTAGAGGACGGACTGGGCTGGGATTTCAATTACCTGGGATTGTTTATGCATACATCTTGATACTTGGAAGAAAGGGTTCGTCTTTTGTGTAAAAACTTGATTTCATCAATCAACAGGATCTGCGTCGCTTATACAGCCGGCCGCGTATCCTCTTTCATCCATGATCTGAAGCTGATGGCCAGTTCCGAAAACAAGGGCCCGTTGCCACGAGCATGCTGTCATATCCGGGCTTGCGTGGGAATCGATGCTTAGAGAAGGGCTTTTGTGAAGCCATCAGTGATATGCCGTATTCTCGGTGACGTTTCTTGGCCTGGTCAGAAGTTCCGTGGTCACGGAGGCTCGAGGTGGTTGCATCCTGGAGCTGCATGCTTGAGGGCACGACCGGTGCTGCCTGACCATGATCATGTTGGTATACTCAAAAACCATCCTGTTCAAGATCTCATGAGACCCTATGTAAGCCAAATTCAATGAAACATGTTGATGGTTGATGAGTTGGTTGCGACAGTGATGGGCAGACGTATCAGCCTGGAGACAGAGCCAAGTGGCAGTGTGATTCAGGGTTAGGTCTCACGTGAGGGATAAGGGGCAGCCCCCAGGGTGGTGGAAGTGGTTTTGGGAGCCTCGGAGGGGGGGGGGGCCGGGACGGGCGGGTGGCACTCTTGAGGCACGCAGTCAATTAGCATTCCTGAGTGATTGCCCTAGTCTAATTGCGGTCTCAGCCACTTGGCACTCAAACCGTGCATCAGAACGGGCAAGAGAGTTGCTGCATGGCAAAATTACTGGCTGACAACAAGGCGCCCGGCTTTCTTGAAAGTCATTGAAATATCTGTCCTGTCTCTGCTCATTTTTTTAATGGCCATACCCCGGGGTGACGTCCCACAGGACAGCTCCTGCACTTCTGTGGAACAACAACCACCTTGTTACGCCATCTAAGATACGGACATCTGCCGAAAAGCCGCCGGAATGAATGCCAGGCCGCCCTTCATTTAGATATGACTGTTGGCCAAGCAACCTCACCGTTGAGACATCGCTGCTTTGAAGCACTTGAGAAGCACCATCATATCAAGTGTCAACGGTAGAATCAAGTATAAAAAGTCGCAGTGCTCGAGTTGCATCTTTCGCTCCCCTTCATCGCTCAAGTGGCCTCTGTGGCAGCAGCTCTGTCACCGTCCATCGGTGGGCTTCCCTTGGCGTCAGCTCCCTTCTCGGTTGTGCCACAGCCGCAGCATTTCAAGTTCGTCTATTCTTGCAACCTAATAAGTCTCGTCACTCTCTTTGTTCTCGTCCTCAAGCAAGCGAGAATAACAAGAGTCGGCCATCCAAGTATTGAAACATTGCCCTGCGTCTAGGCCATTATTTTCTATCTCCTTGCTTATTGAAATTATCACAAGAAAGGTATGGGTTTAGGAAAGTATCTCCGGACAACATCTCACACGCTTCAGCCGTGGGGTTTCAAGCGATTTGAGATGACACGACCCTATCATCCAAGACTAGATTGTGGTTAAATATAGCTCAAGTGGAACCACGTCGCGTCAACCAGTTGGAATGAGGACACGCTGTCGACATGGTGCCGAAATTCCATGCTGACGATGATGCATTGAACACATCTATCGAAAGGCGCAAACTGGAATGTACAGGGCGTTTTGGTTATGAAGGTGAGCCGTGTGGTCTACATGCATACGAAATACTGACTTGCCCGATTGCCAATTTGACGCTGGAATGCAGAGCTTGGCCCCACGTGTTCATGAGCCTCGCCTCTAGACTATGTTCGCCAGTTCAGTGGCGCCAAGCCATGGATCTTTTGGGATGTTAAGTGATCCAACGGCGACCCGCAATTCAGTTCTCAAGATCTGATAAATGAGTGAAAATTTGTCCATGGCTCACAAAAAGGGCCACTGTTTCTCCACGTCCCCGGAATTGCTAAACCCGACTATCACCGGCGTGGCTGTCTCGCACGTGGCAGCCTTTTGACTGCACGTGTAAACTGTGGAACAATCAGTCCTGGGAAAGGGGTAGTATCGGAGACATGTGATCTCGCGAGAAACTACGTACAACAATACTAAAGGCACAAGCCAATAAATGTGTTTGGTAACCTGTGGCCGTCCGAGAACCTCCCGTGGATTCAGCACTGGATAAAATATATCTCACGGTAGCGACCCGGGATAGAGGCACGTGTGGTTGGCTCTAAGACCGTGGTCACCTCTGACGGGGATAATTGTTGCAACATTGTATTTAGCCGCCACGGGTGACGCAGTTGACAACCTGGGAACCTTGGAGCCCCACTATTACTCCCCGAGAGTGACATGGAGCTCAACCCCAAATGCGTCTAGGGCTGCTAGGGCAGGAAGAGACCTTGTGTGGCACAGCGATCTCGGTCGGGAGAATACGACGCGAGGGGTCCTCAGGCAATATGTAAATCAGAACGTGTTGACAGCCGCTTTTAACCAGACCCCGTCGCTCTCACATAGACAACACTTTTCTCCCCACCTTGTGAGCCTGGGCATTCTACGTCTGCTGAACTGGTTCCAGATATCACGAAATGGGTGCCAAGACGGGTCTGGTGATCGGCTATGAAGGGGGCTCACCCCTTCTCAGAGGTCAACATCGAAGACCGCGCCTCTGTGCAAGAGCTCCTCCGCACCCTTCTCGATCCCCTGGAGCCCTTCTTCTCCCCCAACAAGGCTCGCGTAAGGGTGCCGGGTGCTACTGCTGTGCGATTCGACCAGACGGCCTCTGAGGTCGAGGGGATATGCCGTCCGCTGTGGGGCTTGGCGTGCTTGTTAGCTGGTGATGGAGACTACAAGGGCAAAACCTGGTGGATTGATGGCATCAAGGCCGGCACAGATCCCGAGAACCCAGAGTACTGGGGTTGTCCTCGGGACAACGATCAGAGAATGGTCGAGATGTGCCCTCTAGGTAAGCGAACCCCTCAGATCCCTCTACAGGCGTATGCCTTGGGTTCTAAATTCAATCACGTAGGGTTTGCTCTGGCTGTTGCTCCTGAGATCTGGGGATCTATGTCAGTAAAGGAGAAGACAAACGTCGAGAACTGGCTTGGCAACTCTATCAACGAGAAAAAGTAATACCAAAGACTGCCCTGGTCGTGATCAGTTTTGACTAACCACGGTCAAGCATGCCAAACACGAATTGGCTGTGGTTCAGAGTATTCGCCAATCTCGGGCTCAAGAAAAACGGAGGCCAGTTCTCCCAGCAGCGACTGGATAGCGACATCGAGCACCTAAACACCTTCTACCGCGGTGACGGCTGGTCAAACGATGGCCCGGAGCACATCCACCGTAAGTGACACCCCGAAGCGGCCTCTATCATCGCACTGCGGCCTGACATGAGGTTCCAGAGATGGACTACTACTCTTCCAGCTTCGCGATTCATTATCTCCAGCTACTGTACGCCAAGCTCGCTGGGGATGACGAGCCAGAGAGGGCAGCCGGGTTCAAGAAGCGCGCCCAAGCCGCCGCTCTCGATCTAGTCCACTACTTTGACGAAGAGGGCCGAGCGATCCCATTCGGTCGGAGTGTTGGATACCGTTTCGCCATGTGCTCCTTCTGGGGCGCGCTGGCCTACGCAGACGTTGAGCTCCCAAAGCCTTTGACTTGGGGAATGGTCAAGGGTATCGTGCTGCGTCACCTCCGGTGGTGGCAGACACAGCCCAACATCTGGAGCCCATCTGGAACCCTGACCATCGGGTACTCGTACCCGAACATGTACATGGCTGAGAACTACAACAGCCCTGGGAGTCCGGTAAGACTGAGTTGATGGAATGCGTCTTGATGGGTGTCTTGCTGACAGGTTTCTACAGTACTGGGCATGCCTCGCATTTATCTGCCTTGCCGTTCCGGAGACTCATCCATTCTGGACGTCCAGGGAGGAATCCCAATGGGACGCTATTCCGAGGTCGCCCAAGCCCCTGAAGCAGCCGGGTCATATCATGACGTGAGTTTGAAATAAGCCCGCCGAGTCCGGGCTCTGTTCTGACTTTGACAGAAACCTGGGCGGCCATTGCATGCTCCTGTCATCAGGACAGGCATGCGGTTATCCTATGAAGGGCACACACGCGAAATACGGCTGCTTCGCCTATAGCAGTTCCTATGGTTACTCAGCTCCACCTGGTCTCTTCACTCTGGAGCAGTACGCGCTATCGTCCCAGCTTGGACTGTCCGACGATGGCGGGGAGTACTGGAAGACCCGGAGGATATCCGAGTATGCAGGCATCGAGGACCAAGAGGGGAAACCGGTACTCGTATCCGTGTGGCGCCCCTTCAAGGACGTCAAGATCAAGACGTATCTCATCCCATCCGAGGAGGCCACGCCAAACTGGCACCTCCGCGTCCATCACATCGAGGCCGGGCGCGAGGTCATGACGGCGGACGGCTCGTTCGCGATCTGCAACGAACGCACACCCGACGGCCGGTTCCTGGACCTGTACGACGCGGAGAAGCTAGAGGGGACGCGGCCCAAGCTCATCGGTAACTACGACGTGAACACGCCCGAGGCATGGTCGACCGGGGCGGACGGTGCGTTCGCGGTGTCAAAGGGCGCGGTCGGCATCCGGGCCCTGGAGGGCGAGGGCGTGGGCCGCATGGCGACGCTGGTCAACGCCGACCCGAACTCGAACTTGGTTGAGAGCCGTACCGTCATCCCGACGCTGCAGCACACGATCAAGGCGGGGACTTCGGTGTGGTATGTCTCGGCCGTTTATGCCAGGCCCTCTGGCAAGACTGTGCCGAAGGAGACATACTTGAATGGATGGGACAATTTACCTGCCATTCCTGGCTGGTTGAAGGTCGAGATTGGCAAGTAGTGAACAATCTCTAGGGATATTTCTGGCTCGCTTGATCACATCATCATAACCAATTTGTGTATGATGCGTCTACAGGACAATAGAATTTCCATGACTCTTCACATTTGCAAAAAGATACGTCTTGTAAGTATCTGTACACATATTTGGTCCGCGAAGCACAGCCCCAAACACCGCAATCCCACCGCTGCGCCATGCACAGACGCTTTTGCAGAGGCAAGCTCGCAGTGCGTCTAAATTAGCCGACATGCGAGCCCTCCTATAAGAGGCCCAAGTTATATCGCACTGCATTAGACTAGGTATAGCATAAGCATCTTAGGGCACAGGTATGCTCGGCACAGGGTTATTAACAGGGCACTGGATTACTTGGCCCACGATGTGATAATGACTCGCTTGGGACCGCCCCCCCCCTTCCTCTACAGTATGCCTTGGGCGGCAAAATCTGCTGTGTGCGTAGGTCGCAGCCTTGCGCCCCTACACCCACAGCTATTACGGTGGGAATGCAAGACTGCGGCTTGGTAATCTAGGCTGACGCGTCGCGAGTACTTAAGGGCGGATGTGCTACCTACTCCTTCAAGCAAGCTATTGCCCCCGTACCAGTGTTGCCAAGGCCAAAGCATTGCACACGCAGTAAGGCTAAGTGTCTACAACCTGGTCTTGAACTGTCGGGATATATATATATATATATATATAGACCTTGCGGCATAACCAGAGTCCGAGTTTGATTTGCACGACAACATGACTTTTGCAGACTCTACTCCTTTTGATATCAAAACTTTGGACTGCACAAACTCGACTGGTCGGTGTCTCCGACCCTATGGGGATGTTTCTGGATCGGGGGTAAGATGCATCTTGTGCCCTGGATCAACAGCTTTCGTCATTTTCTAAGGTGCAACCATCTCGCAGTAGGTTATAACCGGTTTTATGGGTACTGGCTATTATGTCCTCCTCCTCCTGGTCGTATACTATTTCATATCCTTTGACCCACGACGAAACGCATTTGACCCCGACGAAACAGAACCTACTTCAACGGCATGGTGGGAGCCAAACCCTATCGACGTCATGATCCTGGACCTGGTCCGGCGCAAGGGTGTACTGAGGTGGCTAAGAAGTCGGTTTCCAAATCTTGGCGAGGTCTTTGTGAATGTGAGATCAACAGGCTCCATGAGAGAATGGTGTTACTGACTGCTTGCCCCCAGTCAATCATCCAAACTTGCGACATTCAAGTCTTCACCGGCTTAACAATACTCATCAGTGGTTACTCGTCGCTGAGTGCCGGTATATCCGCATACCATTGGCAGGTAATCGTGTCGCTTGCCTGGTTGTCCAGCATCACCCATTTATCAGGCCTAACGATTCTCCGAGAGCGCCTGAATACGCACCGTCGCCAAGTAAAGGTGCGAGTGGTGTTAATGTTTTTGCTCCTCGCTCTCCTCCTTGTTGCTACAGTACCTACCGCTTTCTTCTCGTGGCAAGAAAATCGCTATGAGACCGAGGGTCTTCTCGTCAGCATTGAAAGTTGCATGGCGTCTCCAGCGACATGCTTCTTCAATCTCGAATCGGGAACACTCACGAGGAAAAGCTGGTACAGGCACGACCCGTACACGGACTACTCCCCAATTCCAATCCGTGAAACAGCGTCGTTTGGGTTCATGGTCTTGTCTACGTTGGTACTTCTCGTTGGATTTTCGACGAGATCTATCAAGATTTCTCGCAGAATGTCTAAAACCATACACACAAGCTTGCGGCGACCCATTAGCCGTATCTCACAAAACGTGCTTCGGCATTCAAGTCTCTACACTGCAGGAGATCCGCCTCGAAGTACTTGGCACGAGATATGTTATTTGTCTCTCGTACAGCCTCTCCTGGCTTTCTTCATCGCTGTGAGCATCATCATGGACTTGTATAACTCGCTGTTTGTAGAGGTACTTTTCTCTGATCGAAGACCTTTGGTAATGACATCTGCTAAAAGGCAAATAGATAATGTGGCTCTTCTGTCACGGCACAAGAAAGCCTATTGCGCTAGACACCCTGACAAAAGAGGGACGTTGTAATGCCGAGAGCATTACCGTGGCTATCACCTATATAGCGTACTGTAACATCTTCACAGCAACGATGTGGGGCACGTTCAAGATCACAGGCACTAGGAACACCCTCCCGAACACAATACTTCAAGAGGAGAATGCATGGACATTCGGCCAGATCGTTCCTGTACTTCTTCTGGCAATGCCTTTATTTTCCATGGTGAGCCAACTGATCCCGAACGGAGCTACAACAACTAGTACAACTGGACACGAGCTCAACCTCTTGACCGATGTACCCCGGAGTCCGCCATATCCCTTCTCAGCGCAGCATTCAGAGCTTCCAAGCGTCATTACCGGCAATTGCACGTACAAAACATATTGGCTGTGGCCCGACATTGTCTGTTCATTGCTCGCCATGCTCTTCTTTGCAGTCTACACGTTCTGCATGAGTTTCAACCTCATTGGTGATTTGGGTCCATCCATAAGTCTCGTCGAGGTCTGGTTTACAAAGATAGGACTGCTGTGGTATGTTATTCTCTCTCTTCCTTGCGCTTTTGCCAATGTTATCTCTCTCGGGCTAGCATTGGACAGTTGGTTAGGGAACCCAACCAAGCTCAACGTGCGTACCAAGCTCAATCTCTACCGAATATTGGTCATGGGTATAGCAGTGCCTTATGTCATTTTCTGGTGCCTCTTCGTCCAGGATGGTGGACTGCGTGACCTTGTGTTTTCACGTCTATCTGGCTACATTGAACTGGACGATCAAACTAACTATGTCCTTCCGACCATTGTCATTTGCCTCATTTTGGACTTCATACTCTATGCTTTTTATCTTCTCACAGTGGTTCCTTTGCAGCTGTTGGGACGGAAGTGATGTCTACTCAGGGCCTCGTGGCCTCAGTTTTCTTCGACTGTCATGTGCGGAATATTTTAGATGCTTCCATGTCACCTATTACTGTGTTACGATTTGAAATTAGAGGGCGAGGCTGTACCTTTAGGGTGTGTAGCTGCAAAGATTTGCCATTATTCTAGACCTTCAAGCAAGTCTGTGTTGAAGGGTATATATTTGAATAGACAGCAGAACCTATTTGTTGTGCCTACGCAGCTGAAGACTGAGATTGACAATTAGTCTATGGCTCCCTCAGATGTTTTGATTCGCTAGACCAAAATCTAAAGGACATTGATCTACGCGAATACCATAGATTTATGACTCAAGAAAGCCTCAACCAGGATGCTATTGCTTTTAATGCTGTATCGTATCCCTGAATAAGGGTAGTGTGGTGACTCTATATTAAACGCCAATACCACGTCCTGATTCTACGTATATTCTCAGCGTCATGTCAAATAATCTGGATGTAATTAGAATATGTTTTCTTTTGAACGTCAGCGATAAGATTTCGGAGAACACAAAGATGGTGGAGTTTCTAGAAGATTCATGTAAGTCGATATTGTAGAAGTGGTGTATTTATACCACTTGAATTCTTTTGTACCTTCACAAGGACTATCAACCTGGGGATACTTGTTACGTGTATTCTTGAGGCCTTGAAAGCCTCAATTTGAGGAATTAGCAATCAATTGGCTTGTCCGTAACGTTTGAAGATTGCATATCCGTGTTGCTGTGTTTCACAGTTTGTGGGGTGTACTCGAGTGCTTTTAACCAGCAACAGGATAATTCAGCCACGAATTGAGGAAACATTCTTGGTCGCAGTATCTTGGGTTTATCATATTCAAGAAGCATATCCAACTACACAGGCCCACTATTCAGACATTCTAGAATTCAGAGAGGTGTTGCGTTCTTGTGCAATGACAATCACTCAGCCTCCGCAATGAAACACAGAACGAATGCAGTACCAAGGAAATCCCACTGGTCAGCCTCTCATCCCTTCCATACTCACTTGGCATATATCTAGCAGTCAAGAGTATCCAAGTTGAGTTCCTCCTGGCGCCTCCTGACTAACAATCTAGCCTCAGCATTCAGGACCAGGGGGAGGCCAAAGGGAATGTAGCTGAGGTCGCGTCCCCTTGGGGAACTTCCACTCGTACCTTCAAAATCATATGACACGGCAGGATCTTGAGCTCGTTGGCAGCGAAGAACCTTCCAGGACACGCGTGTTCCCCGTGCCCAAAGCTCATATGCTCAGGCGACGTCTGCACGTACTGATACGCATTCTCCTGGCCCGGCGCGCTCCTGAGGTTGTAGAAGCGGTAGATGTCATACTTCTCGGGGTCTGGGTAGACCTCTGGATTCATGAAGGTGCTTGCCGAAACCATGACTCGGGTGCCCTTTCTGATGAGGCTCCCGTCAGACAGTTGGATGTCTGCGTCAGCGTGGCGATGCATCGATGCTACAAAATAATTAGACATCCCGTTAAGTATTTATCTCAGGGCTATCCAAGACTTACTGGTACCCATGGGGTGTCTGCGTTGACTCTCCTTCATGAAGCTGTCCAGGAGCTTCAATTTGTGAAGCGCAGTCCTGGACCAGCCTTCCTGCCCCAGGACCTGAATGATCTCTTCTCGAAGAGGCTGGACGATCTGTGGATAATAGGAGATATCAAACAGGCAGCCTGTTATAGTCTCTGTGGTTGTATGAATGGCGGCGAAGCTCAAGAAAAGCTGCCCGTGGACGTAGTTGACCTGACGGCCTCGGCAGACCTCGTGCATCCACCCGATGGCGTCTGCCGATTTGGGAGGCTTATTGCCTGCCTTCAGAGCCTCATCGACAACGGCCTTCCGCAGCCCAACCTCAGGCATGATCAAGCTGGTGGCCTCCTGCACCTCGCGGCGGAGTCGGCGGAGGTTCGGCAGGAAGCTGGAGGCAAAAGGCCGTAGTAACATGTTCCACTGGCGGAGCTCGTGAGCAGCCGAGTAGGAGTCGTGGGTGTAGGACGCCGCGATGCGCAGCCATTTGTCGTTGCGCGCCAGGTTCTTCCCGAGGAAGACGCGGGATGACAGCTTTGCGACGATCTTTGATGTGGCTTGTTTTACGCAAATCTCGTGAAATTGGGCGTCGTTCCCGAGGACGTGTTGGCAAGTATCCGTCATCTCATCGACCAGATCCTTGGTGACCAGCCCAAGGGACTGGGTAAGCTTTGTCCTGACGACCTCCTGAATGAATGTGCCGTCCTTGTAGCCGGTGCGGCATGCCTCGAACCCGGGGTAGTTGACGAAGAAGTCCTTGTCGAAATATCGGTTGAAGCTCAGGCTCTTGTTGTTGCGGACCTCGTTGGCAAAACGATTCGGCAGCACCACAACCGGCCCGGTCCCTGTCATTACTTGAAAAAGACCTGGCAGTGTTCTCAAACCCCTTGCAATCATATCCATCCCCTGAGCAGAGAACGATGCATTCAGCTGTCCTTTCTGGATTGGTTCGATCACAGGAAATTTGGATACATAGCCATGTTTTGGTTTGATAAATAAGAATGCCCGTATAAGGAGTAAAGATGTGAAAGTGCAGGTGACAAGTGCCACGGGGTAGCCGTCCCCTGACTGCAAGTGTTGCTTGAGGTCATCAATAAAGTCAGCCATGATTTGGTCTCACTTCCACAGTCTCAGAGGAATTGTGTATCGAAACTTTGCTGGGGTGAAATCTGAGATATTTGCTACAGTTGTCGTATATATTTCAACTCCACCCAGTGTCTTCTCCAACTGTTTTCCAACTGTAGGTTTGCGTCATGCCGACGATGCCGACGAATGGCGGTGTTCGAAACACTGGCGGGCTGCGTGTGGGCAACACAATGACCCAATGGTCCCTGTCAAGAGAGATCAAGATATATCGGGTCAACATCAGCTCCGTTCTTGATCAGGGATACGTCCGTGGATTCCACGCGGCCAAGGTGGATCTGGGGGCCTTCCAATGCCCGCGCCAACGCGGCGCCAGTCCCATAGTGTAAATGCGGATTGTACCTGCCGGGTCACCCGATCGAGGCTCGGGCTTGTTTGATATCCTTTTTGTAGAAAGAATACTATGGCTGCTAGTTAAATACTTGGGTACAGGATCAATAAAGTACCTTGAAAATAAAAGGACAATAACATGGTCTTGATGCACAGTGTTGTCGGGTGCAGGGAATGCATATTAAGCATTTCAGCCATTCTTTTTCTCTAATATCTATTACAAGAGCTTTAGCTTCTTTTTATTGCTTTAAATCCTTTTTTATTAGAATAACTAACTACCCTTTATTATTTTTGAAAGATAAAATTTTAAAATTATTTTAATTCTATATATTATATCCCTTTTTTATTCCTCCTTATATTAAAGTACCTTTTAGCATAATAACAAGGCTTTTAGTAAAATTATACTTTATTATAGGCAATGAGCTCCTTCAAATCGGACCTGGGCCATTTCGTCGAAGGGTCCAAGTATTACTATCAGCGTGTTGCAGAACCGGAGGAGATTGCGAACATCGGCGTGTTCCTCGCCTCACACCTTTCGGCTTCCATCAACGGCCAGAACACTGTCGCGGACAGTGGAAAGGCTGTTGCCGCATTGGGGGAAACTGTCATCGGACCTGTTTGCCCGATGTTGCCATTTTAAACATGGCGAGTTTGAGTTCGCGAGGAGGTCATCTTATTTGCGGCATGGATCACGCACATGTCAATTTTCCAGGAGACAAGTCTTTGCTCAAATGAACGAATTGCTTTTGATGATGTTTCTACGGTATCAAAAGATGCGTGCTATGTATTGCTTCCTCCGGGTCGGCTTCCTGGATTGAACATGATATGATCCAAATTCGTGATACTGTCCCACTCGCCCACCCGACCAGATATGAATGGTTCCAACAGCTCATTGGTATCGAACCAAGCCCAATTCACAGAGTCCGTCTGCCCGAAGGTCTGAGAAGCTGACGACCGGTGGGCAAGGTGTTCTGTTGCGGTTCGGTATAGGGCTTTACAGAGCTCATACTGCCTGGTTGAATGTTTCTGATTTGAGCTAATTTGCTCCAATGTATCGAGGACCTCTTTGAGAAGAGCATAATCTGCACTGTCCGAGGTGGTAACGCAACGAATAAAGGTAATCACGTATGGCGTGAAAGAGGTATAATAAAATATCCTTAAGAGGAGGTTAGTCAGTGACAAGTAGGTAACTGAGAAGACCAGAGCTTACCAAAGCAAGTATGAGGACACTTGAGACCCCGAAGAAACGATCTTCGGATAGTAAGCCAGATGGGCTTGCAGCCCTTGTCGAGCAGCCTCGAAGCAGCGCGGCGATATCTCGGAGGCCGAATTCGACATGGTCTCTCCCCGGTAGAGCAGAGTGAGGACAGAGTAGTAAACAATGTGCATAGGCTCAAATGTTCGTCCCAGCAAAGTTCTATCGAAGGCGGCTGAGCTGTTGATGTGAAGCCAGTCATCGTACCACTGGGCTAGCTTTGCCGCCAAGGAGGATACCACCTCGCTCCGTACCTCCTTGGTGTGCTTCCTCGCAGCTGACGAGTAGAGCCCTTCGTAGAGGCAGCCTTGGAGGTGTGCCAAGTTCGTACATGCCACAAATGCAATATCCCAGGGGGCCCGTTTCGGATCCTCGGAGATAGGCACTTGCTGGATGTCTGTGTCGAAATCTTGGATTGTTGATGCTTTCCCCAAACGCAAGGACAGGTTCTTGTCAGATATGTAGATCTGCCAGAATATTCGCCGGACAGTCTCGGCTTCTTGGGCGGGGAACTGTGCGAGTCCTTCTTCACGGTGGTAGCCTAGAGCTATACAGTGTCTCGCGGCAGCTGATGTCAAAGTCCATTGTAGAGTCAATTCTGCTTCATTTTGGGCATGGATCATCTGTGGGTTGAAAGGTCAGTCTCGAACCGTGAGTTCGGCCCACCTCCATTTTCAAGATAAGGGAACCCACCGCCAGATATATCGCGAAGACACGTTCTCGACTGGGCAGAGCCATGACCTCATAAGTGTGAACACCCTGGAAGAACTTCTCCTCGCAGAAACGGCGAGTGAGATCTAGCTCTTGCTTGTTGAGCTGATGTTCCGGGGGTACGTCAATACTCCTTGCGATGGCACTGACAGCACCATAGAACAGGACGAGTTGGTCCTTCGGGATGGGCTCAATTGGGAAATAGATCCTTCTGCAGAGGTCCTCAAATACCTTCCAAGCATATAGGCCGTAAAAGGAGGAGACCCCTGATTCTTCTAAGAAGGTGTTAGTGAGCAGACGCGGTAAAGACCAGGAAAGGGACACACCACCTCTGACTAATGATAGTAAGCCGAGAATAACGTGAGAGGGCGGTAGCTCGTTGCCCGAGACCGTCGTCCCTGCGTTGGGCCTGTCATTGCGGTTGCGTTCTGATTCGTCAGGGCTTGCGTGTTCTTTAATGATGGTGCGCAAGTTTGCCAACTCGGACGGCACAGGTGATGGTTGCGGGCCAGGATTTGTATTGAGTTCCGTGATCTGGCTCGCAAGAAGCGTTTGGTGTCTGAAAGAGGATTCGCCTTCGACGACTATGGTATCCTCCTTGCATAGGCCAGCCGGAGGGGTTGAAGCACTTCGCTCATACAGCGTTGGTGAACTGTTGGACCGCTCATGGCCACTACTAGTACGAAAGCCCTTGATAGCTTCCTCTATCAAGGTCAGTCTTGCGTCTAGGAGCTGAAAGAGTTTCTCACTGGGTGCGAGTTAGTCATACTTGGAGAGTCGTCTGAGGCGAGGAAGGGCGAGTACCCACGTGGAATGACTGGTTGTTTCCAATGGCTGGGCAGCAGAGGCAAGCCCGTTCTGGCACGTGAGCCCCGAGGCCAGGCAGTTGGAGCAAGGGAGGACACGATTGCACCGGACCTGCACACATTAGGCCGAAGATCATTCGCGGACGGGACGCGCACCGGAACGACGGGAACGTACCTTGCGCCGGCGGCAGTTCGGGCACTAGGTTGTCCATCTTGTCAGCCTGCTCCGCGGATAATCGCACAGCCAAGAGACTCGAGCTTACGGCTTTTGGCAGCAACCCTGTCTTGTGTGGCTCAGGTGTATCCATAGCTTCAGCCCAAACAGGACATGCGATAGTGTGGTGGAATGTGTGTGGAGATTGGAGACAAGGGCGATGAGGCATGCCGCGACTTAATCAACCTCTTCCGCGCACAGGCCCCCGCGGAACGCGCGGAGGCTAACGGCCAATGGTTCCCATGTTTGGACACAATTTGCTCCATATTTTGCCTGACGTTTTAAGATAGACTGCACATGTTTAAACTTCAGGCATTCGGTCTTGTGCTTGGAGTCTGGAAGGAAGAGGCAAGATAAAAGTCCTTGGCACTCATCAGTAATTCAATGTCGGTTTTGAAGAATACCGTGGCGAGTAGGCCGACCAAGAGAAGACAAACATGCCTGAAGTGATACATGTTGCCATCGTTGGAGCAACTGGGACAATGGGCTCGAGCATTGTGCCTTGTCTCCTCGGCTCCAAAGACCCTGTTTTTGTAAATCCCCGGGCGTACAACTCGAGGGTCTTCGTGTTCACAACCTCATGCAGGAGGTCACAGCTTTGGTCCGCCCGGACAGTTCGAAAGCAGCAGAAGCAGCGAAACTCCAGGGCGTTCATCACATCGTTGCGGTCGATCTCATTGGGCCCCAGGATGATCTCGTTTCCTCTGTAGAGGGTATCGACTGCGTGATGTGCATTCTACCGCCACACTGCACCATGCAACAGATCCCCCTGGCGGACGCTGCCTTGAAAGCCAAGGTCAAGCGGTTCGTTCCCAATATGTGGTCAACGCCGTGCCCGCCAAAGGGCGTGATGAAGATCCGGGAGTGGGTGGGTGAACACACCTCGAAAGACAATGAGCTAGAGCGCCGGATTTCGAGCCCAACTGCTGATCAGTGTGACAGAAAGAGGACGCCGTAAATCATCCCAAGAAGATACATATGCCCTACACGGTAGTTGATATCGGATACTGGCATGAGATCATGATTCCACGCATCGAATCAGGGAAACTCGACCACCGCGCGCTCTATCCGACCTTCTTCTTCGTGGACGAGGGCTCAGCGCCCTGCGCAACCACTTACCTTCCCGATGTTGGGCGATATGTTGCGCGCATCATAGCTGACCCGAGGACGCTGAATCGCATGGTCTTTGCGTACGGGGAAGTCACCACCCAGAGAGCAGCACTGGACACGGTCGAACGCCTCAGCAGGGAGAAATGCCCGTTCAAGGCGGTGACATATGAGCAAGTCGCGGCGACCGTCCGGAGTGGCGGACTGGATTTGTGGTCGCAGGTCATACTCGAGTATGTCTACAGCTCTTGGGCAAGGGGAGACAATGATCCTCGGTGGGCGGAATTTCTGGGGTACCTGGACGCGAAGTCTCTGTATCCGGACCTGGAGGCTCATACACTGGAGCAGTCCATTCGTGATGCTCTGGCCCATCCTGAACCGAGTCCGGGTTTCGGTACTGAGCAATTGTGTACACAGATATCACAGGCCTTGGGTAAGTGGGCTGAGTGATAAGTTCAGATTCATGCTTGTTATCAAGGACGTTCAAGCAAGTGGACACATGGCCTGATCAAGCTTCACGTCAGCACATGGCATCGTTTCACGAGAAAATGGTAGTGGTTTGTAGACGTGTAACTACAACTCTGTGTATCGTTGCTATCGCGCATGCACACAGTAGATCGGATCTGTGTTGGAACCAAGGAGACCGCAGGGGCTTAGAAGTGCTTCAAGCAGACGGGAAACGTGACTTTCCAGTAGAAGACGCTAGGGATCGAGCACTCATGTGATTTCTTTATATACTTATTCTCTTTCTCGGTGCTGACCTCCATCTGTCCATGCATGAAGAGCAGCCAAATACCTCCCTACCTATACAAAAGCCCAGCCTTCATCCTCCGCCGCAGGATGTCCAGCGACCTCAACACCGGCGCTATCACTCGCAGGTCCCGTAACGTCACCGCCGCCGCCATCTGGCCCGAGCCCGTCCTACTCCTCGTCCCTGACGACGAGGTGGCAGGGCTGCCTGGAGTGCCAGATCCTCCTCTCGCGCGCGCCGAGGACCAGGTCGTGCAGCTCCTGCGTCGCGGACCTGGGCCTCCCGTCGGCGCCGAGCCGGCTCCCCCGCGCGGACTCGCGCCTCCTCTCCTCGTCGGTCGTGGGCCTCCAGATCTGCGTCTCCTCCACGCTGGCCGTGATTTCGAACTCGCCCCGGCACAGCGCCGTCATGCCCACGACGACGTCCGTGCTCTGCTTGCCCTGGAGCACGGGGAGGAACTGCTGCAGCGTGCCGTTCCACCCGAACTTGCGCGTGTAGTCGAGCGCGACGTTCAGAGGCCTGTGGCAAAGTGCCGGCATGAGCCGTAGCGTGGGGTAGATGGGGACCTCGGTGCGGTTGGTGATGTGCACGCGGATCTGGACAAAGTCGTCGACGCACACCGTGTTCCTTGAGATGCGTTGAGCTTTGGTCCTTGTTGCGTCCGATGCTAGTGTTGTCGAGGACGAAGGGTCTTCGACCGAGACCTCAATGCCCACCTCGTCCACCTTCACGGCCTCGATCATCCGCGGCGTGAGGCGCATGCTGCGAAGCTCGATTGTTCCGGTGCGGGTAGGCCTGCTAGTTGTCTTCCACGTGCCCTTTATGGTATCGAGGATCTTCTCGCGGTACCAAAAAGCCTCGCGGTTGGCCCGTTCGACATCTGGGGAGATGTGGCTTGTGCTGACCACGAACTGCCGCTGCCGGGACGGGTTAAGTGCTGGTACTGATGCATGTGGGTCTTCGAGGTATATTCTTTTTACTGGCACAATAACGCGACTCGTGTTGCCAGGTAGAATGTGCTCTTCGATGATGCTGCCGTCTTCGACTTCAAGGTGTGCGATCATATTGCTTGGCCAGGCATTGCGCAGATCTAGCAGCAGCAGACAATACTTGTCCGAAGTTAGCACATGGCTTTGCCCGCTGCTCTTGCTTGTCCTTGCCCACAATGGCTGCGGTATGCTGCCATGAAGAGGAAGGACGTCCATCCGCGCGATCTCGACGCTGGCATTGACAGTGACTGTCATGTTAAGCGACACCTGGCGCGTGAAGAATTTCTGCTCAACTTCTTCGGGCGGCACCCCGAAGTGAGCATAATCGATTTGAACGTTTGCGTTTGTCAGACCCGGCTTGCCGAGAATCTCAAACTCAAATGTCGCAGTGTCACCAGGTGCGATATACCTTTTGCCAACTGCTTTTGAAAGGCGTAGTGCCTGTTTCTTGGCCAAGATGAGCTCGTACTCGTAGAGCTCTGCTGGTGTTGCATCGCGGTTGCTCAGTGCCGCTTGAAGCGGTCCCTGCGTAGAGTCTTGGAACGAGAAGAGAAGGAAGTCGGCCGGTGTGCTTGAAAGATTTTGAAGCGTCACCGAGAATGTTTGTCGCTCCCCTTCCAGAATCATGACCGAGGACTGCGGCAGAGTCGTTGACTTGACAACCACAACAGGCTGTTGTGTAATAACATTCAGCTCCATCTGATGTGGCTTTGGCAGAGGATGGGACGGCACCGGTAGAGACATGTGATAGTCGAGCGCCTCGAGCCCTACGGCCTTGACCTTGACTTCGGTATCCAGGGACCAAGACTCTGAAAATATGGGAAACCTTCTTTCCCTGCATCCTCGAACACGTATTACTGCGCCTGTGACGCGTAGGGAGCCAGAGCCTCTGGGCGTGCCCGTCACCCGCATCGATTGCGTCCGGTATGATCCAATCACAACCTTCTCCACGTTGGATTCGAACTCGACTCCCTCGGTGGCTAGACGGGCGCTGACAATGTCTATCTCGGTGTCGTAGGGGTTTTGTAATGTAAGTTTGAATGTTGCCGGCTCTCCAGCGATAAGGTTGCTGACCATGGCCACCTTGTCAGGTAGCTTTTGGAATGGGTTGTGTATGAATGGGTTGACATCCTGAGACGTCCTGGTCGTTGAGAAGCCAGGCAGCTCAGTCTTTGCGTGCTCTATAGGCGTACGAGTGATGGGCATAGGATCGAGTTTGACACCTCTGAGGAGGAACTCATCCCAGTATTCTGCCTCCATGTGCCCCAGTCCTATCCTCTCCGTTAGACCGTGTGTCTTGGAAATGTTGGTCACGAGGCGAACTTGCTCCTCGACCGATATCCGAGGGGCTGCGTCTTCTTGGCGAGGGCCAGGAGCAATGCCGCTGCCGGCTGTCCGCATGAGATCACTGGAGAATTTGAGGACGCCCACAAAGTCTGGCAAAGCCTCGGAAAAGTTGATGCAGGCTCTCAGCATATTGAGCTTCAGCTGCCGCATGCCGTACAGGCGAGCCGCACCTTGTTTCTGTATCCGCCTCAGGCATGCTGCGTCGGAGTCCAGGTCAACGGTCCCATCATCTGTGGAGTTGCCGGGTCCAATAGACATGTCGAATGCCACTGCGCCGTATGTTTTCATGATCAATTGCAGGAAAGATTCAATTCCTGATTCGATGTCACTCTCTGCGAGCTGGAGGACACCACCTTTGGATTGGCCGTTGAGGTTGTTCAGGGACACAAGCCCTGCGGCAGGATGGATGCCCACCTCAGCGGCTCCGCGAGTGCGTGCATCAACCAGTCCTCCTATGACCACCGATATCAATTCTCGTATCACCATAGCCTTCTTTCTTTGATACCCAAGTAGCCCCAGGACAGACGCGATGCCACTTAGAATCATAGCACGATCAGGCGTGGTCAACAGCTCGGACCCAGGCCCCGGAAACGCCCGCATTAATATGTTGACGATGAGTGTCCGGGGCGGGGTAACGGTCAGTCTCGGTGATGTTGTAAGAGGCCTGTCAGGAACCGTTCCGAAGATCATCATGTCCAAAGACTGGCCGCCAAGCTTGCCCTCCGCGACGTGTAGCGCTGCCAATATCCTGCAGAACCTGATAATGGCCTCCGACATTGGCAGAGCCGGTAGATGCTCCGCTGATATCCTAGAATAGAGAGCAAGTATCCTGTCCAGCAAGTCTGGGAGGATCGTTTGGAACTGGCGAAGGTACTTTGGCTGATTAGGATCCACGTTCTCTTCGTGCACACCATTTGATCCCCCTTTCTCCGGCGGAGTTATGCAAATTTGCGGAACTTGGAATTCGACCCCAGCGAAGCTCAGCAGGAGTAAACTTATGACGATAATCTCGAGGGCTTTGCCGTGCCAAAGATGATCATTAATCGACTTGGCAACGGTGGCACCGTCGATGGCTTCCTTTAGTGAGTCGGTCCATCGGCCCGCCTGAAGGTACATCGATGCCATGAGAATTGTGACTCTGGCCCTGCCCTTGTTGCGCCACCGCTCGTTGACGCCTCCAGACCCAAATCCATGTACAGATATCCGGTCTTGGCTTGCGCTGCGATTCCCCTGAGCGTTGCCAGGAGCCTTTGCCTCGGGGCTTCCAGGATCCTGTGCTGCGGGTATGTCGTCGAATGTGGTCGGCGGGTTGGACAGCCCACTCTTGACCGGAGTAGAGGGTCGGCCTGGGGTTGAGCTGGCAGAGGATGAGCCTATGGGAGAAGCCTTGAATGGTACCGGCATCGACATGCGGGCCTGGTTGCGGTCGAGGGCGCCGCTGGCTGAGGCGGACCGGCCGATGGGCAGCGCAAACTGCGAGTTCCGCCGCTTTTCCGCATTTGCGGGATCGACACCGTTCGCTGCGTTGGTGGTTTGCCCAGGCGACTCGATGTATGACAACGCCTCGAATGACCTGGCCAAAGAGGTCATTTCCCCTAGCAACAGCGACGTTATGTCGCACATGACGGTCCGCATGGTGGTTCTTTTGGATTGCGCAGGAGGCGGTATCTGAATGATGCCCTCTGGGAGAGGCATAGAGTGCTCATCGGGGTGCACATAGTCGAACAGCAGGGCATGATGGACTAGGGCCTTCGGATATGTCTCTCTCAGGTCCTGAAGGCCTTGTTGTATCGACCTCATATTTCTCTCCGCGATCGTTGTCGCCCCGGACTGTCTCTTGTTGAAAGCCACATTTTCGAGCTCGGCCCCGTCCGCGATGGCCAACACCACGAGCGGCTCCCTGTAGAAGTCGAAGGGCAGCAAAGCGAGGTGCGACGGGGGCGGGGCGTTGGGGGTCAGCTCGTAGAAGACGGCGCCGTCGGGGAAAGCGAGCGGGGAGAACATGTCTGCGTGGGCGGCAGGGTCAGCGTGAGCTCGTGAGTACGGCGGGTTCAGGGGCTGCCGCGCCGCATCATACTTCTGTTTGGGCGCTTGTCGGCGCTGACATCGCGGAGGTGGACGACATGTTCGGCGTGTAGCCTCTCGAGGAAGGAGTTGAATCGGGTTGCCTTGATGTGGCCGAGAGGGAGGGCCAGTGCCTTGACCCTCGCAGGGGCGATGGGCAGCAGTGAGTCTGCGCTCATGGTTCTGAAAGCATTCCCTCGTCCGCGGAGCTCTATCGGGGAGCAGTCGTTGGTGTCGTGTCTGGCCTGTTGCGCATGTCGGCAGCTATTGGACTGTTTGGGCGAGGGTGTTTGGGCACGTCCAGTGTATTGGTGTATGTGTCGTTACTTCTGATCAACTGCAGGAGAGCCAGGAGGACCGAAGGGCCTATGCTGGGCTCGAGAGCGCGGGCCTCGTGGTGGGCCCCTTGGTCACGGAGCGGTGTTGGTGATAGCAATGCCAGAACCGGTCGCGATCAATGAAGTTGTCATCCGGCGCTACTGATCCATGTGCACTGCACCTAGCTATGCAGACCCAGATAGTACTATCTGGCCAACCTTGCCGTGTCACTCCTGCCACCTTGAGCCTGCACCAGAGACAATGACAAGCCGAAAGCCAAGAACTGGTCCGAGCGTCTCTCGGCCTTTGTTGGTACTGTAGTAAAGTCCAGGTCTTCTCCAAGCAGGAACGTACACCACAGTAACACTCCGTTTCAGCTCCGTAACAACTGTGCTCACCCGCCAAGAAAGGGGAGGAAACAAACGGCCACTGAGCATTCTCCGTCCTCAGCCTCCAACGCAACGCAACGCAGCTCAGCATCAGCGGCCCGGAACTCTATTGAGCTCCTGTTGGTAATTCGCTGGATTCTGGTGACTACACTAGCACCGTCCACTGCCACATGCTGTGTTCTGGCAGGGGTCGCGAAGTCAATCCCTCAAGAACACCTCCAAATGGGACGTGAACAAGGTCTATGATACAAGGGGAAATATCCTTCTCGCGCACCGTCTTGCTCTTGAAGAGTAAATTATGCAGCACATCCCCGCCAACGCAGATTAAGTTGACATAAAGTCAAAGGCCTCCATTCCCTCGGCTTCGGGCCGCAAAGGTGCCTCGTGGGCTCTCCCCTCCGTGGCCTCGGCCTTCAGCTGGCTCTCAAAGATGTCGACGGCCACACTCGCCTCGACGAAGTCCTCCAACTCTTCTGTGACTGTCTTGAGCTTCTCTTTCACAGCAGAAGCTCCTTCAAAACCAACTATGTGCCTCGCCGGCGGGTTCTCGTGGCCCCCGATGGCCGTCAGTGCATGCACCGTCTCCATGACGAGCTTCTCCGTAGCCGAGGCAGGCAACTTCGGGTATCGATGCAGGATCTCCGTGTCCGACGGCTCGACTGCCGTCTCTGGGTCCGTGTTGAGCACATTGCTCATCATGTCGCGTATAGACGGCGCCGGGTTGATCTCGCTATCGTACCATGGCGCTTGCGGCGCCAGGATGATCTTGTTGCTCAGGCACTGTATCTCCTTGTTTGGCTGCACGATCGTCACCTTGATGTTAAAAGGCGCGATTTCATAAGCCAGGGAGTCACAGAACCCTTCCAACGCCCAGGTAGCCGCCGTATGTGTGGGCATGCCAGGGGTGCCGATGTGACCACCGATACTGGTAAGGATCACGATGTGTCCTGTATGTTGGGCCCGGAGTTGGGGTAGCGCGGCCTTGATGAAATTGACTTGGGAGAAAAAGATTGTTTCGAATTGGTCCCTGACAAGGTTTTGTGTTGCTCTCGTTGTCGAGAGCTCTTCGACCGTGCCGACAACAGCTGCATCGGAACAGTCACAGTCAGCGCGCAGTCGTCCACTACAACACTTCTCAAGGGGATGGTACGCACATTCAAACTTGCAGCACAGCAAGATATCTACGCGGCCAAACACCTGGACCGCCTCGGCGATGGCCGCACTACACTGCCCCATGGAGCGGCCATCGCACCGTATGCCTCGTATCCGGTCTTTCCAGCCCTCCCGGTCCCTTCGGTTGCTCTTGCACTCGTTGATGAGGCCCCTGAACTCGGCACTCCGGTCCTCGTGCTCTATCTCATGCGGCGGGAGACACGCAACAACGTAGTCCCCATGCGCCAGGAGCAACCTGATGAGCCTGATGGCGAGTGGCGATAAAGCCTGTGTCAGGACCCATGTTCTGGGTGAATTATGTGTTGCTTGGACTCGAAGTTAGCGCGTAGTTCGTGGCCTAGGGTGTGATAGACTTACGGAAGGCGGGTGGCACTGAATGGCCATGCCTTGATGAGCCGGCCTCGGAGCCTTTTCGTTCTGCCATAGCTGGTGTTAAACAAGTGATCTCGAGGACGGGCACACATGCCAGATACCAAGTATATAAGCAGGGCACAGCACACGAGGGCAGGCGGGGTTTCTCCGGCAGAAAAGAGACAGACGGGCCAGACAGGGAGAGGGATCACACAGCAGCATAGCACAGGCCAGGCAAACACAAACACAAGCCAAGATGATGCAGCGTTGGGAACATCAGACGGCAGCAAGCACCTTCACCGTGCCCATGGCGGCGTTACTTTGTCTTCCCTGGTTGTGGGTCGCTGTGAAACATTTGACGAGGAGGGGGGCAAACTCGGGAGCTGCAGTCGCATGGGGAAAGTGTAGAATAGGATACGGGCGACCATGGGATCGGGACAGGCGCAACGGGCAGCCGTTGCAATGTTCATGGTGATGGTGTTCGCGCCAAGAAGCCAGAGGGTCCCATCTGGGGTGGATTCAGAGCGGTATGGGCAAGAGGGACAATGCCGGTCTGCGCAGGGCGTCCAGCGATCGACCTGGGCCGCCTAGTACAGTAATGGCTCATCTCCCCTGGGCCGAGACTGCTGGAGGCTGGAGGGACCCCCGCGAGTGAGGCGGGCGGCGGGCGGCGCAGAGCAGAGCAGAGCAGAGCAGTGAGCACCCGGTGGTCATAGGTGGAGGAAGAGACCCTGTTGGCGCCGGTGGTGCTCGCCGTCCATCCAATGTGGACCGATCAATCACGGCAGTTGATCATCCGGCTATTGGAGCCCATATAGGAGCCCAAAAGCATGGTTCGCAGATCCAACGGCCTTATTAGGTTGGCAGGGCATGATGTTGCGCCGTGTTGGGCAATATCCTTGCGAGAGTTTGGAGTGCTCGGTGGGAGGTCTGGCAGACCGACGTTCGTGATAGGATGAGACCGAGGGGACAGGATGACGGGGCAAAGGGAAGCGATGGTCGCGTGGGATCCATGGCTTGCGTGGGATCGCGTGCACGGCAAGGCGAAGCAGAGCATGGAAAAGCATGGCACGGCGCGGCGTGGCATGGCGTGGGAATGGAGCATGGGCATGGGCATGGCAGCTCAACAGCACAACACAACCTGGGCCGGGCCGGACGACCCAGCCTGGCGGTCTCGAAACACGGGAGACGGGCAGAGGGGGCGAGCGAGAGAGGGCGAGAGAATCAAAAGAGTGCAAGTCGTCCGATCCGCAACTGACGTGGAAAGGCTAGGGAAATGAATGCAACGTACCGTGGCCCTTGAGTTCATCATTTTCCTGCCCAGAGCCCGAACCATGTCCGTTCAATGCCTCGTGGGCGCTGGCATGCCGGGCGCTGTCCTCAGCGTGCGGCCCCTGGGGATCATGCTGCCCCTGCGGATCAGGATCTGGCTGAGGCGTCTCAAGCGGAGGCTGCTGCTGCTGCTGCTGCTGCTTCTCCTTGTCCTCATGCTCGAGCTCTTCTGCAGGCCCGTCGGGCTGGGTCTGGCGCTCAGGGGTGTCGTCGGCGGCGGCGACCTCGATCTCGTCTGCAATGGCGACGTGGATTGCCGCGTCTGAGGCAGCGGCAGGAGAAGGCGAAGGATCAGGAGCAGACATCCGACCTGTCACCAAGAGACGCAGTGCGACCCGAGCGAGTCGCCCTGCTCAGCTGTGAAACCCGTGTCCCCGAAACCAAGACTCAGTCAGTTCTGGACTTCTGGCCCGGACTCGCTGGTCGGTCCTATGTCGTGTCGGGGGCTGTGGGCTCTGTCCGTCGGAAGTTGGTTAGAGCACCCGTTTTATGTGCACCACCACAATAATAGCAACGCAACAATTAGCCGTCGTGCTCGGGAATGGGCAGGCGATGTGGTAGCAGCAGTGCAGGCAGGTCGACAAGCTTCGGAGCCGGCGCCGCCCAAGAGGAGAGAGGTGTGCGGTCCAGGTCTGGTGGTCCAGGTCTGGTGGTGTTGTGTCGGGACTCTTGTCTGCTGTCAGTTAGAGGACGGAGGGGGGGTGCCTCCTCTTTCCTCTAGCACCTTCCCGTCTCGCGGGCTCGTGGTCAGGGTCACAACCGAAACAAAGTCGTCCGAACCTAGATTGCTCGGCCGCCTAGTCTATGTATTAACTTTCTTGAACACCTTCTCAACGGTTGCCCTACGCAGGATGGTCAAAGCGAAAGGGCTGAGATCCATCGCTTACTTTTTCCTAACCCCGCCCCACCAGCCCATTCGCCAGTCAGAGCCGGCAGCAATGCTTGATTCCCCAAACCACCTGCACCTCCAACCCCGGAATGGTTCCTGCCCCAACTCCCACCACCCACTGAGGGCAGGAGCGGGCTGGAACCCCTCCCGGGGCCCCGGGGCGCATACACACACATGCATATGCACGGCACAGGCGCAGCCCGGCAGTCAAAACGCCCCCCCGGCCCACTAGTAATGCCGCATGGCACCCGTCGGTTTCCCTGCCACAGACTTCAGATGTACACGTGGGTGAAAGCTCCGAAGTTTCTTAGCAACGGGTCTTTTTCTGCACGCCTGCAGATGACGCACAGCCGGCTGATCAGGCAAAGCAGGGCTTGCAATTCTAATCTCCTACCGTCATGTCGTCATGTCGAGGACGGCGGGCGTAAGGCTGTGCATGGCTAAAACGCTCGGGCGAAGAGAACGACAGCATGATTGGCCGGCGCATGCTTGGTCGGGCATGAAGAACAACCCGGCCGAGTAGGATCGGTCGCTCTTCCACCGTGCGCTCCTGTTCGGATCACAGGCCTCTCAAAATGTAACGACGCGCCGTCGACGTCAGATCCGACAACGACGTGCTAAGGGGCCTTCGTGCATGTGGTCATTGCTCGGACACGCCACTGTCACCGCGCCGTGCCTACCACCCTGACACACTACCACAAGGCCTCGTACTCGTAACCTTGGGGAATTCAGTTTGTAATCTCTGCGCATTTTCCGTTCAATGTGCCTGAACATGAGACAGGCAATTCCAATCCCCTGGGCTCTTTCCCCCGCACTTCTTTTCCAGCGTGACCTTGGTTATGTTTCTGCTACGCACAATCTGCAGTCAGTCATGAGTCCAGTTGCTATCATCCTTTGCTTGTGGTGCGCGCTTCCCAAGACTTCTTGACAGTGTTCTACAGTCCGCAGTCATTCTGATGAAGTTCTGAGTCAGGGTTACCAGGGTGCATTGCATGTGCGAGCTTGTCGAGCTTGACCAAAATGCCATACCCAAAGTTCCCAGATCTCGGCTTGGGACGTGACGTTTTACTTAATGCCGGCTTGTATGTGAAATAGTATTCCAGGGTTAAAGATATGCTTTTTGTGCACGGTTGGTATTATCGTCCCGACCTTTTATGGCTTCGTGTAGACAAAAGGGGAAAGCTGAAGATGCGCAAGGACCTCCAGCATGGTTTCCTTATGCTTGACTGGATCTAAGTGACAGGCCATAATAGGCAATTCATAGTCAAGTACGACGAACTCTATGTTCTAATCGAAAACGATCAGACTGATGAGATTGTAGTCCAACCCAAGCACGTGGGCGAGGTAGGGGTGCTCAGACTAATGTCAGCTCCTGAAACGGAAATAAATACCTGGTCAAGACAGATCTCGGCATTTTCCATCTACCGCAGATCAATTGTCAAGAGAACATGAGGGAGGCCTATGCAATTGGCGGTGATCATCGTTCCATGAACACAGTGCAGCGCATGCTTTTCTTGGCGCCCGTTTCCACCTCTTCCACCTTTGACAACGCTGTCTGTGGATAGCAAACACATACCGCCCGGGCACTCCAATCGATCAGGATGGCCACTTTGCCGAAATGCCTAGCGTCTGCCTCAGAAATCCGTTGATACATATCCTTCCTGTGTGGAAAATTCACTCGACAATGTTGTTTGGACTCACCAGATCCTGATAGGCCTCTTTCGCCTGGTCGAAAGAGGAAAACCTCAGGGTCAACGAGAGGGTGAATAACTATCGTTTGCCTCAATGGCGGCAATTGTGTTCTCCATCACAGATTGAGAGCCCACGACGGCACCGCGGGCGATGCATAATTTGTGGAGGCATTGAAACATGCTTTGCGTAACATCCTCGCCACCGAAGAATCCGATGATAGTAACCACAACCTCGAATCTGATGGCTTCTAAGCTCTGTTTTAGGCTGTTTGCACCGCCGACCTCGACGATGTGGTCAAAGTCCACCCCCTCGAGGGTGAGGTCTCGAGCAGTCTTCCCCCAGTTTGTACTTATCTTCCTTGTACTTAATCACATGATCGGCGCCGAGCTGCCTGAGCTTCTCGGCTTTGGCAGCGGAAGTGGTCGTCGCGATCACGGTTGCCCTGGCTGCCTTGGAAAACTGGTTTCTGGGTCAATGAAAGGTGGCTGGCGCGGAAGGTGAGGGGATGACAATACCTGTAGGGCACTATCATTCTCAATGGTCATACGGCCACAGCTGCTTGGCCTTGTTCCGTCCCATCCCATCTGCATCTGCGTCAGCCAACCACTTTTGAAAGAGAGCGTCTGAGGCCTCTTTGACGATATCCCAGTTATCTGTAGGGACAAATCCCTCCTCGTCTGTTGACAGCATGTTCATCAGGCCCTTTCGAGGTTAAGTGCCATCTCAAAGTCCTTCCACTGCGCATTATGCTTGGCGAGCTCTTCCACTGTCGGCTGATACGGGCAGGAACCTGGCAGACCGAGAGCGACCCACTCCTGGGAGAGATCTATGAGATCGCTGCGGAACCCACATATACCCTGCTGCCAGGTTGTACTGCAATATCGAAAGGGGCGTATGAGGGTATGTTCGAGGGTTTGTGCTGCATGTAACCTGGGGCTAGAAGCCTCCAGTCTCAACTCCCAAGCCCCTCGAAGAATTGCGGCTTCCTTCCTAAGCCTCTCTTCCATCCGGAGTCTGAAAACCATCACACGAGTCCATGGCATCGTGAGCTATACCTTTAGGATGCTCGCACAAGTCAGGCATTTCATTAGAATAGAGCAGCCCCGGGTCGAGACAGGTTGACTGCCAATCAATAACAGCCGTGATCTTGGTAGGTTCGTCCGGATCTACAAATATGTTCCGCTTTTGTGAGTCCGGGTGGAGCAGAAGCGGAGACGAAATCTTCTCGATGCGCGGATCGCGGCTGAGTGCCTGAAGCACAGCCTCAGCCTCTGAGAGCAACGCAACATGCTCCTCAGCCGTGCCGCGGAAGGCAGGTCTTGTTGGCAGAATCTCGTCAGGGATGCGGGAATTTCCCGCATCCAACAGACCGCGGGTGAAGTCATTGAAGGTTTTCCCTATTAGGCCATGGTCAGTCACAGCAGATAGAAAACTCTCTCGAACAAGGCATACAAGGGCCGCGATTTAGTGGTTTCCTGTTGTAAAAGCGGTGTTCTGTAGGGTAACAGGGGAAGTACCGCGAACCCGAGTTTGGCCCAATGCAGAAACGAGTGTCAAGACGAACTGAGTTCGACGAAGTGACAAGCCCGTCGCTGAAGTAGATGCTTCCGTAGGCCAGGAACTCTAAGTCGTGCATTTGCTTGACCAGGTTGGCCAGGTTTTGAACACACTCTAGACGCTGGAGACCGGTCATGTCCGGCCAATGTTGTTGTAGTTGTACACCAAAAACATGCTCCATGATGATGTATTCTGTTCCAACTGAGTTCGACGGGTCATCGCTCCAGTCCAGCACCTGCGGAATGGGAATGTTTGTCTTGTCCCGAACCATGAAGATGCTTGTCAGTCGATCGAGCACGATCCAAGGAAACACCATATCATTTACGGTGACACATGGTCGCCACCTCCGAGTTCGTAACAAGCCGAGAGGGTCCAGCGACGGAGAAGGGGACTCTGGCAACCACCTTGGTCCCGTTGTCGAAACGAATGATGAATGCTCGGTTGAAGTTGCCCTCCACTTTTGAGCATTCTAAAGTCCCCTTGGCCCCAGCCACCGAGCTTATTGCCTTCTGGCAGAGAGCCGGGAAGTCGAAGTTGACACGGCGAGCATCGCGTTGGGCAGCGTCGGCGCGTAGCCAACGCCCGTTGGTGTACTCATAAGGGTCAAAGCCGAACTTGAAAGAGGGCATGGTTGACGATTTGGTCACATAGATGAGGATGAATATGTTTGCTCCTGCAGCTTCCTACAGAAAATTCTGAATGTTGGACGTTTTGACAATCGTGTCAAAATGAGAGACATGATGGTTGAACTGTCCACATGAAATTGACAGTGATGAGCCACAATTATACTTGTAGGCAGTGAAATGCATGCAAGTAGAATCTGGAGCTGGTTGGCTGGTGGATGTGACGTATCGAGGTTGATTTCAGGTCGAATTGCGGATCTTGCTTTTTGAGGTTCTGTTGGAAAAGGACAAGATACGAGCATTTTTACTGTGCCGTGGCTAGTCCGCCCATTTATAGCATTAAATGCTGCGAGGGTTGCATTCAAACCTGCATCCTTTTGTGGGGAATTGGCCGCCTCCATCAGCTTTTTTGATCAGCTCACCCATATAATGCAGTTTTGGGGCGAGTGCTGTAGTTTTCTTAAAGTCGTTGGCTGCATTTCGTAGTTCGTCTGTTAGGGTGGAAGTGCGCCTGTTACAACGAAAGTATGAGTGGAAGGAGTTCAATACCAGACTTAGAACTGTAATTCTGAGGGTTAAAAACAATCCAAATTTTTCAAGGAGAAGAGAAAATCCAAATCAAACAATATTCAGTTACATCCCACCAAGAGTGTTAACCCTCACTGGAGGAAGACATGCTGTACATCACAATTGAACTTTATGCTAACAACAAGTGATGCTCAATTTCAAGCTGAAGGCCTAGAATTATTGGCACAATTTTGACCGGTACTGCAAGACAAGTGTGCCCCCAAAACACCAGAGTAATCAATTGACCAGGTTGGTAACCGCCAATATATGAGAGACGTACCGTCATCATTGTCGCTGTTGGTTGCTCCGTAAATGAGGGGCTTAATGCCCTGGGCGTTTATCACTGTATGAAGGGACTGAATGCATATTGCTTAAGAAGCATATGTGTACAGATTACAGACGAGACCACTTAATGACCTGGGACTTTGCAGGAAGGGAACCGGCCCGCATCGATCCATCTCAACATAGAATTGTAAACGAGCTGACAGATAAACTCGGCTGTTGGAATATTCTAGATATCTAGGCTATTATTAATACGGGATATCCTTTTCCCCATACGTTTGCCACTGTATGGAGGATAATAACTATAAATAGGAGCCTTCCCTCCCATTAAATAGACGTTAGCTAGCCTAATAAACTAAGCATTCAATGCTATTATTTAATAGGTTATAAGGCCCGGAGCTTACCCAAAGCGGCAATGCTAACTTGATATGGAAAATGGCTAACTTAATATGGAAAACGCACATTACATAACACCCCTAATCGCCATTACTTCTTAAACCTTTTAAATAAGACAAGCTTTATATTTAAAGATATATCTTTTAATTAATTATCCGATTAAGCTAATTAATAAGCCCTTAACTAATTAAATTGCCCTATTTAACGTTATAAATTAATCTTGTCTCTTAACCCAGAGCCCATATATAAAAACCATACCTTATTTATTTAAACACTTAACCGTTTTTCTACTAATACTTAACCTATTTATATAATTTATATACTATTTAAAAGCCCTTATTAAGAACAATAAGAGCATTTCTTTAGATTTCAAAAACCATACCAAATCAATACTAAAAACGCGAATTCCAATGAAATTATAACAATCCTCAAAACTCCCTTAAAAACACTTAACTATATCTCAGCCATCTTTAGTTTATAATACCTTAAAAATATATTATTTAAAAGCCCTTTTTTTTCTCTTTATAATTATACTACTTTAATACCTATATCTCTATTCTTTAACTTATTAAACTTATTCAAAATTTATTATATCTTTCTCTCTATTCTCTTAATTATCTTAATAAATACTCTACTTATTTACCTTAAAATGGCATTTCTTAATAAGTATAGTATTTTACTCCTTAATAAAATAGAAAACTATATATATTGGAGCGTTAAAATCTAAGCTTAACTTAAGAAAGAAAACGTTATTAGGAATGATCTTAAGAATCTTTTCCAGGGCTTATCTTTAGCTTAAAATAAAAAAGCCCTTATTAATATTAAACTTATATATAGGTAAGAGCCTATTATATTTATAAAAGATATAAATAATGCTTAAGAAGCGTAAAATATACTTAAATCTTATTATAAACCCTTTAAGTTTATAAGCTAATATTTACTTTATAAAAAGTTTTTTAATATTAATCTTAATAATTTTAAAATTATGGAAGAATATATTAATAAGCTAAAGCTTCTTTTAAAGGATTTAAAGGCTAATAATATAATTCTTCTTAAATAAGTTATAATTAGCTAAATTCTTTATAGCTTAAATAATGAATATATTAACTTTATTTAAAATATAACTTAAAGTCTTAAAAAAGATTTAAACGCCTATATAGTGAAAACAAGCTACCTAAATAATAAGGAATAGGTTTTGCTAAACCCTCTTAAGGATAACTTAAGGAGGAGCTTTAATGTGATAAAAAGGGAAGATAAAAATAAAAGGGAATTAAAAAAAGGGAAAAGATAAATATTTTAAAAATTCTTAAAAATAAGAAAAGCTTAATTAAAGTACTAAATATATAAGAAAAGAAAAAAGTTTATTTTTTAAAAAAATATTTAAAATAAGCATAAAAGCTAGCTTTTTATAGCTAGCTAAAATTTAATATAATATTATTTCTTATATAATTCCTTATATTTATTAATATACCCCTTTTTAAGTACTTTATAATAAGTATTATAAAAATTATTAAAATAAAATTTCGTTATCTTTAATTAAGCCTTTAAGTTTTAAAATTTACTTTATTATAATCTTAATTATTATTGCTATTTTTAATTTCTTGCTTATTTATTTTATTATAGCTTTTATTCTTTTATAAAAGCTTTAAATATTTTTAAAACTTACTTAATAATATATTTGCTAATTATATTTTTTTAATTATTAAAGTTTACTTTAATAATTAGCATTAATATAGTTATTAAAGATTTAAATATTTTTATAAAATAAAAAGTAAATTTTTTTTTTAATTATTATATTAAGCATAATATGCTAGCTTTATTAACTTTTGCTCTTATTTTTTGCAAAGCTTTCGCTTTTGCTTTTGCTTTTTGCAGTACTTTTACTTTTGCTTTTGCTTTTTATAATATTTTTACTTTTAATATTTATGCTTTACATTTAATTACTTAGCTAGCTTATTTATAAGCCTTTTAAATTATCCTTAAGCAAACTTTATTATTATTTTAATTATTTTAAGTTAATTAATGCGCTTTAAGTTTTATTTATATTTATTATTAAGATAAGTAAGTAAGAAAGATTTTTATATATATTAAGATAAGCATTTTTTATTAACTTTAAAATATCTTATAATGTAATGCTTAAGCTAAAGGCTTATTTAATTAAAGTTATACTTAATTAATTTTAAGCTATTTAAAAATTTATACTTTATTATATATTAAATATTTAAAATTAAGTTATTAAATTAATTTATATTAAAGGTATTATTTCCCTTATGCCCTTTTTATAATTAATAATAATCTTAGTATATTATAATTTAAATAGCTGTTATTAAATAATATTTCTTTATAATAAAAGCTTACTTTTTATTTTAATTACTTTTATATTATTAATTTTAATAAAGGAAATTAATATAAATATTTAAATAACTTTATTAATCTTATTAAGCTTTAATTAAATAATAAATATTTAAGTAATAATATTAATAATAATTTTAAGTATTTTAAAGTATATAATTTTAATTAAAAAAGCCTTAGCTTAATTTCATACCTTTTAATTATTCTTTCTTTAATTTTCTTTAAAATAGTTTTTAATAAACTTAATAATATATTATTTATAAAATACTTTATTAATTTATCTTAATTTTAATATAAACTCTTTATTAAAATTTTATATTTTATTTTTTAAAATAGCTATTAAATATTTATAAATAAGCGCTTTAGCATTTTTATTTATTTTACTTTTCTTATTTCTTAATATAAGATTATTTTATAATAAGTAATAATTTTTTATTTTATTAAAAATTATTATTATTTAATAATTAAGCATATAAATAAATATAATAATAAATTTATAATTCTTTATTAATTTATATTATTAATATTTCTTAAGTAAGATATAATTATAATATAAAGATTTTTTAAGTAAGAATATAATATTTTAAAAGTTAAAAAGCTATTAAGTTATAAAAGCTATAATATGCTAAGTTTTTAATTTTTTATATTTATAAAGTATCTTTTTTATATTAAAGAAATTAAAAATAAAAAAGGCTTAATATTATTTTATTAAATTTATTAATTTAATTAATTTTCTTAACTTAAGGTAAAAATTAATACTTAAATATATTTTTATATTATTTTTATAAGCTTATTATTAAATATTATTTATTTTATATTAAAAAATAATAGCTAATTAAAAGTTTAAAATTATTAAATATTATTTAAGTAAACCTTATTTATAATAATTCTTATTTTAAAGGGATTTTTAAAAAAGTTAATACTTACTTTTTAAGTAAAGTTTTATTAATTTTAAATATTTATAATATTTAAAAATTATAATACTTTATTAAATAAGTTTTTAAAGTTATTAAAGTAAGAAAGTTTTATAATTATTAGCATTAAATTATTATTTTTTAAATTAATAAGCTTAATTATTAAAATTAAGGCATTAAGGTCTTAAGATATTTTATAATATAAGAATAATTAAAAATACTTCTTTACTTTATCTTTTTAATTAAAAGATATTTTAACTTTTAATTATAAAAAAAGAAGATAAAGGAAATAAATAATAAAGTAAAGAGTAAGTAATAAAAGTTAAGTAATAAAAAAGGAAAGTATAGTAATAAAAAGAGCCTTATACCCTTAAGAATTATTATATAAGTAATTAAGATAAAGAAGGTTAAAAATAAAAGAAAATATAATTAATATTTAGCTATAGCTTAAGGCAGTTTTTATAAATAATTATTACTTATTTTTAAATAAAAATT